ACCAATCAGAAAGTCTGTGATCCGGGCGCCAGAACTCACCGTGTGGAGCTAATCTCACTGGTAAAGTACCATGTGGCGCAGAACTAAAAAAGGTCTTGTAATGATTCTCAAATCATTAACGACAAAACAAGGAATAAAACCAGGATTTCTATCTTTGTGAAAAAGGTGTTGGTTATAGATTTGTTGTTGACAAAACTCTTGTCTATTCAGCTGTTATGGTCCCAGCTGGATTCGTCTGCATATCTGGCAACCTGAGTCAGGGAGAGTGGGAGAGGCTGCAGTACCACTTTTGGCCACATGTTTACAGACTGCTCCTATTTCAAGTGGTGATACAATTTCTCATGTCTCATTCCAAGGAGGACATTTCTTTAATTTTGACTTTTTTGCTTGTTCCTTTGGCAAATCTTGTTCTTCTCAAAATGTGATTTAAATTGAGATGAAAACACTACCTCACATTTGATCATTTTTTGCAGTGTAGTTTGTGACGTGTGGCCGTGGCCCTGATGCTGCTCTGATCTCACGCACACTGATGGTTTTACAAGCTTAAGTTGAGTTGAATATGCAAAGTAGAGACTTCTTGTTACAGAAGAGGAAAGGTTTCCCCTCAGCACTTCAGACTGTAACCATATGCTCTCCCCGTGCCACTCAGTCACAAACTTCAGACAAACTAGAATAATCGTTTCCATCTTTCCTGAGTACAGGCTCAGAGTCGAGTTGAGTCACAGCATTTTTCACCGACTGGTTTTTTGCTTTGTGTTTGTACTTATCTGATTGCAATTTGACACCATGGAGCAGCGTGGGTTAAAAGGGAGAAATATGTTATTCTAAGCTCTTTTCAAAACTGTGGCTGTAATTTTGTTCTGTGAAATGATGTTGTGCAGGTTTTCAAATAGACATATTGATTGATTTTAGGGTAAGAATTTCTTATATCTGAACTTGACAAGCAAATGATCTTTTTCTTGACCAGGGAGACCAAAGCAGCAAAAACAGATTTATAAATATATGTTTAAGATGTGTTTTTGACTTGGTAATGACCCAGTTGGCACAATCTTAAATGAAGGGACCCTCATAATGTGCACACAGGCAAATCAAAATAGTTTAGTAGAAGTTAATCCCAAAAATAAAGTCCAGGATACACAATATATGGCAAAAGTACACACACACACAAGGGACCACGACTGAACCGAGTATATACACAATGGACTGAGAACAGAGAGGGAAAAGCCCAGGGTATTTATGAGAAAGACATAAGCCAAACTCAAAGTCAAACTCAAAATATTCACAAGAAAAACGGAAATTACAAAATGACACCACTCCCAAAATGATAAATCAGCGCCATGACTGCAGTGGCTGAGTGTGTTTTACTCACACACTCACATTTGTGTAAGTTTTCTGGTGCAGGGTCCCACAGCCGAGAAAATCTTCCAAACCCTACTTCATACTAGAGACTAGGGCTGCACAATATTGTAAATTAGAGCAATATTCGATATGAGTGTTTAGTATTGCGAGAACGATATTATTGCGATATTTTAGTCTTTCTCCTAAAATTGCGATCTGCATTAAAACACAAGAGACAAATAAGCACAACAATAATGACATTCAAATGCTTGTATGTATATTTTTTGTTTGAGTGTTTGTTCTTGTTGAATGTTGATGTGCATCTCTTTGATATGGATATTGCACGAACCAATATCACGATAACAATATTTTTCTGATATATTGCGCAGCCCTACTAGAGACCACTGGGATGGAAAGGCACCAGTCCTACCACAGGGTCAAGACCAAACATGCAAAAATATCAACAAAACAGTCAATTCTGCAAGAGATTTGACTTCAGAAAAAATACAAAACAAATAAAATTCAATGGGAGGTTTGCGAATCGTCCACATTGTTACTTTATTGTTATTTTTGTCTGAGTCGAAGTCCATATCTGCTCTTAAGACCTGAAACCTCTATACTCTCATATGCTGTACTTTTAAATACATAAGAATGAAATGATTGCCTTTGCGTGTTTTCAAAGAGCTCTTTTCAACACGGCTCTTAAAGCTCTTAAACGACAGGTTGTGGTACGTAGACATCATTCCCCAACAATGTTTCAACAACTCATTAATAACCGTGTGTGAAATTGTTATGTATTTTTAAAAGTCTTCTTCTTACATAACTCCAGTTTATAGAGTCACAACAATAAGATAAATATCAAGTAGGATTTACTAAATTTCTGTAATCTTCAATGGCAGCTGTTTTCATTATATTCGTGCCTGCGCTGTACTTTCGGGAGTCGCACCTATGTTTAAAATACTTCAGTGATGTGAAAAGGGGCAGAGAAATTTATGAGGGAACTTTGAGCGTGGAAACAGACACCTGGGACTTTACAGCACGCAACATGGACTGGAAAGGGTTTTGATGTTGTTAGAGGCAAAGCAGATACTTATTCAGGACTTTTTGTTATCAATTTAAACGTCTAAAATTGATCTAAATGGTAAGTTTTTCCAGTATATTATTGTAGACTTGACGGACTGACTTTTGCATTTCCTCTTGGACTTTAAGAGATTGAAATTGACAAAACAAAACAGAAATTCTCGAGCACAGTTTTGTTAAAGCTATGGTTTAAAAAGCTGATAATGTTTATTTATTATGACTTATTTTACCATCTACAGCTGCACAATTTTTATTTATATGTGGCTAATGCATAAGAAAATAAGAAAATACAGACGTGAAGGTATGTTTTGGTATTGTCCTTAAAAAAGTGTATATATTAAAAACAATGATAATATTTTCATTACTGGCTTTCAGTTATAAACAAGCCTGCAAAAAGTGCTAAGTAAAAAGAGTTCAAAAATCTCTCAAATCTGTTTTTGGGTGATTTTAATCTGCTTTCAAAAGACTTGTACCTTTTGCATTATTGGTGTAATTACAATTATTGACAACAAAACAACACTGGTTAATTAAATAATCGACAAAAGGCTAGAAAACCTTTGAACACACACATACACAATCTGAGCCAATTGTTGTTTTGCTTGGTTCAAATCAAGTCTTAACAACTGGGCAACACTTCTGGGACCTCACCGCAGCTGTCAGTTCAGTCTTTTGAACAGATTTTCTTTTGTAATCTTGTCTTTCTGGTCTTCCTTTCCTTTGCGTGTAAGCCCTGGATTTGCATATCCTTTTTGCTCCATCAACAAACTCCGCACAGACGCCGCAGGTGCAGATTTGATACGTTTTTCAGATAACTCAAGGCCACTGCTGCACGATACATAATGTTCCTATAAGGGCTGGAGATAATTGTTTTCGGTCTATTATGCATGTGTCAAATGTGCAAAAATAACACAATGTTCCAAAGCTGTACCTGCAGTTATTGTATGTAACGTGGGAGTTGCCAACAAAAGGATTAAATGCATTTGAACAGGTATTTGCTTCAGGGTGAGGTTGAAATGTCGCTGCTGATGGTTGTGTACATAATGAATTGGCCTCCAGCGCATTCACACAAGACTGTTCTCTTGCTAAAGGTCTAAAGGCAACAATTTAAACACAGTATTTATTTTCATTATAAGTTGCACCAGCCGAAAATGCATATTAAAGAAAGAAAAAAACGTATATATGTCATGCTGTACTTATAAGCGCCTCCTGTAGTGGTGACCCTGCGACCTGTGTGGAGTGGAAGACAAATGCCCAAAAATAACAATTGTAAACCGCTCTGGTCTGACTCTGGTCTGTGAACTAAAGATTACTTGCTGAGAATGACCAAAATACAGTACATTAGCTGATACTAAGACATTGAAAACATGAACAAATGATTCACGTATCGCTCTTCAAAATAGCTTAATCTCTCAAATTATCCCGGGCTATTATTTGAGATTTTACGGTAAATAAAATATGTTAAATTTCAAAAGTTACATATAAGTGAGTACATATAACTCCTGAGTATAAATCGCACCCCGGGCCAAACTATGACAAACACTGCGTCTGCGATTATTCGAACAATACAGTATTATAGATGTTTTTCTTTGGGAAATGTCGCAGGATTTTAATAATTTTTTTTCAGAGTTTAATCCACTGTGTTAACGTCGCACATTTTTTTAAAGAAAACGTTTCCAAAGTTCTGCACAGAATTAAAATTAACATATTTAAATATACAGCTTTATACAATGGGATTCTAATTGTATTTATATTATATTCTAACTGATTATACATTATCAATCTTTTAGGAGGTAGAAAGTTGTAACCCACTACAGTCTTGGATATTGTGTATATACCGCATTTGGCAACACAGTGGCTGAGTGGTTAGCCCAGCAAGAAGGTCCTGGGTTTGAATCCCGGTCGGAACAGGACCTTTCTGAGTGGACTTTCCCTGTATCTGTGTAGGTTACCTCCAGGTGCTCCGGTTTCCCCTACCACTAAAAAGATAAGTCTGAATGTAATGACAGAGTAAATGGAGGGTGTTGGGTCAGAGGCTTTGATGGACCAGTGTGTTCGGAGTCTCACTTCCGTCATCACCGTGTGGAGAGGATGAAACAAAATCTGAACTATGGACCTTGTAATGAGCTTTGGGTGACGTTGATCTGTAAAAATGCGCTATATAGATAAACATTACTTACATTTGCCATAGTGGAAGCTTCTAGAGTAAAGCAATCAAGTTTCATTGTTGACGCTGACCTTGTAGTTCTTCTTTGGCCGTTTACTTCTGTTCTTGTTTGTGTTGCTATAGTGACAGATGCCGCTGACTCATTTGTACAAAGTATTTTCGGTCATTCCCAAAGTGGTCAGGCCTCATATTTTTAGTTTCACGGCATTTGGTCACCAGACGGGGCCCTCGGGACTCCATGGAAAAGAGAGCAGCCCGTTGCTTAGCAGGACAGTCCAACTCTAAGACAGAGAGGAGGGCGTTTTTTTTTTAGTTTTTTTCGTTCCAGCTCCACCCATGACGGGACACACTTTCATTCAGACACACAACACCCACGCTATCGTCTCTCTCTACTCACTTTACAATCTCTCTCCAACAGGACACATTCAGGCAGACACAAGCCGAGAGGAGAAACACAGAGAGACACGGCCATAAGGTTTTCATTCAACACCAAACTTTATTCATTCAGTGAAGCGACAAAGAGTAAATGATGGGGTTTTGATGCAGGAAAGTAGCGTCGCCGTCGTGTTGCCGCAGAAAGCAGAGGAGTGGGAAGACACTTACGACCAAACAAGAGAAGAGAACGTAGAAGTTATCAAGGTAAGTCATGCAGCGTGTTTGAGATTGTCGTTTGAGTCGTGTGTGACTCTAGTTTGTGCATGTTTTTTACTGTTTAAGTTGTTACATAATCATGATTGATTTGTGAGAGCCCACGGTTGAAGACCATATTTTTCTGTAGCGTTTTCTCAGCTTGATCCTATCTCTCTGTAATAACGGATAATTACCCATAAGCTACATTATTATTGCTGTATTACTGTCAAACTATTTCTAGACGTTGTGGGTGCATAGTGGAAACCTCAAGACTGATGGAAATATGTTTTATATAGAAAAATAACTGTTTTGATTGAATTAAATCATTGTTATCATATGTCAACAAAGGAAAAGACCAGGTTCAGTTAACTGTGAGTCTAGACTTTTGGTATTTTCCAACATAACGTAATATTTCTAGAGTTTCTATTTGAAGTATATTAAACATTTTTGTGAGTGCTTTAAGAACTGGGACAATTTATTTTCTTTAAATATTGATAAATCTGTATCTAACTAAGAAAGTTCCATTGAGATCTTTTCCATTGTGCCCTGGCCCCAAACACAACCCCGAGATGACATTTCATATCTAATTATATTACTAATACTTCTACTCATACTTTAAAATGTATTTCTGTGGGAGCCATACATATATTTATTTAACTGTGAATATGTGTGAATTTTAAAAGCAAGATCCACCCATACATTTACTAAGATTTATACTGAAAAAATCCAATTCTTCATACATTCTTACTATTTATGCCAACTAACATTTGTCTGATTGTGTTAAGAGCCAAACACAATCAGCTGGTGGTGTGTCATGTGATTGTTTTGCATTTTAAAAAGAAAAACAGCTTAAAAAGGTTTAGGAACACTGCCGCAGAACAAGGTTGATATAGAGACAAAGAAGATGGTGGAACTTTGAGACAGGTTTTGTTCCATAGTTACCAGCAAATACTAACCTCCACTAAAATGTGAACCTAAAGGATCTTTGTGATGTCACATGTACACCACCTATTAGTATTTATAAATGGATGAATGGAAAGTAAAACCCTGTGGCAGAATTGCAGTTATATAAATAGTATTAAAGTGACTGTGACCTGTGGAGACCTAACCTGTAATGCCTTATACACCTCTCCTCTCTCTGCTCTCTCTCTGCTCTCTGTCTGCTCTCTCTCTTCACTCTGCTCTCTCTCTGCTCTCTCTCTGCTCTCTCTCTTCACTCTGCTCTCTCTCTGCTCTCTCTCTGCTCTCTGCTCTCTGTCTGCTCTCTGTCTGCTCTCTCTCTGCTCTCTCTCTGCTCTCTGTCTGCTCTCTGTCTGCTCTCTGCCTGCTCTCTCTCTGCTCTCTCTCTGCTCTCTGTCTGCTCTCTCTCTGCTCTCTGTCTGCTCTCTGTCTGCTCTCTGTCTGCTCTCTCTCTGCTCTCTGTCTGCTCTCTCTCTGCTCTCTCTCTGCTCTGCTGTGACTCAGGTCTATCTGGAGTCTCGTCCGGGCGCTGAGACTCACCAGCACAACCTGAGGATGCTGAATGACGAGGTTTCTCAAATACAGGAGGTGAGAACATGAGCAGACCGTGACTCAGCCTCAGCTCTCACTCAGACACAACATTACCCACATTCACTGACGGAGAGTGGAGCAGTTGGTTTGGTTTACTGTTCATGTGTAGTGGCCATCGCACAGCACGTTTCAAAAGTTGGATGTCAGGATGGGGGTTAAAATGTTGGGACTTGTGCTGAAGAAAGATTACAGTTACAGGTTTTAAGCATAGACTGTAAATATTATCGGAGGTAGCAACGCTTATTTCCTCGGTTGAAATGTATGTGCCACAGACATGGGCAGATTCAAACTGGCCGCGGGCAGATAGCCTGACTCTCGCCAGACCCTTGTAGTTCCGCTATGCTCCACCAGAGGCGTTTCGCTTCTCGCACAAGGGTCTGGTATCGAGCGCATATCAAATTCCTTCAGGAGATCAAAAAATAATCGGCCAGGTTGGGTGGTTTCCCGCATACTTCTTTTCCAAGCGACTTTTTTTGGACATTCTCGCGGGTTTTGGGCTGGAAAATCTTGCCGGCATTTGGCAACCCATGGGAGCCGTGTGCTGAATTGTTTGCTTCAATGTGAGTGGTTGACGGATCATCACATACAAGAATTTTTTTTACAAGCCCCCGCCTTCTGAAATTTATCCGCTATGAAGGAGACCCAGTCCCTTAAGAAAAGCTCAGTGAACTACAAGGGTCTGGCCAGAGTCAGGCTAGCCGGCAGCCCCTCGCACACAAAATTATTTGATGTACTTCTCTATCATATGTCTACATTTCTGTTTTGATTTTGTGTACAATCTCAGAATTCAATTATAATGTAATTTGCCTATGTTTTGGTGTTCAAAGGCAAGTAAAAAAAATAAAAAAACATACATATAAAAGTACTCATCATAAAAGACAAACTGATAATTGTTTCGTTTGGTATTCCACTATCTATGGTTTTATCTGGGAAGGCTCATAGTTGAAAGGTAGAGATTATATAGTTTTTTTTAGAATGGCTCTCACTCTCAGTTTGAGGCTGTATTATCTGTATTCTATTGCCCACATGTTATTTTCCCGTGGACTTTCAATTATGACCTGTTCTGACTGTACTTATCGGTCCCAAAGTGCCACAAAAACTGCATCATAAAAATAGTATCTCAGCTCCTGTGAGCACACAGGCCTGTAGAACAGCCCTGATCTCCCTTTAAGCTGTGGTATTTATTTGAAGAAGCCGTAGTAATGTGTGGTATGTGTGTTTGTTTCCAGGTGAGATACTGTCTGAAGACGCTGAGGGAACAGATGGCAGCCAGACAGAACACCAACAACAACAAGGTACGCCCAGAAAAGACAATGAATACATCAATCAAATTAACCATCATCAACACAACAGTGGATTCCGCATGCTTTGTTTATAATGAAGAACTATAGCCTTCCTTCCTGCTGCTGTCAGACTGTACAACGAGAACTGCTGAGCCTGTGCATGTCATTCATCTGTAAATAAGCACAATACTGCAATTTCTACTTATTATTCTGCCCTATACTGTATACATGTTTTTTTTTGTTTTTTTTAATATATACCGCCTTTCACAGACCAAAGTCTCAAAGCGTTTTACAATTGTTATGGACATCTGTCTCTCACTCCACACAGAGATGGGAGCAGGTCGCCAGCACAGGAGGCACAAGCCAGACCTATTTTACATGTTTTTTTAGTAGTAGGATGAACCGGAGCACACGGAGGAAACCCACACAGACACGGATAGAACATACGAACTCCACTCAGAAAGGCCCTGTTCCGGCCGGGATCAATTTGCACGATATATACAGTACGAGTATCAATATTTTGAAGCATTGATATTGAAGCCTTTACAGCTAGCTAAGACACACAGCAGCTACTTATTTTGTGTGCTCCTGTCTGTGCGCTGCAACACTGGAATTTCCCCACTGTTGGATGAATGAAGGATCTCTCATCTTATCTTATCTTATCAGTCAGTACTTCTGTCGTCGTTCCATGAGCTCTGGTGAAGACAGGCTGTGTTCATGAATCCATAGCTCCTCCATCTCTGGCTGTTTCATTTCTTTGTTGATTTGACAAGCAGATATTTTATATATATATTTTTCTTTAAAATACTTTTTACTGGTAGAACGTCACATTTATGCAACTTTTACTCATACATATTGTTGTCGAGGCACTTGCAGGTCCTGTTAACAGCAGTATTATAGCCATTTTGTTATAATAAATAATTTTTTTCAGTCTTTGGCAAATATTGAAAACCAAAGTAGCAAGATCAAACATGAATAATCTGGATTGGTACTTCTCTAAATACGACTGTGTGTTGGGGAATTATTTACAACAATTAAACATGGACATTTACAAGGTTTCAGGTCAGATTAGTAGATTATTGTTGTATCGCTGACTCGTTCAAAGCATTTCTTAATCCATCAGCGGTTTCTGCCCCGTGACTGTAAAGTGCACGGCTAAAGAGAAGATTCCCACAAGCAGAAATGATTTGAATGCATTTCCTCCTCAAGCCAAAGCATGTATTGATTTCTGGTTCTGGTTCTTTCCCTCAGTGTCCGACCAATGGCTACAGAGTGAACTTGACACATGTCCCGCCCCCCGTCACCAACGGCAACGCTGTCATCGAGGAGGAGAGTGATGTAAGGAGATACCTGTTCTTCTTCTGTCAATCTAAAAACACCAGCAGACACGCAGAGAGACACAGGTACAGAGAGACACAGGTACAGAGAGACACAGGTACAGAGAGACACAGGTACAGAGAGACGCAGGTACAGAGAGACACAGGTACAGAGAGACGCAGAGAGACACAGGTACAGAGAGACACAGGTACAGAGAGACGCAGGTACAGAGAGACACAGGTACAGAGAGACGCAGAGAGACACAGGTACAGAGAGACGCAGAGAGACACAGGTACAGAGAGACGCAGGTACAGAGAGACGCAGAGAGACACAGGTACAGAGAGACGCAGAGAGACACAGGTACAGAGAGACACAGGTACAGAGAGACGCAGGTACAGAGAGACACAGGTACAGAGAGACGCAGAGAGACACAGGTACAGAGAGACGCAGGTACAGAGAGACGCAGAGAGACACAGGTACAGAGAGACGCAGGTACAGAGAGACGCAGGTACAGAGAGACGCAGGTACAGAGAGACGCAGGTACAGAGAGACGCAGAGAGACACAGGTACAGAGAGACGCAGGTACAGAGAGACGCAGAGAGACACAGGTACAGAGAGACGCAGGTACAGAGAGACGCAGGTACAGAGAGACGCAGGTACAGAGAGACGCAGGTACAGAGAGACGCAGGTACAGAGAGACGCAGGTACAGAGAGAGTAAGAGAGACGCAGGTACAGAGAGACGCAGGTACAGAGAGACGCAGGTACAGAGAGACGCAGGTACAGAGAGACGCAGGTACAGAGAGACACAGAGAGACACAGGTACATAAAGACACAGAGAGACACAGGTACATAAAGACACAGAGAGACACAGGTACATAAAGACACAGAGGGACACAGGTACAGAGAGACACAGAGAGGCACAGGTACATAAAGACACAGAGAGACACAGGTACATATAGACACAGAGAGACACAGGTACATAAAGACACAGAGAGACACAGGTACATAAAGACACAGAGACACAGGTACATAAAGACACAGAGAGACACAGGTACATAAAGACACAGAGAGACACAGGTACATAAAGACACAGAGAGACACAGGTACAGAGAGACACAGAGAGACACCGGTACATATAGAGACACAGGTACATAGAGACACAGGTACATATAGGTACATATAGACACAGAGACACAGGTACATATAGACACAGAGACACAGGTACATATAGACACAGAGACACAGGTACATATAGACACAGAGACACAGGTACATAGAGACACAGGTACATATAGACACAGGTACATACAGACACAGAGAGACACAGGTACATAAAGGTACATATAGACACAGGTACACAGGTGAAACACATCAGGGTGAGGCAGACAATCAAACTTGGGAACAGGACGAGAAGTAAAACTAAAGCAAAAATGAAAACGTACACAATAACAAAGTCCAGACCATGACAGTTTTCTCATTTATCATTTTATCATTTCAACAAACCAACAATAAATCACAGAACAGTACAACTATTATAAAAGCGTCTCTGGTTTGAATGTAAATTGCACAATGGGACGAGTTGTTTCCAAGAGTTTTCCACTTGCAAATGCCAGTGGCTGCTCCGCTACAGCGTGCCAGCGAGAGGATGGGAACAATCTGGAAACTTCTGCTTTAAAAATGTTATGCATTTTACAACCTCTGGGAAAAGCGTTTATGTGCAGACTTTAGAATCAGAATCAGAATCAGAATCATTTTTATTGCCAACGTAAGTAACGGGAGGTCACAGACTTGGAAATTGCTTTGGCTCAGTGCAACAGTCAAAAAGAGATAATAAAAATAAGAATAAAAAACACTTCTAAAGAATAAATTTAAATTTAAAATAGAGTTACAGTTACTATTTACAATATACAAGTGCACATGGTGCACACAATGTAAGGTGACAGCAGTACAGTGAAGTAAAGTGACGTATGATGGGCAGTAGAGTGACTTTATAAAGGGCGGGGGGACAGGTTAAGAAGGTTAAGAATCATCAAAGTACATCGTGTCCGGTAAAGACTGGGAGGTTACTGCATTAGCTTTATTAGCCGGTGCCTAGCGACCTGTCGGTATGTAAGAAACGTCTGATTACTAGATTACAGTCTGTAAGCGTTGGTCTTAAAGCTGGGGTCCTTAACTTTCAAACCTCAAAACAGTTGAATTGTGTGAATCAAATCTGTGTGGACCTAGTGTCTGGATCAGAAATGGTTTGGTTTCACTTGTTTTCACAGTTCCAGGCAGGATTCTTGGTCTCTGTCACATCTTTAGACAGAAAAGTGAAAAGGAGAGGACCGCCCTCACTCGGCCAATCAGCTCTCAACCCAAAGTGTCGAATAGTGACTCACAGGGATCTTTCTCTCCAGTATGCAATATTGAGCATGTAGTGTCTGGGTCTGATTTTTTTTCCCCAGAATCTTACTTTTATAATCCAATTCAATCCACATTATTATAATCCGCATTTTTCACCAACAGCTCCATCTGCAAAAGTTACTGACGGATAAATAAAGTTATTTGAATTGAATTGAAACCGTTTCCAAAGTGCTACACAAACAATTCAAACCATGGTAAAAATAATGCACAATCATGTCAAAAATATACCAAAAAGTGATTAGAAATAATAAATAATCATGAATAACAAGTAATAAATTACAAATATAAATACTAAAAAAATAAAACAATGTGATCAAATACAAAAAACTCATATAGTAAATGAATACATATATAAAATAAAGTAAATAAAAGGACACAAGATGGATGGATGGACACGACTCATGCAGTGTTAAAAGCCAGAGAAAAGACAGAGGGACTTTTCTGTTGGAACAAACCAGGTACTGCAGCTTTAATAATCATATTTCTCAGTCCATGTCCTTGAATGTGTCACGGCATAGTTCCCAGATTCTTTCCTGTGAAGATGATTAAACTCCAACAGAACAGCTCCTGCTCACACTCGGCTCATATTCCTGCTCAATTTACTTTAGACTCGTCATAACAGGCCACACAACGCCATTTTGTTCCAGGGACGTAACATTAGAAGAATAGAGTGTGTCTGTGTGTGTGTGTGTGTGTGTGTGTGCGTGTGCGTGTCTGTGTGTGTGTGTGGCCTCATACAATGCCCTCTATTCCACTGCAGGGTGTCAGGTTTGCAGCTCAAAATGGACGCTCTGTTTGGATGGGATTAGTAATATAATCTGTGTTTTGAAAAGGTACAATAGATAATGTGGTTAATAGAATAATATACAGGACAGACCAAAAGTTTGGACACACCCTCTCATTCAAAGACTTTTTTATTTTCATGATTACGAAAATTGTAGATTCACACTGAAGGCATCAAAACTATGAATTAACTCATGTGGAATTATTTACGTACTGAAAAAAAAGTATTAAATTACTGAATTACTGTCTTTTATTCTGGTTCTTCAAAGTAGCACCTTTTGCTCTGATACTGCTTCACTCTTGGCATTCTCTGGATGAGCTTCAAGGGGACCTGAAATGGTCTTCAACAGTCTTGAAGGAGTTCCCATGATGCTTAGCACTTGTTGGCCCCTTCACTCTGTGGTCCAGCCCCAAAACCATCTGGACTGGGTTCAGGTCCAAAACCATCTGGATTGGGTTCAGGTCCAAAACCATCTGGACTGGGTTCAGGTCCAAAACCATCTGGACTGGGTTCAGGTCCAAAACCATCTGGACTGGGTTCAGGTCCAAAACCATCTGGACTGGGTTCAGGTCCGGTGACTGTGGAGGTCATGTGGTCCAGCACCATCACTCTCCTTATTCGTCAAACAGCCCTTACACAGCCTGGTGCGGGTCTACAGTCAATAGTCATGAAAAGACCTCAGTGAAGGAGAGAGGGTGTCCAAACTTTTGGTCTGTTCTGTACATTATTTTTTGTTCAATCTAAGACATGCAGAGGCTGTTGACAAGTCGGTAAAGAAATCAAATAACTTTTTTATAATTTTTTTTATTAAATATTGAAACTGAGGCTGTACTGCTCTGTAGCCTCGGTAGAAAAACACATTTGCATTTTTGGCACAGCAGCTCCTGGCAAAGTTGTCCGGGCTTGTGACCCCCTGCGGCTAAACACGGATAGAAACTAAATTCATTTTGATTCATCCCGCAATATTCTCAGATGAATATTTTAGGCTCCAGTTTTCTCGTGATAGTATTGATGTGTTTCAATCCCATGTATTTTGGTGTATTCCTAAATCACAACAGCAGATACTGTATCTCAGAGGACTTTACAAAACTGTTGATTCTCCGACGCAGATCTGAGAATTAAACAGTTTAGTATTACACTTTGTATGTCACTTAAGAATGGAGCATGATATGGCACAGTGTAGACAAGGCCAGAAACGAAAAACAAAAGTTCAGATATTGAGTTTTCTTGAAGCTTTTAAGGAATTATTTTCTCATCTTCAGATTCATTTATTTGCCATTTGCAGTAAAACCACATTGGAATTCATCAGCAAAAGTCCCCAGTGTGCACAAGTACAGACATAAAACAACATTAAAAGTACAGAAAAAAACAAACAAACAAATAAAACAGTAAAACAAATGTGTGAAAATGATCGATTAAAACAATTTCCATACAAAGTGCAAGATCATTAAAGTGCTCTGTTCAGACTGATAACAGCTCGTGGGAAGAAGCTGTTAGCATGTCGAGATGTCCTGCATCTCAGAGAACGATATCTTCTGCCAGAGGGAAGAAGCTGGAACATGGCTTTTCCAGGATGGCCAGAAGAGTCATTGATTATTCTAATAGCTCTGTTTAAAAGTCTGGATTTATAAAGAACCTCCAGAACAGGAAGCTCACAGCCCACGGTCCTCTTTGCAGAGCGGAGCACCTTGTTTAAAGCTCTCTTTTCTTTATCTGTGATGTTTCCAAACCACTCAGACACAGAACCACCAAGTAAACTCTCAATGGTGCAGCGATCTTTCAAATTGTATTCTGTCTGGACCATTTTGTGATTTGCAGAAACAGGGCACTTTGTTATTACTGCTTCATCCCATTCTGAAAAAGACGTTTCTTATCAGTAGATCATGATAATACATTTATTGTCCTTCTTTATAGCAGTATGATTACATTATCAAGTGTTATCAACAGTGCACAGATAGCACTGTTGTTTTATGAAATCCATCCATCCATTTTCTTCTGCTTCATCCGTTGCCGGGTCACGGGGCCAGCAGTCTAAGCAGAGACGCCCAGACTTCCCGATCCATAAAGTGGATTATATGATATTGATTTACTAAGGAGCAATGGGCGTGTTCTGGGAGTCTCCAGCGCAATGGAAAAATCAAATGACTTAAGCATCTATGAATCACTTTAAACACAACTTCCAGTCTATAATTATATGAAACGAATGCGTCTAAAGCTTTTACAGGGAATTTGCACAAACTGTTCCCTCTAATGTGTTTGTCTGTTTGTGATTCCGAAAAACGGTTGCGTCCTGAAGTTTAAATACAGGTTTTGGCAAGTACTCTAATCACTTTCTTTCCTTAAGTAAGCTCTATGGACGTAATCATGTCATTGATTTGCACTGGCGCTCCCTGTGCAAACCCAAATGCCTCCTGGCCTCTCGCCACTGTCTCTTTCGCTGCTTTGGCCCCAGTGATTTTTGCTACAGTAATCCTAATTGAGCGTGTCACTTCCTGTCTGCCCGTTTAGGCCGGGGATAATCAGGATGAGACGTCGCGGCTCAGAGAAGCCACGAAGAGGCTGTACGGTCAGCTGAAGGAGATGGAGAAGCGCCACCGGGAGGAGAAGGAGAGGCTGCAGGTTTGTAGAGTCACAGCCCAGACCCAAATGCGTTTTTTTTTATAGGATGGCAAGTGCAACAGGCCTTTCTTCATGCTGCAAAGTCCTACTGTGGCAAGTTAAAGCTGGGGTTCCTAACTTTCAAATCACAAACAAACTAACTTATCAAATTCATATGTTTTTTGCCTCATTTTGGTCACATCAGCGTTTTCAGACAGAAAAGTGAAAACAAAAGGACCACCCTGATTATGTATTGAAATAGTTGAGAGAGACCTGATTGGAACAACGAGCGGCAGAATCAAAATAATTGTTTGTATTTTATTATTGGTACATAAAGTCTGTGGTTCGAAAGTTACGTAACCCAGCTTTAAAAAATAAGGTTATGGAAACACAATTATTAGAAATCAAACACAATCAGTGCTGCGTTTATCCCTTTGATCCTGTGAATAAGAAAGTCGTGACCCAGGCGCTGATTAGATTAACCAGATTTAATGAAGTGTCTTGGACTTATTTACAAATTAACCAAACAAGACGATCGTCACAGGGTAAAAATCTGCCAAAGTTAATCTTACAGACCTAAAGGAATTGGTTTATAACATTACACTTAGATCCACACTTTGCCGACTTACGGTAATTGAATCTTTACTCACCATGTGTTTCATGATTTTAGTCCACAACATCAAAGCAAAAGTGAAAAATCAGAATCAGAATCATTTTTATTGCCATGTAAGTAACAGGAAGTCACAGACCAGACAAAAAATACAGCCAAAAAGTACAAACAAAAAATACAGACAAAAAATACAAACAAAAAATACTGGACAAAAAATACAGACAAAAAAATACTGGAAAAAAATACAGAAAAAAAATATTGGACAAAAAATACAAACAAAAAATACAAACAAAAAAATACTGGAAAAAAATACAGAAAAAAAATACTGGACAAAAAATACAGCCAAAAAAATACTGGAAAAAAATACTGGACAAAAAAATACAGAAACAAAATACTGGACAAAAAATACAGCCAAAAAAATACTGGAAAAAAAATACAGCCAAAAAATACTGGACAAAAAATACAGACAAAAAATATTGGACAAAAAATACTGGACAAAAAATATTGGGGCCAAACAGCATATGAATTTGTGCTGCAGATAGCTATTAACAACCGTCTGAAAATCACCTTCTCAAAGAGACAGTGCACTGTTTGGTCCGTGTGGTGGTATGTAATGTTTGATATGCACTTTTTTCCTACATTACCACATTTATACATGCTCTTTAACAACTTTTAACCTCCGGGAAGACTGGGATAAAGAGTAGTTTTGGGGGGTAAGACAGATGGAGTTTGTCTTGGCGGTCCTTCTCCTCCTCTCTTCATGTAAACGTATGACTCAGAGCCACACTTGGTTCTCACACCCTCATTATCCCGGAGTTTTGTGCTCTGTCCTGTGGTGGTTTCTGTTTTGGGGGCTGCTACAGAGCGGCACATTCATCTGGAGGTTGCGTCGGGACACTGCTGGTGGAGTTTGACGTGTCCTGCGGCTACTTATGTCATAACAACAGACAGCTGCAGTGATCGGGAGGCCACGGCGCTGTCACACAATCTGAGAGGAGATTGTAGACCAGATACTCCGCAATAGAAGGCCATGGTACCGGGTTTTTATGGTCCCAAAACTCTTCAATAAAAATAGTACAAAAAATTAATCGGTCACTAGTTCTTACTTATTAAAATGTTTGAATTAACAAAGGGAGAAGAGAGTGGGATTTAATCAGCTTTGTCTTCTTCCCACTCCTTGCAAACATGAATTAGTGTTAAAGATACATAGAAGGCTCGGTCCCCCAAGTTTCGGTGATTAGTCCTGATGGGAGTGAGGAGGTTAGTCTGTGGGTCTGAGGCGGCGGGTGGGACAGTGATGATGGAGGTCAGTGAGGTAAGAAGGGGCCAGGTTATGGAGGGACCTTGTATTGGATGTGGTATGGGACAGGGAGCCAGTGGAGTTGTTTGAGGACAGGGGTGATGTGGTCTCCGGAGCAGGTGTGGCTGAGCAGGCGGGCGGCGGAGTTCTGGATGTATTGTAGTTTTTGGAGATGGGTGGAAGGGAGACCGAAGAGGAGGTTGTTGCAGCAGTCCAGTCTAATTAGAATTATTATTATTATCTCATTTTGGATCATAGTGTGGTTTTTTTTGCCGACAAAATGGATGAATCAATGAAGTTAAAACATAAATAAAGACGTTTACCAGGCCCAGACATGATTTAAAACTATTACCATGATCTCTATTGAGTTTTATCTCGACATCTGCGCTGCCTTTTTGAAGTCTTTCTAAGTATTACCATTAGAACACGGCTGTAAAAAAGAAGATTTTACAAGTTTTTACTTCTTGAGAATCTTCTGCTGGATCATGCTCAGCCCCAGAGGAGTGGACAGCACATCCTCTCTGTCTCTCTAATGGACGCAGCATATTTTTCATCGACTCTGCACATTGCATAACGAAAGGCGGTCAAAGCAAACTGACGGGACAGTGACATCCACAATACCCCTGTTACATCAGCTTCTGCATTGCTTTTTTTTTCCCCTCCCCAGGCTGAGAACGACAAGTACCGGGCGCGTCTGAGCGAACAGTCACAGCGGCTGCAGACGGAGGAGGAGAGGTCCGAGGAAAGGGGTCAGCAGGTGGAGGAGTTGCAAAGGCTTCTGGGAAATATCCAGTTGGAGAGCGGGATCCTTAAGGACAAGATGGCTGCAGGGGAGGAGGAACTTGTGCAGCTCAAGGCCCAAAAGGAGGGAGGCCAAAAGAACAAGCAGAGGTGAGACCCGAGGGAGGTGAGACTTCAGAGGCTGAATGTAAAAGAGAAACCACTGAGAAAAGTCAAGTCGGGCAAGCTACAGTAGAAAAGGACAGAAATGATCCCTAATGATGATAGCAAAGAAATGGAAAATATTTGCAAATCATCAGCTTTCTCGAGAGCTTTTATGTTTTATCTCATGTTCATAGATAGACAGATATATTTCAATGATCTCACAAAGAAGAAGTTCAGTTCATAAATCCCTTTGTTGTTTTTCTGTTGGAGGGTCTGACATTTGCTCGTCTCCAAAGAGAATGTTACTGTTTTGCTTCGAATTAGCAATGCCCCAATCCAACTTTTTTGTCCTGACGTCATTCCATTGGTCTGAAGAAGCTGATATTAATCAACACCCGACAAAGTGATGTGTGACGCCTCACTCCTTCTCATGAATAATACATTTTGTTTTGCGAATCCCAACAGAAATAGACTTGTAGAAGTAGTAGATCTTATTAGACAGTAAACACTGTTATTCAGAAGAACTACACAATTACGATAAGAAAAAGGTGTTTATTTAATATTTTGCATAGCTACCATAAAGAGACCAGCTTTTTTAAGTTTTGGACTGACAAAAATGCAATTTAAAACAAATTATGAACTGTTTTGAGAGAAAGAATCTAGTTAGATGGGTTTGATTACATAGCTCATTTCTTATAATTTGAAAGTTGGGTACCCTAGCTTTAAATGGGTCACATAGCGGTTGATTCATGTAACTAGCTTGTTAAAGTTCAAATATTTTCATAAGTGCTTAGCCAACAATGCCCGGAATGTATAAGTTTGATGTGTATCTCTGCACTTCGGCTTCAGTCAACTTGTCACACGTCAGTCCGGATGATGTATGGTTTGCACATTAGCTTCTATGACCTATTTTCACCTCGGCTATAGTCAAAAATGTCAATAGTGTGGCTTTAGGCATGTCGGTTGTGCTCATGTGGCGGCCCTCGTGTTGCTGTATACATAATATACGTCTACATAACTGTGTGGGTCTGCAGGTGCGCTGAGCTGGAGAAGGAGGTGGCCACATTAAGGGAGAAGATCCATCATCTGGACGACATGTTGAAAAGCCAGCAGAGGAAAGTGCGTCACATGATTGAGCAGGTATTTCCCAACACAGGCACACACACACACACACACAGGCAACACGCAAATGAAGCTTCCCATACACTCAGGCAAAGACATTACCAGGGAAATTAGGTTCTGGTGGAGGAGGCGGACGCATGGAGTGATTGATGTGAGCAAATGGAGCCAAGCGGAAATTCACCGTGTAATAAAATTGTTATGCTGCTCTGCTCTGAATACGTTCTCAGCAGTTAATTAAATAGTTCTTATGTTTGATTATGACAAAGCACTGTTTCATGTCATTTTACATTCATAAAGCTTCCTTTATGGTGGAGTATATTTCACACAGCTCTTAACTACATGCACACAGTCCTTATCGGTCATATTTTTGCTGTTGCACTTTGCTTTTCTCCATTGAGTCATGACGCCTGAACGTGGCAGAGCAGAGCATTACACTCCAAAGTGCTCGCCTGTCCCCAGATATGACTTATAATATCGAAATCTAATGTAGATGGAGAGGATGTAGCATACCCCCCTCTTTCAGTTTTAACCATAGACTGTACATTTTGACAGAGGTAGTGACGCCTATCTCTGTCGTTGAAACTTATGCGTCATCACTTTTCCCTCCTGCCGTATCTTTTTAAATGGCCACAGGCAGCCCCTCCCACAGGAAAATATGGGAGTGCATTCAAAAGTCCACAGCGGCAAAACTAGGCTGGTCCAAAATAAAAATAAAATACTCTCGTTAGCATCGACAGCATCTGGAACGCAGTGTTGAGCCAAGAGCGACTTTTGGATCAGTCTGTAAAAGCTGTTTTTGATAAGAAAATCAGGCGCCATTAGAATTCATTGGATAATTCTGTTTCCCGGTACACCCCCACCAGCAAGGAGTGAGATTGCAAGCATGTCGGCGCGCAAGTTCATGGACACTTTTTAAGCCTGCTCCCACTGGTTCTAACCCTAACTCTAGGAGATTTGTATGGAATCCAGGCAATAAAAGTTGCACAGTGCACCACAAAATATCAAGTAAAACATGTTTTGTTAAAGCCGAGGTACTTAACTTTCAAAACACAGAAAATCAACCATGTCATATAATCCATGCGGCCATTTCCTCATTCTCATGCATGTATTTGCCTCTGTTACATATGATTTTTTTTTTTTAAATGTATACAATAATCCAATCCACTGCAAAAAAATATCAGCCCAAAACGTAAAATAGTGACTCACTGGGTTTTATTTATGAAACTGAAAAGTTAGATAACTCAGCTCTAATATCTAGAGTAGAGCAGTATCTCTTCAGTGTCTCCACTTCTCATAGTTTAAAATGTGTCTTTCCGTCTCACAGCTGCAGAACTCACGAACCGTCCTGCAAGAAAGAGACCGATTCATCCGAGACCTGGAGGAAAAAGTAGCTTTTCTGGAAGCTGAGGTTTGACCAAATAATACTTATACATTTGTAATAAAATGGGCTTAAGTTGAATGATTCTGTTTTGGATGGCAGAACCGAGAGATGCACGACCACATGGAGTACCTACTGGCGGGACAAGAGCCTCCTCCTCTGTCCATCAATGAGAAAAAGCCAGAAGTGGTTTACAGGTAAAATTCCAAACTTATGAAATTATATATATGAAAACGTGTGCTGCATTAAGCTGAATTCATTGTTTTTTGTGTTTCTTTTTTTAGCAAACCACTTACACCGACGAACCATGGCAACAAGGCTCTCCCCTTCATCAAAGTCATCGAGATCAAGTCGTGAACATGGACTTAAATAGAACGCCTTGTAAATATTTATACCTGCAGAATACAGTCGCGTGTTTGTCGGTACCTGTGAGACGCTGCTCTTGGGGATTGTGTACAACTTTGGCAAACTGACAAAGAGTTGTTTAGATGGCGGCAAAAATCTATAAACAGAAGCCACAGAGACTCGTTCTGCAGATTCACAGAACGACTTGTAAAACATGCACGAAGTTTGTTACATGATACTGTATGATAGATCAGAAGTCTAGGAATCTACACACATACGCAGTTTTTCAGTAGGTAAAATAATCAAAATGCAAACCCTGTTCATATTTAAATACTGTGTAATTATATTTAACTTAATATTTTGTCCTTGTTTTCCTGTACTGCCTCCTGGACCTGGCACTCTCTGAGCAGATGAGTGAAAAAGGCCCATTCTTTTGCCAAAGACGGTCAGAAATGCTGTTGACATTCTCCAGTTTAATTTGCGTCTATATTGAGTGTTATAAAAAATGGTTTAACTTATCGTCTGTTTTTCATTTCCAGTGTAACTTCTTTATAGTAGTTTAGTTTTGAACAACTGTGATCGCTGTAGATATATGCAGTATGCCTTCTGTAAAGTATGCCAAGATTGTATTCATACTAGCATTCAATAAAACCTTTAAACCTGAAGAGGTGTCTTGCACTGCCATCTAGTGGTAGAACGAAGGAACAACAACATTATGATTCGTTTTTTTTATGTCAAATACACACAATAAATAAAAAGTTCACACACACAAATGACTTATGTTACAACGATTCATATAAATATAATTCTGTACAAAACACAACATGCTTGTCCCTTTTACATGTGGACCATTCAGGTGTGGCAGTACTTACAGTTACAGTATGAGCCATAGATCCTTGCGCCTTGTTTGCTACAATCATCTTTGTCAAAGCTGAAGTCGGGATGTCGAACGATGAACAGCGACTACAGCCATTGAAATGTAAAAAAGTGATGCTAGTTTCGCGGTGGGGTCTTTCTCACAGGGTACTCTCCAGTGTATTGTAATTGTCTTTAAAGCTTTTCAGTTCCAGGAAGTGTTTGGGTCTCTTGCTGCGCTGGCCGGTGGAGGGCAGGTATGTGACCTGGATGGTGGAAGGAGTGGAGCGAACGGGAGATCCAGTCAGGTCCTTGGCCGCAGACTGATGCTGCTGGTCCAGACTCGTGCTGCTGGAATAGGCCTTTACACTGAGAAAGAATAGAAGAATATGTCTCACTACATGTTCTTAAGAGGTGTCTATACGCATACTATTACGGAACACACGGCCAGAGCATAATATAACCTTCAATAATGTTCTTAAAGATTGCTTCTTTGGGTTCTTTGAAAACTTACCACTGACTGTCCTTTTATACTGGTAATCTTTCCTAGTAGTGTTTTGTCTAATTTAAAGTTTAAGTAAATGCTTTAGATCCACTGATGAAATGCAGCACAATAACAATCTGTGTTGAAACCATTGCTAGCTTTTCTTGATTTGCACTAACCCAGGGGAGTGTGATAAAACAAATAGCGTTCGCTTCATCCAACCCCTTTTCAATCCGTGTATGTGACGTTTGTGTATTTTGAAACACATTTTACAAAATGATTGTTAAGCTACATGAAGATAGTCCTCAGCTTTAGGTTAGGTTCAGCTGTCACTCAGAAGCTGATGGAGAGGAATGGATTGTTTTTGAGCAAATTATTAAGAAATGGTAAAATCCCAATATGACAGAGAGCCACAGAAACTAGGGCTGCAGCGGTCTATTATTTTAAGTAAGCAATTCAAATATATTAATTGATTAAGCAATGGAGGTATTGGTTGTTAAATTTTGACACAGAGATGCCAAAGAGGACTAACAGATCCTTATTTAAATGAGAAATTTGCATACTTTAATTTCAGATGTAATAATCCATTAAATTATTGATCCTTAAAAACCTTGAGCCTTGTTTTCCACTTTCCAGTAAATAAATGTTTACATTTTGTATATAGAGCAGTTACAGTTAATCGATCGCTAGTAGTAATGGATTATTTGTTTTAGCTCTAGCTCTTATCCTTGGTTCACCGTGTATCACCAGCTTGACCCAGGCCAACACTGTCCTGATCATACGTTTAATGCAAATACCACAGATCAAGTAGATGGCTATGTTGAGGCTAAATCTACAATGAAGTTCAGTTTAAGTTCTATTACATAAATATAGTCAGAAAAACCCAAATCAGGATTGGTACTTACACATCCACCAGTTCATTCAGGGCATATTGGTATTCGAGAAACTCTGCTTCTCCAAACACCTAAGAAGCCAAAAGTACTTCATTATTATACATTAGAGGCAAACTACTCTCAATTTGATCATTTTCACTTTGTGCTGACCCCGGTGCCGTGCCGAGCGTTGTCATATCCTTCTAGAAGTTTATCAATGAGTGCACTGCGGCTACTTTTGATGAGAGAGTGAGAGTTTCTGAGCTCAAGCAGCCAGCTCCTGAAGTGACGTCCAGTGAACCCGCTCGCAGTCCGACTTATCTCCAAAATAGGAATCCCTGAAACAAAGCAAACTTTTACATTTCCCTGAATCAATCCCAATATAAATGAAAAATCTAGTTCTTACCCGAGTCTCGAATAGCATCCAACGCTTTCATTCTGTACAAGTAGTTGTAGCAACCTTTGATAAAATAACAAAGAAGGCAATGATGGAGTTGGATGGAAAAGCTTTACACATGTTTGCACAACGGCATGAAACCTCAGAAATTACTTTATACATTACTGGATTTCATTAGCTATAACTGAATATGCACATTACAATAATATTTAGTATATATTATGATTATGTATTTATTTTATCAATACGTATTTTTTGTATGTTTTGACATGAGAAGCGTCTTTGAGTGTCCAAAAAAAGCGCTATTAAAAACGAATACATTTTTATTATTATTATTATCATCTAGAGAAAAAAAAATAGTAAGTAATGTTTATTTTTATAGTGCATTTCACAGACCAAGGTCACCCAAAGCGCTTTACAATGTTCAGAGTCAGATATTGTTCCAATCATTCCACACACGGTGATGACAGAAGCGAGTCCAGAACACACTGGACCATCAGAGCCTCTGACCCAACACCATCCATTCACTCTCTCATCTACATTCAGACCTATTGTGCATGTTTTTAGTGGTAGGGGAAACCGGAGCACCCGGAGGAAACCTACGCAGACGCAAGGAGAACATGCAAACTCCACTCAGAAAGGCCCTGTTCTGACCGGGATTCGAACCCAGGACCTTGTTGCTGAGAAGCGAGAGTATTTGTCCCACAGTGGGGAAATTTCAATGTCTTCTTTCCAGATTACAGCAGAATAAAAAACAATAATGAGACTGATTGCACACATCAAAGAGGGTCTATTATTAAAGATAATTAAAATAATAAGTAATAAAATGGTAAAATAGAAAAAGGTCCACTTGGTTCTAAGGTGTTCACAGATGTGTATATTGTACTTAACAGCAGAGAATATGAGCAGAGTAAACAAAAGTATGTATTTGTGTGAATCTTTGACTCACTAAGTTGTGATTGACGCCTCAGTCTGTGATCTTCTTCAGCCAGAAGTCGAGGTTCAAAGCGGATCTCCTGAACCTTGGACAGGCCAGAGTCAATCTTCTCTTTCAGACCCTGGAGAACAAACCACGTTGCGTTGAAGACTGAAACACATCCAGAACAATCCATAACAATCTAGACTTACCTTCGGTGCATTGTGCCCTATAGGTGCGTGGGGTCCGCGGCGGGATCTCATCGCAAAACGCATAATTTGCCTCTTCACGAAGATAAACAACAACACAAACACCTGCAAACATTTGTCACAAGCAACGAAGCACTGTGCATAATTAGTAATACATTTATTCTTAATTATAACATCAAAATGACTTACCAAACTCCCATAAGTCATCACCAGGACAACATTCACACCAGATAAAGGGGAGGAATCTGCCATGCTGCCAGCCGTGTCTAAATGTGTGTTTAGGTCGAATTGTTTATACTAGCTAGCATCGTGGCTAATGCTTTGGAGTTATCACACCTTTAGTGAGATCGGGATTTAATTTACGTTATATTAGAGCGCAAGGATATTTTGCAAAGACTTTTCATGATAAAATGATAGAGTAATAACGGCGATATCACAAAAGGACATGCTCGTCTGCATAAAGAAACAAATACGCACTTTAGCTTGAGGATAGCCCAGCGCAGACAGCAGTGACGTCACGCCAGCAGACTACCGTAATGTCCATAAAAGCAGCCTTCAGTTTGTGTGCATATTCTGTCTCGATTATCATGCATGAGCCTCTATCCTACACCTGGACCTGCCTGGACCTCTGATCTGATACAGGAGCAGAAAATATGACAACTGAAATTTAATCCATTCCATTAACAGAATGTGCAACTCTATGAAAAAAAAACCAATAATATATGTTTTTAAGTTTAACAAAAAACTCTACTTTCGATTGATATGCAGAAAATACTTATTTCACAAGTGATGAGATTAGATAGACATTAGACAGAGAATACTGTGATATCATTGCGCATTGTATCAATCATTATAGACACAGAATAATTTATTATCCGAATTAAATTCACAGTGTAGGACGACAAATTAAACTTGAAGCCGCCTCAATATTGTAGGTGTCATCTTTACCACAACAAAAATGCTGAAAAATAAGAAATAAGGTCACGTGGTCTGTGCTGTGTTTCCTCGAAGCTGCTGAACCACGTGACGCAGCTCTCAGTGGAGCAGAGGAAAAGAAACAGGTAAATCTACAGCCTCCTTTATTGTGAGCGAATCAGCTCCTTCTGTTTTTCTTAGAATTGTAATATAAACGTACGGTTTCGGGTCTTTCGCCCCGTCCTAAGCCTCACACCGACATCAACGACACTTGCATTTCGGTTTTGTTGCAGCGCATAAACTGAGCCGGTTCGTGGTCAGTAAAGACTCTATTTATTTTCATTTCTTGGGCCCAGAGGCCGAATGTTCGCCTCGGTCTTTGTGCTGTCAATGCCTTCGTCCTCCAACACTAAACATGACATATACTTGGAGATGTCGTGATGGGATTGTTCAGTCCGTGGTGATGCTAAACTAAAGTAGCAAACTAGCCTTGAGCCCCGAGCTAACTGCGTATTAGCCGATGCTAATGCTCGTTAGCTAACACCAGTGCTACCGGGAAAATGGGCGTTTTTTGTAAAGTCTAACCAGAAATCCTCGCGTCCCTTAACGCTGTTTATTACTGTTGAACTTTGTGTGTTTTTATCTGTTCACTGCTCATTGAATGTCGTTTAGTGCGGTTTATTACATATTTGATGTGGCTAGTTAGCCCGGGCTGGCAAAGTTAGCTTCGCTGTCGCCATGAGGTGAAGCTTGGAGCGGAAGCTGCTCGCAGAGGTTTCTGCCCTGGTGTTTTCCCCATCACCCCAGGACTGGGTTTAGCATTTCTGCCCATGTGGCTGCTAGTGGAATGAGCGATAGATTTGTCGTTCAAGGCCTTTTTGGAGGCTTGGTTGTCCAGTGCAGTACAGTTTTACGTAACATTTGAGAGATTAGGGATTCACGGTCGATAACGAGGATGAGTGCAGCAATTTGTTGCTAAAAATACTGTCCGGTGTTTATACCCTGCATTCCATTGCTTATGTGTTTCTACTATGTTTTGTTGACCTAAAATTGATCGGAACTGCACCCCCTGCGCAGACTCAGAGGATGTATATATGCATTAGCTGGTGTCGTGAGGATGGGCACTTGTTCTGTGCACTTGTTAAGAAAAGCCTTGTTATGCAGCGGTGGAGCCATCTCCACTTCAGTCGAACCCTCTGGCCGCTGGGCTCTATTTGCATTGTAGCGCTCAAAATGGCCAACATCAGCCTTGAACACACTTTACCCTAATCAACTACAAACTGCAAGATTAGTTGAAACGGATGCACCACAATTACTTCATTAACTTGACCGGTGATTGTCACTGTTCTTAAAAGTCAAATGTGTTGTCTTTTTTTCTCCAGGTGTTATTTCTTTGTAAATACTGTTATTTGTATATACTGTAAATGATGACGTCCATGGGCGGGAACCGAGCCCGGGGCAGCTGGGAGCAAACACAGGGGCAGACACAGAGCCAGACGCCACACAAGCAGAGGCCTCAGGTACCCTCACCACCTCCTGTCAAAATGCTGATGCTCTCATATAAATGCTTTGGAATTTTATGTCAACAAATTCCTTCATATCAGGATACACACACAATGAATTCCATAACATTTTATATTGAACTATAGTTTTATTATGTCAACAAATTGGTCTGGGCATAGAAGAGACTAGAAGTCCACCTAGATATTGTTATATTGATATTTAGATTACAGCCTTATCTTTCAACTGTAATGTGACAAATGCAGAACATGGATGTAACGGTTCCTCAGAGACATTCACTGCAAATTCCAAGCTACTTATTAGAAACAATAGATTGACCTGCTCACATGAATTATTATTTAAATGTATAGTGTATGTTTTGGTGATGGGAAATTTGTATTGCATCAATAATTTGTAACCTCAAAGAATCCGTTGGTGAATGTTTCCTGTGTTTTGTTTGTATTGACACTAACGACTCAATCTGTTTGACCAGGCCACAGCAGAGCAGATCCGACTCGCACAGATGATTTCAGACCACAATGATGCAGACTTTGAAGAAAAGGTCAAACAGGTGAGTTACACACCTGGTTTAAATATTCAACTCTTTTCTCATTGCTTTGAAGACGTTTGCGTTTTCTTTTTGTTCCAAATATTCACATGATTTCTGAGATGTTTTGTTTTTTTAGCTGATCGACATCACAGGCAAGGACCAAGATGAGTCCATGATCGCTCTGCACGATTGTAACGGAGACGTCAACAGAGCCATCAATGTTTTGCTGGAAGGAAACCCAGACACTGTGAGTAATGGCAGCGTCGGTGTCTTCCTGGTTTAGTTCTTATAATATCTAACAGGAAGTATGTTTATACAGCTCTGGAACATGTTATTTGATGTGGCCTAAAGTCAATAGACAATATTTTATACGTGCTACATTGTATTTATTTATTGGGCCACAATATAATAATGTAATATTTATTTTAGGGATGGAACAAATCTATTAATCGCAAACAAAATTACAACTAAAAAAATAAGTAATCAAAATTATACACATGTTTACACATTTCTTGTACCATCCTGTAGTAATTGAAACCTATTTTTTACTTACAACTAATATTCATGAGGAGTCTTGACGTACACTTTATTTAAAAAATTAAAATATCCCGTGATCTAAATGACAAATTGTTCTATCGATTGTCAAAATAACAGTCAATTACAATTCATGCTTGTAAATGTTGAGATTAAAATGTCATGGTGTTGGAAAACTTTGACCTAACTTTAATAATCTTTTTGTAGCTTAAATTGAATAGTATTTAGACCATAGGTATTGTCTCGACTTTGAGTGATCAGGACAAACCGTATCTGTCACTCGTTTATGCCATAAACTTTCTGAATAGGGAGAGATGGCCATAACCTCCTCCTTTCATAATTTTTTATTCCAAAATCCATTCCTTTATGGAGCATTTTCAAACTCTACTTTAGCCTAGTTTACAGTTCCATATTGATTTTCACGGTGCATTTTCTCTGGGCCTAGCAGCGTTTCTCACTCTTCTGCAGGACTCCTGGGAGATGGTGGGGAAGAAGAAAGGCGTGTCGGGTCAGAAGGAGAGCAGTCAGGCAGAGACCGGAGAGGAAGGGAAGGAGAACCGGGAGAAGGGAGGAGAGAGGGACTCAGCACGTCGCCGAGGTGGAGCGCTGCGGAAAGGCCGTGGAGGAACCAGCAGGGGGCGAGAGTGTGAGTGCCTTTGACTAGTTAAAGTTCATTAAAGTACTGGATTTGAATATAGTTTAAGGTATTTATTATTTGTCTCCAGGATTATAAATGTCAGGCCATTTGACTTATCTTTTCTCTTGAAACGTGACAAACACGAAGTCCGTGGGCGTAGGCAATAGTGAATAGGTCTGGATAAAGTGTGGGTGGGTCTGCTCACAAAGGTCCATGGGCATGTGCGCTTACATGGTTGCACTCTACTAGCCAGTGGGGGTGTACCCGGAAAGAAAATTACACAGTGCTTTTGTATAGCGTTGTCTTTCCTCACGAAAAACGTTTTTTCAAGATGGTCCAAAAGTGGCTCCTGGCCCAACTTTCCAAGAATGTTTCCAGATGCTGTCAATGTTGAGGAGAGGATTTTTATTGTTTTTGGACCAGCAGAGTTTAGCCGCTGTGGACTTTTGAATGCACTGATTAAGTGAATGGGGCTTGTGCTGGCTAACTTGTGCGCAAATGCATTTTTTTTCTTCACATTTTGCCCTTTTAACCCTATATGCCCGCGTGCATCGGTGCCGATGCACGCGCACATGTTTTACAAATGATCAATTTACTCGCGAACGGTAAAACGTAGCAACTTACTTTTTTTTCCTCTGTGAAGTACGTAATCAGGGCTTTCCGAAACTAGTTTTGATTTGTCTGTGCGATGCACGGAGGATAAACTACGTTTGTCTGAAAGTCCGTGTCCAAAGCATGACCCGTGAGATACAAACACACGGGGACTGCCAAAGATCGTCAGAGAGTGAGATCTCTCACTCCTCTGTCTGTACTTGTTGTCCCACAGTTGAAACTACAGCTGCGATTGCAAAAACCGGCTGAAGAGTGCGCATTATTGATAAAGACGATAATAAATACAGTAAAATGACATTATGTGTATATGATGTATATAAATATATGTATTAAATAAATAATTGTTTTTTTTTTTTTTTTGGCTCAGTTTTTTATGTTTTACGTTTTTTACAGCTGTACTACAGAAGCAACCCCATCCATCCATCCATTTTCTACCCTTTAATCCATTTCTGGGTCAGGGGGGTGGCAGTCAGAGATGCCACCCAAGTCTCATAGCACCAGCCCCTCACTGACCCTCTGCAGGTGGTGAGTCCACAGGAGGACGGCTGCTCTGAGTGTGAGCATAGCCTTGATCTTTCAGTGGGGGCTTTGGGCAAAGTGGGGTTGAGTGTCTTGCCCAAGGACACAACGACAGCAGTCATCAGTGGGAGTCGGTGGAGAAGGTGCAGAGGTGGGAATTGAACCCACAACCTTCTGGGCTTAAGGCCAATGCTCTACCAACTGAGCTACTGTTGCCCCTAGAAGCAACCCCAGCATTATAGACAAACTGCTTCAAGAAGGGCATCAGTAGTACAGAGTTTTTTGCTTTTATAGTGGAATTTTGTAAAAAGTATAATAGTTAGAGATTCAATTTTTTTCCCCCATTATCCCCAAGACCATAAATAACATTTCTATGCAGTGTAAAAAGTTGTTTATAGCATTTCATTGTGTTTTTTCAATACATTTTTGTTAAATTGATTTTCCGTTTGATTTTTTTCTTTGTCTTTATGATTCCATCATTTTTATATAATTCATATGACAGCTTTACAATATGAATATTCTAAAACCCCAGGTTGTACTGAAAAAAACAAAGTATACTGCTTGACTCTGCATCAAAAGATGACTGTTTTATGAACCATTATACACAAAGAAAACCAGGCGAGGAAAGTTCCCCAAAATGACCCATGGGCATAGAGCAGTGTTTTTCAACCACTGTGCCACGGCACACTAGTGTGCCGTATGATATTGTCTGGTGTGCCGTGAGAAATTCGTCTACTTTGTCTAAAAATAGCTGCATTCGCTGTTGACGAGCGGTGACTTGTTTTGAACTGTGAGTAACCATGTAATACTTTTTCAAATCAGTAGATGGCAGCAGATAGCTAAGTACTTTGAAACTGAAAAATTGGATGCGACCACTGGCTGTAACAGATCAGCATTGTGGCGACAAAGGTAAAATTGGATGCGACCAACAAATGTGTGAGGGAGCGAGACAAGAGCTTTGTGGCGAGTGAGAAGTGAAAGTGATAGAGACGTTTTTGAAAATGAATTATGCCGTTTCTGAACAGGATTAACATCCTCCGCTCTGCCCCGGGGCAGCTGTGGCCGCGTTGTAGTGGTTTAACTATGAAATGTACGATTTTTGTACAACAGCTCTCGCGAACGCACTTCTGAACTGGGTACCGAGCACAGACCGTAGTCGAGTGGACAGAACCACAGACATGCGGACCGGACAGAACCATGGACTCGCGTTCAGGACCTCCCGTGTCCCTCATCCAAAACTCCTGAATTTAAAGCTCGGATACCAAAATGTTTCCCATGCACTAACAATGCATGTTCTTTGTGTGAGTTATTATTTGACTATTTGGGCAGAGAGTGGATTTTCTTAGTTTTTTTCCACACAGTTAGTGCCACTTTATTCCCAAACTCTTGTTAATTGTATCGAGAAATATTAAATAAAGCTTAATGTCAAGGCCTAGACTTAAGCATTTTGATGAGAATAACTGTATATTGTGAATATAGGCTACAGAGTATACTGTATACATTATAAGATAAGATATACTTTATATATCACACAGAGTATGTACAGTATATATTTTTTTACATTAGTACTGTATACATTTTTACATTTTCTCCTGGAGGTGTGCCGCAAGATTTTTTCAGTGAAAAAAGTGTGCCTTGGCTCAAAAAAGGTTGAAAAACACTGGCATAGAGGGTTAAAGAAGTTAAAAGTGGTGGCACATTACTTACAACAGCGGAGATGGGCGGGACTACATCCGTTAAGATTTACAATTTCAGACTGAATAGTTGCTTTAAACTTTGAGTGGACAGAACTATGTGCATGGTTGATGGTAACAGGGTCTTGTGTTGTGCACCCAAGTTTACTGCAATGGATTATCTTGCGGATAAGTGGCTAGCCTTACGTCTGCACGCTTTTTCTATTTCAAGTTTTGCATGTAATTTTGAAATAATATCTCTTCTATATCATCTTTTACTTTTCCCTGTTGTCCTAATGAGTGGTTATAGAAAGATGCTACTTAACTTAAATGCACTGGTGGCATTTTCCTAAGAGGGGATGCTCCATTAATACTCTTGATAGGAGCAGTGTCCAGATAAGCGTCTGCCTTGTTCGCTTTTAATGAGTGCGACCTTATTTGTCCACTTAAGCAAATGAGTTATAGCAGCATGAAGTAAATCTCCTTTAATCAAACGCTGTTGTGTTCTGGAGGTAATGACATTAAATAACCTCCACCAGTGAATACATGTCATTTAGACTAGTCTCTTTTTCTGGTCTTCCTCTTAGTCTGCTACTCGTGTTTTCGCCCGGACTAGACCAAAATCTCACATTTGGATTGACTTTAAAATATTTTTAAATCCTATAAGTTTATAAAGCCCTTAAGATTGAAGGAACTGAGTCGGAACATGATCAGAGACCGATCGTTATCTTGTGAAGCTGAAACTCAGAAGCTGCTTTCTTCCTTTATGCTCCCTGTAAATGGAGCTATCAAATGTGCTACAACAAAGACCTCTTTAAATACCAAGGCTTGGTCTCCTTTCTACCCCTTAGCCCTACCCCTCTTCTATGTACATCGACAAGAAGCAGGCGGCTGTTCCATTCTCTTGTACCCATGAGCTAGTGCTACGGCAGCAGGCTCTATACCGCTCTAAACTGTTACAAAGCCAGGAAATACGCCAAGATATTAGTCTGAAGAATGACTTGTTTTTCCATTTTTGTATCTCTTAAGTACATGGTTTTTCATGGCCATTGTGTAATAAAACCAAATTGTGTATAATTTATTACACAATTTATTATGAAGTTGTATATATTGTATTGATATTTAGGACTGTCTTATGAGCTTATGTTTCAAACCACAAATGCTACGATACGATTGGCCACTCCAGACTATGGAGAGTCCAGTACAGTTTCGTTGTCCCAGTGACTCCTGCATGGACGAAACTGCAGAATCATATTATTATTGATCAAACTCCTGCCACAGCCCAGTGCAGACGAGTTACTGTCTTGTTATGAACAAATGGGTTTGTTTTCTCGGTCCAAAAGAAACTGCGCTTATTCACGATGATCACTGTCTCATTACCGATGCACACTTTGTTTTTCTCTTGAACCTTTTACTCATGGCCACTTTACGTTCAGTTCGTGGTCAGGAGAACGGCTTGGATGGGGGGAAGACCGGAATTGCTGGTAGAGGAGCAGAACGAGGTCGGAGAGGAAGGGGAAGAGGACGGGGAGCAGTTGGTAAGTTTACAAATGCCACGTTCATTGGTTTTTCGTTATATTCCTTTTAGTTGTAACTAGGGGTGGGAAAAATATATCGTAGACAATAATATCGTGAAAGTCTATTTGAAGATATGCTTTTTTGTATTATCGTCCTTTTTACATACATGTTACAATTGGAGAAGGACAGATGCCCATTTGGTCTGATGTGTATCTAAAAAGACTGCTTTAAATGTACATTTCAGTAAATATTATATACCGGGCATCTATAGATATAGTGTAGATCTAAATAGAAGCTTCACACTTCTTTGTAAAACATGCACAAACATATTAACACATATCAACATTAAAAATCACATTCAAGTAAGACCGAAAGAACACATCCAAAAAGGCTCTGGCAGCAAAACATTACAGATCATTTTGTGTTAAAATGATTGATTTTTAAAGATATCGTTGACAAAGTTGAAAAAAAAAAAATCTAGATATTTATTTTAGTCTATATCGCCCACCCCTAGTTGTAACAATAAATATCGCGTGAAATCTTCTAACATCGTCCTGTGTTTGGGGCAGCCGGAGCGTCCGGGCGGCGAGGAGGAGGCAGATTTTCGGCGCAGGGCATGGGGTAAGAGAACACCTGTGCCGCCTGAAAGCAGAAGGCCTTTTGTTTCACTTTCACCTGTTGCCATGGTCACCAAAGAGCAGGACCCAAGCCTATTGTTTTGCTCTAATCCCGAGGAGATGAGGACATGCGCCAGCCTACTGCTGTATGAGTCTTTACAAAGCTACGTCCTCAAGTATCTACGCTTTGGTTTCTTGGTCCTGCTGCTGTTTGTTTCTCTGTTAGCTGCTTGTCGCGGCTTTGCTGAGGTGTGACGACGGGAAGTGCATTTGGCTCAAAATTCAACTAGTTATATTTAGAGAATGCGTCTGTAGGCTATTTTAAACGTGGCAGATTTCAAAGAAAAAGCTGTGTGTTAGACAACTGTACTGTAGTTATTTAATTTCTGGGGGTTTTATTGACCAAAAAATGCCTAATTCTTATCTTTTTTGTTTCCATGGAGAAGTTGAATGCTATTTCCAGGCAAATCTAATAATGTATCCATAGAGTGAAGGATGTGCTGGCTTTAGAAACGCCACTCATTCTGTATGTTTTAGTTGAAGCTGTTTTTACTATAGAGAAAAAGAATCATTAAACATGTCATAAACCTGTCATAAATACAGGTGTTAATATTGTTAATTCGAACTCATGATTGTTCAGCATACACTTTAATTGTAAGAACTTAAACATGTCAAAGTTTTATTTCATGTTGCCCTCTGCCTCGCTAACTCACCGTAGCCATCACTGGAGATCGGTGTAATCCAGACAACTTCAGTGGGAAAACCATTGTTGCGTAGGAAAATTAAAAATGGTTACTCTTTCACTGTTAATGTGTAATTTAAGATATCAAGAATCAACAGCATTTTGAATCGTGGGCGTTTACATCCCTGTCCACAAAATATAATCTACTTTTCAAAGATTAGCCTATGCTACTGCTGGTAATAAGTGTTTTTAGTGTCATGGTCAAAAACATTTGGTTATTCGTGATGTTAAATGCAGGACACATGTATTTGTTGGTACATAACTGGGCACGGGTAGCACTGGGCTAACCGTTTATCCATCTCCAGAGGAAGCAGACTTTCAGATTCATCTCTGCTTGTTGCTACAGCGGATTGGTCACGCTTGGCTTTGGTGCAATGGCATGCATGGGTTTTCAAGGAGACAATTGTATGAATGTCACGTTGTTTTAGCTCGGACTTTTTTGAATTTATCCCCAACCTCATTGTTAGTCTAGTTTGAAGACTCCTGCTCTGCTGTTTCAAACCATGCTTAAAGCCACTGTTGGACCTGTCACGATAATTACTGTCTAGATTTAGCCTTTAACTAATGATGGAACAATATATTTTCTTGGTAAAACAATACAATTCAAGCCGTTTAAGTCACTTTTATGGCTAATCATTGCTTCATGCTGCTGTTTTAATATCATTATGCCTCTGTATGAATATATTGTCCCATCCAAATGTTTTGTTGTGACAGGCCTAGCCACTGTTCTGCATTGTATTTTCTGATGTCAACAAACTCTTATACCCTTATGAGTACATGAGGCGAATGAGATGAAGTTTATGATGCTGTTGTTATGGACACTTGGAACACGCTTGTCTTGTTATTTTTGTAATTATTGCCATTTATTTTGTTTCTAAAGCCAGATTGATAGGGCGTCTTCATGTGATAATGCAGTAGATGAGAGGTGAGTCAGTCTGCTGTGGGATTTTGTTTTTGTTTTTGATTTGCTCCTGAAACGAGAAGTGTAAAGTTACTGCTAACGTGTCACTACTTGTTTGAGTTTGCTCTATTGTCCGGCTTAAAATTGATTCAGTAGAAGCTGTTAAAAAAAAAAAAAAAAAGTAGTAGTAGTTTGTAATGAAAGATGGTAAACTCAATTGATCCAAAAAAAATATTTCTCTCAAGAAGGCAGTAAACTGAATTCTTGTGTGGAAACGTTGACCTAAATTTGCCTGTTTGTCGGTCTTAATCTGTGGTCTCTCAAACGGGCTGCTATTTGGACACAGTTGGGCATAATCTAGTCAATTGTAAATCCACCTAAATCTTTTCCAGAACTTTTAACCCTGCTGATTATGCTGAGCCAGCCCAGACAGACGAAAACTACGGCGGGGGTAGCACCTGGAACAACACGGGCAACATGGAGGCGGAAGAAGGAGCTAGTACGTTCAATTCAAATGTTTTATACTGTTATTACATTGGACAACAGAGTATTGATATATGCTTATGGTCTACTTATGGCATTATACTTATTTAAGACTGTAATTCTAGGACATGGGTGAAATTATTTAACATGTATGAAAGCTTACAACATATGTTTAGCAGCGTTTTTAGCAATTTTCTCTAAACTCAACTGTCAACCTTTTGCATATAAACATCCTTACTAAAATGAAAATAATGTTTAGAATAATCTCTAATTTTACTAACTGGTCATGTACTGTATTAACCTAATAGAATGATATCTAATCAACGCTTGCTTAGCCTAGCCTGGCACATTTTCATGTCACTGCTGAGGTCTATTGACACATAGCTAGCCTAGTGGTCAACAGAAATGGGTCGTTGCGTGTTTTCAAAGGCAGGAGGCACACAAGTATAAAAGTACAAAAAGTTACGGTCTTGCAAAATAAAATATCAGTATTGAAAAAGTCTGGAATTTTAATTTGTAAAAAGAGCAAGCACCCTGTATTTAGGGTTTTAGGGTGTTGGCATCCCTAGTATATTGTAGACATGGCAATACATTTACAGACAGATGGAGCACTTCTTAAATTTAGGTTAATGTAAAGATACATTATCGGATTTAATTTCAATGTTGCCGCGCACATACAGGATCGTAGTAGGAGCACACCGGGAGCAGACAAAATATACAATATAAGTAGCTGCTATGTTACTTAGCAAGCTGTTAATGCTTCAATCATTTAAATTATTAGCGACTAAACTATCTTGAACGGGTGTCATATGTCTGTCATTGTTTATAACCGGAGAAAAACGAATACCTTGCTACAATATGCAAACCAGTCTAACCTGGCTCTAATTTCAGGGGTGGAGTACACTGCAGCAGAAGGAACAAATTTTCAGCCCAAGTTCGATTCCACCCCGGGTGAGTGTGCGCTCACATCTGCCTTGATTTATGTATTTATTCTCATTTAAACCTCCCTGAATACACTGAATGGTTTTCCCTGACTCATAGGTGCCTGGAGGACTCCTACGGAAGAGTGGGGAACTGAAGACTGGAATGAAGATGTGGGTACCATAGTTTACCACATTGAAGCGTTTAGCATCACTCTGCTCTGTGACTAATGTAGCGGATGGTCTGATGGTGTAAGAGGAGGTCATTAATGCGTTTATCTCCCGTGTAGCTTTCAGAGACCAAGATTTTCACAGCATCCAGTGTGGCGTCTGTGCCCGTTCCTCAAGAGCCTGTCACCATAACCAAAGGACAAAGGTGAGAGACATGAAAGGGCACTTTAATACTACGTAGTGAAAAAATAGTAAGAAATCCTTTATTCGTCCCACAGTGGGGAAATGTGAATGTTGCAGCGCACAGACAGGACAGTAGTAAGAGCAGACAGGGAGCACACAAAACATACAATATAAGTAGCTGCTATGTTACTTGTAAGGGGAAGACAGTGGCTCAGTTAGTAGAGCATTGGATCTAATGGTTGTGGGTTCGATCCCACAACTGCCCATGTCACCCACTGATGTCTGCTGTCGTTGTGTCCCTGGGCAAGACACCTAACCCCACTTTGCCTGAAGTCCCCGCTGAAAGATCAAGGCCGTATCTGCGTTGAAGGAACAGCCATCTTCCTGTGGACCATCACCTGCAGGAGGGACGGGTGCTTTGTGAATTGGGTGCAGCTGATTGCCACCCCCCTGATCCAGAAATGGATAATAAAGGGATGAAAATGAATTAATGCTATGTTTCTTGGCTAGCTGTAAATTTTTCAATATCATTATATCCTTATCTGCAAAGTTGTATACATAAAGGGCAGGATAGATGGATAAAGTGGCATTCAGTGGACATTATTTTATTCAAAAAGATAAATTACTCATGTTGCCTCTAGTTGTAGTATTTAATTTATAGACACTTGTCAAATATAATGAATTGGGGACAAAACAATTTACCATATCCATGTTTTGTGTTGGCCCTGGTGTTTGCTGTAGTTTGAATGAGATTTGAGAGCCCTATTTAGTGTTTGCTTCTTGTTGCAGGATTGACCTTGCAGTGCTTCTCGGGAAGACTCCTGCTCCGTCGTCCTCAGAGAGCGAAAACCCGCCCATGGAAACCACGCAGCCTCCTTCGCTGTCCCAGTCACTGGTTTTCAGTAACTCCAAACAAGGGGGTCCTCTGTCCCAAACATCTTCCTCGGCCCCTTACACTCAGCACAGCATGGTAAGACCAAAGTACTGTCATGTTTTATCTGTTTGAAGCCACGATAAACTGTATGTATCTGCTGCAGGTGAGCATGCTGAGCAAAGGATTTGGGGAGGTGGGAGACCCTAAAGCAGGAACCACAGGGACTACAGGTTCTCAGTTCCTGGAGCAGTATAAAACAGCCCAGGCCCTGGCTCAGCTGGCAGCACAGCATTCCCAGACAGGACCTCCCAACACAAACCCCTCATCCTGGGACACCAACGCCTCGCTGGGACAGTATGGTATGAGCACTTGTCTGTAAAAGGTTCTTCACTGAGATTTTTCTATGCAGTTACCGTTCAATTCCCTCTGTACATTTTGTAATATGCTCCTGATGCAACAGTTGCCCTGGGGCAGACTGCTTAAGAATATGGTGATTGGTGGGAGCTTGATTCAGACATCATGTGTAATTAGGAACTATCACTTAAACAGCTTTTGGCCTTTTTCAGGCAAAAAGGTGAAGGAGTAGTGACTTACCAGGATTATTGTTATATACAAAAGATAAAATTTATTCATTTTGACTTAAAACAGCAGTTTGTATTCAGATTTATTTTACTTTTACTAAACTTTCTGTTCAGACAAACCAAAAAAATATTGAATCATGTTAATTATTTTCAAACCGTATTCTCATCACATTTCTTCGTCGCTCTCATTACATCTTTACTGTTTCTCTTCCTTTCAGATTTGAAGGCTCAAGAGTCTGCGGTGCACACGCCCTTCACGAAGCGCCAGCCGTACCAGACGGCCACCTCCACCTCGTCCATGTTGGATGTTTTCCTGCAGGACAAAAACCTGCCTCCCTCGTCAGTTTCCTCATCTCTGTCTCAGCAAACCTCCTCGCCCCACATGGCTCCTCCCCCAGCGTCCTCTCTCCCCAAGATGACGGTCCAGTCGTTAGGTCAACAAGTTTCTCCCAGTTCCTCCGATGCACAGGGTTCCAGTCCACTGCCTTTGCAACAGCATAAAATCAAACAGCAAAAGAAAAGGGCAACAATCTCAACAAAGGTAAGATCTGTTTACAGGGCAGCCTCAGCGTGCGTAAAATATTTATAAAGTTATTACATTTGATCTAATTATTGCGTCAGTATTATGCCTTTCTTTATGCAGCCTATTGAATGTATTCTATCATGTGCTCTCATTGAAAAGTGACACATCATTTGTCACACTCACAATTTTGAGATGTAACCCATAATAGTTTAATCTAGAGCCTTCCTCATTCATGGACCGTGTTTGAGATACGACTGGGACTTGATCTCAGAGCCATAAAAACCATGCGAAGCTCAGCGTCTTCACTTTTCTACATAGCCGTGTAATAACTGACGTCAGCAGTCGTACGTCCACACGCCCTGTGCGTACCGATAAAAACAATATTCTGACCCGTTCTGAAACAGGATCATTTATCGCATAGCTGTTGGTGATTGAGGCGAAAAATCAACATTTGCAGATCATACACACAAAAAACTTGTGCCCGTTTAATATTTAAATAATGAGGGCTGTTTAATATTCGTTCAAATTTTGTTATTTTTGGTTTTCCCAGCCCCAGTTCCTCTAATTGGCTCCTTCCGCTGAGACTAAGACTGTTATGGGTGACACGTTTCAGGCCCCGTGGAAAATAATTTTGGAAGTTGATTGAATTTGTACACGGCTTTCGTAGAAAAATCCCTTGTATTCTGTAGGCTGGCTATTTTCTGAAACTGAAAAATGTCTTGTCACATGATTATGCCAACCACAAAGTCTTAGTTTCAGAGATGAGACTTGTTTCTTCAACCCTTCTGTAGATTCCAGCCATGGCAGTGGAGATGCCGGGGTCAGCGGACATCTCAGGGCTTAATCTTCAGTTTGGGGCATTACAGTTTGGGTCAGAACCGGTGCTGCCAGATTACGAGTGCGCCCCAGCCACCACCACACCAGCCAATCAGGTCCAGAACAGCCTCTACACGAGCCCCAATAGGTGCGGAACCAATTCTATCAATCATTACTATATTTACATTACATTACATGGAAGCTGGAATAATATTATTTTGTGCTCAATAATTCCTTTTTGCTGGACATTCAACATTTCTGAAGAGCCATGTTCAACTTGTTAATGACTGATTAGTGTTTCTTCTGCCATTTATTATTCCTATGATTTAGACCTTAGCCTTTGTGTCTTTGTCATGTTTAATTTGAACGTACGTTATAATGTATTTGTTTGCAACTAGCTTCAAAGTTACTGTAACAGGCCGTTTTGGGATCATTTCTGATCAGTGGTAGTAAATGTGCCGCCATCTGCATATGAAATTCAAATATCTGAAGCTAAGCGGGGTAGGACCGGGTTAGTACTGTAATGGGAGACCTTTGGGAATACCATGTGCCGCAGTGGGACGGCTGTTGTGTCCTCAGGCAAGACACTTCACCCACATTGCCTAGAGTGAGTTTAGTGTGTGTGTGTATGCGAGTGATTGTGGACGGCAGGGTCAATATTCAATGGCACAAACTTGTAGCCTCGTTTCTGCCAGGCGTATAATTATTACTACTATTAATATTAAACATATTTTGCAGTGAGTCAAATGCAGCTCTTTCAAACTCCAGTCAGATGGACATGTACGACCAGAGGCCCCCGCAGTCCCGACGCTACCCTGCATCAGTTTCCTCGTCGCCTCAGAAGGACATGCAGCCCAAGGTTGGATCCAATCATGCACAATTGTCGTTTATTCTAATGTTATTGTGTTGCTATAGATTGTGCATAATTACCCGGCTCCTGTCCTGCGCCATTTAACTTTTTGTCAATGGGCTGTCTCCATAGAAACCTGTGAGCTCACCTTCATTCTTGGTTTTACAGAATGGCTTCAGTTCAATTCAAGCAACACAATCAGTGGAAGGTAGATTCCAGTTTCAGTGTTAATTTGCAATGTGTTATTTTGAGTGTGTGGAGTGTGTTCCTGACTGGTTCTGTGTGCAGCTGCAGCGGGCTCTGCGGTAAAGTCCATCCCAGATTCTGTTGCACCCACCGCGGTCTCAAACATGGGCATTTTGACAGACAACGGCTCTGGCCCCGCTTCCATGTTGACGTCGTCCAATCAGGCGTCACTCAGTGCTTTGGGCCACGGAGACGACATGCCTCCGAGCTCCCATCCCCCGCCTCAACACAACAAGTTGGTTTATTTTATAGCCGCAAATCAAAATCACGGTTGACATTGTTGTAATGTTCTCACTTTCTCTCCTCAGCTCCCTCTCGTCACAACAGAATAACCTTGGACCATCCTCAGTAAGAACGTCAAACTCCTTAATGGTGAGAAATTACTTTGAATTGTGTGAGTTTCCCCTGTCCTGATCAATAGTTTGACCCAAAAACACATGACAGTAATCTTAATGATGAATCTTAAAGCTTTAAAGTAACTTATTAAGTATTTGATTGCTAAATGTTTCTTCCTCTTCAGCATCCCAGCGTAGACGGCGACGCGAGCCTACATTCCTCTTCGTTCCCCTGCTCAGCGCCCTCGTCGGTGCCCTCCTCTTCCTCGGTGGTGGCTGCGGCTCAGGTCTCGTTAGGGGGTCCTCAGGCCTCCTCTGGTCCCTCCACGGTCTCTGCCCCCTCCGCCCTGGGCCCATTGAGCAACGTGGGCATGGGACTCAACGCGGGCTCCATGGGCGTTCCGGCTGCAGCCTCCGCGACCGCTTCAATCTCGTCTGTGGCCTCGTCCATCCAGCAGTCAGCCGCATCCTCATCACGCAGCTCTGCAGTGTCCTCAGGTCAGACATCTGCGACAGAGACCGGAAAATTGAACTGTTTTGATTTAATCGTTAAACACCTAACTTTAGTAACTAATGAGATGGAGGCTGAAAATGCATGCATCTGAAATATAGTAATGGGACCATTTGGGAAAGATTGATATGGATTTTATCACATATCATTGTCGCATATTTGGCAATCCCCACCCTCCACTTTAGTTATGTGTGAGTTTATATTTTGTGGTTTCATAGACGGATACTCTTTGAAATGCAAATTCTTATGGGGGGAGTCACCTGCTCATCAGTAAGGTGTAATACCAAAGCGTAATGAGAATGTTTCTAATCTCCAGACCTGAGCAGGGCACAAAAAAGGTAAAAAGTGGCAAGATAATCCCTCTCTTTAGCTGTATCCAGTGTCGCTTTCATTTTAAAATTAAAAAGTAGAAAAGCTCAGTTTTCTAAAGAATTGTCACAGACTGAAATCTACATAATTGATGAGAATGTGGTCCGTGTGGTTTTGGCTCAATTCATTTCCTGGAAACTGGGTCTTGACATGATTGCATCAAACTATGCAAAATCTGTTATCAAGTTTGTACGAGTAGTTTCCTTGTTTCTTTAAAATTGATTTACCAAAACAAAATCTTGTTCTACAGGAAAAGCACCTCCGAACCTGCCACCTGGAGTGCCTCCTCTACTGCCCAATCCGTACATCATGGCTCCTGGACTGCTGCACGCGTACCCAGTAAGTTGCTAACATTTATCATAGTTAAAAATATTGGGGCTAAAACTCATTTATGAAATATCTTGTATCTTGCTCCTCGTCAATATTTGAAAGTACTGTACAACAACAAACTATTCAATTCAATCTACTTTTGTATTGCCTTAAACAACTGTATTTATCTGAGGATTTAACAAAACAGTTTAAATTGCCAACACAGATCAGAGAATCAAACGTTTCAAACACAAAGAGAACACATTGATCAACTCTCTATGAACCAATACGTATGTCCATAAGTGTTGATAAATGTCCATCAAGGCAAGTTTATTTATATAGCACAACTCAAAGTGCTGAACAAAACAAAGCATTAAAATCATAAATAATCACAGAACATTAAAAAAGATAAAAATATAAAATCCCTCAGTTGTAGCACAGCTAAACAGAACTGTCTTTAACCTGGTTTTAAACATTGTCAGAGAGGAGGCCTGTCTCACATCTTCAGGAAGACTGTTCCAGATTTTAGCAGCATGAATCTGAAAAGCAGCCTCCCCATGTTTAGTTCTGACTCTGGGCACTAACAGGAGTCCAGTCCCTGTGCTCCTCAGAGTCCCAGCAGGAGTCCAGTCCCTGTGCTCCTCAGAGTCCCAGCTGGAGTCCAGTCCCTGTGCTCCTCAGAGTCCCAGCAGGAGTCCAGTCCCTGTGCTCCTCAGAGTCCCAGCAGGAGTCCAGTCCCTGTGCTCCTCAGAGTCCCAGCAGGAGTCCAGTCCCTGTGCTCCTCAGAGTCCCAGCAGGAGTCCAGTCCCTGTGCTCCTCAGAGTCCCAGCAGGAGTCCAGTCCCTGTGCTCCTCAGAGTCCCAGCAGGAGTCCAGTCCCTGTGCTCCTCAGAGTCCCAGCAGGAGTCCAGTCCCTGTGCTCCTCAGAGTCCCAGCAGGAGTCCAGTCCCTGTGCTCCTCAGAGTCCCAGCAGGAGTCCAGTCCCTGTGCTCCTCAGAGTCCCAGCAGGAGTCCAGTCCCTGTGCTCCTCAGAGTCCGGGCTGGTTCATATGGGACTAACATGTCACTAATATATTTTGGTGCGAGGCCATGGAGAGACTTGTAACAAGTAAACAATAAACAATTGCCCAATACAATATTACTCTGGTATAAGACCATAGGCTCAGGGCTGTCACTTTATCAAACCCAATGTGGTCTTAAAATGATAAACAACATTTTCAAAAATAGAAAATCTAATTATGGAACATTTTGCAAAATACAAAACTAAACTACAGTAATTAAACTTGGCCAACCACATACGAGAGCATTACCGGGTTAGACCAGTAAATGTACCATAACTGTGACACATCTGACTGAGCGTCCGGTTGGTTTTGCCTCCGCAGCCTCAGGTGTACGGCTACGACGACCTGCAGATGCTCCAGACGAGAATACCGTTGGTGAGACACGGCGCAAATAAATTGGATGAGCAACCATTTCTTTCCTTAGTGTTGACAATGAAGCCGTCTGTTTTTAGGATTACTACAGCATTCCGTTCTCCACACCGACCACAGCACTGACCGGGAGAGACGGCAGCTTGACCAACAATCCCTATTCAGGTGAGCAATGTCAAATCTTAAATACTTTGCTCCGAAGATGTGTCCTTGGTCACAGGACTTCTAAATGACACCAGATTTTAAACTGATATTTACATAATTTGTTCTCCATTATGTGTTTACCTTTGCTCAGAGATGGAAAACTGATGATACACAGCATTTATTGTAAAGTGTGGCACAATTGACAACACATTTTTATCATTTAGTTTGGGTATAAAGTATGTTCTTACATTCAAGCTGGTCAAATCTTAATATATGCGTATATTGGAGAAGTTTTGGATCGATCTTTCTCGTGTGGTCTCAGCGTACAACCAGAAAACCGAATACATTTATCTTAAATATGATTCATGTTTAAACTTTTCCTTGGCCTTTCTCTTCTCTTTTAAATTATGTAGTGCTTGTCTGTTTTTACTTTTGCCTGTGGTTTTTTTAATGTTTCTTACCTGCCTTAGGACAATGGATGCTATTTAGCTTTTGTGCTAACTCCTGCATATTAATGTTGATGGCGTTTGCAGACACATTGATTAACATGTACTGTCCTAAATTCAAATAACTAAATAAACTCTCTCCATTCGTCCCGTTCTCCAGGAGATTTGTCAAAGTTTGGCCGCGGCGACGCCTCTTCTCCGGCTCCGGCCACGACACTGGCTCAAACGCAGCAGAACCAGACGCAGACGCACCACACGACGCAGCAGCCGTTCCTGAACCCTGGACTTCCGCCCGGATACAGCTACACCAGCCTCCCCTACGCCTACACGGGGATGCCTGGCCTCCCTAACACTTTTCAGTATGCGCCTGTGTTTCCGGTGAGTAAAGGGGGAAGTGATTTCGCTTCGACACCTTAATAAGGAGACGAGGAAAAACAGATGCAAATGTTTAGGTAGTGTTGAAATAGGCTGGTGGAAAGGTTCTTCCAAGAGAAAATGTACCAGTTAACTCTCTTAACCCTTTAGGCGCCAGAGTTTTTTTCAAGAAAATATACAATTTTGATTTCAAGATTTCAAAAGGCTATAACTTTAAAATGGTTTGAGATAAAGGCATACTGTAAATTAGAAATATCTTCAGTCTGAACCAAACTTTGGGATGGAAGTTGATTCGTCATCTAATTTGCATATTCTGACGTCATCAAGGTGGCGGCCATTTTGGAAAATGTTAATTATTGTATAAAGACTTCAAAAAGCTGTAGCTTGGGAGTTATTTGAGATCAGGGAATACTATAAACAGTAAATGTGAAATATATCTTTAGTATGAAATGAATTTGGGATAGAAATAAATTCCCTGATCCAGATTATACATAATGTTTTAGCACTGGTTCGCAGCCATATGGAATTTTATTATTTTCAAAGATCTCCAGTGATCAAGACTGCACTCTTTATAGTTTACAGTCATGAAATCTGGAGATTGGTTTCAATATTTCCCTTTCAAAGAAGTAGTGGGCATACTATTTTTCTCAGTGGAAATGAGGCTCCAGGATTTATCGTGTAGAAACGGAGAGATGAAATGAATGGGCACAGAACATGTCAGATCGTCTCAACAAGAAACAACGGGCTCTTCAACACTTCTGGTCCACTTTTGTGGATTATTTTCTCTCAAAAACTGCCTTCATCCTCATCATCGCTGTTGGTAAAGGCAGTGAACGCGATTAGCGATGGGCTTTTTCCCGCGGCTTCTCCCGCGTCTCCCGCGATCCCCGCGGATGTCTACCCCGGCTACTTTCTCCCACATGCCCGGTGTTATGATGCCCCTGTCCCCTCCACCACGGATCCTGCTTGGTGTTCACAGAATGCTTCTACCGCGGCCACACGGAGGACAAGCAGCCGCTGTACAGGGGCTGATTGTGGACTATGTAGCGCGGTCTCCCCGTCACCAATAATGTCCGTGTCTGCTTCACTGGACACCTGCATGTCTTCCTCCTCTGATTCTGAGTGAGCCAGTACCAGACCAAGTACTTCTCTGGTACTGAAGACCTCGTGAGTAAATAAAAAAACACACTCTCCCTCTGCTCTGCTCTCGCTCCTCTCAGCTCTACCGCTGCTGCTTCGCCTCCGCGCTGCTGCGCCGCAGGTGTTTTACAAACTCAATTTACTCAAAAACTTTCAATATAACCACACCCACTAATGTTGCTCATATTACAGGCACACATGTCCACTAACCCCTGGTGAAAAGTATTAACAAGATTCTGCACCACATTTTTACATACAGCCTGTTTAAGTGAGCAATGTTGCTTGTCGCAATATTGTGACTTTGGCGCTTAAAGGGTTAAAAGAAATGGAAATGTTGTGATTTTGACCTGTATATATTAAATGCCAGTGTTTATGATTATTTGCATAATCTGTTGAGTGTTTTAGTGTCTTATTTATTTTATTATATTATGAGTAAGCTCTCTTACATAATTTCAGTCTAAACTGTCCTCCCATAAATGAGTCTGTGTGGTTTGGGCACTCTGATCTCGTTTTATAGTAGAGGGTAACGATGTAATTACTTTGACATGTTTGAACCGAAGGCTTTTTGACATAACCTGGTTCATCCGTTTGGTTTGTGCCTAATGCCTTACATGACCTTCTCCAGGTGGCCCCGACCTCGTCAAAACAACACGGTGTAAACGTTGGTGTCAATGCATCAGCCACGCCCTTTCAACAAGCGAGTGGCTACGGTTCTCATGGATACAGCACGGGTAAGGAGCTGACAGAGGAAATAAAAGGATTTTTCAAAAGACGACTGGATATTTCTCTCAGTGAGAAGTCTGTACAAAGTGTTTGGTTTGGTCAAATGAACATATTTGGTCATTACATGTAAAAGGGTCATCATAAACCTAATTGTTTGTGTTACTCCATCCTCCATCACTTTCTGACACTTTCTCGGCTTCTGCTTCCTGCTTTCACTCACTCTTCGGTTAGCACCCCCTCACCCCTTCCATCTGCCAGACCGGGCTCAGGCAGGACCTGTAAATGACAGTGTCTTGTGCTCCACACAGAGACATGTGTCAAAATACTGAAACATTGACGTCACCTCCATCTGCCTCTAACCCTCATACGGCTGCTCATGTGGTGCAGTGCAGTTTGCTGGCCCTGTCTCGCCCACTCTGGTCCCTTCCTGGTGTGTCTAATGCAGTGGGCTGTGGCTGTGTGTTGACTGTTGCAGGCTATGAGGATGTGGGCCAAGCTTCAGGGAGTGGGGATTTCTGTAAAGGCGGATACGGCACTGCCGTCGCCGCTGCTGCTTCTGCACAAAACAAGCCGACCAGCTCAGTCACCGGGCCCGGAGTCGGTGAGTCCTGCCATGTGCACCTGTCCCGAATCTGTCTCTGTCCTCCTGCCTGTGTGCTGTTCACTCTGAGCTGCTCTTCAAACACTGCTGTCCCTGTGCGACACTAGGGGAACTCATCAGGACTCATCAGTCAACATGGACTGAATATATGGACAATGGGAATAAATAACACATAATGACCAAAAAACTTACGAGATCCTTCATGATTATGACTGAGGTGGATGAGTTGCTCTGGATGTCTGCTTTTTTTGTAATTGCTATGTTGCGTCTTGTTTTGCGGTTTTTGGCTCGTTACTTTGAAGCTTTTGATGTGAAGAATTTGAGAAATACAGAAGTTTATCTCCTACAAAAGTTAAATATATTGTGGTTCTGTGCGTCACATTTGTCCTCAATCTGTGAACAATGTGATACATTCTGTGCCTAATTATTCAAAACATTCCCAACATTGAGATTCAAAGGCTTGAGATGACTTATTTAATTCCTAATCAGTTACAACTGTTTATAATGAGAACATTAAAGGAACCTGATGCAACTTTTGATGTGGGGGAAAAAGTGTCCCAGCATGGCTCCTTCACCTCCATCCCAGTGCTCTCACGGACAATGCTGTTTTATATAGTGCTTTTTTTGACACTCAGACATGGCATTATTCATTCACTCCATACATGGTGGGGATAAACTACTGCTGTAGCCACAGCTGCCCTGGAGCAGACTGACAGAAGCAAGGTAACCAGTATGTGCCATGTCACAAAACTCACCTGGTATGTTGGGATTGGACTTTTAAAATGCATGTGGTGTCATAACATTTTTTATGACACCACATGCATTTTAAAAGATCATTTGTTTGGATGGTTTTCTCTGCACTGGAACAACCACACCAGAAAATCTACAATCTAACTTTTGACCCTGGAGCGCTGTAGACACAATCATGATCTAAAGTGTAGGCACCATGATGGCCACTCTTACAGGTCAACACACAACATGTTACTTTTTTGTATTTGATGAGATACTTAGTCTAGTTCTCTAAATCAGGAAATTGAATTGTGCTTGAATGGTTTAAAATTGTGTTATGTTACAGCTATTATTAGCCATAATGCCGTACATGATTTGCAAGTCTATGGCTCAACATTGAGACTTTTGTCGTTGCATCTGTAGGAGTTTCTGTGACATCAAGTAACACGGGCGTTCCAGACATTTCAGGGTCTGTTTACACAAAGACACAGGTGAGTGAAGCGTCTGTAGAAACCTGCGCTCGTTTCGTGTTGAGCTTGTATTTTATGATCCCTCCTCTTCCCAGCAGTCGTTTGATAAGCAGGGTTTCCACGCGGGCACTCCGACGGCCTCCTTCAGCCTGCCCTCTGCCCTGGGGAGCGGAGGACCCATCAACCCACCCGCTGCTGCTGGCTACGCCCCAGCCCCCTTCATGCACATCCTGGCACCGCACCAACAAGCCCACTCCCAAATCCTACATCACCACCTGCAGCAAGACGGACAGGTGCGCTCTTTGTAAATCTTGAATCATAAAGGAGGCCAAAATACATACATGCATGTGAGAGTTACTGACCGAAACGGGCTGAGTATAATTGTTAATGCTTTTGATTTGGTTATTAAAATAGTTTTCCCTTGTTCTTTACACACTTTCTTCTCCCAATTTCTCCCCCATGTTTTCTGACACTTTGATAAGCAGATGATCCGGCAGCTTGGCCCAAACATTTTTTTCCTTATGGAATAAAAAAACCAGCTGATTCATGACAGTGCAGATCAGGCTGTTTTTAGTTTTCTAGCCAGTTCAGAATCTCAATTATTTTATTGCCATGTGAGTAGAAGTCACAAGCTCGAAAATGTCTTTGGATCTAGGTGCAAACAAATTAAAAAGTAGTGAATAGATAAAGCATGCGTAAATAACAATCTACATACAATTTATTTTATTCAGTTATTTTTGTTGTTGTTTCTGAACAGAGCGGCACTGGGCAACGCAGCCAAAACGCCACCATCCAACAGAAGTCCCAGATCAGCAAGTCCGCCTACAACAGCTACAACTGGGGGGCAAACTAACATCCACTGGCCGCAGCCCCCTACAGAGAACAGCAGAGGGCGCTCTACCCCCTGTTAACAGTGTCGACACCCAAACTCCCTCTTTCTCCCACAAAGAAGTTCTCCCGGTCTCTCGGCACAGCACTTGGTGGCTCCGATCCTGATGGAGCAGGTGCTGTGTTCAGAGAAGCAGCTCTGCGTGTACGGGAGGTGGGGGAGGGGAGTGAAATATTTAGCGAACACCATCTAAAGGTGAAATCATGAGTGTTGGGAATTTGTATCGTGTTAATCCTAAGCCCCTTTGCTTTCACTTGTATGTAACATAGAACTGTTTTCTAAAAGAATGAGTGTCCTGTATGGTCTTTTCAGTTGCGTCTCTTTTGACCTTTCTTTCTTGGGGAGGGAGGACGTGACCCTGATGGTGGGGGGACAGGCTGGCTTTGTATTTCTCACCCTCAACTCCCCACTTAATGATTTCAGAAGATGATCTTCTGTCCCAAAAAGCCCCTACTCAATTTGCTGAATTGTTAATTTTTATGCCTTTTTAAGTTTGAAGAAACAATTCTCTCAATTGGTAGAGTTGTGAGTTTATTTTTTACCAAATATAGATATATTATATATAAAGTCCTATAAGCCAGCTCACTGGTTCAGATGTGGGCCGTATGTTTGTCATGTGATCGCGTGCATGTTTGTACATGAAGGGGCCGTGGTTGTGTACTGTCAACTTGGTTTTTGCCGAGTGCAGGATTTTTCATGGTGTAAATTTGTTTTTGTTTTCATTATTCCACATTTGTACAGTAATGTTCCCATGAACTATTAAAAATATGTTGCTTCAAGGTCCTGCTTGTTATGCAAGAAATGCTAAGAATGAATTTCAGTGTATGCCCGGTCTGCCCTGCATTCGTTTGAGCCCCCCACCTCTGCTCTTCGGCCTGTCCCCAACACAAAGAAACTGCAAAGAATTACTGATGAACAGAAATGTACTATGTTTTTTGTCAGTGACTTGTTTTTCTTTTGTACTGTGCGTTTTAAAATTTAAACAGATAAACTTGTCTTGTACATATATAAAAAAAACAAGTACTGTAGTCCCTGTTTGTCCGTGGCTTTCTCCTTTCCCTTCTTGATTCCTTGCAGAATTGTTAGCTTTTTGTTTGATATATTTTTTTTATTTTGTAAAAATATATAAATATTAAGTAAATAAACAATAAAAAAAGACATTTTCATTTTTGGATGTGAATGTCTTTAAGAAATTATTTGTTTCCTCATCTGGCTTGTAAATATAGCAACATTTCTTCTAACCTTGTGTTCATTTATACCCAGTTATAGGTCTGCAAAGTCCAAGTATTAACCAGGTCCAGGCCTCAAGTCATTTATTGAACGATATTGATTTGAATGTTTTTGAATATATCCACCAAGTGGCAACACGATCAGCTGTGAATGTTGAAACGTAGAACTTCAATACATTTTACAACCTGCCTTTACTCCACTTTTGCTTGTTTCATTCCTTTAGACCAGTGGTTCCCAAAGTCCGGAGCTGCATCTCATACCAAGTGAAGGATGTCCTGAAATCACACTTAGACCAAACAATATCATATATTACTGTCTCTTACATTTGTTTTACGTCTTACTGTCGGATCAACCTGTCTTTCACAGGCACCATACTGATATTTGCTTGGAATCATCAGAGGATTTTCTTCCAGGTGGATCATTAAGACGTTTGGTCGTCCTAGCTGTCAATCATTCTGGTGATGGGTGACTAGGCTTTGACGAGAATCCTTTACATAAATCCACAGCGTTAACGTTATTATAATAGATCCATGTAACTGACATAAACGGCGCGTGCGTCTGTTCGGTGTATTACGGTACTGTCGTAAGATTTCGTCATGTCGTAAAGTCACGCCCTTTACGGCAGTGTTGACATTTGTGGAGCTGGTTTCTCTTGTGCTGTGTGTTTATCGGTGTTTTCGCTCACGGATCATTCCTTAAATGAGTGTTTTTGACTTATTTCGAGGGTTTTTCGGGGTTCCTGGACATCATGGCAGAAGGTACGGATTGTCTCAGCAGCTGTCACTTCCCTAGCTTAGCATGTGGCTAACTTTCTACAAGAACGCCAAGTAAATATTACCTATCACTTGTTTTAGAGTTTTGTCCTATGTTTTAACGTAGTACAACGGAATTCATGGCGTTTTAAATCCACCTCAGGCCCATGTTCGCTGGTGAAGCTGGATTCACGTTGTTCTGATGCTACACACACCAACAAACATAGATCATAGAATAAGATACATTTGTAATTCGTAACATTTTGTTTTAAAATCTCCATCCATCTCCATCTGGTTAATCCTTGTAAAATGAGAAGAGTGACCCCTGTTGTGTCCGCGTTTTGAAATTTTATAATAACATAAAATAGTATGAATATTGAATTTTTAGTAAAGAATACAATCAGACAAGAGACAAATCCTGAATGATTTTGGTCATCACCCTCATACACCCAAAGTATCTTATTGCTTCACCACATGCAAACAATTTTCCCCTTGGGGTTGATTAGATGAAGATGTATCAACAAATGCGTTCAACAAATATTTTTATGTATGAATTTATTTTTAAGTGAAGACATTTGAAGTGTTTAAATTCACAATAGAAAATCTACCTACATTTGGCGCACTCTAAAACTAGTGTTATTTTTTTCCCAGGGACCCCTTCTTTGAGGCCATGACCCACGATGACGACGATGATGATGATGATGAGGAGGATGGTTTTTTTTACGATGGTTTCCGTGGGGACCAGCAGGACCCCTTTGACAGCGCCTGGAGGTTTGGCTTTAGCCTGGGTCCGGACGGGATGAGGATCCAGGAGCCTCCTGTGTTCGGACATCTGCTGCAGGAGATGGAGGAGATGTTTGCACAGATGAGCCGCTTTCAGGAGCACTCCGACCCCGGGCGTCACGGTGCGATTCTTTATTCTTATGTTTAGAACGGTTTTAGCCTCGACTGTGTCTGCTTTTATGCTTTGGGACAAGAACTGAACTATAAAATATTCTTTAAAGCTCAGGTACCTACATTTGAAGACACAAATAATTCAACCATATAATAAGTAAGTTAGTAATGTTTATTTATATACCGCCTTTCACAGACCAGTCACAAAGCGTTTTACAATTGTTATTCTTGGGCATTTGTCTCTCACTCCACACAGATGGGAGCAGGGCCAGTACAGGAGGCACATAGGAGGCACACAGAACGTATATGTTTTTAGAGGTAGGGGAAACCGGAGTACCTGGAGGAAACCTATGCAAACTCCACTCAGAAAAGCCCTGTTCCGACCAGGATTTTAACCCAGGACGTTTTGCTGAGAAGCAAGAGTGCTATCCACTAGGGTTGGGAACCTCAGGGTACCTCACGATACGATACGTGATACAAAGCTCACGATAACGATTATATCACGATAACGATTATATCACGATATGACGATTATTGATATATTGGTCGGAAATATACCATATTTATGCCAATTTATGGCATAAATAAAAGAAAAATGTTACGTGAAAAAATACACTTTATTTCATGATAAATGGAATGGAGATGCGTAATGTAGCCATATATTAAGTATTGATACTAATTGAACAAAACAAAAATTGTGCGATTTTTTTTCAAAATCGATACTTTGCAAATGCATATCGATAATTGATTGCGGGAGAAAGTATCACGATATTAACGGCTTATTAACCGAGCAAGCGAGGTTAATAAATGTTTTATTATGACTCTCGTCTGTGTCTTTACCAATGCTTTTGAGATATTTGTGAACAGTTCAGTGCTGAGTCAGCACTGAACTGTGCTGACTCAGTTATGCATCTGGAACTTAACAAAGTACAACAGAGTTCACTTTTTAAACCAATAGAGACTGTGTGTGTTCCTCGCACCAGCTCAGAAATGTGTTTTAACTTGAATAAACACAAATTTAAAAGAAGGACAGCAGTTAGACGGTCCAACTCTGGAAATCTAATTCCAGTTCTTTGTAATCAATCAACTAAACCCACTGACACTGATATTAATTTTAACCTTGCTCTACTTAATGTCAGATCACTATGCAACAAATCATTTTTAATTAATAATTTTATCTGTTCGTATGATCTTGATTTTATGTTTATGACTGAAACATGGCTTGACCATAATACAGGAGATGCAGTTTTAATAGAAGCCTCACCACCAAATTTCAAATTTGAATATGAAACACGAGAAAATAAAAGGGGGGGGGGCATAGCAGCAGTTTTTAAAGATCGTATTGTCTCCCATAGGGTGTCTCTTGGGAAATTTTCATCATTTGAGTATGTTTCTTTTAAAATAGAACAAAAGAAATCTTCTTCCATTCTTATTATTGTTGTGTACAAGCCGCCACAGTCATGCCATAGTTTCACTGATCATTTCACTGAGTTGCTTTCAGTTGTGTGCACAGATTTTGATGGTTTAGTCATTATAGGCGATTTTAATATTCATGTGGATAATGTTAATGACAGATACGCAAAAGAGCTGAGTTCCATACTTGAATCCTTTGGCCTCACTCAGCATGTGAGTGGCCCCACCCATAGCAGAGGACACACCTTGGACCTGCTTATCACGAAAGGGGTGAATATTTCAAAAGTTAATGTAGTTGATGTTGCTCTGTCGGATCATTTCTGTGTATTTTTTAACATGTGTTTTGCTACCAGACCACCCGCTAAATATGAAATTGTTAGAAGTAGACACTTAAATGAAAACACGGGTGAACTATTTATGGGAATGATCCATTTTGAGAACACATCATGTTCTACTGTAGATGAACTGCTTAACTCTGTCACCTCTAGTGTGTTGAATGTTCTGGACGCCATTGCCCCTGTGAAGGTAAAAATGGTCACAAATAAGCAAAAAGCCCCATGGATAAAAGCAGGCCCGGTCAGGGCACAGAAGCAAGAGTGCCGGAGAGCAGAGAGAAAGTGGAGAAAGTCCAACCTCCAGGGTGATTATAGACTCTTACAAGAGAAGTTGTGTGAGTTTAACAGAGTACTACGTAGAACAAGAGAATTATACTTTTCTGAAACTATTGAAGGCTGCAGCAACAATCTGCGTGTTCTATTTTCAACAATCAATAGATTAACGAATCCCCCTGTTGAGTTGCCATTAGAACACTACTCCAAATCCAGGTGTAATGAGTTTGCACAGTTCTTCAGAGACAAGGTTCAGGGTATCAGAAATGCCATCACCTCTACAACACAAGTAACAATGCAACATCCAGTGAGGCTTTGTGAGCTAGCTCAATTTGCACCTGTCAATGATGAAACTGTTAAAAAGATAATCACAGGTCTTAGTTCCTCTACCTGCAGTCTGGATGTACTACCTCCTAGATTTCTGAAGTCTGTTATGTGTAGTCTATTACCCTCATTGACACAAATAGTAAACATGTCTTTTTTATCTGGAACATTTCCAATGGCCCTGAAAAAGGCAGTCATTAGGCCCCTCCTAAAAAAGAGCAGTTTGGATGCTGCGGTACTTGAAAATTACCGTCCCATCTCAAATCTGCCTTTCATGGGAAAAATTCTTGAAAAAGTTGCCTACCAACAACTTACTGAATTTTTAATATCTAATGACTCATTTGACATGTTTCAGTCTGGCTTTAGACCACACCACAGTACTGAGACCGCTCTAGTCAAGGTAACAAATGATATTCGGCTTAACACTGATGCAGGAAAAGTCTCTGTTTTAGTCATGTTAGATCTGAGTGCCGCTTTCGACACCGTTGACCATGAGATTCTCATGCAGAGACTGGAGGACTGGGTTGGTGTTGCTGGTACCGCCCTAAGCTGGTTTAGGTCCTATCTAGAAGAAAGGAAGTATTGTGTGGAGATTGGAAACTATGTCTCAGATAATATGGCCCTGACCTGCGGAGTGCCACAGGGGTCGATTCTGGGACCTCTCCTGTTCAATATTTACATGCTGCCATTAGGTCAGTTAATTCAAAGTATGAAAGTGTCCTACCACAATTACGCTGATGACACTCAGATCTATGTCTCACTGACTGCAGGAGAGCATGGGCCGGTGGACTCACTCCTTCGCTGTATCCAGCGGATCAGTGAGTGGATGCAATGCAATTTTCTCCAGCTAAATGCGGACAAAACCGAAATGATTGTCTTTGGTCCCGAGAAACAAAGAGAGACCGTCATTTGTCACCTTCAGTCTCTCTCCCTAAGGCCCTTAAATAAGGTCAGAAATCTGGGAGTAATAATGGACTCTGACTTAAACTTCAATAGCCACATTGGATCGGTAACATCAGCAGCTTTTTATCATCTGAAAAATATTGCCAAAATTAAAAATATTGTGTCCAGGGCAGACTTGGAGATTCTTATCCATTCTTTTGTTTCCAGTAGGCTGGATTACTGCAATGGCCTGCTCACAGGTATCTCCAAACATGCAGTAAGACAGTTGCAGTATATTCAAAATGCTGCAGCCCGAGTCCTGACTAGAACCAGGAAGTACGACCACATTAGTCCGGTCCTCAGGTCTCTGCACTGGCTTCCCGTGGCCCAGAGGATAGACTTTAAAGCAGCTCTCCTGGTGTACAAGTCTCTCCATGGCCTTGCACCAAAGTACATCCATGATATGCTAGTCCCATATGAACCAGCCCGGACTCTGAGGAGCGCAGGGACGGGACTCCTGTTAGTGCCCAGAGTCAGGACTAGACAGGGGGAGGCTGCTTTTCAGATTTATGCAGCTAAAGTCTGGAACAGTCTTCCTGAGGATGTGAGACTGGCTGCCTCTCTGTCAATGTTCAAATCCATGTTAAAGACTTTTCTTTTTTCCTGTGCATACAACTAGAGAATTTTATCTTTTTAACACACCTTGTTATTTATTGTTGTAACTTTGTGTTTTTAACTATTTTATTGTTTTTAATTACTTGTGTGATTCTTATGTTTTTAAATTACTTATGTGATTTTAATGCTTTTTAATTACATATGTGTTTTTAATTGTATTTTAATGGTGATGATTTGTGCATTGTGTGGTGTGGACTGTGAGGCGCTTTGTGTTGCCCTGTGCAGGAAAAGCGCCCTATAAATAAAGATTGATTGATTGATTGATTGAAGTATGTTCATGTCCGACTTGGTTTTGTGTGATACGAGCTGTGGACCGATTGTCATGGTAACGGTCCGTGGAAAGATATCAAATGTGACACGCGCTGTTCAGACCAATTGTCATGGTAACGGTCCGAGATGGGAAAATATCAGACCGGTAATCAACCAATCAGAGCGCGCGTATGGTCCAAGTCATATAATAAATTGTTATATCGATTTATCGTCACAGTGTCGGCACGGTGGCTGAGTGGATAGCACTCTCACGTCTCAGTTCAAATCCCGGTCGGAACAGGGCCTTTCTGAGTGGAGTTTGCATGTTCTCCCCATGTCTGTGTCGGTTTCCTCCAGGTGCTCCGGTTTCCCCTACCACTAAAAACATGCACAATAGGTCTGAATGTAATGAGAGAGTGAATGGATGGTGTTGATTGGAGCTGATGGTCCAGTGTGTTCTGGACTCTAAACATTGTAAAGTGCTTTGGATCTGTACCTTGGTCTGTAAAATGTGCTATATAAATAAACATTACTTACTCCTACTATCCACTCAGCCACCGTGCCGCCCCAGTCAATTGAGTAGTTCTCTAGTTATTCAGATATTTCATTCCACTAGAAGTTTGTAGGCGGTAAAGGCTTCTTGATCAGGGAGGCTCAAACCAATTTATAAATATTTTTGTTGGACCATGGATTACATATATATATATAATCTTTATTCCGGACTCAAGGTCCATACAAGAGACAACACAAGGACACCACAAGACACAGAAACATAAAAAATAAAATAGCAAAGTCTAAGGACTCATTTACAAAGACACTTGTACCAGTGTTCCCAGAACTGAGAAATATAGCGTGTTGTACTGAACTTGGCATTCACCAAAACAACAACAACCAGGTTCACAGACTCGTTCAATCGGCGAATAAAACTAAACATTGCATTTCTCAGGACAGACTTCAGTTTGTTCTCTCTGTTGCTCACGAACAACTCACTCGCATGAGTCGATCTGGGCTTCTTTAACAGCATCCTCAGAGCGTCATTGAAAGCTACCTGCAGCTTTTGAAGAGTAGTTTTTTTGTAGTTCAACCACAGATGTGCAGAGTATAAGGGAGAGCAGTAAGCTTTAAATAAGGTCAACTTCACTTCAACAGTGCAGCAACCAAATTTACGCACCAAAGCATTCGCCCTCACATACAACAAACGATACTGCGGAATAATGTCCTCATCATCTGTCAGCCGATCTGTGATCAGATGGCCAAGATATTTAATTTCACTACAGATATTAAGAACCTTTCCAGCAAGTCGAAAAGCCGGAAAGATTAAATGTCTGTCCTCTGTGGTTCTGCAGATCATAATGGCACTTTTGGAATCATTGTACTTTACATCATGATTTTCCCCAAACACTGAACATATACTAAGAAGTTGCTGCAGACCAGCTGAGCTCAGACTAAAAATGACACAATCATCTGCGTACATTAGATGGTTCAGCATTGTGCTGCCGACCATGCAGCCAGTTTTACATGAGTTAAGACTATGAGATAATTCATTCATATAAAAATTAAATAAAATTGGGGATAAGATGCTCCCTTGTCTTACTCCATTACTCACATGAAAGGGAGCAGACAAGCAGCTGTCCCATTTCACTTGCATGGTCTGTTGGGCACACCAATATGACAGGATTCTGACAATGTATTGAGGGACACCTGCTGCAACCAATTTCTTGAATAGTTTCCAATGATTCACTCGGTCAAATGCCTTAGACGTATCTAAGAAACACATAAAAACAGTTGAGTTTTTGCTCCTATAGTTATTTAAAAGTTCCTTTAGGACATAAATACACATATCCGTAGAATGTTTTGGTTTAAAACCGAACTGATTATCTGTAGAAATAATCAGTTCATTAATCCTCTCTAGGAGAATTAGCTCCACAACTTTGGATAAAATATTAGCTAGAGCTATAGGTCTTTAGTTATCTATAGACCTATAGCTTTTCATGTATTTATTTTTTTCAGGTTTTTTATTTTATTTATTTCGAGCAAATGAGTTGGCATTGAAATAATTAGCAACAACAAGCAACTTGGGTATATTTACAAACTATAACAAAAAGAGTTATAATAATTACTAAATACTGCTAATATATTAGTAATAATACAAATATAACACTTATGGATGCTCAAAAATGAGTGGGAAGAAGTAAACACATTTTAAGTGTTTAAGAAGCTAGGTTCATACAGGATTTACATAAATACATAGATATACTGCAGACTTATGGACTACCACTCCATCTACACACACAAACACACACTTTGGCTGCCGGCTCAGTTACACAACTAACTGTTTCAACGACAACAACAATTATTATTTATTGTACGATAGCAATACACAATCTCTCACAATGTCTGCCTCCTTAATTAGCGGTTGCAGAGAGGTTGTTATTCACTCATGTTCATACAAGTATGATTTACTATGATTCTTGTCTTTTGAAGGTGTTCCCAGGATCACTCCTCTTCCTCCTCTTCCTCCTGCGGGACGTGGGGGCGGGGGGTCGAGTGGAAACCCTCTGAGAGATTTCATGCTCAAAAGTCCAGACGACCCTCCACCTGCTGCCCCCCGAGAAGACCCTGGCTCCGCCCACCAGCCCCCCTTTCATGGATGGACGCCTTTACCTAAAGTAAGGAAGGGCACACTAAGACAACAACAACAAAACATTTTTGGATTCAAAACATAATAGTGTGTTTTGAAATGCCCATCGCTATGGCAACAGCAGCTTATAAACTTGCTGTTGCCATAGTGTTGACTTTTTTTTTTATATATATATATTTTCTTTTTTTCCTAAAGTTTCTCCCTCTGTTTTAAATATTATAGTTTGGAGACATATTGAGGTCCAAAGTTCCAGAACGCAAACAAGACGGAGGTAGGTGCATTTTTTGTTTTGTTGTCATTGTTAACTCATCCTCCCCTGTTTTTTATGGAATATTTCTTTTCTATTATCGTCTTATTTCCACAGATCTGGATTCTGCAGTGTCCGCTGGAGGCCTGGAACAAATAATCACGCCCCCTGCTGGTCAGGCTCCGCAACAGCCCAGGACACGCTCCTTCTTTAAGTCGGTCACCGTCAGTAAAGTGGTGAAACCGGACGGGGTGAGAGCCACAACCACTGCTACTACTACGAACTTTTCTAAAATTATGAATAACATTTGATTATTGGCAACGTATTCTCCAAGAGGCAGCAAGAGCAATGAAAATATGAAATTCTTTACACTAATTTTAAATAGTATCACAAAGTTACTATGCGTGTTATAAGCAGCTGGCATGTGCTTTAGTGTATAGTGAGGTAAACAAAACAATTATTTTTGACTAAACACGATTTTAAATTATGAAACATGAGATTTTAAAAGATGAGTCAAAGTAAATTAATGTTGACTGTGGTGCTGCTGTGTTTCCTTCTGCAGTCTGTGGAAGAGCGGCGCACAGTGAGAGATGGACAGGGGAACGAGGAGACCACCGTGACCCGCTCTGGTCCGGACCATGGGGCACCAGCACCAGGTCTGCACCTCACTCTAACCCTCACACTAACCCTCACTCTAACCCTCACTCTAACCCTCACCCTCAACCTCACCCACACCCTCACCCACACCCTCACCCACACCCTCACCCACACACTAACCCACACCCTCACCCTCACCCTCACCCTCACCCTCACCCTCACCCACACCCTCACCCTCACCCACACCCTCACCCACACCCTCACCCACACCCTCACCCACACCCACACCCTCATCCACACCCTCACCCACACCCTCACCCACACACTAACCCACACCCTCACCCTCACCCACACCCTCATCCTCACCCACACCCTCACCCACACACTAACCCACACCCTCACCCACACCCTCATCCACACCCTCACCCACACCCTCACCCACACCCACACCCTCATCCTCACCCACACCCACACCCTCACCCACACCCTCATCCTCACCCACACCCTCACCCACACACTAACCCACACCCTCACCCTCACCCTCACCCACACCCTCATCCACACCCTCACCCACACCCTCACCCACACACTAACCCACACCCTCACCCACACCCTCACCCTCACCCACACCCTCATCCTCACCCACACCCTCACCCACACACTAACCCACACCCTCACCCACACCCTCATCCACACCCTCACCCTCACCCACACCCTCATCCACACCCACACACTAAAGCCTGGTTCACACGAGACGATTTTAAAATTGTCAAAATCTCTCGAGATCAAGCGTGACTTCAGAGTAAACAGTCATGGCGGATGAAGAGGATGCAGTGGCGATAGTGTGCAGTTTGTTGTTAACAGAGAAGACACGTAATCCAAAGAAAAGGCAATGGTCAAAGCCATGCTGCTGTGTTTTGGTTTTTTTCCGGTGTTTCCTCACAGGCTTGTCACCTCGACTTCTTATTGGCTACACGCCGTAGTCATGGCAACGCACTCGCTTGTCCTCGGAGGACACCACACACGACAAGAAATCGGGCCAAAACAATCCAACATGTTGGATATCCCCGATTTGAGATCGGGAGCAGTCCCGATGTCCTTCCGAGCGACGAGTGCAGTCTTAACACACCACACACGGCAGGATAATCTGTAAGATTTTGTTACGGAAATCGGAGCGTTTCTTAAGATTGTCGTAAGGGGTAAATCGGGTCTAAATATCCTGCCGTGTGAACCAGGCTTTACCCACACCCTCACTCTAACCCTCACCCACACCCTCACCCTCACTCTAACCCTCACCCTCACCCTCACCCACACCCTCACCCTCACCCTCACCCACACCCTCACCCACACCCTCACCCTCACCCTCACCCACACCCTCACCCACACCCTCACCCTCACCCACACCCTCACCCACACCCTCACCCACACCCACACCCTCACCCACACCCTCACCCTCACCCTCACCCTCACCCACACCCACACCCTCACCCACACCCTCACCCTCACCCACACCCTCACTCTAACCCTCACCCTCACCCACACCCTCACTCTAACCCTCACCCTCACCCACACCCTCACCCTCACCCTCACCCACACCCTCACCCACACCCACACCCTCACCCTCACCCACACCCTCACCCTCACCCACATCCACACCCTCACTCTAACCCTCACCCACACCCACACCCTCACCCACACCCTCACCCTCACCCTCACCCACACCCACACCCTCACTCTAACCCTCACCCCCTCACCCTCACCCTCACCCACACCCACACCCTCACGCTAACCCACACCCTCACCCACACCCTCACCCTCACCCTCACCCACACCCACACCCTCACCCTCACCCTCACCCACACCCTCACCCACACCCTCACCCTCACCCACACCCACACCCTCACCCTCACCCTCACCCACACCCTCACCCACACCCTCACTCTAACCCTCACCCACACCCTCACCCTCACCCTCACCCACACCCTCACCCACACCCTCACCCACACCCTCACCCTCACTCTAACCCTCACCCTCACCCACACCCTCACCCACACCCTCACCCACACCCTCACCCACACCCTCACTCTAACCCTCACCCTCACCCACACCCTCACCCACACCCTCACCCTCACCCACACCCTCACCCTCACCCACACCCACACCCACACCCTCACCCTCACCTCACCCACACCCTCACCCTCACCCACACCCTCACCCTCACCCTCACCCACACCTCACCCTCACCCACACCCTCACCCTCACCCACACCCTCACCCACACCCTCACCCACACCCCTACCCTCACCCTCATCCACACCCTCACCTACTAACCCACACCCTCAACCTAACCCACACACTAACCCAACCCACACCCTCACCCTCAACCTAACCCACACCTACACCCTCCCCTACACCCTCACCTACATCCTCCCCTACACCCTCACCTACACCCTCACCTACATCCTCACCTACATCCTCACCTAGTAGTAAGTAGTAGTAGTAATCTTTATTTATATACCGCCTTTTCACTGCAAATCTGAGTCTCAAAGCGGTTTACAATTGTTAATTTTTTGGGCATTTGTCACTCACTCCACACAGAGATGGGAGGGGCCAGTACACGAGGCACATGCCAGAACTATTGTACATATTTTTAGTGGTAGGGGAAACCGGAGTACCCGGAGGAAACCTACGCAGACACGGGGAGAACATGCAAACTCCACTCAGAAAGCCCCTGTCCGACCGGGATTCGAACCCAGGACCTTCTTGCTGAGAGGCGAGAGTGCTATCCACTCAGCCACCGTGCCGACCTACACCCTCACCTACACCCTCACCTACTAACCCTCACCCTCATCCACACCCTCACCCACACACTAACCCAATCCTCACCCTCACCCTCACCCACACCCTCACCCACACCCTCCCCTACACCCTCACCTACATCCTCACCTACATCCTCACCTACACCCTCACCTACACCCTCACCTACTAACCCTCACCCTCATCCACACCCTCACCCACACACTAACCTACACCCTCACCCACACCCTCACCCACACACTAACCTACACCGTCACCTACAACCTCACCCACACACTAACCTACACCGTCACCTACACCCTCACCTACACCATCACCTACACCCTCACCTACTAACCCTCACCCTCATCCACACCCTCACCCACACACTAACCTACACCCTCACCCACACACTAACCTACACCATCACCTACTAACCCTCACCCTCATCCACACCCTCACCCACACACAAACCTACACCCTCACCCCACACACTAACCTACACCATCACCCACACACTAACCTACACCATCACCTACACCCTCACCTACTAACCCTCACCCTCATCCACACCCTCACCCACACACTAACCTACACCCTCACCCTCACCCACACACTAACCTACACCCTCACCCTCATCCACACACTAACCTACACCCTCACCCACACACTAACCCTCACCTACACCCTCACCCACACCCTCACCCTCACCCACACACTAACCCTCACCTACACCCTCACCCACACACTAACCCTCATCCACACCCTCACCCTCATCCACACACTAACCTACACCCTCACCTACACCCTCACCCACACCCTCACCTACACCCACACACTAACCCTCACCTACACCCACATCCACACCCACACCCACACCCTCACCCACACCCTCACCCTCACCCACACACTAACCCTCATCCACACCCTCACCTACACCCACACACTAACCCTCACCCTCACCTACACCTACACCCACATCCACACCCTCACCCACATCCTCACCCACACACTAACCCTCATCCACACCCTCACCCTCATCCACACACTAACCTACACCCTCACCCACACACTAACCTACACCCTCACCTACACCCTCACCCACACACTAACCCTCATCCACACCCTCATCCACACACTAACCTACACCCTCACCCACACACTAACCTACACCCTCACCTACACCCTCACCCACACACTAACCCTCATCCACACACTAACCTACACCCTCACCCACACCCTCACCTACACCCTCACCTACACCCTCACCCACACCCTCACCTACACCCTCACCCACACCCACACCCACACCCTCTCCCACACATGTCATATCTGTATCTAATCATAAACAACATAAATAACACGGGCCATGTGGAAAAATGAATTCAAGATCCTGATTTTTAGCATTTTGTGTTTGTGATAAATGAAGGTAATCTTGCACCTTCCTCTGTATCCCCGCATCACCCTGAAGCCAAGTATTCAAATGTTCTAACAACATTTTGTTGTAGTTTCAGATCTTCCAAGACCGTCTTCAGACTTGAAGGACGACTCCTTGTTCTCCAAGTTTTTTGGTGGAAACAAATAAAAAGTTCCAACTGATGCTAACAGCGGAATGAGGATCTGTAAGAAACATGTTTGTTCTATTTCTTAATCTTTGTTCCAGCCCCAAAAGTGAGTGACGAAATGCTTTTATTTGCCAAAACATTTTCTGCAGAGAAACCGATATTTCAGTGTTTGCTGCTTGGACAAAACTGTGAATCTGTCAAAACCCGGTGGCATTTAAAAGATAATATTTTCACATATATTTTTGTACAGTCTGCAGAATGAGTGTGTGTGTGTGCGAATGGAATAAATGCTTAATTTATTGTACCATGTGTTTGTTTTTGGTCCCTGCACAAACACAAATAGTAATCTACAAACAGGGCTCAGGATCTCAAGCAGAAACTGGATGAGACAGAGAAAAACATTGATTCTTGTCCCTTCATATTCAGTACAGAGGTAGAGCTAGATGTTAGAGATAGACGGAGAAGGGTTAGGGTTAGAAATGGATCATTCTTAAAAGATAGCAATAGTAATAATCAGCAACAGCTCTTCAGGTCACAGCAGCAGAGGTGGAGTAGCCTCTGGGTGGAGCAGGACGGGTCACAGCAGCAGAGGTGGAGTAGCCTCTGGGTGGAGTAGGACGGGTCACAGCAGCAGAGGTGGAGTAGCCTCTGGGTGGAGCAGGACGGGTCACAGCAGCAGAGGTGGAGTAGTCTCTGGGTGGAGCAGGACGGGTCACAGCAGCAGAGGTGGAGTAGCCTCTGGGTGGAGCAGGACGGGTCACAGCAGCAGAGGTGGAGTAGCCTCTGGGTGGAGCAGGACGGGTCACAGCAGCAGAGGTGGAGTAGCCTCTGGGTGGAGCAGGATGGGTCACAGCAGCAGAGGTGGAGTAGCCTCTGGGTGGAGCAGGACGGGTCACAGCAGCAGAGGTGGAGTAGCCTCTGGGTGGAGCAGGACGGGTCACAGCAGCAGAGGTGGAGTAGCCTCTGGGTTCGGACCATTTTCTCTGCTCTGGTCCAAGTAAAATGCTGAATGCTTTGTTAGCATTTTTCAAAACGTTCCTCTCTGCTCTGGTCTGGACCAGTGTAAAACCATAAACACTGTACTGCAGCAACATCTCAGGCAGAAAAAATAAAATAAAAACAACAGTTTCAGAGCTACTCGGGACCTGCTGTCGTTTTCCAGTGCTATCGATCAGAAACTGCTGTTAGTGCTATTAGCGAATACTAAAGACTAATTGCTGCAGTGTTTTACAAAGAAAAGAAATGATTATACCAAAACATTATGAAAGTTTTGTAGTTCTGTGAATCTTTATCGGGTGCAAGGAACGACCACGTTATATTTGGAGGCAATTTTCCAGATATCGTCATTTTCATCCTTTATTTTTCCATTTCTGGGTTGGACCAGCACCGGCTCCTTTAAAGAGAAATGTGCACTTTATTAATCCCCGTAGGGCACTTCATCCACCGCGGTGAAGTTGGTTTGAAGTTGGATATCCGACAGACATTCAACGGTCATTCCCTCTCGGTACACCTCTCCTTCTCTCTGGGTTCAGAGCGACTCGAAAGCCGCTCCAACATTTTAGTGCACCCGTACTACACACAGTACGGTAAACACGCGAAGACATGTACGCTGGTCTAATATTTACATATAAAAAATCATTAAAAATACTTACAACATTTTAATGATAAAATAAGAGGTGTACCCCGTACAGCTAGTGGAGGACTATGATCCTGACCTGATTTGGAGTCAATAGGTCACATGACCTGGAAGCTATTGAGCTAAAATGCTAATATTTGCCTTTATAAAATCATTAAAAATACTTACAAAAACTTAAATGACAAAAGAAGAGGTGTACCCCCTACAGCTAGGGGAGGAATATGATCCTGACTTTTAATACAGTACAGTTTTATTACATCGGTTTTAAATTTGTTGCATTGGCTTCCCGTGTGTTTCAGGATCAATTTTTAGGTTCTTTCACTGGTTTTTTTCATGTCTTCATGGTCTTGGGCCTTCTTATTACTCATAACTGCTTTTATCCAAAGAACCATCCCGGTTCTTGCAGCAGACTCCTCCATTACCAAAGCCAGGACACACACTCAAGCTGAGGCATATGTAAGTGAGTAAGTAATGTTTATTTATATAGCGCATTTTACAGACTAAGGTCACCCAAAGCGCTTTACGTCCATCACTACGGCCCCGTCTCTGGAACAGTCTGCTGGAGGAGCTTTACTAGCACCCTCCTGTCCCTCACCTCCTCCACAGAGTCCAGGGGGCTGTCCCGTTCTGTGCTGCCCGGGGCCCAGCACACGGCAGCGTAATGTATGGCAGAGCCTATACAGAGTCATAAAAGGTCCTGAGCAGAGGCCTGCTCACTCCGAAGGACCTCAGCCTCCTCAGAAGGACCTCAGCCTCCTCAGAAGGACCTCAGCCTCCTCAGAAGGAAGAGGCGACTTTGGCCCTTCTTGTGCAGAGCGTTGGTGGTATGGGACCAGTCCAGTTTATTGTTTATGTGAACACCCAGGTACTTGAAGCTGTCCACCAGCTCAATGTCCTCCCCCTGGATGTTCAGCAGCGTGTGGGAAAGTGGTTTTATCCTGAAGTCGATTACCATCTCCTTGGTCTTACTGGTGTTAGCACAGGTACCATCTCCTTGGTCTTACTGGTGTTAGCACAGGTACCATCTCCTTGGTCTTACTGGTGTTCAAGCACAAGTGGTTGCGCTCACACCAGTCGACAAAGTCCTTGATAACCGACCCATATTCCAGTTCGTTCCCCTCAGACACACAGCCCACGATGGCGGAGTCGTCGGAGAACCTCTGCAGGTGACAGCTGTGTGTGTCGTGTGTGAAGTCTGAGGTGTAGATGGTGAAGAGAAACGGTGAGAGGACAGTGCCCTGAGGGGCCCCAGTGCTGCAGACTACCACCTCAGACTCACAGCTGCGCAGCCGCACGTACTGTGGTCGGTCTGAGAGGTAGTCGATGGTCCATGCAGTGAGGTAGTTGATGGTCCATGCAGTGAGGTAGTCGATGGTCCATGCGGTGAGGTAGTTGATGGTCCATGCAGTGAGGCTACTGTCCACTCTTGCATCCTCCAACTTCCCCCGCAGCAGCGCCGGTCTGATGGTGTTGAAAGCACTGGAAAAGTCGAAGAACATGACCCTCACAGCGCTCCCTGCAGGCTCCAGGTGGGAGTGCGTCCGCTGCAGTAAGTAAATGACGGCGTCCTCTACTCCGATGTTGGGCCTGTAGGCGAACTGCAGCGGGTCCAGGGTGGGGCTGACCACAGAGCGGAGGTGGGTGAGGATGAGCCGCTCCGTGGTCTTCATCAGGTGGGAGGTCAGTGGGAGGTGAGTGCGACTGGTCTGTAGTGAGCCGGTTCCTTGGCGTGCGCTGTTTTAGGAACCTGGATCACATAGGAGGTCTCCCACAGGACAGGGACCTTCTCCAGGCTGAGGCTCAGGTTGTACATGTAGCTGAGGACCTCAGCGAGGACCTCAGAGAGCTGGTCTGCACAGGTCCTCAGCAGCCTGGGACTGATCCCTTCCGGTCCTGTGGATTTCCTCTGAGTCAGTCTCTGGAGCTGACTCCTCACCTGGTCCGGTGTGATGGAGAGGGCGGGGGGGGGGGGGGTGTACTGTCAGAGGTGGGGGCTGGGGGTGTGGGGGCAGGACGGCCCGGGGCAGCCGAAGGCAGTGTCCACCGGGCTGGGCACGTGTGAAGAGGTGGGGGAGGGAGGGGGGGAGATGGGGAGGGGGGAAGAATCAAACTGGTTGAAATATTGGTTAAATTCATCCGCCCGGTGCTGGTCTCCATCCGCTGTCCCACTGGCACTCTGCCCAAAGCCGGAGATGTTCTTTAGTCCTCTCCACATGTCGCAGGCGTTTCCCTGAGCCAGCTTCTGCTCCAGCTATTTTCCCAAAGTCCTTCTTGGCCCTCCTGATACTCCACTGGACCTTGTGCTGGATCCTCTTCTGCTCCTCAATAAACAGGTAAATGTAGAATAATATATGTTTTTTTTTTATAAAAACATACTGAAGCAATTGGCTAAAAACATTACGAGTACCAAGGTGCTCAGAGGCTGGACCTGCTCTGTCTGCAGTTCTCTCCTGCGCTCCGCAAGTCTCTCCCCAGGGTCGCAAGCAGGTCTCTTATGGGGCCCAGGCACTCATAATATAAAATTTCTAAATGGATCTCATAATAATTTGACATTATCCATCCATCAATTTTCTTCCAGGTCATGTGACCTATTGACTCCAAATCAGGTCAGGATCATAGTCCTCCACTAGCTGCAGGGGGTACATCTCTTCTTTTACCATTAAAGTGTTTTAAGTATTTTTAATGAATTTTTAAAGGCAAATATTAGCATTTTAGCTCAATAGCTTCCAGGTCATGTGACCTATTGACTCCAAATCAGGTCAGGATCATAGTCCTCCCTTAGCTGCAGGGGGTACACCTCTTCTTTTGTCATTTAAGTATTTTTAATGAATTTTTATATGTAAATATTAGCATTTTAGCTCAATAGCTTTCAGGTCATGTGACCTATTGACTCCAAATCAGGTCAGGATCATAGACCCCCACTAGATACAGGGGGTACACCTCTTATTTTATCATTAAAATGTTTGAAGTATTTTTAATGATTTTTTATATGTAAATATTAGACCAGCGTACATGTCTCCGCGTGTTTACCGTACTGTGTGTAGTACGGGTGCACTTAAATGTTGCGGCGAATGTCTGTCGGATATCCAACTTCAAACTAACTTCACCGCGGTCTTCATCCTCTGCATTTGACCCATCCTGATGCCACTAGGGCTTACGTCAAGAGCAGTGGTCGCCGTAGTAACAGCGCCCGGGAACCCATCTCCAGATGTTGATGCTCGGATTAGTCAGGACCAGAGCTGGAGGGTTTAACCTAGGGAGCATGTTTTTAGTGGTAGGGGAAACCGGAGAAAATCTATGCAGGCATGGGGAGAACATGCAAACTCCACTCAGAAAGACCCTGCTCCGACCAGGATTCGAACCCAGGAGACGCGGGAGAGCTAGATCCACTCAGCCAGCGTGCCAAACCTCCTGCAGGTAGTGGGTCCACGGGAAGATGGCTGCTGCTACGAAGCTACGGCCTTGGTGTGTCAGCGGGGGCTTCAGGCAAAGTGGGGTGAAGTGTCTTGCCCAGTGACACAACGACAGGAGCAATGTCATCGGCTCTCACTGAAGCAAACAGACGACCATGAGGCTCTACCCACTGAGCCACTGTCCTTCTTTTCACTTTGCCATGTCTCTACATCAAACACATTCTAGTTAAAATTCTATGAACGCTTTAAAACACCACAACTCACGATTGTTTGGTCAGTATAACATTTACTGCTCACGTGAAGTCGCCCGGAGATCATAAAAAGACTTGACAATAAACGTTATCATCATAGATAACATTTGCCACAAATAAACACAGATTTACACCATTTCTTCAGACATTTGAAAAGAAAAAGCTGAGACTTCAATAGACTCTTTCCAATACCGTTAAAAAGGTTAAATTACTGCAGTTGTATTTAGTCTTCTTCAACAAACTGTTTTTTTTCCCACATATTTAAGCCTTTCTATATGAATTGCCTTGATATCCTTCTTTAATATAAATAGTTTGTTGGGTTTTTTCCCTTCCAGACAATTCTCATAAATGTGTTGTAGCTGAACTCTGCCATCGTCTTTAGACACAACATAATTCTTCAGATGCCATAAAGTTTGAGTGTCGTAGAGCGAGGTGCGAAAGGGCAAAACTCTGTCTCCAGAGCCTTCAGTCTGTGGGAAATACACATTTAAATAACTACAGGTTTAAATGAGAGAAATATTGGCACCAAAAGATGGAGAGGCTTCTGAGAAAGTGCAGAATCAAGAATGGACTTGTCCGGGAGTGTTTGGCCGAGTGTCTGGGAGTCTACATTGTTATCGTAAGTACACACACGCACACGCACACACACACACTGGTTTGGGTAGATTAAGAATGGGACACATACGCAAACACACATATACACACACACAAGAATGGTACACATACGCACACACACACACAGACAAGAATGGTACACACACACACACACACAGTTTGGGTAGAAGAATGGGTTGCATGGTTGTTTTCATCTGTTTTAGTTAAATGCAATGTTAAATCAAGCAGATCAAACATGAAGAGGTCCGTTGTGCAAAAACGTGCAGTTGTGTTGGAAGTGAATTAGAGAATGCATAACCCAAAAGGACTTTGGTCTGAACGAAGGAAAGTGGAGAAAATTAATGAATAGTAGAATATTGTGAACGAAGATGTAGTTGTTTGGATCGCTAAATAAATATAAATATAGAAATACTGCATCTACTGTGCCTCTCGAAAGTACTAAAACAACCTTGAACCATTGCACATTTGATCAAGTTTACAACCATAAATATAAAGATACTACTTTGACTTTTTACCTAAAGTTCACACAGAAGTAACAGACAACAGTGAAGTGAAAGCAAAAGATAAATAAAGCAAATCTTATCTTATCTTATCTCACATAGGAGAAATGTACATGTCACATTTGGCATGGATAGAGACACTCAGATTGTGCAAAAGGAGGAAATGTGCAAACATGTTACATGCAGGATATATGTACAATAAAGTGACAAGTGTCAATTGGAAACAGTGTCAATAGTAGTGCAGGTTTTCACACAGTGATCATTTAAAGTGACTTATTGTACAGTCTGACAGCGGTGGGGATAAAGGCCCTGCGGTAGCGCTCCTTCCTACACTGAGGGTGTCTCAGTCTTCCACTGAAGGAGCTCCTCAGCTCCTCTACAGTCCTGTGCAGTGGGAGGTATTGTTCATGATGGAGGTGGCTTTGGCTAGCACCCTCCTGTCCCTCACCTCCTCCACAGAGTCCAGGGGCCTCCTGTCCCTCACCTCCTCCACAGAGTCCAGGGGCCTCCTGTCCCTCACCTCCTCCAGAGTCCAGGGAGCAGCCCAGAGTGGAGCTGGCCCTCCTGACCAGCTTGTTCAGTCTGTTTCTGTCCCGCTCTGTGCTGCCCGGGGCCCAGCACACGGCAGCGTAGTAAATGGCAGAAGCTACCACAGAGTCATAAAAAGTCCTGAGCAGAGGCCTGCTCACTCCGAAGGACCTCAGCCTCCTCAGAAGGACCTCAGCCTCCTCAGAAGGACCTCAGCCTCCTCAGAAGGAAGAGGCCTATGATATGATGAAATGATACATGAGTTTGTTATTATCTTTCCCACAGGGTTTTAGTTCGTTCCTTACAGATGCAGGACTCTCAACATTCTACTACATTTATGGACATTGGTCAACTCCCTCTGAATAGTGTTCTATATTCTCTGTGTTTGGTTCTCTGATCTGTGTTGGCGATTTCAGTGGTTTTGTTAAGTAAATAGACCAGAGTCACAAAACAGTTTACAGTTGTGGGCATTTCTCACTCCACACAGAGACGGGAGCGGAGCCAGTTCAGGAGGCACAGACCTATTGTACATGTTTTCAGTGGTACAGGGGAAACTGGAGCACCTGGAGGAAACCTACGCAGACACGGGGAGAACATGCAAACGTCACTCAGAAAGGCCCTGTTACGACCGGGATTCTAACCCAGGACCTTGCTATCCACTCAGCCGCCGTGCCGCCTGAGTCCTCTCAGATAACTACTGTAGGGATTTAGAGCTCGGTTCTAACATCTCCAGTCTTTCCAATGGACGACAACACAACTAATTTTCTTATGGCAGACAATCCTAATGTTGTGTATTTTACCTCCAAGAGCCCATTCTTTACTTTTTCTCTGTGTATGTGTTTTAAAAATGCTTTTCTTTGTGTCCACAGTTGTTTGGCTGTGGCTCAGTGGCTCAGGTCACGACCACGAACAACCAGAGCGGACAGTACCTCTCCATAAACCTGGGCTTCGCTTTGGGCGTTACATTCGGGGTTTATGCCTCGAGAGGAGTTTCTGGTAAGACTTTAAAAGTTTTTACTTTTGGTTTTTTCTGGATACGAAATAAAGCCCCATCCAACAGTGGATTTTTGCTTTTGTGTGAGTAAAACACTGCAACTTTGGTGTTAGAATAATAATCATAATGTGCACAATGCAACCAGGTTCAGATGGGCTGGAAGTAGCAGCTTATTGTAGCCGCCGATTCTTTACCTTAAATCTAACCCTAGACTAGGGTCCCTAGTCCTAGTCCTAGACTGACTGAAACTAGACTGAACTCGAGCCCGAACCTTTCCCCAACTCATTGACCATGCAAGGAAAAAATGCCATGTACCAGTTGAGAAAACTGCCAACGTCCACCCGCAGTCTGCACCGTGATGTCATTTAAACAGACTAAAAGCTAAAGTTGATGATTACTTACTTACTAATCTTTATATAAATAAATATTACTTACTACTTACTTACTCACTACTTGACCATGATATTGTGCCTATTTAATTACATCATTACATAATTATGTACTATAATTATATTACATCATTAAAGTGGCTATGTGAAAGTTTTAACACCTAAAAAAACTATACAAACTCCACATTAAATGTAATATAATTTCAACAACCCAATCATCCTCCATTTTCTTCCCCTTAATCCATTTCTAGGTCGGGGGTGGCAGTCAGAGCTGTCCCCAGTCCACAGAGCACCAGCCCCTCACTGAGTCCACAGGTGCTGAGTCCACAGGTGCTGAGTCCACAGGTGCTGAGTCCACAGGTGCCGAGTCCACAGGTGCTGAGTCCACAGGTGCTGAGTCCACAGGTTCCGAGTCCACAGGTGCTGAGTCCACAGGTGCTGAGTCCACAGGTGCTGAGTCCACAGGTGCCGAGTCCACAGGAGCCGAGTCCACAGGTGCCGAGTCCACAGGAGCCGAGTCCACAGGTGCCGAGTCCACAGGAGCCGAGTCCACAGGTGCTGAGTCCACAGGTGCTGAGTCCACAGGTGCTGAGTCCACAGGTGCTGAGTCCACAGGTGCTGAGTCCACAGGTGCTGAGTCCACAGGTGCTGAGTCCACAGGTGCTGAGTCCACAGGTGCTGAGTCCACAGGAGAATGGCTGCTCTGAGACCATAGCCTTGATTTTTCTGCGGAGGCTTTTTGGGCAAAGTGGGATTGAGTGTCTTGCCCAAGGACACAATGGCAGCAGTCCTCAGTGGGAGGTGGTGGAGAAGGTGTGAATTGTGGGAATTGAACCCACGACCTTCAGGCCTAAAGGCCAATGCTCTACCAACTTAACTTAATTTGCCCTCTTTTTTTGCCCACATTCACAGCGGATTATGACTCGTTCACATCAATCAATCATTTATTTGTATAGCACAATTTGTGTACACGACAATTCAATGAAATATACAATAATTTCATATTTAAACAGAGCAGCATAAAAGTAAAGGGTTTGAATCTCATTAAAATGTGAGTATAAAAAGGGAGATAAAAGCAATAAATAGTACAAAATAGAATCAGTCGTAAGCACAGATAAAAATGTCTTCAGTCTAGTTTAGAACGTGGTCACGGTAGAGCCGGTCTCACAGCCTCAGGAAGACTGTCCCGTATCCGAGCTGCATAGATCTGAAATTCAGCCTCTTCATGTTTACTGACTCTGGGACCAGCAGGAGTCCAGTCCCAGTCCCAGTCCGAACCGGTTCATCCGGGACTAACTTGTCACTAATATATTTTGGTGCGAGGCCATGGAGAGACTTGTAACAAGCAGAGCTGTTTTAAAGTCTATTCTCTGAGCCACAGGAAGCCAGTGCAGAGACCTGAGGACCGGACTAATGTGGTCGTACTTCCTGGTTCTAGTCAGGACTAATGTGGTCGTACTTCCTGGTTCTAGTCAGGACTAATGTGGTCGTACTTCCTGGTTCTAGTCAGGACTAATGTGGTCGTACTTCCTGGTTCTAGTCAGGACTAATGTGATGGTACTTGTCACTCCCGTATTCGTCCCAGAAACCGGATTCGTCCGGAAGTTCAGTTTGCGCATGTCAAAAAGGTGAATATGTCCTTAAGTGGTGACTGGTTAAGTTTAGGGTTAAGGCTGGGTTGGGGTTATTTTATGGGAATGGCTGGTTAAGTTTAGGCATTAATAGGTAGTTTTTTATATTTACTTCCGCTTCTGTCCAGATTCCGTGACGTAATCTGCTGCCTGTGCTCATTGGATCAAACTGAACTTCCGGACGAATCGGGTTTCCGGGACGAATACGGGAGTGACAGTACTTCCTGGTTCTAGTCAAGACTAATGTGATGGTACTTCCTGGTTCTAGTCAAGACTAATGTGATGGTACTTCCTGGTTCTAGTCAGGACTAATGTGATGGTACTTCCTGGTTCTAGTCAGGACTAATGTGATGGTACTTCCTGCTTCTAGTCAGGACTAATGTGAGGGTACTTCCTGCTTCTAGTCAGGACTAATGTGATGGTACTTCCTGGTTCTAGTCAGGACTAATGTGATCGTACTTCCTGGTTCTAGTCAGGACTAATGTGATCGTACTTCCTGGTTCTAGTCAGGGCTAATGTGATCCTACTTCCTGGTTCTAGTCAGGACTAATGTGAGGGTACTTCCTGCTTCTAGTCAGGACTAATGTGATGGTACTTCCTGGTTCTAGTCAGGACTAATGTGATGGTACTTCCTGGTTCTAGTCAGGACTAATGTGATCGTACTTCCTGGTTCTAGTCAGGACTAATGTGATCGTACTTCCTGGTTCTAGTCAGGACTAATGTGATCCTACTTCCTGGTTCTAGTCAGGACTAATGTGATCGTACTTCCTGGTTCTAGTCAGGACTAATGTGATCGTACTTCCTGGTTCTAGTCAGGACTAATGTGATGGTACTTCCTGGTTCTAGTCAGGACTAATGTGATCGTACTTCCTGGTTCTAGTCAGGGCTAATGTGGTCGTACTTCCTGGTTCTAGTCAGGACTAATGTGATGGTACTTCCTGGTTCTAGTCAGGACTAATGTGATCCTACTTCCTGGTTCTAGTCAGGACTAATGTGATCCTACTTCCTGGTTCTAGTCAGGACTAATGTGATCGTACTTCCTGGTTCTAGTCAGGACTAATGTGATCGTACTTCCTGGTTCTAGTCAGGACTAATGTGATCCTACTTCCTGGTTCTAGTCAGGACTAATGTGATCCTACTTCCTGGTTCTAGTCAGGACTAATGTGATCCTACTTCCTGGTTCTAGTCAGGACTAATGTGATCCTACTTCCTGGTTCTAGCCGGGACTCGAGCTGCTGCATTTTGAATACACTGTCGCTGTTTTATCGTCTAATGACTGAACTTGTTTTGTTCCAGGGGCCCATCTGAACCCGGCCGTGTCCCTCAGTCTCTGTGCTTTGGGACGACACTCTTGGACCAAACTCCCTTTTTACGTTTTCTTCCAGTGTTTTGGGGCTTTTCTGGGAGCAGCAACAGTGGCTCTGCAGTACTACGGTGGGTTTGTGTGGAATCAGAACGATCTCCTCCACGTCTGCTGAGTTATCCTTGGAGAGTTCATGATTTTTCTATCGCTGTGTAAAGAAATCTGTAATTTGACTGTTTTTTTTTCATGTTGCAGCATTATTTTATTTTTGGAGCATATTATTGAGGATATAGAAACTCCCACGACTGGTTCGACGGATTTGATTTTATTGATGAAAACGTATAAGAAAGAATCAAGTAAATGAAAAGGCGAGAAAAGGCTGTACATGCGGGAGATGGATGGATGGATAGATACTTTATTGATCCTCGTAGGAGAAATGCAGGTGTCCAGTAGAAGCAAAAATAAAAAATAAAATGATCATTCTACAAAGCTAACAATAGTAATAATCTGCAACAGATTCAGATCAGATTCAGTTTATTTGCCATTTGCAGTAAAACCACATTGGAATACATTAGTAAAAAGTCTCCAGTGTGCACAGACAAATACAGACATAAAACAACATTAAAAGACAAAAACAAAACAAATAAAACAGTAAACAAATGTCACTGTGAAATGGATCGACTAAAACAGTTTCAAAACAAGTGCAAATCATTAAAGTGCTCTGTTCACACTGATAACAGCTTGTGGATAAAAACTGTTAGCGTAACGAGATGTCCTGCATCTCAGAGAGCGATATCTTCTGCCAGAGGGAAGAAGCTGGAACATGGCTTTCCCAGGGTGGCCAGAAGAGTCATTGACAATCCTAAGAGCTTTGTTTAAAAAAAAAACAGCCCTTCAGGTCACAGCAGCAGAGGTGGTGTAGCCTCTGGGTGGAGCAGGACGGGTCACAGCAGCAGAGGTGGAGCAGCCTCTGGGTGGAGCAGGACAGGTCACAGCAGCAGAGGTGGAGTAGCCTCTGGGTGGAGCAGGACGGGTCACAGCAGCAGAGGTGGAGTAGCCTCTGGGTGGAGCAGGACGGGTCACAGCAGCAGAGGTGGAGTAGCCTCTGGGTGGAGCAGGACGGGTCACAGCAGCAGAGGTGGAGTAGCCTCTGGGTGGAGCAGGACGGGTCACAGCAGCAGAGGTGGTGTAGCCTCTGGGTGGAGCAGGACGGGTCACAGCAGCAGAGGTGGAGCAGCCTCTGGGTGGAGCAGGACGGGTCACAGCAGCAGAGGTGGTGTAGCCTCTGGGTGGAGCAGGACAGGTCACAGCAGCAGAGGTGGAGTAGCCGCTTGGTTCGGAGCATTTTCTCTGGTAGATTTAAGGGACTAACAAACTAATGCAATATTACAGGCAACAGTAGCCTGGAAAAGCCATGTTCCAGCTCCTTCCTTCTGACAGAAGATATACATAGTTCCCACATGACGTCACTACATACGGGGATTTGCCGACCCGGCACCATTTGTGTTGGCATTCTGTGGGCCAAAAAATAGAAAAAGAAGCTGAAACGTGTTAATGTCGTGATAAAGTTGAAAATGGTCATCTCCTGCTGGGTCAATGGATGTTCAAATCGTGCCGGAGGTTCCGTTAAACTTGGATTTTACAGTATACCCATCATTAGACTTCATGAATGTGAGAAGACTAAGCTTTTGTCAGAACAACCACGGAGGTTATGGCTTGCGAAGATAAACAGGCAAGAAACTCCCTCAAAACACGCAAGAATATGCTCGGAGCACTTTGTGTCAGGTGCGTATCGTATCTTATAATGTGTTGACAGACGTAATTTACTCAGTACTAACTTGTGTATGCTGATATCTGGTAACTTGAGAGTTTCATTATTTAGCGTTAGATTACTTTATTATGAGGAGGATCGGTGTCGCGTCCGAGGCTCTCGAGGGCAACGTAAATGTATTAAATAGATAATAATAGTTCTATGGTGGGCTAAAACAATGTTCACAAACAGCATTGATTCTGTAAAAAGATCTGTGTCATAAAATAAACTGCTCTTTACGCCTGGAAAAATCAGTTGCCCACCATTCACCAAAACATACGGTCAAAAACGCGGAAATAAACAATAACAGCAATTCAGAGTGCCCGTGTGGCATTAGCATTAATTAAATTAATTGTTAATATAATTAAAATAATTAAATGGAGCTCCAACTGGTATTAAATCTAAAGTTTGAGAAATGTTTGCATTGCTTGTTAATTTTTGCTGCATAATTTGATCAAATATGTAAAACATGTCCGTAGCACGTTAAACTGTGGTGCCATTGTATTAATATACAATTATTTGCTCAAAAGTTGCCCTTTTTTTCCAATTTGCGTTTGAATATCTACATTTATTCTCATTCTTCTGTTTAATGGAATGCACAAACACAGCAGCGTGCCATCAAAGATGGCGTCTCCGAGGAGGTCATGTGACATTCATTGGTCTGTGGGAACTATGTATTGTTCAAGTTTTGCAAATGTACAGTATTCCAATGTGGTTCTTCTTGCATTTGCCAAAGCTACTCTATGGAATCAAAAGATCAAATCAAATCTTCACCATGTTTTCTTTGTTGACCCTTTGCGTGATTATACTTAGTTTAAAAGCAGGACAAGTGTTATGTTATTGTCTAAGTTGTGTTGTGCTTTGTCAGAGTTGTGTTGTGTTATTGTCAGAGTTGTGTTGTTCTCAGAGGCCATCCGGTGGTACAGTGGCGGAGAGCTGATCGTGAGCGGCGCCACAGCCACAGCCGGGATCTTCTGCACTTTCCCCGCGGACTACCTCAGTCTGTGGGCCGGCTTCGTGGATCAGGTCAGTCCGACTCTCACAACAACAAACCTCCAGGTCCGACAACTAAATACAAAGTGCACTAACATGTATAGTATAGATATTAATGGTATTTACACAACAAAGCCCTAATGCACTACTTTTTTGAGAATAAGGAAGACTGGGATCACCTCCATGACCTAAAACAGTTTTCAGACATGTGGGAGGTCCATGGGAGCAGACACCGGGGCTTCAGTGATTACGGGGATTTTGGACAAATATGAACACAAAAACTTCTCAAAGTAATGAAAATGTATCATTCAGTTGGTGTCATTTTCAGTTGGAAAGACATCGTCACTGAAGAAGATGACAAAGTCTGGGATCGTGTCTTAAATTCAGACAGAAGACATGTTTTATTGTCGATGGTAGAGACAGCACGAACAAAGCACACAATCACAGATACAAGAGAATGCAAGTGTATTATATAGAGCGGAGGCATGGAGACCTCCAATCAGCAGCTGCCACGGTGTGCTTGTAGCTTGGCCTTCAGATAGACACAACAAGGGAAAAGTACTGGCTTCTGCACATTGATAGAATGATGAGTTTAACTTTAACAAAAGTTGCTTCAAAGTGTTATGAAATCTCACATCACATAAACGGATAACATGGACTATAAGGAGAGCAGAGCAAAATATTCTCTCGTGTGTGTAAACGTGTGTGTAAACGTGTGTGTAAACGTGTGTGTAAACGTGTATATGTGTGTGTAAACGTGTGTGAAAAGTGTGTGTAAACGTGTATATGTGTGTGTAAACGTGTATATGTGTGTATCTCCAGGTGATAGGCACGGCCGCGCTGCTGCTCTGTCTTCTGGCTCTGGGGGACTCGGCGCAGGGCTCCATCCCCGCGGGGGTGAAGCCGGTGCTGGTGGGGGCCGTGGTGCTGGTGATTGGGGTCTCCATGGGCTCCAACTGCGGCTACGCCCTGAACCCGGCGCGGGACTTTGGGCCTCGGCTCTTTGCGTTCGCCGCTGGATGGGGAGCGGAGGTCTTTACGTGAGTCTCTTTTGGGATTTATCTTCTTTTTCTGTCAATACAAAAAGTTCATTAATTATTCCCAATAAGAAACATTTGGTGTACCTTTTTAAATACGTTTATCCAATCATAAATTAGTTCCTCATTTGTTTCCCCTGAACCTTTTTATGACAAAATATTTGAAAATCTCACATGTCACCTGTAACAACTCTGGATTTGTTTTAAATCATAAAACCTGAACATAAATAAACATGATTATGTTATCATTATTTGTATTATATATTTATTTTTCCATCCATTTTTTTCCCCTTAATCCATTTCTGGGTCGGGGGGGTGTCAGTCAGAGCTGCCACCTATAGTCACAGAGCACCGGCCCCTCACTGATCCTCTGCAGGTGCTGAGTCCACAGGAGCCTTGATCTTTCAGCGGGGGCTTCAGGCAAAGTGGGGTTAAGTGTCTTGCCCAATGACACAACGACAGCAGTCCTCAGTGAGAGTGAGTGGAGAAGATCTCATTGTGGACTCGAACCCACAACCTTCAGGCTCAAAGGCCAAAGCTCTACCAACTGAGCCACTGTTTTATCCTTTTTTTATTTAATTAACTTATTTTCACACTTTATGGTCTTACTTATCAAAAGCGAACGTAACACATTTGTAATAATAATAACTCATTCACATAAACCACAAATAAAACACAGAACTGCCACGTTACCATAACAACTGTGTAAAAACTACATTACTGCAATATCTCTGTGATTATAACTCACCGATACTAACGACCTTTTCAAGTGTTTACCATAATTCATTAAACTCGATGGTTCCATGTGTTGTCAGGGCTGGAGGAGGCTGGTGGTGGGTGCCCCTGGTGGCCCCATGTGTCGGAGCTCTGCTGGGGACTCTGGTCTACGAACTCATGGTGGAAGTGCATCACGTCAAATCGTCGTCTGAGGAGATGAGTGAGAGCAGAGGTCTGGAGATGGACCGGTCAGAACCAGGAAAACCCGACTAGACCAAAACACTGGGAAGAGCATAGAGTCAGTCTGTAGGAAAATCCAAAACCGGCCTGTTATGTATGTGTATATTTATATGTATATGTATGTGTGTATGTACAGTATATATCTATGTACTGTATGTATGTGTATGTATGTGTTTGTATCGTGTTGGCGCTTTTTCAACAACTGCTATTAAAACACTGTCAGATAACAATGCATTGGTTTGATATTGCACTTGCCTAACATCATTCTTAGTCCACACTGTGCTGGTAGCTCCCCGTGTGTGGGACTGTGGGGGGAGTTGAACATTTTGTAAGATCAAGGCCGTCTTATCTCAAACTATGACGCACACAAGACTGAAGGGCCGAGACTGAAGGGCCGAGACTGAAGGGCCGAGACTGAAGGGCCGAGACTGAAGGGCCGAGACTGAAGGGCCGAGACTGAAGGGCCGAGACTGAAGGGCCGAGACTGAAGGGCCGAGACTGAAGGGCCGAGACTGAAGGGCCGAGACTGAAGGGCCGAGACTGAAGGGCCGAGACTGAAGGGCCGAGACTGAAGGACCGAGACTGAAGGGCCGAGACTGAAGGGCCGAGACTGAAGGGCCGAGACTGAAGGGCCGAGACTGAAGGGCCGAGACTGAAGGGCCGAGACTGAAGGGCTGAGACTGAAGGGCAGAGACCAGAGGCAGAACAGGAAACAGGAAGTGGACGCAGAGAACAGGACTGGACCATGAACGGACCAGAGGAAAGGATAATCACTTTATAGTTCCTCTTGGTAACCATCTGAATCCCCTCTGTTTACAACCCCGCTCTGTCTCTGCTCAGGAGAAGGAAGCGCTGAGGTGTGTAGAAAAGTTGGCTAAGTCCTTCATTGTGCCAGGGTTTTTTTGGCACAATGAAATCACTTTGAAACCTCCGGTCCCTCCAGTGATATAACCAACTCTCAATGCACTACTAAAGCAATGTCATAGAATCCATTTAAATTAGTCTTATTATTTAAAACATTTGTGTTCCTTGTACACAGACCAAAAGTAGACAGGTAACACACCCACCCACATACATTCTCTCCACTAATCCACGCATTCTCACAACTAATCTGGAACTTATTAAAATGAGCTGTTCTTTTAGTATAATCCTCATTTTCAGCATCATATTAATATTCCAAAATTTGGCATCATCCAAAAATAAAAAAACCATCAAAAAATGTATCCACAAAAATAAAAACTAGGAACAGAAACGAAAAGGTTAAATACAATAATAATAATAATAAAAAGGTATACGTATATTATTTGTAAATATGTAGTTCCCTGTTCTTAAAACACTTGAATTATTTGGTTCCATCCCTTTTTTTTAAAATGTATTTTTGGCTTCAGTCCCAGCATTTGATCTTTTTCAGGCAGAAAAGTGACAACTACAAGACCCCAACTCACTCATGTCTCAGCCCTAAATCATCTGTGACTCACAAAGCTCTTTCTTACTAGTACCCCAGCTTTCATATCAATGTTAGAGAATAAAACAAGCTGGACAATCATACAGAAGATATTTTCTCTTTTACACATTTATTCGAAACGACACAAAAAGTGTATGGCATTTCAGCAAGCAGACCACAACCATGGAAAAATGACATGTTTCCCACTATAGAGCTATATAAATATGACGTGACATATAAAAGATACAAACAAGCAGTCGGAGCAGCCCTCCGTCGCTGCGTCAGAAACATACAGAAGAAAAACAGGCAAGCACTGAGTCATTCATAAAAAAAAAAAAAAAAATCCACCATCTTCAATGATAAACGTTTGTATTCATACACATTAAGACAACACGGCCCCCAAGCCTTCCATCTGTCATTACAACGACAGCTACTTTTGGGAGATTTTTTTTTCTTCCATTTTTAACTTTTCAATGTGTTTAGAAAAAAAGGGAACAGTACAAGTACAAATACATATTCACATTATCATAACAAGTTACTAAAACCAGCGCACTTTTATTAGTGTCATTATATGTATTTACAAACTCGTACACATCCACTGGACACTTTATTAGAGACGGATTCAACTGATCGTGGAGCTAACGAGATGGCAGCAGCATCAATGCATTTGTTTCTAAGTCTCTGTGTAGGACTTCAATCTAAATGGAACAATAATAAACTCTAGACAGGATCGGACCAACAGGACTGAGGCTAAGTCCTGGTGATCCAAGATGGCGGCCTACTCAAATCAATTGTGCTCAAAATGGGATCTACATGGGGCGGCGAAAGATTAGTGGAACTTGTCCATATTTGGTCGTGGCTCTGGTTCCTCCCGGTTCTGCGCAGTGGACAAGCTCCCATGATGCTTGGCGCCAAATACGTGTGTGTGGCTCTCATGCACGTGCACAGAGGGGCTCGGCTGCGTTCTGACCAATCAGAGCAGAGCTAGAGCGTGAGGCAAACAAGCGGAGTTTGTTGCTTTTAAGTGTAGATTTATAGAAAACCAATGGATTTAACATGAAGAAAAGTTCAGGATGACAAGTGACACTAAAGGTTCTCTGTCAGGTTCTCTGTCAGCTGAGGTCGAGCTGTTTTAGTTTACATTGAGTTCTATGGGACATTTTTCTGAGTGAATGTAGCCTGCAGTACCATGGCGCCCACTGTGGCCATTGATGGGACAGCTATAAGATAGAAATACCCTATACAGTTATTATTTTAGATCCATGGCTGACATCCCATGGGTAAATGAGCAGTAATATGAAGCCAAATTCTCACGTAGCAACTCCCCAGCAACCAAAGAGCCAATCAAACGCACTGTTGGGTAGTTCCTGCTCGCCGAAATTCAGGGATAGAGGTCTCCAGATTGGTCAGTTTTTAGTGGTTATACCCGGATTTACAAAAACAAGATTAAGATAAAAACACCTGGATCACACGCTCAGCAAGATTCGGGGCCAAAGATATCTGATATTTGAATGGAGCCCAAAGAGAGAAGGAGCAAAACTTCAGCCATGAGCACTTCCCGCTGAGGCTTTCTGGAGCTCGCGGTAAGTGCTGCTGCCCATTCCTTTTCACAGTCTACGGGGATAACTCAAAATGCATTATATTGTAGTGGATGGATTATAATGTGACCATAAAGACAGTTTTGTTAACCTCCTGAGACCCTGCGACCTCATACGAGGACATTACATTTTTGCCTCTTGGCACAATGATACTCAATTTTTTACATCCTTGACCTGATGGCCACATTTAGGGACACTGCCCGCGCCATCTTGTGGTGATATGATAGAATTACACTTAAGGCAGTAGGAAAAAAATGGTGGCAATATCAGCAAAAGACTTCTACAAGAGTTCACAGAAGAAAAATGCCCCAGGTAAAAATTCTATCAACATTTTATGAATGAAATCAATTTTTTTTGCACAATAATGTCTCTAGCTTCATATGGAGTTTGAAATTTGACAAATTTTGATTGTAGTAGCAGGCTAGGATGTCAGTAAAAGTGAAGCACTCGTTTGAGGACGCTAGGACTATGTACCGCTATCTGTTTAGCTAACCGTGTGGAAGATTTAGATGAAGTTACAGTTGTAAATAGTTATTTTGAATCACACATTTGCTTAGTTATGTGGTTTACAGTTGTAAATAGTATATTTAAGTACTAAGTGGTATATGCTAAGTATTGTTTAGTGTTGCTAAATTCTAAATCATAAACAATATAGCTAGGCTATAGCTAGCACATGATAGCCAAGCTATGAAGTGTCACTGATATACTGTAGATTTTGATGTTGGTTTTTAACATTATCATTACAGGCACACTTTCATTGTCAAGAGCAGAACAATTGCTGTTGGCAATTGCAGACAACTCTGAGATAGAGGACTTCTCAGATGGGGATGATTGTATCATCATCTCATACCTGTCAGTCATCTTCTGGTGTTTCCCACGGGGAGAGGCGGCGAGCTGGGGTGGCCATACTCATTGCCCCCCATCTCAGCCGCCATGTGTTGGAGTTCTCCCCGGTGAATGAGAGGGTCGCGTCCCTCCGCCTCCGGGTGGGGGACAAGTCTCTCATTGTTGTGACGGCCTACGGGCCTAACAGCAGTGCAGAGTACCCGGCCTTCTTGGAGTCCTTGGGAGGGGTACTGGACGGTGCACCTCCCGGGGACTCCGTTATTCTCCTGGGGGACTTCAACGCCCATGTGGGAAATGCCAGTGACACTTGGAGAGGGGTGATCGGGAAGAACGGCCCCCCTGATCTGAACCCGAGCGGTGTTCAGTTGTTGGACTTCTGTGCCAGTCACGGTTTGTCCATCACGAACACCATGTTCGAGCACAAGGGTGTCCACCAGTGCACGTGGCACCAGGACACCCTAGGCCGGAGGTTGATGATCGACTTTGTTGTCGTATCATCTGACCTTCGACCGCGTGTCTCGGACACTTGGGTAAAGAGAGGGGAGGAGCTGTCAACCGATCATCACCTGGTCGTGAGTTGGATCCGCTGGCAGGGGAAGAAGCCGGTCAGACCTGGCAGGCCCAAGCGTATAGTGAGGGTCTGCTGGGAACGTCTCGCTGAGCCCCCTGTCAGACGGACTTTCAACTCACACCTCCGGGAGAGCTTCTCCCAGGACCCAGAGGAGGGGGACATTGAGTCCGAGTGGACCATGTTCTCTTCCTCTATCACCAATAAAGCGGCTCGTAGCTGTGGTCGCAAGGTCTCTGGTGCTGGTCCCGGCGGCAATCCCCGAACCCGGTGGTGGACACCGGCAGTAAGGGATGCCGTCAGGCTGAAGAAGGAGTCCTATCGAGCAATGATGGTTCGTGGGACTCCGGAGGCAGCTGTCCAGTACCGGCAGGCCAAGCGTGCCGCGGCCCGGGAGTTGCAGAGGCAAAAACCCGGGACTGGGAGGAGTTCGGAGAGTCCATGGAGCATGACTATCGGTCGCCCTCAAAAAGGTTATGGCAAACCCTCCGGCGCCTCAGGAGGGGGAAGCAGTGCTTTGCCAACACCGTGTATGGTGCGGGTGGAGAGCTGCTGACCTCGACTGGGGATATTGTAATCCTAACCCTAACCCGGAGATGGTAGCCTTGAAAAACCCCATGCGTTGCAGAGCACAAGACTGCATTGGAAAAGCCTGTGTCCGATGCATGACATGCAATGTGTACCTGTGCTTGCAAAGTGAATGCAACTGCTTTGCAGCATTTCACACTTGCCAATAGGGCTCTTCCAAACAGGCAGACAGATTGCTTTCTAGAAAAAGAGAGGGAGCTAGTTTGAAAAAAGCCCCGGTTCATAAGCTGTTCAGCAGAATTTTACTGTTTTAGGACTGTTAATAATATTTGCCATTATTTGTTCTAGTATTGTATTTATCAATTCAATTCAGCCATATTGAAGGCTTGAAATAGACAGTTTACACAGTATTTTGCGGTTTTATTTATGTATAGCCAATTTTTTGTCATGTGGATGAATGAAGAAAAAGGGAACCCAAATTGCAGGACTGAAAATCAAAGTAATTTAATAAAATAAATCCAAGGTAATGTAAAAACAGAACTGAAGACAGGACAAACATTGTGGAGACAATGGACGGACAACAAGTGAGGAAGGGCACAGGGTATATACACACACACAGGGACACACAGGGACACACAGGGACACACAGGGACACACAGGTGAATCACATTAGGGCGGGGCAACAATCAACAGGACAGGCAGGATTCAAACTCAACCAGGTCAAAATGTCCACACCATGACATTTTTAGGCTTTGAAGATTTTATGTCTAACTTTGATGTTTACATTTTTCAAATAAACTGTTATATACTATTTTAGACCAATGGAGTCTATTTGTATTGTATAGTAAGGTCGACCCACTGTACTTATATGAGGACATTGATTTTTGAGAGAAGTACTAATTGGATCAAGCTGAAATTTTGAATTTCAACTAATTAGGACCTTCCGGCCTAAAAGATCATACATTTTCTCTTTAGGTTATGAGAGACCCACTGTCCTCATACGAGGACATGTTTTTTCTCAAAAACTACTTCCTGTACAAAATCACAATTTAGGTATTATACTTATTGGGTCCTACTTATCCTAAATAGCAAAAAAATATATAAAATGCACACCAGACAAATGCTCGGGTCTCAGGAGGTTAAAGGAACCGTTTGTAACATCTGTATCCCCAGACTTGAACTAAACTCAATCAAATCAAACCCAAATTTCTGTTAAATTTAGAGGGTTTTTTTCCGTATAACAAACCCATGGACATGACGCCACATTGTCAGTCAACTACAAAAGTATCCTCAAGCCGAGTGTCCAATCAGAAAGAAGAAACAGCCTCTACATCCCAATTCATTCACAATAACTTCAGGAACGTTCAATTTCATTTAAGTGCTATCACAACATCGGAACGGTCTCAAATTGCACTTGACCAAAACCTGGACTTTTTTTTGTCTTTAAAGAACCAATAAGATATGGAAGTTTTTATGAAATTGGATGCAGCCTCTCGTGTGGGATGCCAGTTTGAACACATGTCTGCAGGTTTTACATACACTGCCTTTAAAATAACAGATTGAAACCATTAGACAGCGGGGCCTACAACTTCTATACATATAAAACGGGGCATTTTATAATATGTCTCATGTTCACAGAGTTTTGGTAAAAGTTTTGAATCATTTTCTTAGACATATAGATTAATTAAATGGTTCATGTGTCGCGACAAGACAACATTTTGACTAATTATTCAACATTAAATGATGCAGTTCACATTTTATGTTTATGTTTTGTAGCAGAATTCTTGTTTTTTTCCTTCAACCTAAATGTAAAGTTAAAATCTTCTTTTGAGACAATCGCAGGACATTTTAATTCATTCAAACGTGTCCAGTCCCCAACAATAGTCGCCATCTGGATGTGTTTAGAGCGGGGTCTCCAACCTTTTCCCCACAGAGAGCTACTCTTTTAGGACAAAAAAGGCAGAGAGCTACTCCTTTAAGCTGTTCAAGATACATGAAGTTATTATGGAATTGGATTATTTTATGGGTTTCTAACTGTAAATCATTGATTATTTCGGGATTATGTTTTGTTCAGCACCTTGAGTTGCCTTCTGTATGATGTAAATAATGTGGGGTAGGCGTAGCAAACTTAATGATATACAGTGCCTTGCGAAAGTATTCGGCCCCCTTGAACCTTTCGCCACATTTCAGGCTTCAAACATAAAGATATAAAAATTTTATTTTTTGTCATGAATCAACAACAAGTGGGACACAATTGTGAAGTGGAACAAAATTTATTGGATAATTTAAACTTTAAAAAAAAATAAAAAACTGAAAAGTGGGGCGTGCAATATTATTCGGCCCCTTTACTTTCAGTGCAGCAAACTCAGTCCAGAAGTTCAGTGAGGAACTTTGAATGATCCAATGTTGTCCTAAATGACTGATGATGATAAATAGAATGCACGTGTGTGTAATCAAGTCTCCGTATAAATGCACCTGCTCTTTGATAGTCTCAGGGTTCTGTTTAAAGCGCAGAGAGAACCATGAAGACAAAGGAACACACCAGGCAGGTCCGAGATACTGTTGTGGAGAAGTTTAAAGCCAGATTTGGATACAAAAAGATTTCCCAAGCTTTAAACATCTCAAGGAGCACTGTGCAAACAGTTATATTGGAATGGAAGGAGTATCAGACCACTGCAAATCTACCAAGACCCGGCCGTCCCTCCAAACTTTCATCTCAAACAAGGAGAAGACTGATCAGAGATGCAGCCAAGAGGCCCATGATCATTCTGGATGAACTGCAGATAACTACTACAAGTCTTCTCCTTGTTTGAGATGAAAGTTTGGAGGGACGGCCGGGTCTTGGTAGATTTGCAGTGGTCTGATACTCCTTCCATTTCAATATAATTGCTTGCACAGTGCTCCTTGAGATGTTTAAAGCTTGGGAAATCTTTTTGTATCCAAATCCATCTCTAAACTTCTCCACAACAGTATCTCGGACCTGCCTGGTGTGTTCCTTTGTCTTCATGGTTCTCTCTGCGCTTTAAACAGAACCCTGAGACTATCAAAGAGCAGGTGCATTTATACGGAGACTTGATTACACACAGGTGCATTCTATTTATCATCATCAGTCATTTAGGACAACATTGGATCATTCAAAGATCCTCACTGAACTTCTGGACTGAGTTTGCTGCACTGAAAGTAAAGGGGCCCAATAATATTGCACGCCCCACTTTTCAGTTTTTTATTTTTTTTTAAAGTTTAAATCATCCAACAAATTTGATTCCACTTCACGATTGTGTCCCACTTGTTGTTGATTGATGACTAAAAATTAAAATTTTATATCTTTATGTTTGAAGCCTGAAATGTGGCGAAATGTTGCAAGGTTCAAGGGGCCCGAATACTTTCGCAAGGCACTGTACTCAAGGATTCTTTGAAATGTCTAAATTCTCCCCACAGTAAGGAATTGTTTTGCTCATCCTAAATCCTGACAGTGATTTCTTGACAATTTTATATTTGCGCAATTTAAATTATGTTAATATTTTATCTTTAGGCACAAATGCACCAGTCACTGCCCTTTGATAATCAACTCAAACCAATCCATTGAGTCTCTGATAATATCTTCAGTGAAAGTACAACACATTTGAAACCTCTGACCTTCTTCAAGCCGCCGCTTCACAATTAAACATTACACCTTTTCACACTTAACAGGTTTAAAGTCCTTCATAAACTCATCTCATAAAAAACGCCTTCAGATTTGCACCTTTCATGTTGAAGAAGTTCCGTTCGTATAAATAAATATTACAATATTTTCGCAAACATAAAAAAAGTGTAAATTTTCTAAAGCGATCCCCTTTGGTGGATCTGTCTCAGCAGCTAAAAAGTCAAAAGTGTAGCCGATAAAACAGAAAAGCCCGAGTGCAATGTAGTGAAGGCAAAGAAACTGTAGAAGTGGCAGGAGCGATGCTGGAGTGTTGCATGAGTGAACATCAGGTGGCGCTACAGTTATTGCAGACGTGAGAATGATTAGGACATACTTGAACACGGATGTTTCAGACTAATGCCTTTCTCTCACGGTCAGTGACGGAAACATGCAGTTACAATCCGACAGAAGAGGTGCCGTAAGATATTTAAAACTGTCTCTATTTATAGGGGTAAAAAAACAGCACAAGAAGCAGCCATTTCTAGATTCAACATTCATTTTGAGTGATTCTTTTGGCTCTGTTCGTTCCTAGGGCTTGTCCGTCTTGTGCGCCGTGAGGAACGCCATCCCGTGGGTTCGGAAGTGCGTGTTGAGGTCTGAGGCTTTGTCGAATCTCCGCCCGCACACTCTGCAGGTCTGGTTCCCCTCCAACTCCTCCCCGAGAGCGCCGGGCGAGGCGGCGGGCGAGCCGTCTGGAGAGTGGTGCGCGCGCTGTGACCCGGCCGAGGGGACTTCACCACCGCCACCGCCGCTGCTATGAGTGTCCCGGACGCGGTGAGTGATGAAGCGGTGTCTGCCCAAGGACCCGGCCGAGGCGAAGCACACGCCGCACTGCAGACACTGGAAGGAGGCGGTGTCGGCGCGGTGCTGCGGGATGTGCTGCTGGAACTCGGCCCCGTCCTCCGTGGTGAAGCCGCAGGGCACGCACCGGAACACACTGTCGTCCTCCTCTGGATCGGCAGCGGCGGCGGTGGCGGTGGGGGCGGGGGCTGCGGACGTGCGAGTTCTCTTGGCGGGAGCGGCCCCCTCCTCGCCGTCCTCGGAGCGGTGGTCTTCCTCCTCCGGTCCGGGCCGCGGTGCAGACGCTCCCTCGCCCTCCAGCTCAGAGGAACTGCCGTCAACTCCGGTCGCCGCGCGCTTCCTGGTCATGGGAGGAGCCTGAGAGGAGAAAGGTTGAGGCTTGTTGAAGATTCATGCACAAAAGGTATGAACGAGACTCGCTTCTGTCTTCACTGTGTGTGGAGATCTGAACTCTGAACAATAGTAAAGCACTTTGGGTGACCTTGGTCTGTAAAATGCGCTCTATAAATAAACCTTATTTACTAACTTGGCATGATTTTTTTTTAGCTACAGGAGTTAACAAATGTTCTTGACAACCACTATTTGACAAAAACATTTAACATTTTATACACAGTACTTTAGACTTGCCTCTTATGGCCAAATGTAAACTTTTACACTTTTATTATTTTCAAGATAGAGATTTTATACTTTTATTGATAGAGTTAGAGAATTTGTTTTATTTTTATTAGTACAGCTATAGTTCACTTAAACTGTGCCGTGTGCTTGCCTACTCTTCTATAACTTGGGATGCAACACGGAAATTTCCCCACTCTGGGACTAATAACGGATCTCTTAATCTCAATCACTTTTAATTTTGTATTGATTTTTTATTCTATTGAGGGAAAGCCCTTTGAGATGCAGGAGAGGGTCCCAATAATTAACATGATATATCTTGCACAAAAGCAACATTTGGCACACTTCCTGTCTTTTTGCTCACCCTGAGTAATAATCCATTGTGAGATCAATAAAGCCGATCTTATCTCTCTGATCACCGAACACACAAAAACATTCCACACACCTGGCCGTCGGAGTTTCGGTGATACAGCCGAATGTGCTTGTCCAGGAGGAAGCGGCTGCCAAAGGTGCGTTTACCTTCAGTGCAGAATCTGAAAATCCACAAAGTCTGATCATTCTGAGAAATCTGGTTTGAAAAAGGTGTCGAGCAGCGGCAGCACTCACTGGCAGCGGAAGACACGTTTGTTTCCTTCATGAATGACGCGCTCGTGACGGCGCAGACTGGACGAGGTGCTGAACGACCCTCCACAGATGCGGCACGGGAACTTTGAGGAGCACGGAAATATTAAGGAAAGAGAAGCTTAAAACAGTGAGATTTGGACAATAACAATTAATGATGATTTTATGGTTTGAATGCAAAATGTTTGGATGGATTTTATGTGATTTTATTGTTAAGCACTTTGGTCCAATCCACTTTATTCATATAGCACATTTCATAAACACTGGATTTGTTTTAATTATTATTTTATTGTGCAGCACTTTGGAGACTGTGTTTATGAAATGTGCTGTATAAAAAAAGTGGATTGGACCAAAGTGCTTAACAATAAAATAATAATTAAAACAAATCCATTGTAAGGCAGTAAAATAATTCAAATTGTGTGTGCATAATTATATGTATAAATATAAATAAACAATAAAAAGATAAAACAAAATAAAAAGGCCCATAAAACTCACGCAGCGTTAAAAGCCAAAACATAAAAATCGGTCTAAAGACTGGACTTAAAACACTAAATATCACGCACAATAAAAGCGTGCATGACCTGCTCAGAAAGATTAAAAGATAAAAAAGGTTTAACTTTAGATAAAAGTCGCAAATGATAAAAGCTTGATTTTAAAAAGTTTATGAAGTTTAAAATCACGGTCTAATGTGACGCCTTGAGTCTTGTAAATGGCTCTAGAAATATTATTGATTTAGATATTTGATTTATATTCGATGAAGTGAATAAATGAGCAGAGCCTTCAGAGTTTGCAGACTGCGGTCCAGACTGCGGTCCAGACTGCGGTCCAGACTGCGGTCCAGACTGCGGTCAAGACTGCGGTCAAGACTGCGGTCCAGACTGCGGTCCAGACTGCGGTCCGGACTCACTGATCTCTTTGTTACCTTTCCATGCTCCATTTTCACGTGGCTGAGGAAGTCGTTGTGGTCCGTGAAGGTGGTCTGACACTGAGGACAGGTCCACTCCGTTTGGTTGGCCGAGACCGTTTGACTCCCGGGAGCTTCGTAATCTTCATCTGCATCATCGTCATCTTCTTCATCCTCCTCATCCTCCTCTTGATCGCGGCCCCAGTCCTCTCCGTCAGAGTTGTCGGTTTTTGCTGAAGACTTGGACTTGAGGCCAGAGGCACCGGCGTTCGACGGGGCGGGGGCCGAGCTCGAGGTTTCAGACTGGACTTCTAGTTTGGTGAGCTGACCTCTGTGAGCCGTCTGAGGAAAGGAAGGAACTTAATGAACAAACAAAACAAAAATGTTGAGAACTGTAGGGGCCCGGTCAGCACAACACCAGTTGGTCCCCGCCAGTTGGGACCAAATAGTGGGTCACCAAAGAACTTGTACTGTAAAAGCTGAAGACCCACTTTGATTCTGCTTTAACCTGTTTGCAACGAGAGCTAGTTTGTGACTTTCTGTTACTCACATGGCACTAAAAAGGATTCTGATTCAACTAGTTTGTTTGGACCCGTGTCAGCTTTTATTAAAGGTAGAGAAAGCGATTCTGTTAGCTTAGAGATGTGCTCATGTGCTGCTTCATTCCATTTCACAATTTTCACAAATTCGATTGATTGCCCAGCCCTAACCGATTGTATTGTTTTATTTACCAAGCTTTGTCCATAAAAGTACATTTCATCATTAGAAAATAACAACATGAACCTTGAAAACATTTACTTTATATTCAGTACAAGTGCGGTTTATAATCCAGCAAGGACAGAATAATGGACAAAACGTATCATCCGGCACAGTGAGCGACGGAGACACATTCCAACTATTTATTTTTACAAGGACAACTTACGAAGAAGGAGCAGAAAGTAGTATCCAGAAAAACACACTCTAAACTCACTATATGTGTGTTCTTGCATTAGAACTTAACCACGGGCCACGGGAGACGGGCCGAGCTAAAGCTGACCCCAGAGTTTACAGTTCGCCTTTGTTGACGCCTCACTCAAGCACTGAACGGGCAACACATGCAAGACAAAGGACTCACCCTGATGTGCTCCATCATCGAGCCTTTCTGAGCGTAGAGTTTGGTGCAGTCCGGACACTTGAACACGTGCACTTTCTGTTTGGCTAAATGAGTGTCAAAGTGCATGTAGAGCAGGGGCTTCAGGGTGAACACAGTGTCGCACATCACACATTTGTAGATCATTCTGAGGAGAGAGAGAATGGATTATATGAGAGGGAGAGACAGAGAGATACAGAGAGAGAGAGAGAGAGACAGAGAGATACAGAGAGAGAGAGAGAGAGAGAGAGAGAGAGAGAGAGAGAGACAGAGAGAGAGAGAGAGAGAGAGAGAGAGACAGAGAGACACAGAGAGAGAGAGACAGAGAGAGAGAGAGAGAGACAGAGACACACAGAGAGAGAGAGACACAGAGAGACAGACAGAGACACAGAGAGAGAAACAGAGAGAGAAACAGAGAGACAGACACAGAGAGAGACAGAGATAGACCCAGAGAGAGAGACACACACACAGAGACACACACAGAGAGAGAGACAGAGAGAGAGAGAGAAGAGAGACAGGGAGAGAGAGAGACAGACACAGAGAGAGACAGACCCAGAGAGAGACCCAGAGAGAGAGAGAGACACAGAGAGAGAGACAGACCCAGAGAGAGAGAGAGAGAGAGAGAGAGACACAGAGAGAGAGATACAGAGAGAGAGAGACACAGAGAGAGAGAGAGCGAGAGAGAGATACAGAGAGAGAGACAGAGAGAGAGACAGAGAGAGACACACAGAGAGAGAGAGAGAGACAGAGAGAGACAGACACAGAGAGAAACAAAGAGAGAGAGATAGAGATTAACCAGTAAAAGTTAGAAATATGTATATTTGTTATTTTTGATCAGCCTGCAGGGACTACGGCTGGAAATTAGCTCCTGAGATATAACATCTTTCCCTTTGAGGTTAATGTTTAATGTACACTGTCCCTGTCCTTTTAATAAACTTAAAAATAAAACATTAAAAGGTGAAAAACAGATAAAATGATAACGTTGTCATTGTGGTTTTGAAGATCTCCCACAAAGTTATCAAAACGGCAATACAAAAAGTTTGTTTGTTGTTATTTCTAATAGTAAAGAGACATCTGGATCTTTTTAAAGGACACGTTTCGTTGAGATCCATTCATTTCAAAAAGAGGTGATTTTCTGGTTCCTGAACTGGCTTTGAAAAATAATACTTATAATTGACTCCCTGTAGGCGCTATCCCAGGGGCAGATGTTTTTTTAGATTCCCCGCTCCCTGCTCACCTGAGGCTCTGCTCTAGTAGAAAGCAGTTGAAAACAAACATAATAAAGGTTTGGAGGAGTGCTGAAGTCCATCTTAAAGCTGCACTAACTGACTTTATTTTTGTATTCATTACAAAAAAGCTATCCATGTCCATGTAGTGCATTGGAATATACGTCCTTTTGAAGAAAAAGTAGCGCAGGTTTGGGCTGGCGTGACATTATATTTTAGATCGAGTTTTGATGAAACAAGGACGAGAATGTGTTTCGGGTCGCAGATTGTGACCAATCACAGCGGACCACTGACCCCCACTTTCGTGAGAAATCTCCAGGTCCGTTAGCATAGACGGCTGAGTTAGCACAACAAGCGGCGGAGCTAACCTGAAACTTTCTCGTCTTCGTCACCGGTTCCTGCTTACACAGCGAGACAGCCATCCAAAAGAAAGTCTCGTTCCTCCGCGCTTCCCGGTTCTATCGTTCTATGGTCACGCCATCCACGTGAAAATCCATGTCCATGTATTTATCCACATTGGGAGACGCTTGCTCCGTCCCAACACTGTGTGTGTGCGGGGAGGGGAGCAGAAAGAGCGAGGCCAGCGAGTCCGCGGCTTCAGAATCCCAAAGTCAGTTAGTGCAGCTTTAATTTTGTTTTAAGAAAGAGGCAACCTTCTTTCTGCTCCTTCTCCCAAAGGATTCCCTTGAAAAACAGGTTCTTAATCTCAGTGGGATTTTTTTTGGTTAAATAAAGGTTAAATGAAAAAATTAAAATACAATGATTTGAATCCAGGCTAAAATAACTTGAATTTACGACTACACTGGTGGCCTACTGGACTGAACCATGCAGGAGCACCAACGCGCCGGTTCTTATGATGTCACTGGGGACCCGTGATCTCAGTGCTGCAGAGTGTGGTGGTCTTACTTGGCCTGCCCCCCGCTGAGGTTGGGGTGCTGGGTGCTGATATGGCTCTGGGCGGAGGGGGCAGACTTGAAGGCCATGGGGCAGCTGGGGCACTTGTGGAAGACCTCGCAGTGAGCCGTCTGGATGTGGGACTTGATGGAGTTCAGGCCTCCAAACACCACCTGGCAACTCGAGCACCTGCGACACACACACAAGAATCAGTATAGGAAGATTAAAGCTGGGGTATGCAACTTTCTGCAACGACTATTTTAATAGTTTAATCCATCTCTTGCTCGCGAAACCGTTGGGCTAGTTTTCTTTTTTGGTACATAGCCAGAAAAGTGGAAAAGAGGGCCACCCCCACTCGGCCATAAAGAGAGAGAAACACACACACAGAGAGAGAGAGAGACACAGAGAGAGAGAGAGAGAGAGAGAGACAGAGACAGAGATAGAGATAGAGACAGACAGACAGAGAGAGGCAGGCAGAGAGAGAGATAGAGACAGACAGAGAGAGACAGGCAGAGAGAGAGAGAGAGAGAGAGAGACAGACAGACAGAGAGAGACAGGCAGAGAGAGAGAGAGAGAGAGATAGAGACAGACAGACAGAGAGAGAGACAGGCAGAGAGAGAGAGAGAGATAGAGACAGACAGACAGAGAGAGACAGACAGAGAGAGAGACAGAGAGAGAGACAGACAGAGACAGACAGAGACAGAGAGACAGGCAGACAGAGACAGACAGAGACAGAGAGAGACAGACAGAGAGAGAGACAGGCAGACAGAGACAGAGAGACACATTACAGATTGTGTAATTTAAATATTGTGTGCATTTATTTATATATGTTTATATAAACGTATATGTTTATTTTGTTTGTCTGCTATGAAAATAAAAAAGACAGCATGTTATGGTCTGATTTGTTCCCAACATTGTGGTTTTACAAAACTATTTCTAGTGGGACTAACATATAATATATGGAGAGGAAAATGATGGTAATCTTTTTGATCATTGATAAATATATATATATATATATATATATATATATACATTTGTGTGTGAAAAAGATTGTCACGTTCTACTGTATTTACTACTTCTGGTTTGAGCTGAAAGAAACATAAATGTTCATTGCTCAGAACTTCAATAGAATTCCTGAATAGAAACCGCTCTCATAAATTTACCAAAGGTGTCCCGGAGAATCTGGTTTATTGCCTTCATAAACATGTTATAGACAGGTTAGAAAAGCTTGAGTCATGTGACCTTACTGTCGCTCAACTCAAGAAAACAACCATTGACTTTATATTTAAATAAGACATTAAAAGTTTGTCAAAGCAGAGCGTGTAAAAGCCACAGCCCTCGGAGAAAATGCAAAGGTGGTCTGAGCTAAACGCAGATGGCAGAGTAAAAGATCTCTCAAAATAACTTTCAAGCTCATTTCTAAAACCAAAGTCAGAAAAGATAATATTTTAGAGATATTAATATTGTGAGAAAACAATATTGATACAGCGGTTACTTAATACCTGAGGATTTATCTATTTACATTAATGAAATCCAACTGTGCATGAAGGTGAAGTTAGTGCAATATATACATGAAGTTGAGCTAAATAAAATACATATAGGATGTTATGTTTATTGATTTTCTAACAATAGGTAAATTATTTTTTTTCTCTAATGAATGAATTAAATATTTATTTAAAAACCTGCACACATCATGATCACAGGAAACAAGAAAGCAGAAGCACGTACAAGGATTGAAAAGGGGTTATATGAATCCAAACCCCCCTCATCAGACAATAGGACAAACAATAGCATCCTGGGTAAATCCACCACATTATACACAAGTTTACAGTAAAAACAATACAGTAACTACCACAAGACACCCCACAAACGCACAGCAATATACATTTTTTTATTTTATTTATAATCATTCTTTTAGTTCTCACACTCATTGATAACTTAATACTCCTGAAATCAACAGCCTTTGCACTGAAAAATGTCTTCATCTTTAATCAGGAAGTCCAGCTCAGTCCTGGGCTGTTCCCTGGACACAGTGCAGCAGGGGGGGGACAGGAGGGTCCTGGACAAACTAACATCTATGTGGACCATGACTGTCACCCCCTGCAGGACACTCTCTCTGCCCTGGAGAGCAGCTTCAGTGATAGACTTATTCACCCTTGCTGTGTGAAGGAGAGGTTTTGCAGGTCTTTCCTTCCTGCTGCTGTCAGACTGTACAACGAGAATGTGTAACAAGAACTGCTGAGTCTGCACAAGTGTCACTAATGATTCACTCGTCACTTTGTCATTAGTCACTTTTACCTGTTGATATTATTACTGATTATTCTGCTCATATTCTCTGCTGCTTAAGAATATACACATCTGTAAATACTCCTGAACCAAGTGCAATTATAGCTCCTGAGTATATTTAATTTTTTTCTTTATCTTATTTTAATTATATTGTCTATTATCTTAATCAATAGACTATTTGATGAGTGCATCTGAGTCTTGTTTACGTCTTTCTCTGCTGTAATGTGCGCAACGATGACAATGACATTTCTCCACTGTGAGACGAATAAAGAAATATCTTAATAACACCTGCCCTCGCTCCACACATGTGTTGACGTGTCTTGGGCAGTACCTGTATCCAATGCGGCGGGCGAAGTGCAGGCAGGCCTCCTCCAGGTGGGTCTGGAAGGTGGCGGGCCGTGCGGTGCCTCCACACTCAGGGCAGACGTGCGGCGCTTTGTGTTTGTGGACTCTCTGGTGAGCGGACAGAGCGCACGAGTTCGGCAGCATCATCGGAGGAGAGCACTGAGAACACGTCTGGGACCAGAGGGAACAGACATTAAAGGTACACTGTGTAGTTCTTACTCCCATCTAGCATTGAGATCATATATTGTAATTTACGGTTTATATTGGCTTCACAGGACGATATGAGGTATTTGACAGTGGTCTCCAACTCCTGCATGAACTCCTTTTTGTCCCTAATGTACATTTCTCCATTATGAGATCAATAAAGTTTATCTTCTCTCATGAATCACTGTATTTTAAGATGGTGCATTGACACAGAATCCTCAGCTTCATGGACATTTAGAAGTCACATTCGAAGCCCATGACAATTCAAAAACATGGTGAAGGTAAATATTCTTGAAAAGTCACATTTGTTTTTGGTGAACATGTTTTTTTTCATTTGGAGTAGGGCTGGACGATATGGCAAAAAAGTAAAATCTCGATTTGATTTCCTGCTTTCCTGATTTCCACTCAGCCACCTGCCACCGGGCGGCACGGTGGCTGAGTGGATAGCACTCTCGCCTCTCAGCAAGAAGGTCCTGGGTTCGAATCCCGGTCAGACCAGGGCCTTTCTGAGTGGAGTTTGCATGTTCTCCCCGTGTCTGCGTAGGTTTCCTCCGGGTACTCCGGTTTCCCCTACCACTAAAAATATGTTCAATAGTTCTGGCATGCGCCTCCTGTACTGGCGACCCCGCTCCCATCTCTGTGTGGAGTGAGAGACAAATGCCCATAATTAACAATTGTAAACCGCTTTGAGACTCAGATCTGCAGTGAAAAGGCGGTATATAAATAAAAACTTACTTACTTACTTACTTACTTTGAACGATTTTGATTTTAAATTGATTTTCATTAAAGTTTGTCCTTGAAAATATATTTTGATCTTTCCGCTCAATAATCAAGTTTAAAAACCATTTTCTTCTTTGTTTCCCCCAATACGTATTATAAAAGTCTTGTACAGACTGTGCTGATATTGCAAGTATAATTCATGTGCTGCTGGACCTCTCACAATATCCTTCATTCGATTTCTCAATTTTCACATTTATCACAAATTCGATTTTTTAAAAAGCCGATTAATTGCCTAAATTCGATTTATTGCCCAGCCCTAATTTGGAGCAACTGTAAAAATTACATTGAGCACTTTTAAAGACAGGAAGGGAGGGGTTTACGGTGGTTTCATGTCAAAATCAAATTCTATCAAGACTTTAAACACTTTAGGGACAAGAAATGTCACCGTCAATTTTCTATTAGATACTGCCTTTTTTGACCAAATATTTTAAATTTCTAAAAAACGCTTTCAACGCGGAACATTTTTCTTTTTCAGGAGCTGCACAATCTTATAAATTGTCAGATTGAAAGCTTGTGCTTGGATTATTCTAGATCCAGTTGCAAACCTTTTAAATGATCCAAACACTCTGTATCTGCCCTGAAGAAGCGTCGGGAAACTAACTGAGTAAAGCTTTTCGGGCGGCACGGTGGCTGAGTGGATAGCACTCTCGCCTCTCAGCAAGAAGGTCCTGGGTTCGAATCCCGGTCGGACCAGGGCCTTTCTGAGTGGAGTTTGCATGTTCTCCCCGTGTCTGCGTAGGTTTCCTCCGGGTACTCCGGTTTCCCCTACCACTAAAAATATGTCCAATAGTTCTGGCATGCGCTTCCTGTACTGGCGACCCCGCTCCCATCTCTGTGTGGAGTGAGAGACAAATGCCCAAAATTAACAATTGTAAACCGCTTTGAGACTCAGATCTGCAGTGAAAAGGCGGTATATAAATAAAAACTTACTTACTTACTTACTTTTCTGTACTATCCATGTTGGTTAAAATCTGAGTTTAGATTCAAAGATTAAACATTTATTTGCCATTTGCAGTAAAACCACACTGGAAAAACTGTGCAAGACCACCCACAGCAGAAAGCACACACCAGGGCTCGTGCCACGACGCCATGTTTCTGGACAGACTTGAAAAATGGCACCGCGTGGACATAAATTTAAATGACTTATTCACACATTTTAAAACCTTGACATGTTTCAATATATGCATGCTGTTTCCAAAAGCAGTTCTACAAAGGTTGCAAAGATATGGAATACAGTCATTAATAAATAGGGAGGTCAATCTCAGATCTCCTATAATATTAATAATAACTAAATCTGGCCACGCAATCTCGCATCCCATCTCGCCTTGTGTGAAATTACCCCTAATCCTCAGCGGCAGCCATATTGGACCTTCATCGTCGTCTTACCGAGTTTGAAGTGGCTCTGATCTGCTGGAAATGCGTCACGAGCTCTGCCTTGTTGTTGCACTGCGTTTGGCACTCGGGACATTTGAAGTTGTTGTACTGCAGCGACTCCGCCTTCTTACAGGGGAGGGGCATCAGCGCCTGGGGGCCGGCCGCTCGTCGCACCTGCCGCGGCTGAGCTGAGGCCGGGGCCGAGTCCTTCCTGGGGCTGGTGCCGGTGGACGGACCAGAGGTGGAGGAGGTGGAGGAAGAGGAGACTGGAGGAAGAGCAGAGACACAGGTGGGACATGATGGTATTCACATAAACACACGGGAAAGTGGTAATCAACAAACTTCTTCAAAAATCTAAAATATGACAATATATATTATTTAAAAAACAAGGGTATGTATGTATTTAACTAAACCAAAATTTAGTAGGAAAAAAGGGAAGACAAAAAACACGAGATGCAGGAAAACCCAGAGTCAATATCGCCACCTCCAGTAAATAAATTATATATATATTTTAGTTTCAAGGATCTTCCAGTGACTCCCTTGTAGACCTTTATATGAGTGTAATTGTAGAGATTACAGAGGAGTGAGGTGAAAATATGATGTCCCAAAATAGCTGTATACTTAGATGCTTGTTAGAACCTCTTTTGATGTGGCGGTAAAAGCTCAGATGGTCGGCCGCAGATGATTTGTACCTCTTCAAGATTCTACTGACAAAAAACTGGTTGCAGAAACATCCACCTACTGTAAATCTGGTCATTTCAATTGTGGAAAATCTTAAACTCATGGAGCGGATGACCTACACTTCGCGACTCCAGAAGAACTGGGAAAAAGGCGCTGTTCAAAGTGGCTGGACTTTATAGTGACAGTACAGAGACGGTACAACAAATGTGAATTGTAGACTCAATGTTTTGTATTTTTGTATTATATTGCTAGCCATCCCTCAACCTCTAATTTTTGTGTTTAAAAATTGCACACACAAAAAAAGAAAAAAAAAAAAGAAGCTGATTCTTTACAGAGAGAACTGCTTCACGGCACAGAAATCCACTTTACACCAAACAAACACAGAGAATCAGCAAAACAAACATAAGCAACAAAAGCAAACTCAGATCTAGCATTGGGTTTAAACAGTAGCAATATTTACCATTTATCTGAAGCTTAGAACATTTTTGTATTAAAAAACCTGCACATAAATGGCTTATAATAAACTAAATGTAATAGAAAAGCATGTCATATTTGGACTTTAAAACATGGACTGAAAAGGACAGATACAATGGACATTTTTATTAGTTCTGTTTAGTTGTTTGAGCTTAGAGCGATACACGCACTTGATACAGCACAAAAGACATCAATGTTTGTTTAATTTATGTAATGAAGCTGTAGGCAAATATAAGTGCTTTGTGCTTCTGCCTACTCCTTTTGAGCACTAGCACTTAAGAGTAAATTATTAGTATTAAAGTCATTGAACCCTGTAAGAATCCAAAAAGGTGAGAAAATCTGTAGAGCTGTGGTTTTATTCTACCGTCTGATATCCATGTATTACACAGTATGTTGTTTTAATATATTTCACACCCCCTGGCATATATATTAATGTATTATTAATGTGTATTAGAGGGAGACTGAAGGGTTTGTTCATTTTACTGTACAAGCGAGACACCTGGTTGCACTGTGTCATACAAATATTATGTTGATACTAGATGTAAAATATATACAAATGTCAAATGAAAAAAAACCTCTGGAGTAAAAGTTCAACATTATATCACCAAAGTATCACAAATGACAAAATGACTTCTAACTCCCAAACTCAGCACAATGATCTCAAATGAATAGAAAAACAATGATTATGATTTCCTTACCTCCGATGGGCGTAATGTCCTGTTGTCCGATCATCTGCTCCACGGTGACGGGCCTCATGACCAGATGAGAACACTGCATCACCAGCCCGCGCTCTTTATGCTCCCGCGCGTGAAGCAGCAGACTGCACTTGTTGAAAAAGGCCAGCCTCTTCGCACAGTGATTACACGTCACCTCTATCCGCAGCGATCTTCTGTCGTAGTGCCGGGCCAAGCTCCGCTCCAGCGCAAACGCGTCCCCACACTCCAAACACCTGTACCCAGTCGAAGGCAGAGGCAAGCCCCACTCGGGAGGTGGAGGGGCGGACAGGTCTGGCTTGTAGCTTGGTAGCAGATTCTTACTGTTTAGGATTTTGTTGAAAGCCTCTACCAAACTGGACTGACTGCGGGAGATGACAGCCCCTGTACTGTTGACTATAGACGCAGGTTTACTGGGCTGAAGGCTGCTTGTTATTATAGTCCCGCTGCCCCCATTAGCGGTCTTATTAGTGGACGTGCGCACGCTTATGCCACCAGAGCCGGCTGAAAACTTCCCGGTGGAGGTGACGGAGGGAGTCGCCGGTAAAGCTGTGGATTTTGTGATGCTAACGGCAGTGGCAGAGACCTTTGCCTTTTCAGACGCAGCCATTTTGTTCTGGACTTTTGTAGCAGCTGCGAGCATCACGCTACTGGCAGCGAGAGTGGACACGGGTAAAGAATTCAGGGCACTGACTTTCTGCGAAGATGTGGTGACCTGCCCAGCTTCGTTTTTAGCATTTTTGTTTGATAAAAGTTTGTGTTCCCCGCTCTTATCCACCCCGCCTTTCGATGCTACTCTGGTGACTGTCCGAGTTACCCCTGTGGATGTTTTAATAGTCTTTATTCGGACTTTCAGAGGACGAGATGGTGCGCCAGAAGCGACAAGGGCAGCGTTAGGGTCTGCTGCTGGTGTTTTTGATTTTGTGTATTCAACGTCCATTTTCTCTCCCCCCACTTTAGCATTTTCACCCTTTTCTGCATCTCCCTTCCCATCTGCAACCCTGTCAATGCCATTCCCATTCCCGACTTCCATCTCCTCCTCCTCTTCTTTGGGCTCCCTGAGTTCAGATGAAGGCGGAGTGGATACTACTGCAGGACTCGAGCACCTCTTGGATGCCACATGAGCTGTAGATTTGGGCGCCTCTGGCTCAGGACTTTCCGGGGAGTCTCTCTCTTCGATCACATGCTCTGGATGCTTGTCTTCTTGTGCAGTACTTTCTGTCGAACCAGACTGAGGCAGGGATACGCCCATAGATGCCCCGGAAGGAGTGTCCCCTGGTTTCTGATGTGGGGCTAGAGACGAAGAGGGCAGCGTTAAATCCGACTTGTATCTTTGACTTGGCTCGGTTGGTGATTCAGGGGTTTCTTGAATCACTAATGGGCTTCCCAAGTCTGGGTCTGAATCTTCCTCCTCCATCGGTGTGTGCTGAAAACCTCCTTTGCTAGCACCATTAAAAGGCTGAGTAGAGTGCAGTGGGTGTGGCGGCGTAGGTAGCACCGGTTTGGAGGGAGGGAAGAAAGGCGAGGTTAGTCCGATAGGAGGCCCAGCAGCAGCCAACGGTGATGTCCCAGGCGGTAATGAGGAAGATGACGGCAGCGACGCTCTGACCTCATCTGGTCGCTCTTGGCCGGTGTCTTGTTGCTGTTGATGCTGCTGCTGTAGAAGTTGCATTTTTCTGGCTCTACCCACAGGATCGCCAGTAATCTGTGATACAAGAGGCTTCAGTCTATTGAAAATGTTGCTACCCTGTTTATGCGTCTTGCTCTCAGTTGATTCAGAGGACACTTTGCTTGTGTTGATGGACCAAGGGGCTCCATTGGACTGATTCAGTGGAAGGGAAGAAGAAACACCAGATGATCCAAAACCATTGTGATTTAAAGGCTCGGATTCGGCACAAGCACCAATGCGAGGTCCTAAATCCACCCCTGCGATTACGTCAATAGGGTCTTGATCCGACTCTCCTTCCTCTCCATCAACAGCACGTACTTTATTCTTTACAATTACACTGACTATTGAGGTATCCGTTTCAGGGGGGCTAGGTGGTCTTAAAGATGACCCGACGCCAACCACATTATCCGGCTTCCCCAAAGCTGACCCAGTAGTTACAGAGTGCGGCGCCTCGGTCTCATCGGGGGCAGACTGGATGGCCTCCTTAGCATCTATGTCAGGAATGTCAAACGCTGCTAAAAGGTCATCAAAATCTGGGGTCTTCATGTCCCCCATGCCGGGATTGACTCCTTGAAAACAAAAACATTAAGCATTATTATTTTTTATATATAACACCAATGACCTTAGCAATATTATGCATCTTAGAATAGAAAAGACATAATTCAATCATTCATCTAATCTAAAAAACAAAACAAAAAAACCCATGCAGCATCACTGTCTCCAGCTCCTCTCCATCCTCACTCAGAAACCTCACATTGCACCTTTTACATACAATATATACTAAATTCACAACAACAACATCAACGCGAGTTTAAAATCCATATTAATTTTAGTTATAAAAAAAAACAATATAGATGGTGTGGAGCAGGCTAACAGCACAAACACATTAGCATGCTAGCAGGCTAACATGAACCACAGCGCGGATCACAAACAGCTGTGCCTGCTCTGAATGAAACGCACCACTCTCTCATTGTGGTTACCCGTATGTGCAATTGTTTTGGGATCATTTCCAAGTCAGCGTGCAGTGTGGAAAGCGTTTAGAGTCGAGATCCTTGGCCATTTAGAGGCAAGATTATTCCTCACGGCGGAGACTGGCGAGTTGGCCGCTGAGCTCCAGCCAACAGAGGAGAAGGGTCATTTTGCTAAAGCTAGCTTTCTCCATGAACAGCAGCCACAGCTGTTTGTTATTGGGATGAGCAGGCATGGATCCGAAACATGTGTGTTTATGGGAAAATATAAACCGATTATTGTGACTGGGAGGGAGGACTAGAGCAGAGTAGTCCGTGCATTTTGATTGTTTACCTGGATAAGCGATTCCCGACTATCCTAGCTCGTTTTCAGATGAAAATGCTGCGCTTCCCGTCACGTGATCCAGGGTCCCCAATCACGGTCAGGTCAGATTGATTCAGGAAAATACATAAAGCAGGAGATGCCGCAACCATGGCCGCAAACCACACGTAATGTTTACCTCCACACGTGCTACACACCCCCACACATACTGCTCTGTTTAAGGCAAAGCAATTCTATGTCTTACACATTCTCATTACTCTCACAAAAAACAAAAGCAATCCAAAACCAGAAGGGATTACAGATGTATAGACCAATAAAACAGAAGCCATATTTGAACATTTTATTGCAAAAACACCAAAACATAAAATTGTCCACACTCTTAACATTGTGTCAGTTTTAGATTATAACTAGATACAAAGAATCAGAATCAGTAAATATTTTGAGTGGTTTTAAAGGTTTTAAAATGTTTCAAATAATACAATATTGTTTCTATTTGTACTTTACCAGGCACTCGAATCATTCTAATTAAAAAAAGGGAAATCCTGCATCAGTTTGAGTTTTACATTTGTCCATAAACTTCCCGTTTTCATTTCTTTTTCTCTTCGTCTTTCTTGGCGTCCGGTTTGGTTCCGGTCTGGGATGCCAGCGAGCCCATAGCGTTGCGAATTGATTCATTGTTTGGGTCGACACCAGGCAGATTTTCCAAAACACTTTGTAAGAACTCGGGGTCCTGCATCACGTCGTAATCATCCTCTTCCTGTTGTGAGAAACATATGGACTAAACCAGCCGTCGACAAAGCCACTCCTCTCTGATCGAATCATCTCCCAAGTTCCTTTTCTCACAATTAACCTCTTATTGTGAAAAAATATATTCTTCAAATCTATACATCGATGTAAAAAGTCATGTGGAAGCAGCAGTTTAAAGCCTCCCAGACCCCAATTTTGTAAGTAATGGGGGTTCTTGTTTTGATTAGCATGTTATTTTTTATGCTTGTCATTTACTACCAACAATTTAACAACATTTTTTTTTTCTCCTGATTAAAAGAGAGCTAAGATGATACAGACATCACACATTCTTACACTTGCAAAAATGTTTCCAGTGAAATGTGTGTAGTCAAACATGTGTGTAGTCAAACATGTGTGTAGTCAAACGTGTGTGTGTGTGTGCTCTTTGAGGTGTGTAAATGAAAAATGAATACAACACAATAACAACTATATAGAATTACCTTGACAGATTCTGCTGTGTCCATAGGGCCTCCTGTGTCCATCTCTCCATATTCTATAACAGTAGAAAATAAATATGTTAGAAATAACACACATGCACTTGGCTATTGTGTCGTTAAAGAAAATAAGGATGAATTGACCTTCTCCAGCCAGAGACATCTGCATGGCGTAAGCAATCTGCTCTTCCTCAGTCATGCTGCTGAAGTCAGGGAGCACCGCTGCTCCAGTGTCGGGCTGAGACACAGACATCTTCAGCAAAGCTTCATCTGATTCTGGAGGAAAAGGACACAAAACACACTTTAAAATATTACTTTAAAATAGAGAACACGGATTAATGGCAAGTCCCCCATTACAAAACTATGAATAGACAAGTTAACATGAGATAAGATAATCCGTTATTTGACCCACAGAAGATTTCAGTGTCATTGTTGCACATTACAGCAGAATAAAAGAGCACTCATGTCAAACACGATCCATTATTTAAGATAATAGACAATAAAAAATATATTATCAATTACTTTTCATTATATAATAGAATAAAATAAAACTCTGGAGCTATAATTGCACTTGGTTCGGAGGTATTTAAGATAAGATAGACTTTATTGATCTCAGGAGAAATGTACAACTCTCCAATTCATTTAGAGATGTGTATATTGTACTTAAGCAGCAGAGAATATGACCAGGGTAAACAATAGTAATAACAGCAGCAGGTAAAGTGACGAGTGAACGACTATAATTAGATTTGTTTTAGTATATTATGTCATTTCTAATTAGGTAAAGCCAATTATTACCATTATAGTAACAAAGGTGCTTTACCGTCTGCGGTGGGCGTGGTCCCAGTGGCCTCCGCAGTAGAAGCTCTTCGCGCCTCCTCCTCCTGACGCTGACGCTGCTCCTCCATCGAAACACGAAGCGCCTAAACGACAGTGTGATTGGTTAAACATGCTATATTCCTGTTTCGCTCATGATGTATATTATATAGTGAAAATTCATTCATAAAGTGTACATATTTTATTATAACTCATTTTTTTCAGTTGTCAATTTTCATGTCACATTAATATGCCAAACAAACCTATATTGTAGGCCAGTCATTTTGAGGAACGATATATATATGATAGAAAAACTCCCAAGGCAGGATAAATGCATGACTTTGTTTGATTGAGAAAAAAACACCTGAGGAGAACCTTAGAAGAACCGTAACCATAACCTTTTTTCAACACACCGGGGCTTAAGTTTTACAGCAGTGCAAGAAAAAATATAAAAATGTCTTCATTACTGCATCAAGTATGGACGTTACAAAAGTAAGAAGATACAGTACTTTCTGGAGTATTAAGGGAAACTGAATAAACCAGCTAAATTACATTTTAAAAGAAAGTCATTTTTTCCACATACAGGACTTTGTGTGCGGTGTACGCTTGTAGCAACCGCACAAATAGAGAGAAAGACAAGAGTTTGTTCATGTTCCAACTGTGGTCTCATATAAAGGAGGACACTTTGAAAAAAAATCACTGGAATGAGGCGGGCGAGGTGCATCAAGGCTTTCCCAGATAAGCGCCCCCTGTAGGCCACCCCAATGAAACAGACATTTCTTCTGTTTTTCATTCCAAATATGCTCGAAATCAAGACTCTTTTGAGAAATGTTTTTAAGTACTCCCTTAGAATTGAGTGTCCCTGATAAAGACTGTTACAACAACCGTACACCGCACAGGAGGAGAGCCTTTTGACTCTAAAACAGACTCGATTTACATGGTTTTCAATGGGAGAAAAACTGAGTTGTCCCACCTCTGCTCATTTGCCCCCTACTGGTCAGTTTAATATAACCCAAGAATTTACAAAACAAAGCCAGTGGACTACTTAAACTGGACACAACATTATTCAATGATGAGGTGTTTTAATGCACTGTTTACAGGTGAATTTTCTTCTTCCAACTGCTCTTTGCGTTTGAATGATGTACAATATAGTAAGAGGTATTGTAAATGAACGATTTGCTGGAAAGTTCTATGCAGTGACGTCTGAATAATAATATTTGATGTACATTGAACTCAAAATAAACAAACACTCAACTCAACACGCATCCGAAAACTACTGAAACCTGATGGAGTCAAAATAATAAGTTCTCAAACATTACCAGAGCCAGTTCCGGATCAGCACTTGGATCAACGCCAAACTCAAAGTCGCTGGCCCCAAGACCCATCATGGAGCCGCCCTCTCCGGCCAAGATGGGGGAGGAGAGCAGAGCGTCAGCCAAGCCCGGTCCAGGGGGGACAGTGACCAGGTGAGAGCCGGCCCCCTCTTTGCCGTTCAGCGTGTTTATGAAGGCGGTCAGCTTCTCCGTGTTCAACTCCTGAGGGCACGAATCCAAGAAATAGTGATGAAAAAGGGATAGGGATTAAATTGTAAGACTAAAAGCTGATATCGTGCAACCGCTCACCTCTTCTCCAAAGTTAATAATGTCCACGTTGACCTTCTCTTTCTTCAAACGTTTCGCCATTTTGACAAGCTGCAGAAACAACACTCTGAATGAACAGGTTATCGTTTCACATACATAGATAGATTTTCTATTAAAGTAGAAATATGTAATATTTTCATGTAAAGTAATCATTAAAGGGCCCTAATCTGTCAAAAGGCTTTAATAAAACATGCTCTTTTCCAATACTTCTTTAACTGATAATAGTATTTAAAGCACCTAAACATTTTTATTGTCCCGTCTGATATCCGGGCGCCAGAACTCACTGAATCGAGCTAATCTCACTGGTAAAGTAACATGTGGCCACAGAACTAAAAAAGGTCTCATCAACAACAAAATAACGAATTAAACCAGGATTTCTAACTTTGTGAAAAAGGTGTTATAGATACGAGTCAGGGAGAGTGAGGACTACAGAACATGGACAGTGATTGCAGTACCACTTTTGGCCAGATTTTTACATATTCCTCCTTTAATACATGTAACTCAAACAATTGTAAAGTATAAATAGAAGTCTGTAGGTTTAATTGAATATCTTTATTTTTAATACTGTGCTTTCCTTAAGTTTTTCAAACTGGGTAACCCTGACCCTAACCAGGAGGGGTCCCATTTCTTACACTCTAAGGTTGACCTGAGCAATAATAAGTGCTCAACTAAACAGTATATTTTTAGTTGAATCCATGAAAAATGCAATCAAAAACAAAACCACTGCATTTATATATATTTTTTCCAGTGTTGTTAATCCTACTAATCTCACAAATTAAAGTGCTTTTGTAATATGCAGCTATATGCCCCAGGTTGCTTTGGGGCGCCATAGTCAGTAATAAATGGTAAATACTACAACAAAACACTGTAAAAACGGTGCACTTACATCTTTTTCATTATCCTCCACTGGACTCCCAACAAAAGCTATAATCCTCATTTTATGGTTTTTGCCTTGTCTGTGCTTCAAGGCTAACTGCAAAGATGGAACAAGGATTAGGAATAATGCATTTTACTTCACAAATTACAGTTTTTAGAAAGTATACACACATGTGCCACTCTGATCCCAGTGCAGAAGCAGATCTTTCCTTTGGGCTGGACCGCGTGCAGTTTGGACAGTATCCGTCCAGCGTCTGCAGTCAGTGTCGTCAGGACCTCACAGTTACTACTCAAGATTAAAAACACAGCACACAAGACATGTCAATACAATTACAGGCTCTTTTTTTTCCTGGTCTCTACAAAACAAATCTGAGCCCCCTCAAAATCTGTCCTGGCCTCGAGGCTCTGCTACAGGAGCCTCCGGGCCAGGACAAGAAGGCTGAGACAGTTTTAATCACAAAGCAGTCACACTCCTGAACTGTCACCCTGTACAAGCCCACTTTAATGTTATATAATATATTCTATGTGTATACTAGCAATAGCAGCTTTGTAGAGTCTCACATATATGCAAATATATTTATCTCTGTTGTAAATATTATCCTATAACTTGCACTGGTTAGAGGCTAAACTGAATTTCCTTGCATTGTTCTGACTTTGTAATGACAATAACGTTGAATCGAATCCAATCTAAAATCAACGATCATTATAAAAAAATATTTCCGTTTGTCATATATTCATTTATAAAACTACAGCGTGAGCCAATATATATTGAATTACACTAACTTTGCCATTGTGAGGAGTCCTACGTTGTTTTCTGGGTTGCTACGTGTCTTCGAATGGCAAACGATGTTGACAGCGTCTTGTTGAGCCTGAAGTCTGGTTGGTAGAAAATCTCCATTTCTCATGTATTCACTGTTGTCAACACTAAAAAAAGTAATACATAAAACATGTATCAAACACATACAAGAACAACATCAACTCAAATAAAAGTAAAACGCAGCTCTGGGGAAAATCCTTTGTGCTAAATCATCTTATCCAACATTAGCATCGCTGTTAGCATTAGACGCTAGCATCCACGTAATCAAAACTAATATAGCAACACACAGACATAGCACAGTGTAGCTTGGATTAACAAAGCGTATCTAATAAAAGGTAATAAGAATTTGAATTTCCTTTGTAATAATAAAGCATTACTTTAGCCACAATGACTCAGCCCATTAAAGCCTTATGCTAGTCCTAGAAAGGTGTCTAAATCTAGCGAAACACGTGATCAAAACAAACTGTTAACACTGAACACTCTTTATAATATACCGAACATGATACTGTCCTGGTCATTCAGGAAAACACGATATAAATGAGTATTTTACAGTTCTTACCAGACCATAGTACTTTCAAGCACCATTTTGGAAACTTGTTGTTGCCGTTCCTCGAGTCGTTCAAAAGTCGCACGTGATTGGACAGTCCGTTCAGCAAGACTCCGTGTGATTGGTCAATGTTCAACCATGGACAGCGCGTGTTTAAAGTTTAATTAGAATTAAAGGTGCACTATGTTGCAAAAATACAAACACACACGCACACAATTAAACTATGTATATGCATGTATAAACTATGTAATTTAGATAGTTACTAATGCTCAATGCAGTTGGATTGTATCACCAGTTTTCACCTATGTATTTTAAGACAATGTCACTGTCATTTTTCAGACAGAAACCGGGGAAGAGAGGAGCAAATCATCTCTCAGCCAAAAACTCACAGGCCTGTTTTTCAGACATGTTTTCTAAGATTTGCTCACGGAATTTTAGGACTTTCTGTTAAGACAAACAAAATGTAATAATAATGGAAGAAGACCTCCAGCTACATCCACAGATTATCCAACCAGAGCCGAATGAGTCCATTATTTAGGTTTCCAGCTTGGTGAAATTTAGCTGGATTTCAATCTGAAAATTAGGTACCAAAAATATGCAGTCTGTAGTTTCACGCTTAACTCCAGTAGGTGGATTGCTCCAGTAATCAGTGCTTAGGAGCCACAGGTGTTGCAGGTAGGATGCAGGTAGTTGTAATTGTGATCATTTAATATGATAAGATAAACCTTTCTTTGTCCCTCAGTTAGGAAATGTCTACTTTTTAGACCACAGCACATTTCATACTGTCTTCTTAAAAGTACAGTTCATGCAGTATTTATCAAAAAGTATTAGAGCTGCTTTTATAGTTCTAGAACCTTTCACCAAAAATGTTGTCTTATGCTCATGCTGTAAAAGTTTGTTTATTCAAGGAAAACTAAACTGCATTTTTAAACAAGAATGCTCTCAATTTGAGTCATACACACTTCAAGGAGATTTTATTAAAGTTTTTTTTTATTTAAACATCTGTAGAAAATGGCAAAAGGACAGTTTTAGGTAGAAGATAGCACCACAATAGTTTGTAATTTTTTTTACTATACATATGAATCTTTTCAACAGTGTTTGTGGTTAATACATAAAGGTTAAAGCGGTAAGAACCCTTCCCCAGTGACATCATTAGTAACTATTAAGCAAGGCATTTAAGAGCATGAGAAATTACATTATTTAGAAATACAGTAGATGCTAATACTCGAAATACCTTAATTTGTACCAAAGATTATTCCCAGAAGCCAACTTTCTAACACATGATTTTATATTAATAATAGTTTTAGTCAACACGTGTCCTTATTTAGGTGCATACAAGATTTTTCATGATTTGTATATGCATATTTAGCAGCAAAGTTATGTCTAAAATCTAAATCCATATTCCTGCCAAAAGTGCTTGGATGGAAACGGAATAGGAATGTGTAATAAACATTCACAAAACAAATATTGGTAAAAACAGAATTCTATCTTTCCACAAATGTATACATTCTGTCTGCACTTTCTTTCAATCTATTTCTTTCAGACTGCGGTTAGACTCAACACTACTAAACAGGACTGAACCAAAACAATGTATTACTTATGATAAGTCATTAATTATACATTTAGTGTGTGGCCTACAATAAAAATCATTGTGGCTGTGTGTGGCAAACAGTTTGAATAAAAAAGGCACATTTTCTAGTACCACATGCCATAGTATCCTGTTTAAAATAAGCTGCTTTTCACACACATGGGTTTAAAAGTGATTGTACCATTTTTAATCAACTCAAGATAAACTCTTTGGCACACAGGGGCGTATCTGTATGGTAGTTCCAACAGAAAAGGCAGTGTGAATGTTAGCTTAAAACAACCAAACAAGCCCACAGCGGTCATTCAAAATCATTGGTGACAATTCTAAAGATGGTCCATGCTTGATAACATTTACATCAAATAAAACAATATAAAAAGGTACATAAATTCTCTGGCCCAGTGTGAAACAAAAGATGAGCTGAAGGCAACTTAGTTTCCAAAAAATGTAAGACTCAAATAGTCCTGTTTTCCAGCATATTTTGCACCCACACATTGAAAAGTCCATCGAGAATACTTAGTGGAGACGTGTAAAACGCGTATGTAACAGTGTCTGCATAATATACACAAAGGTAAGACATGTTAAAATGAAAAGAGGGTTAAAGTAGTTCATAGGCCATCAGTGTTCCCTCATTATTTCATTGTTAAAGTGATCTCTGGGTTATATGCACACACCACACACCTATGTAGGCTTAAAGTGTGAAGAAATGACAACGATCGGACACTTCAGTGGAAAAACTGGTGCGAGTAGTGTCCACAAGTCTAGTGTCACAACAAACTACCAAATGGAAACCTGGAAAGTGCATGTTCATCAAAATAGTTTGATAATATATTTTGTTTCTGTACCTTGGATTTCAATGCGTCTTCTAATTAAACCTGAAAAGTTACACATTAAAAGAAATGTTAAAAATAGAATCGATGAAGGCAAGAACATTTATTGAAATCTAACTCACAGAACAGATGTTCATTTGAGGAACGACGTCACTCAGAGAGATTGCACCAAGACTTTCTTCTAAAGGTTCAGGCTGTGCTCTGCAAAAGGCAAAATATTATAGGTATTAGTATTAGTCATGTAGGAAGACTTCTATTGTGTCAGTGTTTTAATAATGAGATGAGGAGGATATGTAAAAGATTCACTACTAGATATAGAGATAGAGAGAGAGAGAGAGAGAGAGAGAGAGAGAGAGACCAGAGAGAGAGAGAGAGATAGAGAGAGATAGACAGAGAGACCAGAGAGAGATAGAGAGAGATAGAGACAGAGAGACCAGAGAGAGAGAGAGAGAGACCAGAGAGAGACAGAGATAGAGACCGGAGAGAGAGACCAAAGAGAGAGATAGAGAGAGATAGAGATAGAGAGACCAGAGAGATAGACAGAGAGAGACCAGAGAGAGAGATAGAGATAGAGAGAGAGATAGAGCGAGAGAGATAGAGATAGAGAGACCAGAGAGAGAGAGAGAGAGAGACCAGAGAGAGACCAGAGAGAGAGATAGAGATAGACCAGAGAGAGACCAGAGAGAGACCAGAGAGAGACCAGAGAGAGAGATAGAGATAGACCAGAGAGAGACCAGAGAGAGAGAGATAGAGAGAGCAGAGAGAGCAGAGAGACCAGAGAGAGAGGGAGAGAGACCAGAGAGACCAGGGAGAGAGACCAGAGAGACCAGAGAGAGAGGGAGAGAGACCAGAGAGAGAGGGAGAGAGACCAGAGAGAGAGAGAGAGACCAGAGAGAGACCAGAGAGACCAGAGATAGACAGAGAGAGAGATAGATAGCAAAAGAGAAAAAGATAGAGATAGAGAGAGAGAGATAGATAGAGAGATATAGATAAATATTTTAATGTTCCCCGTAGGAGAAATGCAGGTGTTCAGTAGCAGCGGAAACACATCCATGCACACAAACAAGACAAATAGATCATTCTAAAAGCAGCTAACAATAATATTAAAAATGCAACGGCCCAACTACACTCAAGCCCTACACAAACATGCACCTCTAGCCCGAGCGCACAATGTATGTACACCGTCACATCCTTCATTACAACCCAAAGATTATACTTCAAGGGCCCGAGTTTGTTCCGAGCTGCAGACCCTCTCGCTCCACCACATGCTTTTGTTTCAGTTTCTTATTTATAAACATGTGGTGAAAATATGAGCTTTTCTAATGCTGGTTGTATGAAGAAATAACTTACACCGCTCACTGCCCCATCTCCCTCCTTCACAGAATACCAAGTGAATGTATCATCAGAGTCGGAAAAGATCCAGAACGTTTAGCATCTGTGTGCAATCAACTTTCTATCCATCCACACACACACACACACACACACAAAAAGAGTGAAGAAGTGATTTGTTCTACAGTTTTGTGTGGATACTAACTTGTTGTGGGTCAAAGCTGTCGTCTCTTGAGAGGAGGCAGTGTTATCCAGAGCGATGGAGACGGTGTGTTCCCTGGCCTTGTCAAAGCTGTTTGTGTTTGATAATGCTCTGGGGAGGAGGTCAGGGCGTCCTGGCGGCATGCCTGAAACCCACAGCATGAAACAGTGGATTAGTCCAGGAGCATGTTGCAGCTGGTACTGTAAGAAACCTGACGGGAGGATCAGAAACACTTCTTACCACTCTCGCCCTCTGGGTCAGATCTGGACTCTGAGCTGGCTTGTGTCAGGAAGACTGGAACTTTCCGGAGAGGAATGTGACCCACAGCACGGCGCTTCTTGGCTGGAGACGGTTTTCCTGTTAGTAAAATCAGAAAACCGTTTTTTAAACACAACATACTGAAACAAATGTGTGTGGTTTCTCGTTTAAATGCAGTCATGTCGTTACCTGCAACCTTCTTGAAGACTGTGCTGCACATGAACTTCTGAAAGCGGTCCGCATAAAAACTTGGTCTGTGCACAGAAACTGTGTCCTGAAAAACACACAATTAATAAAAAGCTCATTTAAATTGTATTTTATGTAAGGATAATTCTATAAGTCACCATACCCCGTCATGAACCAGGGCTTTCCAGGAATGTTCAATCTTTTTGGCCAATCTAAAACAAAGGGAATGGATTAGTTACAATGCACCACTTAAGGCTGAAGATAAGCCTCATCCAATCAAATCAAACCGATTTGTTTATGTTTATTTACTATTAAAAAATATACTCTGGCATGTACCATTTAGTATCCATTTAAAAAGCACAGTTCATTGAAAAGTTGCCCACAGTGTATTTTCATCATACAAGAATGTACAGGGAACTAGAACGCACATAGCACACATTTGTCCTTCTCTGGTGAAATAATAATATCCAAACTCTAAAAAAAAGTTTTTTTTGAGTAGCCCATAGATATGAATGTTGTCCACCAGAAAAAAAGACAATTTGTTTCAAACATATTTTACAGTTCTGGTTATGACATTAAAAAACGCAATTTGTAACCACTGTTGTTTATTTTGGTTGGGCCGTTGGCCAATGTATGATTAAACAACTCGAGTTACCTGTACGACTGCAGAATGTCAATGATCCCGATGTACACCAGTAAACGCTCTCCTTTAGAGTTTTTGGCTGGAATTCCTCCCGTCCTGGGGGAGAACCAAGTTAAAAACAACTTCCATATACTTCTGCTGTGATGATTTATTGTACGTTACATTTAAAGCACAAAACCCTCAGACTCAAGTAAAGGAATAAATCAAATCCGAGAACTCATCCAATAAAAATGCAAGTCGAGAACGTCTAAAACTCCACAGATAATTTCAATGCAGTCTTCCCACCGTTCCTTCTGCTAATCTAGTTTCACATTTGGTCACTTACTTGTCCTCCATGTCCATAGAGCCCATTCTGGTCGGCTCTGACTGAATGGCCTCCAGAGCGGTGCAGTACAGAGGCTTTTGGACTTGGGGTCTGGCTTGGTCCACAGAGACTGCCTGAGCTTCCACACTTGCCTGGTTTACATTATGAACTCCCACCAGAAGGCTGTAGTCCATGATCTTAAAACTCTGCAACAGCTGAAATAAAACATGTTAGATCAAAACAGATGCAGGCGTCATTCTTCACACAGCCCTCGTACATCTTCATACATTAATCCCGATAGTAGGGCTACATACCAGGCAGTCTCTCTGGATGGTTTTGCACACAGCGTTGTAAGTCTCTGGGTCCATTAACAAACCATCATGCGCTTCCTGGATGAAGTCTAGGTCCTTGAAGGTGGGCACGGCCTTTGATCGCTCCTTGGCGTTCGCTCGCCGCTTGTATGTAGATCCTTTTAAATCGTACTTTTGATGCATTTTGACAGCACTCGGGAGCAGATTGTTCATGACCACGATACGGATGTTTTTACCGCCAGATTGGACGCAGTAGAGTCCATAAAACTTGGGTAGTAATGTCCTCTTGTTTTGATTTAGATTCTGAAAAGAGGGATTCAAAATACATACATGAGACACATACAAGAATTATATGTGTCTCATGTATGAAGTGGTTGTCAAGTATGCCTACGGATTTGAATTCATATAACACATCACAATAAGTGGCTAAAGCTGCATGAAGACAATCCCCACTTACCATAAAGTACCCTGGAAGAAGTTTTTGCAAAAATTCAGCCTCTTTGTGTTGCACAGTTTTAATGATAAACTCGTCGTCTCTGGACAAATAGAAAAGGGATCCACTGGCCCCAGGGTTGGACAACTCTATCAACTCCTCATTGCACAAAGAGTACTACAAGGAAGTACAACAAGGAAAGAATTACAATATTGAAAAACTGGGACAGTCCGTTTGTCATACGGTGTACAATGGACAGTGTTGCCTTATGATTGATGAAGAGAGATAAAATATACCATGTAATCATCAGGTCGTATGCCAAACATCTCCCTGAAGTACCGAAAGGCAATGGGGGCATACGTTTTAAACCGGAAGTCTCCATAATGATGCGCTGGGGTCAGATTACTGCCTTCACTGACAATGGGGCGTAAAACAAGTATCATAAATAAGGCCATGAATTAATACATACAACAGATCTGAGGTCAGCCAAGTCCACATGATGTATCGTTTACCAACCTAGGGAAAAATATGCTCTCCACCACTTCAAAGTCCTGAAGTAGAACATCTCTTTCAGGCTTCTGGCTCAGACTTCCTACAGTGTGTGTGATTCCCAACTGAATGGCTCCCTTGAGAGCTGATGAAGTGGTCTGAAAAATACAGATATGACTTAAACAAAGAGTTGTGTAAAGTTCTACCACTTCGAGATAGTCAGAAATCAAACAGGTATTGCGGTGAATGTCCAATTTTGCACCTTTTTATACGTAGTTTCGCCCGTGGGATCAATACCGCGATGGCCGATAGTTTTCTTGTTGGTCTGAGAGGTGCTTGGTCCCTGTCCCTGTGAATGGACAATAAGTTAGGTGGAAAGTCACTACAGGAAAACCACTTTGTACATTGTCAGCGTAATCCACAAAAGGGGAAGCAGAAGAGGAAGTGGCGGTCAAACTTTTGGTAAATTATCAGATAAACAAATAAGTTCTCACACAATGAAGGAGTTTACTCACATCTGTAACGACATTTCTACGGGCTCCGGCTGAACCTACATTGAAAAAAAGAGAGACGTCTTTTTAGAAACACATCAAGGATTCAAATAGGAGCACTACAGTTTCACTATCGCAGCTTTCAAATGAGAAAAAGCTATTAAAAAACAGCCAATGCACACACATCACTTTTACCTCTGAAAGATGCCGGTCTTCAGAACAAGTACAGCTTTGTGAGGCATAGAGGAAACAGTTTGCCATTTCATTCAGCTTGCGACATAGTTATTTAATAATGGGAGAGTCAGATGTTCTTATTTATTCAGCTAAAATCTGGAATGGGCTTTCTGAAAGTGTGAAAAAGGCTTCTACCCTGACAAGGCTCGCCCCAATGTTAAAACAGCTCACAATTGAAATATATTGAAATGTATCATTATGAATTGAGGAATGCACTTCTTTAAGATTGTACGTGTTTCATAATTATAATGTTGTATCCCAGAGTTAACCTGTGTATGAATTGTGGTGTACAAATTCACATGTTTGCCTAGTAAATGGAATTGCTTACTCGCAGCTTGTTCCTGAAGCCCTGGAGGATCCTCAGCTGCTGTGGCCATTCAGATAAACCTGCAGAACTAGACTCAGTCAGGCCTGGTCATATAGAGGCACCTGCTTTGGTTGATCTCCTTCCCTTCCTGTAACAGCAGCAACAGATAAAGTAACAACAAACAACAGTGACTTCAAGCCGCAGATATTGCAGATATTGCAGATATTGCAGGCGGCCACGTAACGTCAGCAATAGCTTCACTAAACATGAAATATAATGTGGTTTCAATGACATTTCAGATGGGACTTTTAGCTTTGACTCAGTGTTCCAACTTTGTACTGCTGTTGTTATAAAAGCCACAGACCGAAATTTCGCTAATAAACTTAAAACAACGGTTAACCGGTTTGCCAACAATTAAAAACACTCATAAAAGTATAAAACAGAAGCGTCAGACAGACTTCTCACTTACACGTCGAACCGGGTGGAAAATGATGGGATTCTGGGACAAAAACTCAAAGAATGTGTCTATCCTAAAAAATAAAAGTTACTCCCCAGTAAACACGGAAACACCACGGAAGTAAAGCCAGCGCGTGCGCTCCTATCGTCTGCCACTTCCGGAATTCAACCTGCGGCCGGATGTGGCTGGATATGAAAATAAGATAGAATTAGATAGCTCGTGACCCCGAACCGTTATTATTATAGATCAGATCCATGCCCCGAACCTGGAGGAGGTTACAGCAGATCCCTGGAACAACCTCGGACATCTCGGTCCAGAAATGTGCAGCGCTAGGAACAGCAAAGATACTGCGCAGAACCCTCAAACTCCCAGACCGCGGTGAAGTTGGTTTGAAGTTGGATATCCGACAGACATTCAACGGTCATTCCCTCTCGGTACACCTCTCCTTCTCTCTGGGTTCAGAGCGACTCGAAAGCCGCTCCAACATTTTAGTGCACCCGTACTACACACAGTACGGTAAACACGCGAAGACATGTACGCTGGTCTAATATTTACATATAAAAAATCATTAAAAATACTTACAAAATTTTAATGATAAAATAAGAGGTGTACCCCGTACAGCTAGTGGAGGACTATGATCCTGACCTGATTTGGAGTCAATAGGTCACATGACCTGGAAGCTATTGAGCTAAAATGCTAATATTTACATATACAAATTCATTAAAAATACTTAAAAATACTTAAATGACAAAAAAAGAGGTGTAGCCCCTGCAGCTAAGGGAGGACTATGATCCTGACCTGATTTGGAGTCAATAGATCACATGACCTGGAAGCTATTGAGCTAAAATGCTAATATTTGCCTTTAAAAATTCATTAAAAATACTTAAAACACTTTAATGGTAAAAGAAGAGGTGTACCCCCTGCAGCTAGTGGAGGACTATGATCCTGACCTGATTTGGAGTCAATAGGTCACATGACCTGGAAGCTATTGAGCTAAAATGCTAATATTTACATATAAAAATTCATTAAAAATACTTAAAAATACTTAAATGACAAAAAAGAGGTGTACCCCCTGCAGCTAAGGGAGGACTATGATCCTGACCTGATTTGGAGTCAATAGGTCACATGACCTGGAAGCTATTGAGCTAAAATGCTAATATTTGCCTTTAAAAATTCATAAAAAATACTTAAAACACTTTAATGGTAAAAGAAGAGGTGTACCCCCTGCAGCTAGTGGAGGACTATGATCCTGACCTGATTTGGAGTCAATAGGTCACATGACCTGGAAGCTATTGAGCTAAAATGCTAATATTTGCCTTTAAAAATTCATTAAAAATACTTAAAACACTTTAATGGTAAAAGAAGAGGTGTACCCCTGCAGCTAGTGGAGGACTATGATCCTGACCTGATTTGGAGTCAATAGGTCACATGACCTGGAAGCTATTGAGCTAAAATGCTAATATTTGCCTTTAAAAATTCATTAAAAACACTTAAAACACTTTAATGGTAAAAGAAGAGGTGTACCCCCTGCAGCTAGTGGAGGACTATGATCCTGACCTGATTTGGAGTCAATAGGTCACATGACCTGGAAGCTATTGAGCTAAAATGCTAATATTTGCCTTTAAAATTCATTAAAAATACTTAAAACACTTTAATGGTAAAAGAAGAGGTGTACCCCCTGCAGCTAGTGGAGGACTATGATCCTGACCTGATTTGGAGTCAATAGGTCACATGACCTGGAAGCTATTGAGCTAAAATGCTAATATTTACATATAAAAATTCATTAAAAATACTTAAAACACTTTAATGGTAAAAGAAGAGGTGTACCCCATGCAGCTAGTGGAGGACTATGATCCTGACCTGATTTGGAGTCAATAGGTCACATGACCTGGAAGCTATTGAGCTAAAATGCTAATATTTACATATAAAAATTCATTAAAAATACTTAAAACACTTTAATGGTAAAAGAAGAGGTGTACCCCCTGCAGCTAGTGGAGGACTATGATCCTGACCTGATTTGGAGTCAATAGGTCACATGACCTGGAAGCTATTGAGCTAAAATGCTAATATTTGCATTTAAAAATCATTAAAAATACTTACAAAAACTTAAATGACAAAAGAAGAGGTGTACCCCCTACAGCTAGGGGAGGAATATGATCCTGACTTTTAATACAGTACAGTTTTATTACATCGGTTTTAAATTTGTTGCATTGGCTTCCCGTGTGTTTCAGGATCAATTTTTAGGTTCTTTCACTGGTTTTTTTCATGTCTTCATGGTCTTGGGCCTTCTTATTACTCATAACTGCTTTTATCCAAAGAACCATCCCGGTTCTTGCAGCAGACTCCTCCATTACCAAAGCCAGGACACACACTCAAGCTGAGGCATATGTAAGTGAGTAAGTAATGTTTATTTATATAGCGCATTTTACAGACTAAGGTCACCCAAAGCGCTTTACGTCCATCACTACGGCCCCGTCTCTGGAACAGTCTGCTGGAGGAGCTTGACTAGCACCCTCCTGTCCCTCACCTCCTCCACAGAGTCCAGGGGGCTGTCCCGTTCTGTGCTGCCCGGGGCCCAGCACACGGCAGCGTAGTGTATGGCAGAGCCTACCACAGAGTCATAAAAGGTCCTGAGCAGAGGCCTGCTCACTCCGAAGGACCTCAGCCTCCTCAGAAGGAAGAGGCGACTTTGGCCCTTCTTGTGCAGAGCGTTGGTGGTATGGGACCAGTCCAGTTTATTGTTTATGTGAACACCCAGGTACTTGAAGCTGTCCACCAGCTCAATGTCCTCCCCCTGGATGTTCAGCAGCGTGTGGGAAAGTGGTTTTATCCTGAAGTCGATTACCATCTCCTTGGTCTTACTGGTGTTAGCACAGGTACCATCTCCTTGGTCTTACTGGTGTTAGCACAGGTACCATCTCCTTGGTCTTACTGGTGTTCAAGCACAAGTGGTTGCACTCACACCAGTCGACAAAGTCCTTGATAACCGACCCATATTCCAGTTCGTTCCCCTCAGACACACAGCCCACGATGGCGGAGTCGTCGGAGAACCTCTGCAGGTGACAGCTGTGTGTGTCGTGTGTGAAGTCTGAGGTGTAGATGGTGAAGAGAAACGGTGAGAGGACAGTGCCCTGAGGGGCCCCAGTGCTGCAGACTACCACCTCAGACTCACAGCTGCGCAGCCGCACGTACTGTGGTCGGTCTGAGAGGTAGTCGATGGTCCATACAGTGAGGTAGTTGATGGTCCATGCAGTGAGGTAGTCGATGGTCCATGCGGTGAGGTAGTTGATGGTCCATGCAGTGAGGCTACTGTCCACTCTTGCTCCTCCAACTTCCCCCGCAGCAGCGCCGGTCTGATGGTGTTGAAAGCACTGGAAAAGTCGAAGAACATGACCCTCACAGCGCTCCCTGCGGCTCCAGGTGGGAGAGCGTCCGCTGCAGTAAGTAAATGACGGCGTCCTCTACTCCGATGTTGGGCCTGTAGGCGAACTGCAGCGGGTCCAGGGTGGGGCTGACCACAGAGCGGAGGTGGGTGAGGATGAGCCGCTCCATGGTCTTCATCAGGTGGGAGGTCAGTGGGAGGTGAGTGCGACTGGTCTGTAGTGAGCCGGTTCCTTGGCGTGCGCTGTTTTAGGAACCTGGATCACACAGGAGGTCTCCCACAGGACAGGGACCTTCTCCAGGCTGAGGCTCAGGTTGTACATGTAGCTGAGGACCTCAGAGAGGACCTCAGAGAGCTGGTCTGCACAGGTCCTCAGCAGCCTGGGACTGATCCCTTCCGGTCCTGTGGATTTCCTCTGAGTCAGTCTCTGGAGCTGACTCCTCACCTGGTCCGGTGTGATGGAGAGGGCGGGGGGGGGGGGGGGGGGGGTGTACTGTCAGAGGTGGGGGCTGGGGGTGTGGGGGCAGGACGGCCCGGGGCAGCCGAAGGCAGTGTCCACCGGGCTGGGCACGTGTGAAGAGGTGGGGGAGGGAGGGGGGGAGATGGGGAGGGGGGAAGAATCAAACTGGTTGAAATATTGGTTAAATTCATCCGCCCGGTGCTGGTCTCCATCCGCTGTCCCACTGGCACTCTGCCCAAAGCCGGAGATGTTCTTTAGTCCTCTCCACATGTCGCAGGCGTTTCCCTGAGCCAGCTTCTGCTCCAGCTTTTTCCCAAAGTCCTTCTTGGCCCTCCTGATACTCCACTGGACCTTGTGCTGGATCCTCTTCTGCTCCTCAATAAACAGGTAAATGTAGAATAATATATGTTTTTTTTTATAAAAAAACATACTGAAGCAATTGGCTAAAAACATTACGAGTACCAAGGTGCTCAGAGGCTGGACCTGCTCTGTCTGCAGTTCTCTCCTGCGCTCCGCAAGTCTCTCCCCAGGGTCGCAAGCAGGTCTCTTATGGGGCCCAGGCACTCATAATATTTCGAAATGGATCTCATAATAATTTGACATTATCCATCCATCAATTTTCTTCCCCTTCATCAGACATTCCAACGAGGGAGCTGTTTTGACGTGGGGGGGCAGGGCGTTCCACAGCTTTGGTCCAGCCACAGAGAAGGCCCTGTCCCCCGGGGTTTTAAGTCTGGTCTTAGGTACCACGAGCTGGAGCCGGCCTTCGGACCTCAGCGTGCGGGGCGGGTGGTGAATTTGGATGAGGTCCGAGATGTAAGGAGGGGCCAGTCCATTCAAAGCTTTAAAAACAAACAAAATGAAGGACCTCCCCACCCACCTGGAGAGGGCAATGCACCTTTTTCCGGTCGAGCACCATGGCCTCAGATTTTGAGGTGCTGATTCTCATCCCAGCCGCTTCACACTTGGTTGCAAACCGTCCCTGTGCATGTTGCACGTCCTGGTTTGTTGAAGCCAACAGGACAACATGTTTGTAAACCGCTTTTTGACTCTGGTCTGTGAAAGGCGGTATATAAATAAAGATTACTTACTTATTTTACTTACTTAACATTGTCCGCAAACAGCAGAGATGAAATCCTGTGGTCCCCGAACCAGACCCCTTCCGGTCCCTGGCTGTGGCCTCCTAACCAGAACCCATGGCTGTGGTCTCCGAACCGGACCACATAATATTTTGAGATTAATCTCATAATATTTTGATTTTGATTAATCTTGTAATATTGTAATATTCTGACTTTACTCTCATAGCCTCTGAAAATAAAAGAGAAAATTAGATGACCCTTCAGCTCCATTGTACAAATAAGATTTCTTTTATGACAACTGAAAAAAACTACTACTTATTTTTGTTTTCAATTGAACAGATACAGTGTGATGACTGTGACAGGTGGTTCCATGATTCTTGTGTATCGTTGGAAAGCAAGGACTTGGAGGATGCAATGGAAAAGAGCTGGGCATGTGTGTTATGCCAGTGAAGAAGAGAAACAAGGGACAGGGCTATGTTCAATATATTTTCATGATGAAAAAATAAAGTCATCTCATGGTAGCCCTACTAGTGTTGCATCATGTTACTCCACTAGCTGCATAGTACAAGTACTTTTTTCATTTTCAATCTCTAAATATTTATTTAACATGTAAATATTTCCAAGTCAAGTGATCTATTGACTCCGAAACAGTTTAGGATCATAATCCTCCACTAGCTGCAAGGGGTACACCTCTTTTTTTGTCGTTTAAGTATTTTTAAGTATTTTTAATGAATTTTTAAAGGTAAATATTAGCATTTTAGCTCAATAGCTTCCAGGTCATGTGATCAATTGACTCCAAATCATGTCAGGATCATAGTCCTCCACTAGCTGCAAGGGGTACACCTCTTCTTTTACATTAAAGTGTTTTAAGTATTTTTAATGAATTTTTAAAGGCAAATATTAGCATTTTAGCTCAATAGCTTCCAGGTCATGTGACCTATTGACTCCAAATCAGGTCAGGATCATAGTCCTCCACTAGCTGCAGGGGGTACACCTCTTCTTTTACATTTAAGTATTTTTAAGTATTTTTAATGAATTTTTAAAGGCAAATATTAGCATTTTAGCTCAATAGCTTCCAGGTCATGTGACCTATTGACTCCAAATCAGGTCAGGATCATAGTCCTCCCTAGCTGCAGGGGGTACACCTCTTTTTTATCATTTAAGTATTTTTAAGTATTTTTAATGAATTTTTAAAGGCAAATATTAGCATTTTAGCTCAATAGCTTCCAGGTCATGTGACCTATTGACTCCAAATCAGGTCAGGATCATAGTCCTCCCTAGCTGCAGGGGGTACACCTCTTATTTTGTCATTTAAGTGTTTTAAGTATTTTTAATGAATTTTTAAAGGCAAATATTAGCATTTTAGCTCAATAGCTTCCAGGTCATGTGACCTATTGACTCCAAATCAGGTCAGGATCATAGTCCTCCACTAGCTGCAGGGGGTACACCTCTTCTTTTATCATTAAAGTGTTTTAAGTATTTTTAATGAATTTTTAAAGGCAAATATTAGCATTTTAGCTCAATAGCTTCCAGGTCATGTGACCTATTGACTCCAAATCAGGTCAGGATCATAGTCCTCCACTAGCTGCAGGGGGTACACCTCTTCTTTTACCATTAAAGTGTTTTAAGTATTTTTAATGAATTTTTATATGTAAATATTAGCATTTTAGCTCAATAGCTTCCAGGTCATGTGACCTATTGACTCCAAATCAGGTCAGGATCATAGTCCTCCACTAGCTGCAGGGGGTACACCTCTTTTTTGTCATTTAAGTATTTTTAAGTATTTTTAATGAATTTTTAAATGCAAATATTAGCATTTTAGCTCAATAGCTTCCAGGTCATGTGACCTATTGACTCCAAATCAGGTCAGGATCATAGTCCTCCACTAGCTGCAGGGGGTACACCTCTTCTTTTGTCATTTAAGTTTTTTAAGTATTTTTAATGAATTTTTATATGTAAATATTAGCATTTTAGCTCAATAGCTTCCAGGTCATGTGACCTATTGACTCCAAATCAGGTCAGGATCATAGTCCTCCACTAGCTGCAGGGGGTACACCTCTTCTTTTATCATTAAAGTGTTTTAAGTATTTTTAATGAATTTTTAAAGGTAAATATTAGCATTTTAGCTCAATAGCTTCCAGGTCATGTGACCTATTGACTGCAAATCAGGTCAGGATCATAGTCCTCCACTAGCTGCAGGGGGTACACCTCTTCTTTTACCATTAAAGTGTTTTAAGTATTTTTAATGAATTTTTAAAGGCAAATATTAGCATTTTAGCTCAATAGCTTCCAGGTCATGTGACCTATTGACTCCAAATCAGGTCAGGATCATAGTCCTCCACTAGCTGCAGGGGGTACACCTCTTTTTTGTCATTTAAGTATTTTTAAGTATTTTTAATGAATTTTTAAAGGAAAATATTAGCATTTTAGCTCAATAGCTTCCAGGTCATGTGACCTATTGACTCCAAATCAGGTCAGGATCATAGTCCTCCACTAGCTGCAGGGGGTACACCTCTTCTTTTATCATTAAAGTGTTTTAAGTATTTTTAATGAATTTTTATATGTAAATATTAGCATTTTAGCTCAATAGCTTCCAGGTCATGTGACCTATTGACTCCAAATCAGGTCAGGATCATAGTCCTCCACTAGCTGCAGGGGGTACACCTCTTCTTTTATCATTAAAGTGTTTTAAGTATTTTTAATGAATTTTTAAAGGCAAATATTAGCATTTTAGCTCAATAGCTTCCAGGTCATGTGACCTATTGACTCCAAATCAGGTCAGGATCATAGTCCTCCACTAGCTGCAGGGGGTACACCTCTTCTTTTATCATTAAAGTGTTTTTTAAGTATTTTTAATGAATTTTTAAAGGCAAATATTAGCATTTTAGCTCAATAGCTTCCAGGTCATGTGACCTATTGACTCCAAATCAGGTCAGGATCATAGTCCTCCACTAGCTGCAGGGGGTACACCTCTTTTTTGTCATTTAAGTATTTTTAAGTATTTTTAATGAATTTTTATATGTAAATATTAGCATTTTAGCTCAATAGCTTCCAGGTCATGTGACCTATTGACTCCAAATCAGGTCAGGATCATAGTCCTCCACTAGCTGCAGGGGGTACACCTCTTCTTTTACCATTAAAGTGTTTTAAGTATTTTTAATGAATTTTTAAAGGCAAATATTAGCATTTTAGCTCAATAGCTTCCAGGTCATGTGACCTATTGACTCCAAATCAGGTCAGGATCATAGTCCTCCACTAGCTGCAGGGGGTACACCTCTTATTTTATCATTAAAATGTTGTAAGTATTTTTAATGATTTTTTATATGTAAATATTAGACCAGCGTACATGTCTCCGCGTGTTTACCGTACTGTGTGTAGTACGGGTGCACTTAAATGTTGCGGCGAATGTCTGTCGGATATCCAACTTCAAACTAACTTCACCGCGGTAACTCCCAGGCAGAAAAGCCGAGCTTAGAGAGGGATAACCGCCCGCGGAGGGCCAAAGCCAAAGGTGTGTGTTTTCTATACAGTACAGACCAAAAGTTTGGACACACCGTCTCATTCAAAGAGTTTTTAGTTTTCATGTTTAGGAAAAGTCTTCACACTGAAGGCATCAAAACTATAAATTAACTCATGTGGAATTATGTACGTACTTAAAAAGTATGAAACAACTCAAAATATGTCTTATTTTCAAGGTTCTTCAAAGTAGCCCCCTCTTGCTTTGATTCCTGTTTCACACAGTCTTGGTATTCCCTTGATGAGCTTCAAGAGTTATTGACCTGAAATGGTCTTCAACAGTCTTGAAGGAGTTCCCAGAGATGCTTGGCACTTGTTGGCCCTTTCGCCTTCACTCTGTGGTCCAGCTCACCCCAAACCCATCTGGACTGGGTTCAGGTTCGGTGACTGTGGAGGTCATGTGGTCCAGCACCATCACTCTCCTTATTGGTCAAACAGCCCTTACACAGCCTGGTGCGGGTCTACAGTCAATAGTCATGAAAAGAAAGGAAACTCATTGAATGAGAAGGTGTGTCCAAACTTTTGGTCTGTACTGTAAGGAATAATGTATAGTACACAAGTCATTATCGAAAATAAGTACCGACAGGGCGAAGCGGATCTCGCTTATTATTCAGCTTTTTACCAACCGAACACACTAAATAAACTTAGGTCCACTTTTAGGAATGCCAAAAGGTTTATTTAATGACAAAAAATAAAATAGTTCCCAAAGGATTTCCCGTGGCTATGTGAGTAAACCTAGCAACTTCCAAACTAGAACTCTCCCAAACTGAAAACTGAACAAAGAATTCTGAACATCAGCGGTGAGTGACCCAAACATAAACTAAACCTAAACAGCAGTAAGAGCACAAAAGGAGCTCACAAAATGTACACAATAATTAGCTGCTATGTTTCTTAGCTAGCTGTAAATGCTTCAATATCAGTATTCCAAAATATCAATATACTGTATAGAGTGCAATGTTATATAGGGCAATAAGTAGATAAAGTGGCATTCTGTGGACATTCTGAAGTTTCAGTTTTGGACATTGCATATGGTTGCAGTATTTACTTTTCTACAGATGAATGACATGCAGCAGTTCTCATTGTACAGTCTGACAGCAGCAGAATTGGGTGCAGCTCTGAAGAAAGAAATTAATGGATGGATGAAACTATCACATCACATTTCTTTCAGTTCGAGAAGTTAGTTAAAAAAAAAAAAATCACATAGAAGGTATCCAGATGTTATTTTTTATTTATTTCTTACAAATTCATGTATGTTAATCATAATGTCAGAGATGTTATTAATAACCATGGGTCTGTCTGGAGCTGGAGTAGAAACAGCTCCAGCGAACAGTGTCCTCCACTCTGCAGCAGTGATAGGCGACCGTCATCGTGGAAAACTCCTCCACACAGAACTGCGATAGACTCTCCATCCACTGAGGACACGCCAAGAAATCAAAAGTCAGGATATTTCATGTTCCACCTGCCATTCTCTATTTCTGAATAGGACTGCAACACATCCATATTTATTTACCATCTTTTTAGACAACTATAACAAATATTTAAACATTGAATCATAGTCGTTAGCTGACATTTTAATTCAAATCATTCAAAAACTGAAACATGAAACTTGTGTAACTTTATGCGTCATTTTATCAGTTTTTTTTCCTATGACGTAACTGCCACAGTCGAAGTGGGAGCATTACCGATTCTGTGGAATATGGGATGGTACAGTATAAAAAAGAATCAAGTATCAAGGACAAAAACAAATTCCAAAATTAGTGTTATAAAAATAATAATATACTCATAATAATATATTTTTTCTAGTATCAAAATTGAGTATGAAATGTAATATAATCGTAATATAAACACTTGTGGATCGTTACTATGACCCAAGTTTAAACCTTTAATCAGTTAAACCTACTCATGTTGTATGTCTGTGCTCCTTGTGTGCTCTTACTCCTGTCCTGTGTGTGCGCTGCAACATTGAAATTTCCCTACTGTGGGACGATTAAAGGTTTTCTTATCTTATTAGCCTGAGCTGATTTTGATGTAAAAGTTATTTGAACCATGGGGCACAAACTGCCAGTATTTACTCACAGCTTGATAAGCGCAGCTGAGCTTGGTGTGGACAGGCGTCTTGTTGCAGCACAGCTGGTACCCGGACTCGAGGCGGTTGATGGCCGCAGCCCGGCGGCGGGAGTGGCTGCTCCATGATCTTGGGATTGAGTTATCGGGGTAACGGGGGCCATAGTTTCCATAGGAACAAATAGCACCAACATTCGCAGATGTAGGTGGAGCTGGTGGGAATGGGACAGGGTCAACGTACTGGCTCTCTGTAAAAAAAATACAAACACACATTTTATTGGAAATTGTGACAGGAAGGACAGAAAGTTTCAGTTCTGACACAGAAAAACTCAAAAGTTATAAAGCTCCACTACAAAGAGTTAGTTGCATGGCATTCTGAAATCCATGGACTGAAAACATGTTTCATAAAGCATCAAGGTAGATGTTGAAGATGCTATATTCCACATTATGATCTTGGCATATTCAACACTAATACCTCTGCAAATAAATACAACACTAATGTTAAAAAGGAGATTAAAAACACAATTGTCCACGATATATCAATAAATAAATTGCTCAAAGTAGGAAAGAATTACAAATATTTACCTCCATATTTTGCATTGTAAATGCTCAGCAGGGCAATAAAGGTCAAAATTGCTCGCACAGCCATTTAAAAAATATCTGAAACAGTCCTTACATAAAAATGTGAAGACGATTTACTTTCAGGGGGTCTCAGCTGCTTTTATTGGCAGCGAGAGAGGGCGTGTCATTTACAGAAACTCTGCTTTTGGGAGGCAGGGAGGCGGTAGGACAGAGATAAGCTCAGAAACTGGACCAATCAAAGATCCACATTAATCTCAAAAGTGCTGTGTGGAGAAACCGCAAATATGACATTTACATTGCTTATTAATGCAGGATGTGAATTTGCTGACCTGAAGTGGAAATATCTTTCTTGGGGGATTCAAAGGTCTTGTGAGCCAAATTTGAGCACTCCTTGTAAACCTGCTGCTTACCTACCAAAATACTGTTTTACATTTACAGATAAGGATAATAACTGAGATGGGAACTAAACCAAAAATCGAAATCTCAAGTTTTATGAATGATGATCAATATTGTATTATTATCCAACAGTGAAGGACTGAGAAGTTTCACTAAACTTGTCCTTGTCTTTTCAGGCTTGATTAAAATTAAAGTTTTGTTGTTCATTCATTCATTCATTTTCTACCCCGCTGTTGTTTTGTTGTTAATTTTGTTATTTTTTACCCAGATCACCCAGGCCTATTGGACAGATTGGGAGTTTCTCAATATCCATCATGTGGACCCCGTACTCCTGTCTTCTCTACAAACATGTGTCCATCACCTTTACACTGTTGTCAACTTTGGAACAGGTGACTTCACAGGAATGAAGTTAATATATTACGATAAAAGACAGAATGAAACAAACCTCAGACAAATATACAAAGAATCAAACATGTCTTGTAGAGCAAGACTTTGACAGACGACTGTCAGAGAACACAGTATGCAGTAAGCATTTCTACCAGCAGGGGGAGCTGTTAATCACTATTTTAAAGCTGATTTTCAATTTAAAGCATTCATTATATGCTTTAAAACTCAGTTAGTAGTTAAATAAATACAAAAATGAAGGAATGGCCTATCCATCTACAATAACAATCCTACTTTATCTTAAATCCAGTTTTGGTTCAATGTGACCATCCCCTCAAGTTCAGAAAAATCTGGTAAAATTGCAGCGATAGTGCCCCCTACAGAGTGACTCCAAGTTTTACACGGAGAGCAAAATTCACACAAAATTCTGTTTTGGCATCTCAATCCAAAAAGTTCAATGAGACCATGACTTATTTTTTTTTATCAGTATTGCCATGGCGATGACAAACACCATTCTGTGTTAAAGGGGAAATCGTAAAAGCTCTCAAATGTACGCCTCACACCTTTTTTTTTCTCTAAATAAAGCCCAGGAGGAAAAAGGCTGAATGGAAATACTTTTTTTTTTAAAATAAAAACCTTTAACCTTTAGATTAGGAAATATTATGAAAAACAGTCATAAATATTAAATAATGCAACAATGCAAACGTAGACATTAAATAAATTCTTGATCAAGCAAAATGTATTTTATAAATAAGGAATAAGTAGTGTATCACTGTGCCGTGCGCCTCTGGCTTTTCTTCCTATTTTTTTCTGACAGAGTTAATTGAAATGATTGTCACATTCTGTCGAAACCATTCTCTCTGATATTGATAACATGTATTCATAACACAAACAATATATCTGTCACGATATATATTGTTATTGTTTTATCGGCTAGCCCGAGTTTAGACACAAATAGTGTGAAAGAAAAGGATTTTTCAGACCAGTCACTGGAGCAATGAGAAGAGCAGGATGTGTTTGACCCAGTGGTGGTAAAAGCGGCTTCTCGAGTTCTGCTGTGAATCTGACACCTGCCACCTTCAAGACCGAAGATAATGATGATGAAATGTGATCTGCAGAGAATGCACCAGGACTTCTCAAACAGTGGGGCAGGCCCCCCAGGGTGGCGGGGCTCGAGAGACTGCAGGGAACATGCCGGGTCCGCTCCGTCCCCTCGGCTTCAACACGGCGAAAATATCTGTACCGGAACGGGAACCAAAAAAACAGGATCGGGACATGCCGAGCTGTTTTAGAATGATCTGAGTTATAAAACCGCTTCTCAGAATGTTCAAAAATGATTCATGGACCTTCTCCAGAGTAAGTTGTTCAATCCAGTCACACAACAATGGACCAATGGCATAATGTATAACAGTGTAAACAATAAACTTCTGTAGTTCATGGTGTGTTCTTACGTACAAATACAAACTGTTTTTTCTTTCTTATGTATGTTTTTTTATCCAAACATAGATATTCAACATGGAGAAAATAATAATTTATTGTAAAAGGCAAGACAGGTTTATTCATAAAGCATCTTGTTAAAATGTATTATTATGATTATTGCGGTGCTGGTTTATTGTGGCTCTTACTTTATACCAGCGTACAACTCGTGTGCGCCTCTTCTCAAAAAAAGTGAATTCTCCATTTCATTCCCCACTTTAGAAGATCACCATCTACTGTGAAGCAGGGAGGGGCAAAGGGACCGGGATGATGGAGCCGTGTCAAGGAAAGGAAAGTGAGATTTTGAGTGAAAACCTTCCATCAGTGACGGCCTGGAACATGAAAGTGGCTGGGTCTTTGAAATGCGCTATATAAATAAACTTTTCTTACTTACTTACAAACACTCTTCCGGGGCCGAGAGAAATCATTGGAAGGAGTTGAAAGTCTGTGTTGGCAGTGACAGCCCACTGCTCACCACTGCTCTTGTAGGGAGCCACATGGAGGGATGGGCCAAAATACCAGCACCCATGTCACCTGCTCCCACTGATGTCTACTGTTGTTGTGTCCCTGGGCAAGACAGTTAACCCCACTTTGCCTGAATCCCGCTGAAACACCACAGCCGTATCTTCGTTGAGGAAGCAGCCGTCTTCCCGTGGACTCACCGGCTGCAGGAGGATTTGGGGGCAGCTCTGATTGCCCCCCCCCAACCTCCCCGACCCAGAAATGGATAAATAAAGGGGGTGAAAATGAGTGAAAGTATTGAGATGGACTTTTTGTTATTGCCTAAACTAATTTTTCACCATAATTTGCAAATAAATCAGACAAAGGGATTTCTTTCTCATTTTGTCTCTTATAGTTGAATTATACCTAAAATTACAGAAACACATCAAATGAATGTGTTTTTACTGCAAACAGTGTTGGGGAGAATACTTTGAACATTTATTTTGTTCCAGAATACTGAACTCATGACTTAAAATGTATTTTGTTTAGTATTATTTGGAAAAAGTAGTAGCTGTATTCCCAATACTGAGAATACTTTTATTTAAACTTTGAATGATTATTTTTGTCTTGTTCATATTTATTGGAAATTCATGTTTATGTACAAAACGTAAAAAAGATAAATTTCCAAATATTAAAAAAATTATAATTATTAAATATAAAATAAATAATGTTCTAAAATGTAAAATAAATAAAACCTGTTCTGCAATTTTTTGATAATCTGTTTATTTTTGTGCTTCAACGGCTGCATTTAACAACCAGAAAAAATAGAATCTTCACTCTAAGAAATACTAATGTTTTATTTTCTCTCTCTTTTTTAACCTTAAAATGTAATGTGAGAAAGTATGTATCCCCGTGGTTTTCAGAACGTTACGATATTCTAAACACTAGACTCATAAGTATAACTGTAATGAACTCTCCAACACTGAAAACGTCAAATAAAATGAATGTGGAACTCATTTAAAGGTGAAGTGGTACTACCCTGGGGGGCGGTCCTGGATGTGGCGGTCCTGACATCACTAATTGATTATGTGTGTGGGATTCGCTGACCCGTGATCAGTCCCCGTCGGCCTGAGCAGAGCGGGACCAGGACGCACAGGCGCAGTGGGAGGGGTGAGAGGTGAGAGTGGACACTGTTATTATGTCCTCAAGCCGATTAGCGCTGAGACTGGGATATCATCCTGGCTCCTCTCACAGTGCACACGGAACCAGCGCAGGACTCTCTACTTCACTCACACTTGGATCAACATTTACCATTTTTTTTCATCCTGGTTCTTTTGTTTTTATTTAGCATTTATGTCAGAAGTTGAGTAAGCGAGTCTGCCATGGTTAGGGTGATTTGTGTTCGTACGCAGTCCAGACTGACAGCTGCTTCTCTTTTTAATTGTTGAGTCAGCGTTACACGTTCTTTGTCATCACTTAGAAAATGTTTCTTTGTTTGTTTGTTTACTTATTTTAAACTGTAGTTGGAAGTTTGTGATTGTTTATGATTGTGCTGCTTCACAATAACATGTAATATCTTACCAGTGTTTACAAGTCAAGTTGGAGAATATACAATCACTGCTTATAACATAACATTTAGTGATATTCTTGTTTTAAAATAACTTGATTTCTTTAAAATAGAGTTTTTTATAGTTTGTTTTTAATAATGCATTGCTTCATCTTTGATCAGTGTGTGGGCATTTAGGCCAACATTGAAAGATGGACGCCACTGAGATATTTTTAACTCTGTGAGAAGTTATCACATATCACAAGCTCATTTTTGAGGTAAAAGTTTTAGAAAATGTCGAGCCCCTGCAAAAGTTTGGATGGACGCAGAGGTGTTGGGGAGAGTCCTGCTCACAAAGAGAGACGGTTTCGCAGTTGGAGCAGCCTGAGGTTCTCCAGGTGGAGGAGTGGGTCCCAGAGGAGCCCACCTGCCTCTCCTTCTCCAAAGGGAGACAAAAGCAGCGATGTCACCAAGACCCTCTTCACCCTGGTCAAAACCCACAATGACAACTACACAGCGGACCCAGATGGTTTGATGGAACCTCCCAGAGAAAGGTGCATTGAGGAGGATGAAGTTGACGATGAATCCACCTACTTCCAGAAGCAGCTCGGCTCAATGCTGCAGCCGGGAATCAACAAGTTCTCTCTGCGCATATTCGGGAGCCACAAAGGGGTCGCCGCGGAGCAGGACAGGGTCAAGTCTTTTGGAGTTTGGATCATTCACCCCTACAGCGACTTCAGGTAACTCACAGATCACACCTGGGACCTTTACTCAACATTACAAAACAACAACAAAACTACACTCAGAGCGTTATTTGAACGTCAGCATAGATTAGAAAGTGCAACAATGTGGAATTAAAAATACTAAGGGTGCATTCAATGTGCTCTAAGGCTCTTCAAAACAGACACAACTTCTCTGTTCATTTGTCAACAGCCACATATAAAGACTTATGGTTTTCACCACACCCAAAAGACAGTTTCTCACACATGAATTGACCATTAAGACCAAAAACCTATCACTATAACACAATCAGAAGAACACTGCGTAAAGAAATGAGTTACACACTACTGATTACAAATATACATACTACACCTATACAAATATACATATTAATAATACAAGTATACATATCACAACTATACAAGTGTGTACGGTACTTCAGTAATACGTAATATCCATGTAATGTCATCCATAAGTATCAATAATATATAAATACACTGATTTCATTAGTATTTATGCACTATGCTTGTTAAAGTAATATTACTGAGAATATTAACAGGGAACTATATGTGTCTTTAACAGTGGTCTTTTAGGTTCTTTTAGGTGTGAGAGAGAACTGTAAAAATACCAACTTAACCATAAAAGTAATGATTCATCTTGGACACGAGACTAACAAAAAACTGCATTGTCACAAAACCAATAGTGACCTACAGTTCAACCATGAGCTCAGACTAAAGCTGTCTACTATTGCATTTGTTAATTATACATTAAGTTACCAGTATTTTAGTCAAGTGTCATTCTCTGTGTCCCTAAAGACTCCACAGATAACACATTTTCCGACTCCGTTGTATCCTCTGTTAATGGCACGTCGCTAAGTCCCATCAGCTCGAGACGACACTGCATTGGGGTTTGTACAGGGAATATTTTTAGCATTACTCAGACACAGATCTATTCCAAGGGCATTGGAGCAAATGATTTCAGCTGCACACGATAAGGCGATGAGGAGATTTTAATAGTGATACAGACACACGGCAAGATCAGCTGGATTAGTGATAGAGAGCCTGATAAATGAGAACACTTGGCCTCTGTGATAGACATAATGCATGCGTGCCAACATGATAACTTTATATAAATGACTTTTTACACAAACAAGCTACAATTCCAGGCCATGAGACTGAGAGTAACTACAGTTTGAAATCCATAGATGACACTAAACAATCCACTATCATTCACTTTAAATTCTTCCTTTTAAACTTGAGCAGCAGGCCAGACTGTGGATAAACTCGTGCACTGGGATTATTGGTGAGAGACATCCGTATAATTCTAATCTTGCTCCATTATGCAATAAAACAGGCATCGGAGGGTGAGGGGTGGGGTCTGGATTAACGAAGGCCTGTTCTTCTTAAACCTTATGCTCCAACGTCCCTTTAGATTGGTTTAGTGTTATTAAAAAAAGGCTTAGAATATGAATGGGTTAGTTTAGGACCATATGAAAACCAATATCCAACTATTGTGCTGAGCCATTGGCGAGCTGCACCTTGAACAAGAGGAGAATAAGCTGCAAAGGTTATGATTATAGAGGTTTGAATCAATCCATCTAAATGTTTATTTCAAAACATCCATCCATTGTCTTCGCCTTAATCCATTTCTGGGTCGGGGGGGTGGCAATCAGAGCTGCACCCATTCCACAGAGCACCAGCCCCTCACTGATCCTCCTGCAGGTGGTGAGATCTTTCAGCGTGTGCTTCAGGCAAAGTGGGGTTAAGTGTCTTGCCCAAAGACACAATGACAACAGTCATCAGTGGGAGTCCCGAAGTAGGTCTTATGGTGGGCTTGAACCCACAATCTTCAGGCTCAAAGGCCAATGCTCTACAAACTGAGACATATTTCAAACCAGTAAAACATAATATCAGACCTACTTCACACCTCCCACTGATGTCTGCTGCCGATGTGTCCTTGGACAAGACACTTAACCCCGCTTTGCCTGAAGGCCCCGCTGAAAGACCAAGGCAGCTCAGACTAGGGGCTGGTGCTGCATAGGTTTACTCTGGGTGCACCGGTTTCCCATATCACTAAAAACATGCACAATATGTCTGAGTTTAATGGGTGAGTGAATGGAGGGTGATTGGTCAGAGGCTTTGATGGACCAGTGTGTTTGGCGTCTCGCTTCCGTCTTCACCGTGTGTGGAGAGAATGGAAAACTATCTGAACTCGCTTTGGGTGACCTTGGTCTGTAAAATGCGCTATATAAATAAACATTACTTACTTACCGACTTACTCTGTGAATTGGGTGTAGTTCTGACTGCCACCCCGACCCAGAAATGGATTAAGGGGAAGACAATGGATGGATGGACAGTACAACACAATGTTTCAGGACAAAAACAAAGAATAACCAGAATTTCTTCTTGGAATTAAGTTTGATTTTTTACAACAAAATGTCGTGGTAGTTAAGCTTTTTCGTAATTGAACAATACATATACTTATTGTTCTATCCCCATGTTTTAATTATTCAGTAGATTCATTATAGCCACTGAAAGCCATTAGTAATCTGTTGGAAATAACAATTCTCTTTGTAAACTCGAGTGGAGACTCAGGACCCGCGGACAACAGAAACGGTTCCTCATTAAGAGCCTTCTATGGTTCAACGTAACTCAAAACTTTAATGTCGTACTGTGTGTTGGTAAAGTACATGAGACACTGCATTAACCCTTTGAGTTTCCAAGGTTTTATTTTTCAAACATTTTTGGATAAATGAAGCTCAAACTCATCTCCACACGACACTGATCTTGTTGCTTTATTACAGGATACAACTTTAATTTTCAGATAAACTTGCCTCAGCTGTGAAAGGGGAATTGTTAATCTCATTCCGGTCAACAATACACCAGCTTTACCTCCTCTAAATTTATCAAAGAGAATGTCGGATGTACTACGGAGTTTGAGCTTCCCCGTTACAGAGACTTAGTCATCAGAGGCCAAAACTACAGACCTCAGTCTCACAAACTGTTCAGCCATCTGCTCAACAAAGGGTTCTCAAACAAGTCTGACTTTTACAGATGTTTTCAGTCGTTTTGGAGAAAGCTGGGAGGATATAAGGGTTATGTTTTGACTGTTCTTAGTCCTCAATATGTTTTTACTTCTTATTGATCAAATCTGTGTTTTTGGCCCATTACAGGTGTATGTAATTAAAAAATAGCCTGGTATTTGCTGTAAATGTTATGATAATGAGAGCGAAGCAGAAGCCCAAAGTGATTGACATGGAAACAATCAGTGGGAAAGAAACCCAAGTCGTGTTGTCTCCAAGAACAACTCGACCTGAAAGCACGAAGCACAATCTTGATCTATATATTTTTATCCTCTTGGCTCAATGCCACAATAACGAGTGGAAATCCTTCTGTTTTGTCCTCAGGAGGGTCTGAGGACAATGGGCCTCATTCACGAACGGTTCTTAGGAACAGATTTGTACGTAAATCCTACTTACGAGGTTTTTACGAAGAAAGTGGCATTCACGAATATTTCTCGTAACCAGAATTTCTCTTGGGCAAGTACAAATCCTACGAGTCCTCAGGAGCACTCGTACGCATTCAGTGCCGACATGTTCACACGCTGGGGTTGTCCTCTTTGGTGAAGTTGAATAAAAATACAACATTCCAGTGATATGTCCGTCATATCGATGTATGTATTTATTTATTTGTAGTAATCTTTATTAGTAATCTTTATTTATATACCGCCTTTTTCACTGCAGATCTGGCCTACTTTTTAATTCATTTTGAAATGAAATGTGCCAACGCTTTATCAAATACATTGGAAATCTTGCCGTGTATTAGTGACCCCTTCCTATTTATAGGGGGCATTTCTTTATCCACGGGCCACAGAACAACGGCATATATACTGCTGCTCCAGGAGGTTACTGGGTCCGCGCTGAGTCTCTGCGCTGGTCTCTCCTATGGATCTATACGGGTCTGCGCTGGTGTCTCCCATATACGGGTCTGCACTGGTCTCTCCCATGGATCTATACGGGTCTGCACTGGTCTCTCCCATATACGGGTCTGCACTGGTCTCTCCCATAGATCTATACGGGTCTGCACTGGTCTCTCCCATGGATCTATACGGGTCTGCACTGGTGTCTCCCATATACGGGTCTGCACTGGTCTCTCCCATGGATCTATACGGGTCTGCGCTGGTGTCTCCCATGGATCTATACGGGTCTGCGCTGGTCTCTCCCATGGATCCATACGGGTCCGCGCTGGTCTCTCAAGTCTGGTCTATGCGGTCTCTCTTCGGTCCGCGCTGGTCTCTGCGCACCGGTCTCTCCAGTCAGGTCACTCCAGTCTATGCGGTCTCTCCTATAGGTCCGCGCTGGTTTCTGTGTGCTGGTCACTCCAGTCTCTCCTCGGGTCTGCATTGGTCTCAGCGCTGGTCCGCGCTGGATCTCCTCCCAGGGTCCAAAATATTTTGAGATTAATCTCAAAACATTTTGAGATTCATCTTTAAAATAATACATAATATATTTTTAAATTAAGCTCATAACATTTTGAGATTAATCTCATCATATTCTTAGATTAATCTCATAATTTTGCTAGTTCGACTTTATAATCATAATATTTCGACTTTTAAGTCAACATTTTATAACTTTATTCTCAGTCTGGCAAAAGCCTGCTTTAGGCCTGTTGCTGTTTCCTCTGCCGTCTGCACACGGCCCTGCAGTCCCTTATATGGGCATTAATGGGCGGTTACTTATGCTAAGTACCTATGCTAATGAAGCACCGGGCACGCGCGCTGTACTTACGAGGAAATGGGATTCATCAATCTGAGAGAACAGCTGCGAACAATTCAGCGGCTTACGAGTGCGTTGATGAATCCCACGTGGGGACTTCTTAGAAATCTACTTAAGGACAACTTGAGAAGAAAGTTGAGTAGTTTCTTACGAAGTTATTCGTGAATGAGGCCCATTGATCCCGGACATTCCATGACATTTATTAACAGAACATTACATTTCTCATCCCGCTCTTTATGGACCAATGACTCCCAGTGTTTGAAATGTTTGATTCTCTGATCTGTTATCAGTGAATCAACAACTTTGTAAAGTCCTCTGAGGCGACTGCTGTTGTGATTTAGGGAAATACAAGAATATATTTAATTGAATTGAAGTTAACTCAAAATAATGAGTTGTTGCAGAAAGCAGTGATACCTTAGATTAAAAGTATTAAATGTGACGTTCATTCATTATGTAATAGGATTAAGTTCCGCTTCATGTCAAGGAGATTTTCAGAAAACAAAGAACTATGCACGAGCATCGTTAAGCTCTGTTTGATCAGCACATTATCATAACACCATCTCTGTTTACTGAAGAACTTGTATCAAACTTAAAAAACAGGAGGATTTTCCCCAAAATAAAGGAAAAAAACGCCCTCTCCACTTTTAGAACAAATCTCTCTGGTCTTATTGGACGAGCATCACCAGAATGATTGACAATTAGGAGGACCAATAGTCTTGATGATCCACCCGGAAGAAGAAAATCCTCCTGTATACCTTTAATTAAATTTTACTGTTTTAAATAATCATAATGATAATAATAATGAAAATATGGACAATACATTTTTACCATATTGTTAATGTGTATATAGAATTGAAATAAATTAAAAATAACATTGAAATAAGTGCAAATGTACAGTATCTTTGTGTTTATTTGTAAGTTCAACTATTAGAGCAACCCCTCCTGTTTAATTAATAAGGCCAACGGTGAATATTTAATGCACACTTCGTCCTTGTCAGACACTTCCGAGTGTCTTCCTCTGTCAGCTCTGATCCCCTTCAGAACCTTAACCTCCACAGGATTAGATAACCAGCCCCTTAGCATGTCGTCTTCATTATGACAGATGTCAGGGCGGTCTCAATTCACCACTGCCCATTGACTTTTTGCTGAGACCGAACATCGTTTGGACAATCCAGCTTCTCCTTTAGGGTTAAACTGTGGAACTCTCTCCCCACCGGACTGAAACTACAGACTAACATGACCATCTTCAGCAGAGCTCAAACAGTGGTGAAGATCCAGACAGACTTGTTCTCACGTGTAAACTGTTTTGTATTTCTTTGAAATGTATTTTATCTTCTGTAATGTAAAAGCCCCCTGTGGACTAGTGTTGAAAAGCACCTGTGCTATAACACTTACAGCAATGCATCTGGTTCGTCCAATGTTATTGTTATGTCCATACTAAATAATGTCATAACCTGGCTCAAGGCCATGACAAAATGTGGACGCAGACAACGAAATGGGATACTTAGAGGGTGTTTATTAAACGAAGATGAACTCAAGTATACCAAAGTAACAATAATAATGAGGTGTGACTGTAGTATCAGTGGTGTATGCGAGTGAATGGTTGTGTGTTCGTATGGTGCTGAGAGAGAGTGAGGCTGTCAGCTGGCAGGTCCATAAAAAGGCGTGGCGCGTCGGGCCCTGGCGTACCACGCTCCAAAGATCCGCCTACAGCTCTACCTGCACACAGATAAATAAGGCAGTACCAAAGCGCGACCCCAGAGAGGAGTAAGGGGTCGTGACACAAAAAAATAATAATAATACACAGTTTGAAAAAGGTTTGCGAGCAGCTACTGAATGTGTTAACAATGTTAGCGGGTAATGTATGTACAGTAATATCCCATGGTCGTTACGTAGATGTCGAGCCCCCCACATTTTTCTTTTGAATAGGAAATTGACTTTTTGACCCTTCTGGGCTGCCATTGTCAATCTTTATTCATAGTGTGTTCCATACTTTTGATGTCTTTGCACACTTCTGTCTTTTGCACAAATCTGAGTGATCCTATCTATGCCAAATGTGAAATTTCTCCTGTGTGAGGTCAATAAAGTCTATCTTATCTTATCTTATCTTAAAACTTCCCTTCTTCAGTGACTTTCTAGAAAAGCAAACATCCAGTAGAGAGGAGTTAAAACCCAATGGACTATAGTTTCTAAATCACATTACATTTGGATAGAATTGCTGATTTTTCATTTGTCTCTGCTCTCCTTTGCACAGGTTTTACTGGGACCTTGTCATGCTGATCTTAATGATGAGTAACTTGGTGATATTGCCGTGGGGAATTACCTTTTTCGAAGACCAGAACACGCCTCCTTGGATCACATTCAACGTCCTCTCTGACACTCTGTTCTTGCTAGATTTAATTTTCAATTTTCGAACGGGCATACTGGGAGAGGACAGTCAGACCATCCTGGACCCTAAGGAGATCCGTCTGCAGTATCTACGCACCTGGTTTCTGGTAGACTTTATTTCCTCCATCCCGGTGGACTATATCTTTCTAATTGTGGATCTGGAAAGCCTCCTGGCATCTACAGACGTGTACCGCACCGCTCGCGCCCTCCGCATCGTCCGCTTCACCAAAATCCTAAGCCTCCTGCGGCTACTTCGACTGTCACGACTGATTAGATACATCCATCAATGGGAGGAGGTAAATGAAACCAAATATCTCCATGTTAGTGCTGTCATTCACATTGCACACTATGACAAACCCACATTATAATAACATTACTCTGTTGATTAGCTGCCCGAGTTTGTCAAAACTGATGAAATGCAAGAATACTAACACACAAAGCCATGTCCCCTTGTGCAGTAAAGTTTCAATAACTTTTCCATGACCATGACCTCACAGATAGGTTTAAGTCAGGGATGTCAAAGTCAAAAATATCAGGCTCTCAGACAAAAACAAACTTCCTTAAAAGAGTAAACACACGTCCTGAACACTAAATGTATAATCCAGTATTTTCTAATGGCTCTGTGACGGTTCTAATACCACTCACCAATCAAATACCATCCCAGGGGCAAAGAAAATTCATTTGCGGGCTGCAACTGGCCCCCGAGCCTTGACTTTGACACCAGTGGATTAAGTCAATACAAAACAATGATTAACAAAAGAATTAAAACAGCAAAAAAGTTATTGTGTATTCTGTAACAAAATAAAAATAAAAAATTCTCTATAGTCTGTATATGTTGATACTGGATTTTAATTTTGTGGTTTCTCGTGTGGACAGGCCATTCATTATTGAATTAGTAAGTAAGTAAGTAAGTAATGTTTGTCTATAAAGCACATTTTACAGACCAAGGTACAGACCCAAAGCACTTTACAATGTTCAGAGTCAGATATTGTTCCAATCATTCCACACACGGTGATGACAGAAGCGAGTCCAGAACACACTGGACCATCAGCTCCAACACCATTCACTCTCTCATTTACATTCAGACCTATTGTGCATGTTTTAGTGGTAGGGGAAACCGGAGCACCCGGAGGAAACCTACGCAGACACAGGGAGAAGTTGCAAATTCCACTCAGAAAAGCATTGTTCCGACCAAGATTTGAACCCAGGCCCTTCTTGCTTCAGGATGGTTTTGATAGACAGTTAGTTAGTTTTAAATGTCTAATTGTCTGATAATAATTCCTTCTTGGCACACTGCGTGAATCTGATGTGCAGCCTTTGGATTGTCTCAAACACAATCACATGTTGTTTTGTTGTCGTTATTAGATCTTCCACATGACCTATGACCTGGCCAGTGCCGTGGTGCGTATCGTGAACCTGATCGGGATGATGCTGCTGCTGTGCCACTGGGACGGCTGTCTGACCTTCATGGTGCCGATGCTTCAGGACTTCCCTCCCGACTGCTGGGTGGCCAAGAACAACATGGTGGTGAGTCCAACTGGATGCTCCTTTGTTTGTTCGTTTATTTATTCATTTCAGGCATTTCACATAACGCAAAAGTCACCATAGTTTCCAACAAAAGTGAATAAAGTATTGCTCATATGCATTAAAAAAAAAAAAAAAAGTTGCCTGAAAAGGGAGTAGGAAGAAGAAAACGTGTTTAATCCTACCCCCATAATACGTAAATAACAAAAATTAGCTTCTCTGTAAGACTTACAGAGAAGCGAATTTACTTTAGACACAGACATGGAAATGTCCGTGGAAAAAATTTCAAAGAGAAGAGCACTTTTTCAGACAACTGTAAAGAGGAGAAGGTCAAGTTTTAGACGTGATCCAAGATGATGAGAACAGACTTCAAGAACAAAAAAGCCTTGTGACTTGTTTCTCGCTCTCAAAACTTTTTGTTCTATCTCTAGTTTGTGTGCATTTTTGGTCTGTGTTACATCATTAGATCAGTTTTTTCAGTAAAAGTTTTCTTCCCCTTATTCCATTTCTGGGTCGGGGGGGAGTGGCAGTTAGAGTTATACCCAGTCCACAGAGGACCAGCCCCTCACTGATCCTCCTGCAGGTGCTGAGTCCACAGGAGAACAGTGAGAACATGGCCTTGAGCTTGGCTTCAGGCAAAGTGGGGTTAAGTGTCTTGCCCAAGGACAGGACGACAGCAAACATCAGTGGGAGTTGGTGGAGAAGGTCTTGTGGAGGGCTTGAACGTTACAGTCTACCAACTGAGCTACTGTCGCCGCCAAGCAATGAGAAAGCTAACTTAGTTAGAAGTATGTTTTCTGATTACTGGTCTGACAAAATGTATTTATGAACAACAAAGTTCAGTAACCCAGCTTAAATAGTGAAACCAGAGTCATCTTAATAGTTATTTGTCGTACTTGACAATGCTGTTGACCACAGAACACCTTTAACTTTCCAGAACTCAACCTGGCAGTTCCAGTACTCTTACTCTCTGTTCATGGCCATGAGCCACATGCTGTGTATCGGTTATGGCGCCCACCCCCCAGAGGGCATGAGCGATGTCTGGCTCACCATGATCAGTATGGTTGTCGGGGCAACCTGCTACGCCATGTTCCTGGGCCATGCAGCCAACCTGGTCCAGTCCCTGGACTCGTCCCATCGCCAATACCAGGAAAAGGTGCATTTGCTTAACTCAAAGATTGTCATGATTTTTACCACATTATATATTTATTATAATCTGTGTAATCATTATCTGTGGAAAAAATGTAAAATAACAAAATGCTGTCTTTGTAACCTTAAATTCTCATATTTGGTATTAAATCAGGAGTATATCAGAAATAGGTCTTCACTAAGCTTCACCACAACATAAGTGACATTATTTTAATCAGCAAAATATGAATAAATTAAGAGTATCCAAAACAGAGGTTAACCAAGTCTGAGGCTCAGAGAAACAGAAGTTCTTGATTACTTCACTGCACAATTTGTTTCTCCTTGGTTCAATATCACTGCAAAGCCACTTTCACTAAGCGCAGTAACCAGCTTGTGCTGTTTCGCTGAAATAAGCCAAATGCAGAGAATCTGTGTATTATCTAATGGGGTTCCATGTCCTGAATGTGACCCTGATGAGGATTTTCACAGGATAAAACTGAACACAGACAAATGGTAGTACTTTTGTGTTGGATGATTGTAAGCTAATGCCCATCACAAATGAGTTTGGTAATCCGCTTAATATGAAGCAAAGCCTGCAAATTACATTAGTAAATAATTATTTCACACATGTGACTGAACAAGGGCATTGTTAAATTGTGATTCTTCTTATTCGTTTTTAGTACAAACAAGTGGAGCAGTACATGTCATTTCACAAACTGCCTGCAGACGTCAGGCAGAGAATCCATGACTATTATGAACAGCGATTTCAAGGCAAAATGTTTGATGAGGACAGCATCCTCGGAGAGCTCAGCGACCCTCTGAAGGAGGTGTGTTTCAAGATGAATGTTTATTCATGAAATTATAATGTTTTATTTGAACTGTGTGTTTCAAGATGAATGTTTATTCATGGAATTATAATGTTTTATTTGAACTTTCCTCTCTTCTGCTTCAGGAAATAGTCAGCTATAATTGTCGTGGGCTGGTTGCAAACATGCCATTGTTTGCAAACACGGACCCACACTTTGTGACCGTGATCTTGACAAAGCTGAAGTTTGAGGTGTTTCAACCAAATGACTTCATCATCCGTGAAGGAACACTGGGTCGAAAAATGTACTTCATTCAGCACGGCTCCGTCACCGTCATGCCGCGAGGGACGAGGGAGATTAGGCTCAATGATGGAGCGTACTTTGGGGGTGAATAGTTTTGACCTTTAAGCAAGTGTTTGTCAAATCCACTGCTGGTGCTGTCTTTTTGTCATGTTCCATATAATAATATTAATAATAATAATAATAATAATATACATGATAACAATACTGACATACCTTGTGTTTGTCTCGTGCAGAGATCTGTTTGCTGACCCAGGGGCGGCGCACGGCCAGTGTCCGCGCCGACACCTACTGCAGACTGTACTCTCTGAGCGTGGACAGCTTTAACGAAGTGCTGGAGGAGCATCCTCTGATGAGACGAGCTTTTGAGAGTGTCGCTGTGGACCGCCTGGGACGGGCCACGGGCAAAACCAGACACCAGTCTGTTCCTGAGTGACAAGGAGCACAACAATAGACAATGGAATGTGACTTTCAAGCTTTTCCTGGAATACAACCATGTACAGACTGACAGAGTTGAGAAATAGAAACCGTATCAAGTTATTTTGTTGTTCATTTGGTTTTTATTGTATTAGAAATACAACTTTTTGCATTTCTGATGTAAATAGTGCTTCAGTTTCACGTTCCTCCAAAGACTTTCCACTGATGGGACACTCAGGTGAATGTTGGCACCAGATGGATAATATATCAGCTTTAAGTCGCACTGATTTGACTCCTCCCTCACGTCTGTAGGTTGCATCAAATCAAGGTTTAATACTGATGTTCACAGAAGATAAGCTGCTCTGATGTAATAACACAAACGGTACAGAAATGAGCATTACAACAGTGTTTCGACTCTGAATGTGGCATTCACTTTGTAAAATAAAGTCTCTGCTTCTCTCTGTTTCATCTTTCACCAATGCTTGAAAACAACTCAGGACTGAACAATACCAGTGTCACAAATTAAAGAATGCAAAGTCACATTTTATATTTCTTTAATTTAAATTGTATTTATTCAACATTTATACAATATTGGGATTCCGTTTTTGACAAGCTTATCAGTGCAGCAAATGTGGAAAAACAGTTACTTGAAAAAACAATAAAGGATTTGATCACAGGGATTGAATGAATGAATTACGTTTTGGCACAACTTGAACTTCCTTGGAGACAGTCTGTGGACAATGGTCACGCTGGAGGTGCACAGAGTAGAGCCACTGCTCCTCAAAATTGAATAAATCCATCTAATCTGGTTTATTGGTTCTGGTGCAACAATTACTTTGAGACTTTGACGTGTCTAGAAACAAAAAACCTCTACAACTTCAACATGGCAAAACAAAAAAATCACGTTTATATATTAATTTTAAGTTCAATCATTTAAAACATACAGACAGACATGACAAAAGAAAATAAGTAAAACGGCTTTAAAAGACAACCATACCTGTCTCCACGTCTTGGACTGAACTCTAGTGACACTGAACCTGATGTTTGTCAGCGCTAATATTATTACATTTTCTGATTTGTTCAGTCGACAAATGAAACTGTAGCTACATAACGATCTAAATGAGGCGGGGCTCTCGACAAGATATTTTATTTATTATGCCATTACTTTTACTATATTGTATTTTATTGATTAAATACATATTACAATGTTTTATTTTAATCAAACCATGGAATGTTTAATTTTTTATACATAGTTCCCACATGACGTCACTACATACGGGGATTTGCCGACCCGGCGACATTTGTATTGGCATTCTGTGGGAAAAACAATAGAAAAAGAAGCTGAAACGTGTTAATGTCGTGATAAAGTTGAAAATGGTCATCTCCTGCTGGGTCAATGGATGTTCAAATCGTGCCGGAGGTTCTGTTAAACTTGGATTTTACAGTATACCCATCATTAGACTTCATGAATGTGAGAAGACTAAGCTTTTGTCAGAACAACCACGGAGGTTATGGCTTGCGAAGATAAACAGGCAAGAAACTCCCTCAAAACACGCAAGAATATGCTCAGAGCACTTTGTGTCAGGTGCGTATCGTATCTTATAATGTGTTGACAGACGTAATTTACTCAGTACTAACTTGTGTATGCTGATATCTGGTAACTTGAGAGTTTCATTATTTAGCGTTAGATTACTTTATTATGAGGAGGATCGGTGTCGCGTCCGAGGCTCTCGAGGGCAACGTAAATGTATTAAATAGATAATAATAGTTCTATGGTGGGCTAAAACAATGTTCACAAACAGCATTGCTTCTGTAAAAAGATCTTGTCATAAAATAAACTGCTCTTTACGCCTGGAAAAATCAGTTGCCCACCATTCACCAAAACATACGGTCAAAAACGCGGAAATAAACAATAACAGCAATCCAGAGTGCCCGTGTGGCATTAGCATTAATTAAATTAATTGTTAATATAATTAAAATAATTAAATGGAGCTCCAACTGGTATTAAATCTAAAGTTTGAGAAATGTTTGCATTGCTTGTTAATTTTTGCTGCATAATTTGATCAAATATGTAAAACATGTCCGTAGCACGTTAAACTGTGGTGCCATTGTATTAATATACAATTATTTGCTCAAAAGTTGCCCTTTTTTTCCAATTTGCGTTTGAATATCTACATTTATTCTCATTCTTCTGTTTAATGGAATGCACAAACACAGCAGCGTGCCATCAAAGATGGCGTCTCCGAGGAGGTCATGTGACATTCATTGGTCTGTGGGAACTATGTATTGAAGATAATATAATGTGTTAAACCTTTCCTGTTTCTCGTCCCCTAACCGTGGTTGGGAGACACAGGGGAGATCCGTCGTCTCCAGGGCCGGTACTTCTCCCGGGGTTTAACTCCCTCAACTTCTCGCTGTACGTGTGGTGGTGGCTTACAGAAACACGGAGGCCGTCTTGCTGAAGAGTGGTTTGCTTTATTTGCTTGGCTGCACTAGCATACAGGGCCATTTAACTCTCTACCTGCACCGGTCGCCGTTCCCTCCGGTCATACTCTCACACTCCTCACACTCCAACACACCCGTCCGCTTTGCGGGTCTCATTCGTGGGCGGGGCCTCGGACACGCGCACTCACTCACGTTCACACACACTGAGCTGTCCTAACCTAAATCACATATAAAAGACACATCGCACAACACTACCCCCACCATGGACTGGCAATTAACACTAATTCCATTCCATACAAAACTTAGTACACAATCTCTATATCTGTAGGCCTAAAAACGTGAAGAGATAGCTGTGTCCCAAATAGTATGTGAGTTCAAATGAGTAGGTAGGTTATACTAATTTGACAAGTGTCTAAAGTGATGCAGTTTTAAAGCTCGTTTAACAGTGAACACAGGAGTAAACATAGGAGTACATCACAATATAAGTTCTATTCTTTGGCGACCGGAGGTAATACTGTCTGACTAACCTTAATCATAACATACATTCAAATGCAATAAAGTGCAATGTAAAAGCATTGTCTCTTCAGCTTTTCCTTTTTTTTTTTTTTTTTAAATGTAAAGAAAAATGTGCTTTTTGTAGCAAAAGTATTAAACAAGTACACTAGAGTCCAAAAATGTAAACTGCAAATTCTCTAGTGCAAATATGAACTGTCATACATGACTCACTCAGTAACCCAGTCCCCATACCGGACCGGTCCTCGGCGCTGACGTTGGGGCCGAGGTTCATGCGGAGACTGGTGGTGTGGCTCTCCCACCGCACCCCCACCATGGTCAAGTATCACATGGGAAGGAGTGGATGGAGGAGCCCCGATCATGGTCGATTCAGTAGCAGGTGGAGTGGACGGCCGGACGGCGCTGGGGCCGTCACTTGAGGCAGTAGAGTAGAGGCTGTGCAGGCCGAGGTCCTCCTGGTCTGCAGAGTGCCCGTCCACAGCTGGTGGAAGGATCTCAGAAGGTGTCCAGTTCTGGGATTGGTCCGGGACCCAGGTGTTGTCCAGGGGCTCACGGCTGCGGTAGCGTTTGAGTTGATCATGGTGGACAACTTTGACCTTAGCTCTGGGGCTCTTTTTGGATCCGGTAGACTAGATCGTCCAAATGTCCCATAACAAAGTAAGGTCCTTCGTAGGCAGGGAGAAACTTTTTGACTTTGTTTTTGACATAACGTGTTCCTTTGATCAGATACCACACCGCGTCACCGACTTTGTACTGTGTGTGGCAAGCGTTTTTGTCGTATTGTCTTTTTGCACATGTGACTGACTTGCCGAGGGCTTCTCGGGTGATGTTGTGAGCCAGTTCCAGCCGCTCACGCATTTGTTGCACATACTCGGGGGCTGAAGGTGCATTGTCAGAGTTCGGGGGCAAACCAGCTACAAGGTCCACTGGCTCACTTATTTCACGGCCGAACATCATGAAGTTGGGGGTGAAACCAGTAGCGCTGTGCTTGGTCGCTCTGTAGGCCATAATTGCATATGGGATCATCAAGTCCCAATCCCAGTGACAGCGTTCCGCAGTGGAGGCCAGGATCTTTTGGAGTGTGGCGTTGAAACGTTCAACTTGGCCGTCGGACTGCGGTCTGAATGGTGTAGTGTGGGTTTTGTCGATGCCAAACAAACAGCACATTTCTTGGAATACCTCTGATTCAAAATTGCGTCCTTGGTCGCTGTGCAGAGAGTGAGGCATTCCAAAGCGGCACACCCATTCTGTTGCAACAACGTTTGCCACTGTCACAGCCTTTTCATCAGGAATCGGAAAAGCTTCAGTCCATTTTGTGAAATACTCCTGAATCACGAGTATGTAACTGTTCTTGCGTTCTGTCTCATTGAGTGGGCCCATGATATCCAGTGCAATGCGCTCCATGGGGGCTCCAACTCTGACAGTTCCCATGGGCGCTTGTGGAGTCTTGTGGGGTCTGGCTCTGCATGCACAGTTTGTACAAGTCCGACACCAGAGGGCCACATCTTCTCTCATGTGGTACCAGTAGTATCTGGTTTGAAGTCTGGCCACAGTTCTTTCAATACCAAAATGTCCACCTACTGGCCCCTCATGCATTTGGCGCATAACGTCGGGTTGCATTTTACGTGGGAGAACAATTTGAGGATAGAACTGTGTGTCGTCTAAACAATAAAAGCGACGGACCAGTACTCCATCTCTGAAATACAGTCTTTTCCATTGACTCCAGTACGTTTTGGTGGCTGGGCTGCATGGGGAGACTGCGGTCCAAGGGGGGCGCTCACTGCTGGCCTCTAACCAAGCTCTGATTTGTGCAATGTCCGTATCAGCAGCTTGAGCCTGGCGCAACTCCTCCATAGTCCAACCAGGGAACAGTACGGTTTCGTTCGTGTTTGTCACATAGATAGTCTCTGTTTGTTTTAAATTGTCTGTGTTGGTAACATTGACAGCGTTACCCCCACCGGACTCAGCAACAGGGAGCTAGTGTCAGAGTCCAAATCACACTGAATTGCTTGGTGACTCGTGGTTCTCAGCTGCAAGGAAGGGTCCTGCAGATTACAAGGACAGGATTGGCGGCAGGGCCTGCGGGAGAGACTGTCAGCATTAGTGTGTAAGTGACCTGGGCGATGAAGGATTTCGAACTCGTACTCCGCTAGCTTTTCAAGCCACCGGGCTAATTGACCCTCTGGCTCTTTCATTCGTGTGAGCCAGCGCAGGCTGCTGTGATCAGTGCGAACCTTGAAAGGCCGCCCAAGTAGATACTGTCGAAAATTAGATGTGAAATCGACAATGGCCAGCAGCTCTCGTCTCGTAGTGCAATAGTTCTGTTCAGCTTTGGCTAGTTTGCGGCTGCCGTATGCCAACACACGTTCTGTGCCACCCTGCATTTGTGACAGGACAGCGCCGATACCTGTGTCGCTGGCATCGGTGTCCAGGATCATCTCACCATGGTCCAGTGGATAGCCTAAGACAGGGGCCGTGGTGAGGCGGTGCTTAAGCGTGTCAAAGGCGGCTTGGTGTTCAGCGTGCCACTGGAAGTGTGCATTTTTCTTCGTCAGGTTGTGTAACGGTTCGGCGATGGAAGCAAAGTCTTTCACAAACCTGCGATAGTAGGAGGCGAGGCCAATGAAACGTCTGACCTCTTGGACTGATGTGGGAGTGGGCCAAGCTTGAACTTTGTTGACTTTATTGGGGTCAGTAGCCACACCGCGCTCGGACACAATGTGACCTAGATAGGTAACTTGGCGGCGGAACAGGCAGCATTTGGCTGGTTTTAGTTTGAGGTTTGCCTGTTTAAGTCTCTGGAACACTCGGCTCAGCCGCTGCAGCATCTCGGGCACGTCCTTGGCCAGCACGATGATGTCGTCCAGGTAGACGAGGCAGATCTCCCACTGCATGCCGGCGAGGACGCGGTCCATAAGGCGTTGGAACGTCGCCGGCGCGTTGCATAAACCAAACGGCATAACGTTCCACTCAAACAGTCCGTTACGGGTGCAAAAGGCGGCTGCACGGCGGGCTCTTGGCGTTAGCTCGACTTGCCAATAACCTGAAGCGAGATCCAGGGTGCTGAACCATTTGGCAGTGGAGAGAGTGTCCAGTGTGTCTTGGATGCGGGGTAGCGGGTATGCGTCGGTGATGGTGCGGCTGTTGAGTGCCCGGTAGTCTATACAAAGACGGTAAGTCCCATCCTTTTTACGCACCATTACGATCGGTGAGGCCCAACTGCTGTGGCTGCAGCTGGCGATGCCGCTCTGGAGGCCCTCACAGATCTGCTGGTCTGCGCTTTGCTGCTTCTCCCCAGCCATACGACGAGGATGCTGCTTTACTGGAGGTCCAGGCCGGGTTATGACGTCGTGCTGCACGAGACTGGTCCGGCCCAGATCACCAGGTCCCCTGGAAAAGACACTTTCATAGGCACACAACAGGTTAGACAATTCAAGTTTTTCATTATCATTAAAGTCAGTGGAGCTCTGGGCATAGAGCTCCTGGAGGTGCCCTGGGACTGCAGGGGAGCTGGTTGGAAAGTCTGCCGCTGTGGGGACACTGGACGAGGACAGAGCTTCAGCTGGTTGGAGGAGGCCTGCAATGGCACCTTCTTTAATGGTGACAGCTTTGTTGCCCGGGTTGAAGAGACGTAATGGGACGATGTTGGCGGGCTGTGCGTTGACTAGGGCTCTGGCAATGAGTACTTTGTGCTTTTCAACAAAGCCTTTTGTGGGGCTAAGCATCATGTCCCCCTGAGCTTCTGTGCTAAAATGCACCTTGCCCTTGACTAGGTACTCTTGTCCCGGTTCAACCACTACAGTTCTGGATACTCTCACAGCGTGTGACTTTGGAACAGTCTCTGGGTGAAAGTAGGGCACTTCTTCTCCAAACAGAACTATGCGGTGCTTACCGAAATCAAGGCGGGCCTCAGCTTGAGTGAGGAAAGGGTGGCCAAGCAGTACTTCATTGCCCTCTATGTCCGCTACAAGGAAGTCCACTTCAACTTGACGGTTGTTAATGCTGACAGGTACTTTGGCCTCACCAAAAACTGGCACGTCTCCTGGTCCCACCCCGAGCAGAGTCTCTACAATGGATGGGCGAAGCGGAGGTCTCATGTCTCGGTGAATGGCGTTGTATTGATGAAGGGGCAGCACGCTCCTCCGCGCTCCACTGTCCAGGACTGCACACAACTCCAGCTCAAATATGCGCATGTGAATGTTCATTTCACGATTCTGGCCCTTAAGGTGGAGCACAGTGGTCTGCGGCCTTTCTTTGGCGGTGCCCGGAGTGAAAGTCTTTGTATTTCTTTTAGGGGACGAGCACTGGCTCTGTTTGTGACCCCAACCATTACAGTTATGGCAGCGGATGTCACCCTTCCTAAAGTTCTGGTGCTGCTTCTGTGTTTTTCCAAATGTGTGTGGGACAAAGCGATCGGGTGATGGGCTAGCTGCAGGTGTAGTTACAGTCTCATTGTTTTCGCTTTCTCTGACAACAGCGGCCCGGGGCCTGCGTTCAGTGAGGTTGCGGGCTCCCGGCTGCATGATGCTGGTGACATAGGAAGCAGCTCTCTTGGTGGTGTCATGACGGTGGGCTATCTCATAAGCTTTGGCTAGTGTAGCTGGACGTTTTTCTAACAGTCTTTGGACTAGCTCCGCCTCGCCCAGGCCGTTTGTGAAAACTTCTACAGCTATAGCGTCTTGCTCCTTCTCTGACCAATCACCATAAGCTACAGCTACTTTCCCATAAATGTCATCCCTGAACACATGAAGCGCCTCACCAGCTTTACGCACTCTTTGTCTCAGCTCCACTGCTACAGCCGCTGCATGATCTGAAGAAGGGCCGTAAGCAGTTTCGAGTTCCTCCAGCAGGCGGCGGTAGTCCCACCTGGAGGAACGATGGTTCCTGTGGACGATGGCACCTGCAGCTCCGGTGAGGCAGAATTTCAGCTGAATTGCCATTGTCTTGGCTGACCAGTGATTTGCCTCTGCGCAGCTCTCGAACCTGTGCAGAAACTCTCTCCAGGGTGTACTGCCGTCGTACTGGCCGGGACGTAGAGTGGGGACTCTCTCTTTGGGGTTGTAGTCCTCATCACTGTCCGACGCAGCGCGGGGCATAGAGCGGCTCTTACGTGTTGGAGATGAGAGACCGGGCACTGGGAAATGTCCATGTTTAACAGTCACGTCTGGATTAATCAAGTCATAGGGCATGGGAAGCGTACTGGCTGCAGGTTTGGATGTAGCTGGTGTGCTATGTACAAAACTTCCCATGTGAGCAGTGGCAAAGGGGTTTGTGACTTCATAATGCCCCTTTAATGGCATGACAGGAGCGGGATACGGAACAATTTTAATATCTGGCCTTTCCACGGAGCCGTGGCTTTGACTGTTGGCCCCGAAAAAGGGATTTGTGGGCGCATAACGAGCGGGGCTGTCGAACGGCGCGAACAGATCTTCTCCATTAGCAAGTGTGTTAGCGCAGCTTTCATCACACAGAAATGGGTTATAATGATCGCATTTTCTCTCAGCCTTGCGTTCATACGTTTCCACAGCACCTTGCCAGTTGTCCTCCACATTGGTGAACGACATGAACGGGTTTGAGTAGTTGGTTTCTTGTCCGTAAACATCGGAGGGATAGCGAGCGGCCGCCATGTTGTATTAGCTTAGCTCCTCCGCTATTACAGTTGTATTACAGTCACTCGGCTTTGCGTTTTATTCTCCTTTTATTTTCGATGCTCACCAGTCTTTTAACAACGTGAGCGTCCCTTCGTGGTCGCCAGTGTTAAACCTTTCCTGTTTCTCGTCCCCTAACCGTGGTTGGGAGACACAGGGGAGATCCGTCGTCTCCAGGGCCGGTACTTCTCCCGGGGTTTAACTCCCTCAACTTCTCGCTGTACGTGTGGTGGTGGCTTACAGAAACACGGAGGCCGTCTTGCTGAAGAGTGGTTTGCTTTATTTGCTTGGCTGCACTAGCATACAGGGCCATTTAACTCTCTACCTGCACCGGTCGCCGTTCCCTCCGGTGAACGAGTTCTACTTACTCATCGATCAAAATGCTCGAAAGTAGGCGTGGCTTAGACATTTTTCACAATAAAAGCCCACTGCCTCTGCGGGACCTCTAAAGTCCGAAATAAAGACTTCTTTCTCGTAGTGTTTCTGACGAAGGATTGCTATCACATATAATCAACGTAAATCAGATGTGTTGTTGCTGTTCCATATACTGTCTGTGAATCGCGAACTGTTTCCCATGACACTGACCTGAACAGCTGCAAGGTGCGCAGTTTAACCTGGAGCTGCGGTGGGACTGTGGTGTTTCCATTCAATAAACACGCTCACAACAGCGATTTACAAACACATGACCAGCGCCTGCTCTCACACATTGTTCTCATATACTACAGTCATAAGAAATATTGATGTAGAAAAAGAAATCACATGTGGAATTAATGCTGTATGTGATCGCTATCACAGACCAGGAAAAGGACGTTCGGGTTGTATGAGTGAGCAATAATGTGACTAATAATGAGCATGCAACTGTGACAGGACGAACATGTGTGTGTGTGTAAAGCATGACAGCAGCAAGAGGGTGTCACTGAAAGATGACAGCAGACGGCCAAACACATGTTTTATTTGTAGAGTGGGCTAGATCCACCTGCGTGTCCGCGTACTCGCACCCCGCTTCATCTGTCTCCAAAGCATTGTAACGCAATGTCACTGGCAATAGAATGGTACACCCTGTTCCTGTTACCTGTGTCGTGTAGCCACAGACACACACACATAGATCGTACGCTCGGACGCGGTTTGGTACGTGGTGCAGCGACAGATTAACGTCTCAGAGACGTCTCTGCAGCATTTCTCTGTCACAGCGCTGCGGACTATGTGTTTTACGCGTTGCTCGGTCACAATTTCATGTCACAATTGTTCCCTTGTGTGCAGTATGACTGGACCAACATAAACATTTGTAATGAGCACAGCACAACACTGACATGAGCAGCTGCAAGGTTTGCAGGTGTACCACGTCCACCCCAAATATACATCATTTTGGCCATCTGCTACTGTCAGCGACATGTCCAGCAATCAACATTAATTTGTATGCATATTCATCATCATTCATGGGCATTGGTCTTTCTCTATGAACCAATACACATGGGTTCAATATTTCCTGGGTCTTCGCTGTTGATTCTCCAATCTGTGTTGGTGATTTCAACGTGTCTGTGTGGTCCTCTGAGATGACTGCTGCACAGTCCATCTCACACAAGGCACACATCTTTACATGAAACACACACAAAGATTAAACACCAGGCAAATCACACATGCAATGAAATAAACAAAACATCACACAAGGGACTCTTAATAACCACAGTGCACAACAAAATGGAGATACAATTCCTCGCACACACAACCCTCATCATAACTTTCATTTGAACATTGTCTTCCCCCACATGTTTAGTCTTGACTGTGGGCGCCAGCAGAGTCAGACTGATCATATGGCACCAACATGTCACAGATGTACCCTGGTGCGGGGCCGTGTTGAATCAGGCCTCCATAGAATATATATGGCTGGGAGAAAACCCACTGGGCCATCATTGCACGTTATTACTGGCCTAAAATGGAGAGGGACATTCAGTCATGGGTATGTTTGGGCCTATTGACTGTCTATATAATGCACTCAGTGGCTTTGATCTCAATAATGTAAAATCTTGATGAGGATTTCTTATATTGCTATTATTACTAACAAAAGGTGAAGCAGTGCACTGAGTGCCAAATTTCTATCGCTTTGGCGCCCCACAGAGGATCCTCACAGACGTGGCACTGAATTCATCAATAAGGTAGGCCTAGGGAAGAATAAGGCTGTTCGTGTTCAGGATTGTGTCATTGCTTGTGAATTCCGTTGATTACAGCAGTATGCAGACAACTAGGGGTGAAGCTCAGTATGTGTTCCCCCTACCACCCTTCCACCAATGGTTTGATGGGGAAGGACATAGGCAACAAGGTGGGTGTTTCCGTATGGACAGCGAAGATGAGGAGACCGCAAGCCTGAAGCCCCTGATGGCACTGTAAGAAACGTATGACTTTGGGGTACCTGTTATGGAGGGTTGTTAGTGGAGCATGAATCTCACAATGTTCACACCTCTGTCTGTATTCCAGTTCTACAGCTGATCACAGCAAGCATGAGCACCATGTGTTGTGGAGCCGAATTGGGCCATTTAGTCTCTTCACAAGCAACTTCAAGTACTGCAAGCTAGAGGGACACTTTGTAAACATTCTTGTTCACCTTTTGTGTGTATTCCTAAATGTACAAACATGTCAATGTGCACATAACTGGTAAAATGATCAGGCAATAACAGCCCAGAACATGACATCCACTCATTGAGTATACATGTCTATTAGTATATTATTCCTGAGTAGTAACGTGAGACTATGGGCTCACCTTAGCTCCCAGCTATTGGACTTAATTGGATTCATGGAGTTGGAGGCCTGATTCAACACGGCCTCGCACCAGGGTACATCTGTGACATGTTGGTGCCATATGATCAGTCTGACTCTGCTGGCGCCCACAGTCAAGACTAAACATGTGGGGGAAGACAATGTTCAAATGAAAGTTATGATGAGGGTTGTGTGTGCGAGGAATTGTATCTCCATTTTGTTGTGCACTGTGGTTATTAAGAGTCCCTTGTGTGATGTTTTGTTTATTTCATTGCATGTGTGATTTGCCTGGTGTTTAATCTTTGTGTGTGTTTCATGTAAAGATGTGTGCCTTGTGTGAGATGGACTGTGCAGCAGTCATCTCAGAGGACCACACAGACACGTTGAAATCACCAACACAGATTGGAGAATCAACAGCGAAGACCCAGGAAATATTGAACCCATGTGTATTGGTTCATAGAGAAAGACCAATGCCCATGAATGATGATGAATATGCATACAAATTAATGTTGATTGCTGGACATGTCGCTGACAGTAGCAGATGGCCAAAATGATGTATATTTGGGGTGGACGTGGTACACCTGCAAACCTTGCAGCTGCTCATGTCAGTGTTGTGCTGTGCTCATTACAAATGTTTATGTTGGTCCAGTCATACTGCACACAAGGGAACAATTGTGACATGAAATTGTGACCGAGCAACGCGTAAAACACATAGTCCGCAGCGCTGTGACAGAGAAATGCTGCAGAGACGTCTCTGAGACGTTAATCTGTCGCTGCACCACGTACCAAACCGCGTCCGAGCGTACGATCTATGTGTGTGTGTCTGTGGCTACACGACACAGGTAACAGGAACAGGGTGTACCATTCTATTGCCAGTGACATTGCGTTACAATGCTTTGGAGACAGATGAAGCGGGGTGCGAGTACGCGGACACGCAGGTGGATCTAGCCCACTCTACAAATAAAACATGTGTTTGGCCGTCTGCTGTCATCTTTCAGTGACACCCTCTTGCTGCTGTCATGCTTTACACACACACACATGTTCGTCCTGTCACAGTTGCATGCTCATTATTAGTCACATTATTGCTCACTCATACAACCCGAACGTCCTTTTCCTGGTCTGTGATAGCGATCACATACAGCATTAATTCCACATGTGATTTCTTTTTCTACATCAATATTTCTTATGACTGTAGTATATGAGAACATTGTGTGAGAGCAGGCGCTGGTCATGTGTTTGTAAATCGCTGTTGTGAACGTGTTTATTGAATGGAAACACCACAGTCCCACCGCAGCTCCAGGTTAAACTGCGCACCTTGCAGCTGTTCAGGTCAGTGTCATGGGAAACAGTTCGCGATTCACAGACAGTATATGGAACAGCAACAACACATCTGATTTACGTTGATTATATGTGATAGCAATCCTTCGTCAGAAACACTACGAGAAAGAAGTCTTTATTTCGGACTTTAGAGGTCCCGCAGAGGCAGTGGGCTTTTATTGTGAAAAATGTCTAAGCCACGCCTACTTTCGAGCATTTTGATCGATGAGTAAGTAGAACTCGTTCACCGGTCATACTCTCACACTCCTCACACTCCAACACACCCGTCCGCTTTGCGGGTCTCATTCGTGGGCGGGGCCTCGGACACGCGCACTCACTCACGTTCACACACACTGAGCTGTCCTAACCTAAATCACATATAAAAGACACATCGCACAACAAATGGTACATATCATTCAGTGAACAAACAAAACTTAACGAGAAAGGGATAACGTGTGAGTAAAAGGAGGGGGCATGTTTGTTATGAAAATAAAAACCTAGACTGTATACATAAACCATAGACTGTAAAAAACTAAACATGTTTTTAATATTGAAAACTTCCGGTGCTCTCTGTAGTACTTCCGGTTGGCGTTTCGTAAAGTCTGTTCTATACGGGACACTTCAGAGGTAAGAACTGTCCTTGTAATTTAATTTAATTCACATAACTCGCAATTTTAATGACACCATACAACTGAATACATGTGTTTGTTGTCACTATGACCTTATTTCTGGTAAGTCAACAAATATAAGCTTTGACTTCACAAGGTTAGCTGTTAGCATGTTAGCTTAGCATCCTCAGCTCCCTGCACGTTCACACTGAGGTCAATATATCTCAGTTTAGCTCAAAGCTTGTTTATTACCCAAAGAATGACATGTACAATATCTATTTGCGTTTTCAAGTGTTAGGTTTATGAAGTCATAGGAGATCACATTGTCTGAAAGTCACCCTTACATTGGTTATGTGTCCAACTTTCATAACACGCTGCCTTTAGGTGACGTCAGGTGTTGTTGTTATAAGACAAAGCTTCACATTACACTTATGCTACAGCTCCACACATTCATTTCCACCTATTTCAAGGCCACACAGCGTATTTACTGGTAGGTTTCTTAACATATGATTGTCCTCGATTAACCAACAAAGCGACAATAATACTGTATTTCCAGATGACATGTCACAGTGAGTTTTACCTCCAGCCTTTCACACTTATATTGCCAATTCAGCTGTTAGTCACTGCAGCAACTTATGCACTTTTTAATCTTGTGTTCTTCATTGAGTAACGCTGGATAGTTCTGCAGTCACCGATTGTTCTTTACATTCTTTATTCCACCCGTCTTCCTTCTATTTTCGTCCATATTTTGGCTTCAAACACTTTTCTTTATGTCCATAGACTGTAAATATTAATGATTTGCCTCGTTACCTTTTTGTGTGTGACTTATGTTTTTATCTTCACATGAGGGCTTATACTTTTGGTGCATGTCTTTATATCTCTAATTGGGATTTTCTTATATATTTTGATCATTTTTGTCTTCATTATTTTGTTTTTAATCGCTTGCATTATATATAGATTTTTTTGACATTATAAGTAAGTAAGTAATCTTTATTTATATACCGCCTTTCACAGACCAGAGTCACAAAGCGGTTTACAATTGTTATTATTTTTGGGCATTTGTCTCTCACTCCACACAGAGATGGGAGCGGGGTCGCCAGTACAGGAGGCACATACCATACCTATTGTGCATGTTTTTAGTAGGGGAAACCGGAGTACCTGGAGGAAACCTACGCAGACACGGAGAGAACATGCAAACTCCACTCAGAAAGGCCCTGGTCCGGCCGGGATTCGAACCCAGGACCTTCTTGCTGAGAGGCGAGAGTGCTATCCACTCAGCCACCGTGCCGCCCTAAATTACTTTACTAAAATACTAAATTATAGAATTTTCAGTAATGCAGTCCTAAAGTACTTCTTTCTTTTCTTCCTAACTGTGTGACTCAATACTCTCAGTACTTCTACCTTTTGTAGCATTTCTTCTCATCGTTGTCATTTTAAAACGTTTTTATTTTATGTTTAGTAGCCTTATGTAGATGTTTTTCTGTATTGTATTCATAGTGTAGGGGTGTAATAGGGTAATAAGGGTGTAAATAGGGTAATTAGGGTATAATGGTGTAATAGGGGTGTAATCGTGCAGGATTTCCTCCAGATTCTGTGGGATCAGTCCCCCCACCACTGCCCCCAATAGCCTCTAAAAAAGTAGCTCAAAATGTTTTTGAATTGATTTGGCATGAAAAGATAAGTCTCCGACGGATCTAGACTTGCCACAGAGCTGCACTCGATTGGAAGAACTTTACATGAAAGGTTGCTAACAAACTCGTCAAACCAAAGCCCGCCCACCACTTTCGCCGTATTCATGCTAATTAACATTAGCTCAACTCCATCACTTTAGGACACATGTAAAGACCGTAGCCTACTCCAAGCCAGTAAGTCGTCATTTGTTAATTTCTCGCATGAAAACCGTTGTGGTGGCCCTCACCAATAATTTTCTGGCGGAAACCCTGTTATGAAATAAGATTTATTGATCTCACAATGGAGACATTTACAAAAGGGTGTCATAGTGTAACTAGGGTGTAATAGTCATGTAATGAGGGTGTAATGGGTGCTTATGGGGTCATATAGGTGTTAATGATTTTATGTTTTTAAGATTTTTTATTTAAATCATTTTAGTGTTTTGTAGCATTTGTTTACCCTATGCAGTCACTCACTCTGGCTTCAGCCATTGTACATTTTCTTTATTCTGTAGTCATTTTGAAGAACCACTTTTACGCATCATTTCTCTGACTTCTTTATATGTCCAACAGAAAAGATGCTGAGCCTGTCCAGGGCAGTGGTGAGTTGTGTGGCTCGGGCCCCAGCCGCTGGAGCAACCACTCTGGTCCGATACAACAGCACCGCTCAGGTACTTTGTAATCACACTGTGAGGATATCTTCATCATAACCAAGCTGTTATTCTTAACAGGCGTCTCCTAAGAAGACAAAGTTTGGACCGTTGGCTGATGAAGATCGTATTTTTACAAACCTTTATGGGCGTCATGATTGGGGGTAATTGCATGTTTACATTCTCGTTAAACTAGATTTTATTTGCTTTTTTTCTACCACCTATTTAATTTTGTTTTAGGCTAAAAGGTGCAATGAAGCGTGGGGATTGGTACAAGACTAAAGAGATTCTTCTCAAAGGAGTTGATTGGATTATTAATGAGATCAAGGCCTCTGGTCTTCGGGGCAGAGGTGGGGCTGGATTCCCAACAGGCATGAAATGGAGCTTCATGAACAAACCCAGTGACGGCAGGTGAGATGAAACTTCCTGCGGAATTTGTAAAATCACTGCCTGATTGTTTAAATCTACTCAACTACCCGACTCATCTACTTGACTTCTACTTATTGACCAACTGTTTTATATCTTTTATTATTTCAGGCCTAAGTATCTGGTGGTAAATGCAGATGAGGGAGAGCCAGGAACATGTAAGGACAGAGAGATCATGAGGCACGACCCGCACAAGTTGGTGGAGGGCTGTCTCGTCGCTGGGAGAGCCATGGGAGCTCGCGCCGCTTACATCTACATCAGAGGAGAGTTCTACAATGAGTCGTCCAATCTGCAGGTGCTAATTCACTTCAAACCACATCATAGAAACTCTATAACTATAGCTTCAAGCAATTTTGTATTCTATTTAGTATTATTACATTTGATTATTATTATAAGACGTCACCTCCGCATACTTGTTTGGCTATTTAAATATTATCTTAATACAAAGATGATTCAGGAAAGTGATGTTTGTTATCAGACCCTCCATTACTCTGCAAAATGTATAGATGGGGATGGGTTGCTAGGATAAGGTACCAGATACTAAAGCCCAATGGAAAGGTAGAGTAGAGCCATGTAGGTCTGGTGGAAACAGGACTAGAAAGACAGTACATGAACACACCTGTCAACAAAACCTGTCAACAAAAGTAAAACAAACTAAAAGTGCAAAAGGGAACACCATCCAGCCAACCAACCTCTGCACACGGTCCAAGAATGATCTACGTCTGGTCCATCTCCAGTGCTTCTTAATACATCCACTCTCCTAAAAGTCTCCAAGTCTCCAAAACCCAACTCTGTATTAATGAAACTTTAGTCCATGGTACATTCTATTTCAATTGATAGTTTTGATCTTCTTTGCCGTTCACAGATTGCAGTCAATGAGGCCTATGCTGCTGGTCTTATTGGACAAAACGCCTGCGGCTCTGGGTTTGACTTTGACGTTTATGTGATGCGTGGAGCCGGAGCCTACATCTGTGGAGAGGAAACGGCTCTGATCGAATCCATTGAGGGAAAACAGGGGAAACCACGACTCAAGCCACCATTTCCTGCTGATGTTGGTGAGTTAGAAGATAAATATTTCACTCTACACGATTGCACTTTATTGTAAAACAGAAGGGGTAATGATGATGAATAAGGAAGGCTGCCTTTCCAAACATGATTCCTTTTCCTACAGTACTTTACCTTAGTTTCTGGACTATAAGCCGCTACTTTATTCTTTGATCTCTGCAGCTTAAATAGAGATGCAGGCAATATGAGCAAAGTTAATGGCCTTATTTTTTTGAATCCATAAAGTTTAGTAGCTCTAGGACACTTGTTATTAAATCCTAATGTGATCGGTTAAAACAGTCATTATCTCCTACATTACAACATGAAAACCTGCTTTTTATAATGCGACCTGTGTGTGGACAGAATTTACTTTCTTTTATCATCTTTGTAATATTATCTTATCCCTCGCAGGTGTTTTTGGCTGCCCCACAACTGTTGCCAATGTTGAGACTGTGTCCGTGGCTCCCACTATCTGCCGTCGCGGAGGAACGTGGTTTGCTGGATTTGGTCGAGAGAGGAACTCTGGCACCAAACTGTTCAACATCTCGGGCCACGTGAATAACCCCTGCACCGTGGAGGAGGAGATGTCCATTCCCTTGAAGGAGCTCATAGAGAGGCACGCAGGTACAGGGAGCTACATAACATACTGTATCATTGGTGTTTTTATCACGTGTTATGAAGGAGTGTTGTCATTAATGAATCTGTTGGAGGTAAACTGATCATTGGATTTATTTCTAGACTGGATGCATGTAACGTGTTAAGCTACTTTTAGTTGTTTGATTTTCTGCACCTTCAGTTGGAAATGAAACATTTTGTGACATGCAGATGTGATTTGGGGTAGTCCAAAATCTAGGGCTGTCAAAATTATCGCGTTAACTCACGTTAATTGCATTTTTTGTTAACGCGTAAAAAAATTAACGCACGTCCGAATGACCCGCCCATTTATTCATAATATCACTCAGAATGCAGCGGACACATGCGCGTGTGATGGTGAGAGAGCAGGTCTCTGGGAATTCAAGTTTTAAAAGAATACGCGCGTGACTGCGCGTGACTGCGCGTACCCCGGGGGCAGCTGTGGCCGCTAACAACAACACGGCGAATGGCGCCGTGGTTAGACCATACACGCCACAGGACTATTCTCTACTTGATGTGTGCTTGTCTTTAAAACCTGTGCAGCAAATACACCGCAGAAGTGTCCGTGTCTCCTCCTGAAACTAAACTAAACTCGCTAAATTAAAACTGGGGTACGTACATTTTCCCCTTTCATTAACAGCTCATTTTGGTTGTGCCCAAAGTAAAAGGTTGTGAGCAAATCAAACAGACTCAAGAACATTTGGTTTGAATGACAATGTGTCATTCCATTTGATGATCTCATTTAACTTCAATTGGAGTGGATTGGAAATAGAATGTTAAAAATGCGATTAATCGTGAGTTGACTCTCCATTACTGTGCGATTAATCAACTAAATACATTGGTTTGATTTGACACTCTGCATTTGAACTTTAAAGATGTACTTAAATATAATGCCTGAGCTTATGATTTACCGGAAATACTTCCCAAGCTCCTTTTAAAAGTATTTGGCGTGTTATTATTATTTGTGTCCGTCCCCTTCATCAAGGCCCTCACACATGGATTAGGAGGGCACAGACTAAGCTGTCTCAAATTAAAAGCATTTTTCCTGCAACTTTATTGAAATAAACATCTGTTGGGTAGGTGGAGTGCGTGGTGGTTGGGATAACCTACTGGCTGTAATCCCGGGCGGCTCTTCCACCCCCCTCATCCCCAAAGACGTGTGCTCGGAAGTGCTCATGGACTTCGATGGCCTCGTTCAGGCTCAGACCGGCCTGGGCACCGCAGCTGTCATTGTTATGGACAAATCAGTATGTTTCATTCCTATACGTTCTCATTTCTACTGAATTACCCCTGAATAAATGCATGACATGGTTTCTTGAACTATTTTAATTCCCAGACCGACCCAATCAGAGCTATTGCCCGTTTGATTGAGTTCTACAAACACGAGAGCTGTGGCCAGTGCACGCCCTGCAGAGAAGGTTATACCTGCAGTAATGTCCAAAGATAAGTTGCGACTCTTCTTCTCAACATTGACTTGTTTGTTTCAGGTGTGGACTGGATGAATAATATGATGTGGCGTTTTGTTCGTGGTGATGCCAGGGTTTCAGAGATCGACATGATTTGGGAGTTAAGTAAACAGATTGAAGGCCACACCATCTGCGCTCTGGGCGATGGCGCTGCGTGGCCTGTGCAGGTACGTTCATCATGGTCATTATGCTTTTTATTGGGATTTACCTGCCGTACCATTCATGTTTTTGTTGTTTTCCCAGGGTCTGATCAGACATTTGAGGCCTGTTATGGAAAGTCGAATTGCTGAGTTCCAGCAGAAACAGCAGGCCCGTGCATAATTCTTTTAGTCGTTCATGTTTTTGTCAAAGTATTTAAATAACATTTCTCTCATAGCACATCTGAAAGGATGTGTCTGCAATGTCCCATAACAATAAAGTATATGTACTCAATGTGAAATTTGTTTGTTTTTACTTTATACAACTTATTAACTACAGAAATATATCACATTGGCTAAATGATTCCTTCCTTTTAATGCATATTTCTGAGCACACATCTTTTATTTGTCAATCTAAGGTCAAAGTTTTTATTATTATTTAGCCTATAGACATGGAGCAGTGATAAATGTTCAAAACAATGTGTTCTTCCTTCAAATTAAGCCTTTCAACTCAATGTATTTGTGTATAATAATAATAATATTATAACAGTCTATCGCCCAAACTCAGAACAGTAGCCACCTCCAAGGACAAATCAAAGATGTTGATTTGGTCCATTTCTTTTAATTTTTTATTTTATTTTTTGCAGCTTTGGAAATGGATGTAAACTTTCTCCAGTTTTTTTTGTTCAATGAGAAAATAATATGCACTCGAGTTACTGTGGAAATTTGCCAAGATTAAAAATCATGTTATAAATTCATATATCATCCAAATAGCACGTAAAATACGAACAAAATAATTGTGTTTGTTTGAAATCTTGACGAATGTGTGACTTATCCGAGATACATGGCTTTACCCTGAATTATTATTATTATTATTATTATTTATTTCATGGTCACGGTCTTTTGTCCTATCGCGATAGCTTGTATTGGACGTGATTTCCGCACATAGCGTCTCTGCTCCTGATGCTCCAGACAGCGCTCTGCTCCTTCGGTAAGAACTGTTTATGGTAAGAATATAACATTTAAAGGGAGTTTGGACATTGCATACCGCGCCATATTTCCCCCACTATATTCCCACAACATAAAGCTCTGCTCTTTGCCTTTTCGGTGCAGATCCATGATGCAGTGTGCTTCATCTTTCTAAACGTGGTCTCATTTATCATTGATGCATCATTGTCACTCATCTCGAATCTTCTTCACTGCATCCAATAAACCCATGTTTTTATCTTTAGGTTTGCGGGCAAGTGACGACTGCTCTTGAGAGCCATGGATTTGCAATGGGAAAACCTTCCAGAGTGTAAGCTATTAATACTTAAATTACTTCTGTATTTAGACCCACGTATCACCAGTGCAACGATGTGAGCCCGGCTGAGAGTGGCATTGATCAGTATTAATTTACAGTACTCTGCAGTACTCTATAACGTGTCCAGTCCCTGAAACCTCTCTTTATCATTTCTAGTCTTTTTTATGTCTCTTGCTATTTACAGCTACATAAACATCGTCATTATATATATATATATATATATATATATATATATATAGTATAATCTTTTTTTCCCCTTGAACTGTACATTTAAGCCTTTATCCACTTTGGCAATAACAAAGATCTTTTAGTTATTTTAGTAAGTAATTAAATAAGTAATGTTTATCCATATTGCAGATTTTTGCAGACCAAGGTCACCCAAAGCGCTTTACAGTGTTCAGTTATTGTTACGTTGTCTCCACGCGTTGGTGACAGAAGCGAGACGCTGAACACACTGGAGTATCAAAGCCTCTGACCAAACACCATCCATTCGCTCACACATTACACACATATCTATTGTGCGTGTTTTTAGTGGTAGAGGAAACTGTAGAACCTGGAGGAAACCTACGCAGACATTGGGAAAAAATGCACTTAAAAAGGCCCTGTTCCAACCACTCAGCCACTGTGTCGCCAATTGTAGTGTCATGTGTTTTATGTGTGCAGTCAAAACTGAGGTGCATCAGTGCATTCCCTGCTTCATCACGTTCCGTGATCCTAAGGCAAAAGCGAGACACATGAAGAAAACCCACGGAGACATCTACAAGCAACAACTACAAATGGTAAAAGCTAGTTACCAGTTTACGCACGTTTACCCCGATATTAAAGCATTCACTTTTACAGACAGAAACCCAGTTCTCCTGCTACAAATGTGACAAGGTTTTTAACTCATCCGAGGAGCTCACCGAACACTCAGCAAGCCACAACTTCAATGAGAAAAGTTTTGAATGCCCCTACTGCCCAGCGACCTTCTACACCTACACAGAGGTACATTGTTTTGCCTCCTTTAAAATCTGCTTCCACTCTCGTTGTTGAGATTTTTATGGTTGGTTATATTTTGTAATGCTGCTGTCTAAATAGTCAGGCTTTTGTTTGTCTTTTGTTCTTGTAAGATTACCCGGATATTCCAGAAAGATTCAGCTGAACAACTTGCATTTTTTTTCTCTTTTTACAATAATGGTTTGTTTGTTTTGTTTATAGATGACAAAACACAGGAGGTGGTACTGCGGTAAGCGCCAGTGCCCCTGCAGAGATTGTGGAATAAAGTTTCCTAACCCATCCCGACTGACTCAGCACAGAGTTCGATTTCATTCTCCAGGAGTCACCTCTCAGATTGAGGAAGATTTGACTTACAAGTGCTCCAAATGTGACTGTATTTTCCAAAACCAGGAAGAGCTCATCGACCACCAGGAAAAAGACCAGGATTGCACCCTCTATGAACCGGACCCCCCCAAGAAACGAGGCCGCAAACCCAAAAGTGAAAAGGGTTTTTACGACAGCTATATCAAGAAGGATGTGAATCTGATCGGAGAGAAGAAATCAAAGCTTGAGATCCCGTGTCCAGACCCAGACTGTGACCTCGTTTTCCCATCTGTCGACGCCTTAAGGGCCCACAAAAAAGAGCAGCACGGCAGATCCTCCCAAACGCCTCACGCATGCACCGAGTGTGATCAGAGTTTTGGCGAATCCCACCAGCTCGCCGACCACATCGCAAAAGCCCACGGCCCTGAGGAGTTCACCTGCCCCACCTGCGGAGAGCGCTTTCCCAGCACCAGTGACCTTACCGACCACTTGAGAACGCACTGCAAAAAAGAAGAGCCTGAATTTAATATAGAGATTATATAAACACTAATTTTCCTTTCTTCACGTAGCGATGGATAGATTCAATTGTCAAGATTTGTCGTAAATGTGAACGGAATCAAGACTTCTTCGTGCATGTCCTTCTCTTGCTCACTAATGTGTTGGTAAACATAACTCTACAATAGTCAGGTCAAGGCTGTAAAATGTATTAATTATGAAGTAATGTTCTTTTGTTTTTATCACACATGGTTTAGGATCAGAAAGGAAGTTTTTTTATCACACAAAGCCAATCCCTAAATACTAGATGCATTTATCTTCATTGTCTGGAGTCCTATGAATAAAAAAAAAATCTTGCTGTGCTGTTTTGATTTGAGCCATTCTGAAGTGTTTGTAAATTCAGAATAATTTCTTTAAAATATTTTGCCGTTATTAGTAGTTCCATCAATGACAGAAAGTTGTTAATCCCTCCCGTGTTTGACTGTTGCATGATTTTTTTATCAAATGCCGTGTTATTTTATGTTGATTCTATTTGGCTGCTAAGCGAATTACTATCATTTTTTTGTCATATCAGTGCACTGAACATTTCTACAAAATTGTTGGATCATCGCAAATTTACAGGAATAACAAATGTGTTCATATTCAACGCTAACATCTGAGGAAATGTTGAGATAGTCACTGCTTCTGTCACTGCCAGTGTAGAGATCTATGTTACACACTACGTTAGTTATAGTTATTATTATAGATCCATGGTTTTAAGACACAGCGTTAATTAAATATGCAGGGTTTACGTTCTATGGCCTCTCGAAAATGTGAACTGTATGTGAGAAATCATTTCCATTGTGTTGTAGATTGAGAAGTGAGAATCATACGTTCCTTATTTTTTTAATTTATTCAAGAATGTATATTCATATACAATTGTTCATTCAAGATCTATATGCAATATATGGACACTAAATTCAGTTGTACAGAATGTCCAGTTACTTCAGTATTTTAGTTTTAAATTTTATTTTGGTTTTGGTTTTTTGTTTGCAAGTGAATGGCATCTTGTTGTATTGTTTACCAGTGCAATTACAATATTACAATAACATAAACCATTTCAAACAAAATGTTGTAATTGTTTATTTTACAGTATTCCTGAAGCCTGTGGATGACAGGCTTCAGTAATACTGATGTGAGATAGATTTACTTTAGCAGGTGTAGCTGTATTTAGATTACAAACTGTAGTTGTAGTCTGCCCCCTGGCGGCCTGCCGCGGCGCTGCGGTGGTGACGCACAGAGATTACCCATGGTGCAGTGGGCTCTTCTCGCGCCTTCCTTCTCGGTCCATCTTGGCTCTTGCTCTTGTGCTGTAGCTGTAGCAGCCTCCTGCAGCTGCGGCTCTTGTTGGAGTAAATAATGGCGGCATCAGGAGGAGCCCTCTCTCCTCCCGCTCCTGTAGCCTCTCCTCCGGCTGTACCAGGCCCAAACATCCAGACTTCGGCAAAGGCGCGGTTCCCCGGGCGGCCCGGCCCTGCTCGCGTTCGGCTGCGGGCGGAGAAACGCACCAAACGCGGACGACTGGGCTCCGAGGACGGGGAGCAGGCTCCGGGGCCCAGGCCCCTGAACCTCGGACTGGCGTTTGGCGAAGACCCGTGTTTGCTGCGTCTGCTCGGGGTCAGTGAGAGACACGGCCGGCAGAAGGATGCAGGCTTCGTCTCCAGCAGCAGTGAAGGGGTAAATATTTAACATCGACTGAACCACTTTATGGCTCATTTGTTATGAAATGTTCTGCTGATAAACAACACTGTTTAAAACACCCGGAGCTAACTTAGGAGCAGTGCTAACTCCACGGTTAGCCCTGCTGCTCTGAACATAGCGCTGTTTGCGGTGAAACTTGGATTCCACGGTCGGTGCTGCTCTGGGAACATTTTAGCCTCTTATCGTGAGATTTATTATTGTGCGTGTTTTTTGTTGTGGCTGAAGCACACGGCTCCAGCTGACTTTGTTTTGCAGGAACCAGACGCGGAAACTTTGGCGGTAGAGAGGGACTCCACACTGGGATGTTGTAGAAATCCCTTAATCCGAATCTTATTGTTTGAGACAGTGGTGGTGTCAGGCTTTGTGGAGACACTGGAGACATGGCTGCGCACAAACACGTTGCTGAGCGTCACGGATGCTCTCCACGCTGGAGCTGTCAGCTGACCCCGCTGTTCAGGGCTTCAGGCTGGAGGCTTCAGGCTGGAGGCTTCAGGCTGGAGGCTTCAGGCTGGAGGCTTCAGGCTGGAGGCTTCAGGCTGGAGGCTTCAGCGGCACTTTGACTTTACCGCAACGCTGACCTCAATAGTCACTTTGTCATAACTGAATTCATAATGAAATAAATAAGAGAATGCTGCTTTACCCTGTCTTAAGACAACCCAATCCTATTATTTCTAAGAAAACGCACATGGCTTATATTTCCAGGAGTTGGCAGAAGATTTACATTAAAGAAATAGTAGCACGTGCCCTACTATTTGTATTTATACTCAGCATTTCACTTTTTGTTTACACACATATGCAAGACAAGTGCCTGGAAACAAAACTGGCACAGATGCTAAAACTGGGTAATTTGGAGGCAATCGTGGAGCCTTGTTCTATACATGTATAATTTAAATTGTAAAGGACAGTTGGACACGGTCGCAGAAGACATCTTTGCAGTTCATTCCTCAGTGTCTGATGGTTTAGCGTTTTATATCTAACATTTAATTAATCCTGATTCTCTGCTGCAATACTTAAACTTTCTGACATCAGCCGTCACTGATGGGAGGTGGGTCAGAGGGACACAAACGTTCTGCAGAGCTGGGGTTATTTCATTTGAAGGAACTTGATTTGATTTCATGTTGATCTGCTCTGCACTTTGATACATGTAAGTAACGTATAGGTTTTGTTTATTGTAATGGTGATCTAATGCAGTTCATGGATTTATATGTTGGTTTTTGTCTTGCATTTGTATAGATTTAGATCAGTGGATGTTGTTAACTAAACGTCCACTTTGATTCTGATCATTCTGAACTTAAATAACTGAAATGCGTTTTACAATATTTATCTTTTTAGAGCTTGTCATTGTAATTATTGGGCAGCATCTTCCATGTGATGAAGCAGATGGAGCTGTAGTCATGATGCAACACTGTAGTAAGAGCTGAGTCAATGAGGGATAATCAAATGTGCTCTTCTTTCCTCTCAGAAACTAAAGCTCAACTGTTTATACAACTGAGTGTAACTCTGAAAATAAGTAGTCTGTATAACATGTTCATTCAACAGTATTTAAATGTATTATTAAAGCTGTAGTTGGGAAAAAGACCTGCCCAGTCAATCCATTCATTCTCATAACAGTATAACATATTGTGTATGTGGCAAAAACAATATTCAAAAGATTGTGTTTGGCATTAAATACAATGCTTTTCCTGAAAATAATCTGCATATAAAAGGAAATACTGAAACCCTTGCCCTTTTCCCATCCAAATCCTCTTCATTTAAATACTATATTATATAATTTATAATTTTGAGTCGATTAATGAGCAGTTTCGCAAAAAAGTCTCATTGGCTAACGGACCAATGATAAAGAACCCTTCAGATTGTTTATATATTTGTGTCAAAATGGCGGACACTTGAATGAAAGCCCTGTCCTATAGTAGTTTACTGTACAGCGCTGAACATGTCCCGACTTGTTCCTGGTTACGGTCTGGATCGAGTTTCTGATGCCACAATCCTTGATCTACAGTTATGTCTAGTAAACTTGTTTAGTGATTATTTTCATTTTTTTCCATTTGAAGCTGGACTAGCCCTGATCATTTACAAACGGTCATCATCCATCTCATAAACGATAACTTTATCAGAGACTGGGCCTTCAAATAGTGCCGTGCATGACATTTGCCTAGTCCTGTATTTACATTATACTCTGGAGCGAAAAACAGATTTGACTAATTTGTATTTGTTTATTTTTGGATATCCCACTTTTTTTTAATTGGCTTCTTTCATAATCATGGGTTTCATTGCTTGATATACATGTTTTCAATTGTTAGAAATGGAAAAAGTTGTCGTGAGTGTGACCTTCTCATTGATGAAATATGGATAATATAGTTTTTTTTTTTTAAACCCAAGGAAATGTTTCAGTAAAACTTTGACAAATAAGGAGCTTTGTCAAATTTGAAGGGTTTGAAAGGTTTGAAAGGTTTGAAAGGTTTGAAGGGTTTGAAAGTGCAAGTATTTTAGAATTCTCCTTTTTTTTAGATGTTTCTGCTGTACCATTTTGTGTTGCCCCATTTATTATTGTAGGGCAGTGTCTCCAAAAGTGGGGTCCGCGGGGGTATTGCAGGGGGGCCGCGAGAGGTCATCAAAAACATTAAAAAATAAATAGTAATTATTGTATGTTAAATTTATATTTTTTTTGCAATATTCAAATATTTGTGTTAATTATTTGACTTGAATGATAACATTTTATTCATTTTTGTATTAAAAAATGGGGTGCGTCATTTACAGTTTGTAGCAGAGGCTATTTCCACCAAATAAAATAACGAGAAGAGCCTATTTTTAATGTTGTCTTCTTGGTTATTATTTCGGGGGCCGCGCAGACCCGTCAGATTATTAAGGGCCGAGGTGTTACTGACTTTGGGAATGGCTGTTGTAGGGAGTTGTATCAATGTAAAATTTTGTCATTTCTTATAGGAAGAAGATTTCTCTGGATTTGGGACCACAACTTTACTGCACTCACCTCTCCGTCAATCCCAATCCCCTCCTTCTGCCGACATGTCTCCGGGAACAAAGCTCCTTCTTGGGAAAATTGTGCAGAAAACACAAAAACCTGCAGTTATCGGTAAAATTGTTCCTCGGTCCCGTAAAGACAGTGCTACAGAAGCTGCTGGGTCGAGAAAAGATTCAAAGTTTGATTCTGAGGAGACTTCTGACGAGGACACGGATGATCCGAGCGGAGTTTTGTCTTTTCATAAACACAAAGGGAGAAGTGAAGACTTGGCTGCAGGATACGATGAAGGGGGAAAGGATGTAAAGCCGCCTCATCATTTGTTAAAACACAAATCTAAGCTGCTTTCGGGAACAACGAGCGATCAAGCCGAGAGGCGGCGGCGGCAAAAGTTTTTTACTTATGAACTGGTGCCAATAAAACCAGGAAGCACCCCAGAGACCGGCTCCCACTGCTCCACTACTCTCACATCCAGTGGTAGAGCTTCACGTGTTATTAAAGTTCCTAAAAGGTTTTTGGAAGAAGAAGTAATGCCGGCACGAAAGAGGAATTACAAAGTTGAGACTAAACTAGAGTTTGAGGAAAGTTTGATTCCAGAGTGCGCCGATTCACAATCAAACACCGAAGGTCCAGCACCTCTTGTAAAATCCCCAACAAAACAAAGCCCGGGAAGCAGTAAGGACATTTACAAAAATCTGAAAAAATTGACATTAAAATTGGCCGAAAAGAAAAAGAATGTTTCTGAAATGGACGCAGAAGATTCAATTAAAAGGAAAAAAAAGAGAAAATCCAAGATTTCGATGGAAGAGATAGACAGTCCTGGAGCCATTAGGAAACTGTCTGTGTCTGTGGATGGGAGTCTGGCCGCAGCTGCCACTGAGATGATGCTTGAAGTGCCAGCCATAGAAGGTAATCACAATTACTTCTATTGCCGTTGTAACAGAAGTCACATTCTATGAATTTGCTTTGGCTCAAGGTGCAAACAAGTTGTAAGTAAAAGTGGTATAAGGGATGCACAAATGTTTCATAAAATATCTGTACAAGTAAACACAATAGACCAATGTGCTGTGGCAATGATACAATAACACCTGCCTGGTTCAACATTATGTGAAAAGAACATACTGTGAGACGATTAGAAAAACTTTTTTGGGCTTGTTTTATTTTCTATTTACGACACATAGATGATAAATACTGTAGTTTGTTAATAAAGGCTGCAGAGTTTCAATTTAGTATAATTTTTAGATTGTGCTGTGCTATGTGTTAATTTCCAATGACAAATGTGTACCATGGCGTAAAAAGGTTGGGGAACACTGCAATAGACATTTAACAGTGCAGTGACAGTGGTATAAGGTGAACGGTAAAGGAACGGTGGTGATCATGGTTGATGTGATGTTAGCCAAGTTTAATATGACTTTCCATAAAGTCAAGGAATAATATTCCATTATGCCTGTTTGGTGTATGGAAGAGAGAACTATTTACAGTCCTTCAGTGTTAAGTAATTTCAGTGCATTTAAGGTTTGATGACCTTCAATTAAATGTATTCTTGTATCGCTCTAAATCACAACCGTAGTCATCTCAGAGGACTTAACAAAACTGTTTTTCTTCTCCAACCCAGCGGGAGATACATTTTTACAATTCACAAATGTAGAATCAGTTTTAGCTATTTTAATTGCAGAATTCGCGCCAACCTCTTTGTAATATGTTTAAAGCAGACAAAAGCATGATCATAATCTTTCTGCTAAAACATAATGAGGCTTTGACATATTTCTCTATTTGTTGTATATTCTTTGTTATTCAGGTGAGGTAACGGTGGCCCCCTCCACAGACGGGGCGGAGGCGACCGGAACAGGCCAAAGGTTTGGTCTCAGTGGCGCCAACAAGAGGATGCTCCAGAGGATGCTCAGGAAAGCCAAAGTACAGCTCATCAAGATCGACCAACAGAAACAGCTCAAAATTACACAGGTAAATTAAATTTAAAATAAATATGTGCCGTTACTTTTAAAACTCACAACTAATACTTTATTATCATACTTTTTTAAAGGAGTCGATGATGGCGGCAGGGGGCAGAAGGCAAAGAAGAAAACGAGGCCTCCACTCGAAACAACGCAAACCTCAGGTAGATATTTAACTTCATTAGAGAACTAGAAGACAAGCACCAGATCGCCTTTATTTTATATAATTAATAATGAAAATCAGTATATGTCTGTGGCTCTGTGGAATGGGTAATGGTCATTAATCATGCACCAATGTGTGTTTTTGTTTGAAGGAGCAAGCCCTGCCTGGTCCTAGGATTAAACACGTGTGTCGGGCGGCGGCTGTGGCTTTGGGGCAGCCGCGTGCAATGGTACCAGACGACATCCCCAGACTCAGCGCTCTCCCGATGCACGAGAGGGAAGGCATCTCCTTTTCCCCCACCCTTGAAGGTGCTGACTGATGCAGAACTGCCCAAAATATCTGAATAAATCCATGTGTTTCGTTTCAAATGCAGTGATTTACAAAGTTTGACTTGTTTGGTGAAGTGTTACTCAACATTTACTTGTCAAGATAAACCTCACCAGTGAAATAATGTACCGTAATTGTTGTCAATGAAAAGAAAATGGAAGTCTTGCTTGGGATAGGAATTGATCCTCATGTTTTCATTGTGCCAACAGACAGTGATGGTGACTGGTAGGTTGACTTTTCCAGTTTCCCTCTCCCCTTTTAATGAAATAATAATACATTATTGTGGGACACCCACATACCTTGCCAGAAAATGTGTGTTTGTGTTTGTAGAAGAGCAGATTGGTGACCGCCATCTCTCATTTTTCTGCCCCAGGGCAGATATAGCTTCAGAAATGGAGTGAATGGAGCATTGTATTGCTGTGTTAACGAAGATGCTTTTCTTTACAAAGCTAACTTTGCAAAAGTATCTCTTGGTATTGAACTCAAAACTTAAGATCATTTAGTTTTAATACGTGTAAGAAGATGGCATTAGCTAAATGTAGAATAAAAAATTGCCAGCAAAACTATCTCTTGTCACACACAGATTAGCCACTGCTGTTGGAAAGCTTTGCCAATACTGGTCAAGTGAGCTCCACCCACCTTAAGGTGAGGAAGTGGTGTCTAACCTCACTGCTTCTATGAACACTCAAGACAACACAAGCCACTCTCGTTTTCACAATGTTTTTCCCTAATCATTTCTGTTCTCTCGAACAGTTGGTTTCATCAAACGGAGCAGAAACATTGTCAATAAGTTGCTTATGTTCCCCTTTCAGACGCTGTTGAAGACGAACTGTCCGACCCGGATACTTCTCTGTGGGAGCCCTCACATGAACACGTCTTGCACAAAAGACGGAACAAGAAGAAGTTTCGGAGGTCCCTGTCCAGCCACAACCATGCGGGCGGCCGGCGGTCGCGGCGCTGTGGGGACTGTGACGGCTGCATGATAGAGGAAGATTGTTCCAAGTGCGCCATGTGTCTCGACAAACCCAAATTTGGAGGATCTAACGTCAAAAAGCAGTGCTGCATGTGAGAACCTCACAACACGCCATTCAGAAAAGTCACTTCTTTCAGTTCTTGACTTGAATGTTTTTCCTTTTTAGATACAGAAGATGTGAGCGCATCGAAAGGGCTAAACTTGAGCGTGTTCTAAAACCATATAAAAGTAAGATGAATGTTTGGACTCTTGTGTCTCAAGATGTCAAATTTCAACATTTGGATTTGTTTATTTTTTTAGTTAGATCAGAAGAATATGGTGCTTCATTGGCTCCTTTTGCGCCGAGTGAAGATAGAAAGAAATCTCAGCGAAACGTCAAACGGCGGTCGTACAGCAGCCTCCTGTTGGGCGGCGGCGACGACGACGACCCTGGAAACGAGGAGAACAAAAACAAGCCCGTGAACAAGACCGGTGCCAGGAGCCAAGGTAGATTTGATCAATTATAGCAGAAGTGGGAATTCCCTCAGTAATGTAGCAATTAATACTTAGTTATTATGATGAGATAAAACTTTAGTGATAAGCACATGACCCCATTTAAACTATACTCTTGCCTTTTTTGACTTCTGGAGGCCTCTCTTCTCAAGACGGCGAGTTGGTGTCAGGCACAGAACCTGGGAAGCATCGGCGAATCTTCTCTAAAGGATTCAAACCTCGTTCTAACAAGGTAATTATGATCTCTGCTCGCTCTGCTTCTCTTAACCCTTAAGAACCGGCGCAGTAGTATTTTTGGATATGAAGCCATTTCAACCAGACTTGTATTGGCCAGTCAAAAACACACATTTGAATACTTTATAAGCTCCTCTTTAACAAAATGGAAGCACCTGAATTTACCGTAAATCTTTCCAGAAAATACTACAGCTGCCCTTTGTTTGATCTTTTATATTTTTGGTGGTAATGGGTGATTTCTCTGGTATTTTTTTTATATCCATATCTTGTCTGTTCGTTCTTGGAGTTCCTGTTCTTTTAATGTTTTCTACAAATGCATGTCTAATTGGTTTCATTCATTTCGATGCTGTACTGCATAGTTTCGATAAGTGTGTAGTCGCTGCTGAAAACTAACTGCTGCTGATGACTGGAGCATATTTGTGGGTGCTAGCTTAAGCATGCTTTCATATTTAATTACTTTTTTCCCCCCTTTATTTTATTATCTCATTATCACCGTTTTCATTTACAATTTTCAACCTCCATTTCACCATATTTTGTTGTGGCAACGGACTGAAAAGTTTCAAAATGTCTTTTTATTGAAGTCATTTAAACCTGTCATGTAAATAAGCGCACAGCTGGTTTTGTTCTCAAATTGAGACGAGGTGTGATAATCTGGAGTTGACCTCAGCATGGCTTTTTGCTTCTTTGCTTTGAGCTTTTTTGTAAGAGTCTAGATTATCATTTTTTTTTTTTTTTCAGACCGCTGACAATGCATGGTTTGTTTTGCTACACTGCATTCATGTTGCTCAGGCTTGTATCCAATATAATAGTCAATTTGAACTTAAGACACCAAAGTGCATCTTATGTATTGCTAAGAAGGCTATAAACGCAAGGTCATTAGCTAGACATTATAACAATCTCATTTAGACACTGATAGTATCCATCCATCCATCCATCCATCCATCCATTTTCTACCCTTTAATCCATTTCTGGGTCAGGGGGGTGGCAATCAGAGATGCCACCCAAGTCTCATAGCACCAACACTGATAGTATTTTATATTAATTTTGTTTGGGGCATAATATTTTCTAAACTTCCACAACTTTCTTTTGGGATCACATGTTTCTTATCTGTGCAAATGCTTCCGGCTTGGCTTCCTAATTTCCCACTTCCTGCTAACCCAATGCTGTTTTTCAATTTACAATATTCTTTCCTCTCTCTCACTCTCACTCTCACTCTCTCTGTTTCAAATGAACTGGCCTGTAATTGCCTCCTTATGCATGTGAATAGTAATAGTGTAAGTTTGCAGTCTTGCTGGTTGGCTTAGGCAGTCCCCTCCTTCACAGGAACAACCAGAGAAAAGCGCCGAAGAGATGGAGAGCAGTTTACCACTACCTGACCAGAGCCCACCCAGAAGCCCCCTGCCGAAACTGCAAATACACTTGTACCGGTTGCCTGATTCTGTCCTGCAAGCCAACACCCAGGCCATTCCCAAACTGTCATTACCTGTAACAAAATCATCTAACACTCTTTCTCCTCAAGTGAATGAACCGATGCCTTTGGACTGTTTGCCTTCCCCTGTCCCGCAACCTCCCACATGTTTGTCCTCTCCAACCAAATCTCCAACTCTCCTCGCCGCTCTATCTGTAGAAAATGACTCTATAGATCCACCATCCAAACAGACACTGGAGTTTTTACCTGACCCCATCCCGCAGCTGGATGAGTCACCGGAGCCGTCGCAACCGTTGGACAGTAGACAAAGTGGATGTAAATTGTCACCCGCTGCTACAGAACCTTGTCCGCTGTCGGATTTAACGCATTTGACTCCTAGTTTGCCATCAAAAGCACCACTGGACTCGTTGCCTCAATTCTCTCAAAGTTGTGTATTGATAAAAGCACACCAGTCTGGATGTTCAGTTTCTGCCAATTTGTCGCCAACAAAATCCCCTCTTTCCCCTCAAATCCCCGGAACCAGCCCCACAAATCCAACATCTAGTCTGATTATACAGTCTGACCCATTGGCTGATGCTGTCCGGCCATGTGCTCCTCAAAGCCCTGAAAAGTCACTGTCTCCGGCCGAATCTCCTGTCCCACACCAAAAGGGCACTGCAATAAGTCCACCCCCCAAACCTTTGGAACCTTCTGAGCTCTCATTATCCGCCCGAAAAGACGCCACTTTGCCTCATCCAGTTAGTTCGCGGGACTTAAAACATTGCAAGTCCCCAGAAATACGTCTGTCCCGATTGCCTGACTCTATTTTGCACAATAATCTGTCATTTCCACCAGAGTGGTCTGACTCTAAATCCTCCCAGTCATCACCTTGTTCATTTCGAGTGCCAAAAAGACGTCTTGCAGAAGGGAAGCCTGCGCCCGCTGCAAAAAAATCCATGCGTTTACGATTGCACCGATTACCCAGCGCTGTCGTCCAAGCGGCGTCTATGCACAAATCTCCACCCTCGCAAGAACCAGTGCGATGTAATAAAAAAAACTTCAATTTTAGTGCACTCAAGGCCCTTGTGTGCTCGCGTAGTTGTTGTCCCGCGTCCCCAAAATGCAAAGACCAAAAACCCTTGAATGTGAAAGACGCTTCTCCAAACACGGATGCACCTTTCCCGTCCCGATCGTTGAACCCCGAGCCTGAGCCGTCAAAGGGAGCGCTCACGGATCCAAAGGACACTCACGCAGACGGAGCCAAAGAAGACGGAGGCGTGTTTTTAGGAAAGGAGATAGTTGTGATGAACTGTCACAACACTGACACACACTATTTCCTTCGTCCCCAGAATCCAGAGTACGCCTCCTTGAACGGGACGGGGTTAACTAACGGATTTTCCCTAAAAGGATTGTTGCAGACCAAGTACAAGATTCGGGTCGACTTCAAGGTGAGTTTTGGCGTTCAAATACTAAATAAGCTAAACGTATTTCAGACGTTTGCTAAACCATCAAGTATAAAGAAAGTACTCCAGTAAAAGATGCTGAGATGTTTTTACTTGGCTAATATTCTTGTTTGATAATTTAATATTACACCCAAAAGTCTGTTTTGTATTCTAAATGTGCAATTGCAATATTAATCCACTTACTCAAGAGTTCTCAAGACTCAGCACCTACTTAATATGCATCAAAGGTGTCTACGTAATTGTTTTTGTCGTATCATTATAAAACCAGTATGAGTAAAAATGACGTACTGTTCCTTTAAGGACCAACTCTGTGTCATATAATGCTAACTACTGCATTGTAAAAAGGCAATTTTTTCTAAACGTGAATAATGGGGCCATGTCTTAAAATTTGAAAAGTAAAATCCAATAAACATTTGATAACAGAAACAGAAATACATTGTGTTCTTATTTAATGTGTAGTTTCAACTTTCTCTGTATCTAAATGTAATGGTGTCTGTTTCTGCAGGAGGACTGTGCTCTGGAGAATGTGTGGCTGATGGGAGGCCTCAGTGTCCTGTCCTCGCTCCCAAATACACCTCAGCCCGTCTGTCTGCTCTGTGCCAGTCAAGGACAACACGAGGTATAAAACGTACTCATAAAACAAATATTTTAAAGTCCTATGCATGATTTCCAAATGAACACCTTATTGATCGTGTTGTTTTGGGTCCGCAACAGATGCTCTACTGCCAGATCTGCTGCGAACCTTTCCACAGCTTTTGTCTATTGCCTGAAGAGCGCCCAGAGGAGGAGAACAAGGAGAATTGGTGCTGCCGGCGCTGCAAGTTTTGTCACGTTTGTGGACGAAAAAGCAAATCCTCAAAGGTAGTTTGGTTTTCATGGACATTTCAGGTTTAAATAAACTCGTATGGCCTTTAGCATTTTGATTGATTCAGTCCATGTGTTATAGTTGGCATTCCATTTACAATTGTTTTCATGATTCCCACATTAAAGAAGAGGAATTAGGGCTGGGACTCAGTGAGAAGTAATTTCTTCACATGGATTTTTAGTATAACATTGAAAAATGACTGAATACAGAAGCTGAAGCAACAAAAATATAGTCCAACAGACCAGTGCCATTGTTGCCTTTTAGTGCGATACCATATTTAGAAATATACTTCCCATCCATGGGGCCAACGCGATCACATCAGATTCTTTGTTCATGTTTTCTGCCACAAACCAGTGCGAAAATCATAGTGAAGCAAGTGCAGCTGCAGCAGTGAGTGTAGCACCGAACACAAACTTTAGACACTTTACACAGAGAAAGCAGTGGGAACAGTGTTTGTCTGAGTCACTTCTGTCATTGGGAGGTTCAGAGACAGGTCAGATTTGCGGAGAACAAACCTGGAAGTCGCGCGGTGCTCCAGTAGAATTGGTCCGTCTGAAACCCATCCAGAAACGTTCCGCGGGAGATTTTCTTTTACACGCTTATTTTTTGTTTAATTCATCTTAATTAACGCGTTAAAGTCCCAGCCCTAATAAGAATAGAATACAATAATTTCTAATCTTCATACTCTTGTTCCCCAGCCTGTGTTGCAGTGCAGACGCTGCCAAACCTCCTACCACCCTTCATGTTTAGGGCCAACCTACCCCAAGCCTTTGAACTGCGACGTGCCCTGGGTATGTAAACGTGGGACTCCTTTATCAACACAAGTCTTTTGGACATTCGTGTAATCATTACTTGTGGCTTGTTCAGATCTGCATGACTTGTATAAGATGTCGAAGTTGTGGCGTGACCCGAGGGAAGACCTGGGACTTGGCCTGGAACCAAAAACAGGATCTGTGTCCGGACTGTACTACACTGTTTGAGAAAGGTCAGCTGGAACTATTTTATATGTTGTGAACCAGTATTTCTAGAGGTGGATGATTTGTAATTGTCAAAATGATCTAATATTATTTATTTTGTTCAGGAAACTTTTGCACTATCTGTAAAAAATGCTATGAAGACAACAGCCAACATGAACAGATACAGTGTTCAAAGTGCAACCACTGGATTCATGCCAAATGTGAAGGGATTTCAGGTATTCATTAGACAAAGCACAAAGCAATTTCATTTAAAAATACATTCTGCGCTCCATTTAATTATCTTTCTTACAGAGGAGATGTTTGAGTTGTTCTCGAGCCTTTCCGAGGAGATGCCGTTCACCTGTTCGCCCTGTTGTGCACCGGAGCCCAGCGGCCTGAAGGGGGAGCTCCAGAGCAGACTCACGGCTCAGCTCCAGGAGGTGATCACAGACCTCCTCTCGTCCAGCGCCACCCAGCATCTCCTGATCTGTAAACGGGTAAGAAACGCCAGAGCATGTGTACTAAAGTCTAAGTCTAAACTTTTAGAAATGGTCCCGCTGTTTCCCTCGTTTTAGTAGTTTTGTGTTTCAGGCCCAGTTTGTGTTCAAGCTGAAGCACATACCTTTCAAACTACAATGAATTAAATATAATACTGAGGATGATAATAATCTCAAGTCCAGCACTGTGGGTTGGGTTAGGTCAGAAGTGTCAAAATAAGAGGGCCACTTTAGTTTGCCAGACTAAAGTGGCCCACAACTATTTTGACTAGAATTTGTCTATTTTGAGATGATGAATGATAATGCATTGGTTTTAAACGGCGCTTTTCAGGACTCTCAAAGACACTTCACATGTCATTATTCTTTCACTCCATACACTGAAATAAACTACTACTCAGGCCACAGCTGCCCTGGGGCACACTCAATCAATTAATCAATCTTTATTTATAGGGCGCTTTTCCTGCACAGGGCAACACAAAGCGCCTCACAGTCCACACCACACAATGCACAAATCATCACCATTAAAATACAATTAAAAACACATATGTAATTAAAAAGCATTAAAATCACATAAGTAATTTAAAAACATAAGAATCACACAAGTAATTAAAAACAATAAAATAGTTAAAAACACAAAGTTACAACAATAAATAACAAGGTGTGTTAAAAAGATAAAATTCTCTAGTTGTATGCACAGGAAAAAAGAAAAGTCTTTAACATGGATTTGAACATTGACAGAGAGGCAGCCAGTCTCACATCCTCAGGAAGACTGTTCCAGACTTTAGCTGCATAAATCTGAAAAGCAGCCTCCCCCTGTCTAGTCCTGACTCTGGGCACTAACAGGAGTCCCGTCCCTGCGCTCCTCAGAGTCCGGGCTGGTTCATATGGGACTAGCATATCATGGATGTACTTTGGTGCAAGGCCATGGAGAGACTTGTACACCAGGAGAGCTGCTTTAAAGTCTATCCTCTGGGCCACGGGAAGCCAGTGCAGAGACCTGAGGACCGGACTAATGTGGTCGTACTTCCTGGTTCTAGTCAGGACTCGGGCTGCAGCATTTTGAATATACTGCAGCTGTTTTACTGCATGTTTGGAGATACCTGTGAGCAGGCCATTGCAGTAATCCAGCCTACTGGAAACAAAAGAATGGATAAGAATCTCCAAGTCTGCCCTGGACACAATATTTTTAATTTTGGCAATATTTTTCAGATGATAAAAAGCTGCTGATGTTACCGATCCAATGTGGCTATTGAAGTTTAAGTCAGAGTCCATTATTACTCCCAGATTTCTGACCTTATTTAAAGGCCTTAGGGAGAGAGACTGAAGGTGACAAATGACGGTCTCTCTTTGTTTCTCGGGACCAAAGACAATCATTTTGGTTTTGTCCGCATTTAGCTGGAGAAAATTGCATTGCATCCACTCACTGATCCGCTGGATACAGCGAAGGAGTGAGTCCACCGGTCCATGCTCTCCTGCAGTCAGTGAGACATAGATCTGAGTGTCATCAGCGTAATTGTGGTAGGACACTTTCATACTTTGAATTAACTGACCTAATGGCAGCATGTAAATATTGAACAGGAGAGGTCCCAGAATCGACCCCTGTGGCACTCCGCAGGTCAGGGCCATATTATCTGAGACATAGTCTCCAATCTCCACACAATACTTCCTTTCTTCTAGATAGGACCTAAACCAGCTTAGGGCAGTACCAGCAACACCAACTGAAGCGAGGCAACCAGTCTGTGCCATCGGCCCCTTCCACCACAACCAACCATTCACACACACACCAGACTCATTTTAGACAATGTGGGTGAAATGTCTTGCCTAAGGACACAATGACAGTTTGGCACTTTACAGCCGCAGCCGCCCCACTGTGGCACCTGGTCTCCCATCACAGTACAAAATATAATTTTCATTGTGTTTTTCATTGCACAATACATTAGAAAATCCTATGTTTATTTTTTAGCAGCTGTGGATCTAAAAATACTGAATGTTTTGCAGTGCTGTGAATCCAAACTCCCAGAGAGCAACAGTGAACATGTCGTCTGTGATCTTCAAGCGATAGAGATGAAGTTCAAATCTGCCCTTTATGACTCCGTGGTGAGTATATCCCCATAACATTCACAATCATTGCTTTGTTCTTAAACCCGAGGAGACAGATCCTTCCAGTCTGTCGCTCCTCACCTTTGGAATGAGCTTGCCCAGTCTCTGCGTGTGTTAGAGAATTTTAAGTCTCATCTTAAGGCCTATTTGTTTCTGCGGCTTTCTCGCCTCACTGTATATATCTGAAGGCCTATATCTGAAGTATTTATGATTATTCCGTATATTAGTTTTTATGGAACTGACTTGTATGTGTCCTATTTTCCATTGTATGTTTTAATTGTGAAGCGCTCTGTGATCCTGGTCTGCGAAAGGCGCTCTATGAATAAACTTTACCTACTTCTTGCAGAAAAACTTCCATGTCGACGTGGCTTCTGTTTTGAGAAACTGGCAAAAGGAGGAAGAGACCCTGCCTGAGGATCAAAGGCGAACAAACTCTGCCAAAGACCATTATGTCAAAGTAAGTCAAAGTTTAATCATGCACCAACATTCTGCTTATACTTGTTGGTTTCAATTTAAATGTTGTCTTGGAAATTTTACAACTAAAACTTTTGATTTACTCTGTTACAGTTGATGCAGCGGATTTTCGTCTGGTTTCCTTCTAGTCATTTCAAAACCTACAACTTGTTTTCAGAAGAATTTCCCAGGTAAACTGCCTCGCATTTTCAAAATTATATTCACCAATTCAACTACATTAGACGCCAAGTCCAATTTTAAAACATTCACACATGAAAAATAATTCACAAGCAGCTTTAAAAGACTTACCAGTGTCATCTTGGACTGAAATCGAGCTTGTCAGCGCCCAAACATTACATTTTCTGGCATAAGTTTGACTCTCCAATGACGTAGTTTTAATAATACTTTTTTTTTTTCTTGTATTTTTAGTGGTATGCTAGCAGAGGCCGTCCTCCCGCCCTCCAAAGAGCACAGCTATGCACAGTGGATGGAGAGGGCCTACCAGCAGAGGGCGCCACTCTCCAACCTGTCCAGCCTGGCTCTTCAAACACGCAGTATGGACCCTCCCTTTGCTGTGTTTACATGCGGTTATTGTGTAAAGGAACAATGTTAAAGCGTTCTATTTCCCAGGTTTTGTGCACGATCATGAGTACAACAAGGCAAAAGACGGGAGGCAGTGTTCGCTCTGTCAGCAACTCGGCGACGCTGCTCCAAGTGTAGGTTTTTCATTGTTTTCTACTTTTCATTCATTCATATCCTGAGCCTTTGACTTATTTTACTTCAATAATATATAATCTCATCGTTTGTTTTTTCAGTGAGATTTGAAACAGTCAAATTCCCATATCTTCGTACAAATACAGGTTTGAAAACAGGTTGGATGAAGCAGGCACTTTTTTATTCCAGACTTATCTCATCCATTCAGTACACATATAGTTGGTTCGAGCCCACCGTAAGACCTACTTCACGACTCCCACTGATTGCTGTCGTTGTGTCCTTGGGCAAGACACTTAACCCTACTTTGCCCAAAGCCCCAACTGAAAGATCTCAGCTCCTGTGGACCCAGCACCTGCAGGAGGATCAGTGAGGGGCTGGTGCTATGTGTACTGGGTGCAGAAATGGATTAAGGGGAAGAAAATGGATGGATGCAAATAGGGGCTCAATATAAAAGTAGCTATTATTGGAGGAAATGTTCTGGTTTCAAGCTAAATTCTGCCAGTGGATCATGATTTTTCCGTTAAAGATTTCTTGGAAGAAGAAAATATTACTTGTCATTAAGATTGTTAATTTCAAGTAAATTCTGTAAAAAAGACAAAAAAACGTGATTGAATAAAAATTGAAATCAAGTGAACTTCAACTTTTTGAGGTGAATGAATCATGTGCTGTATATACAGTAATATACAAAATCCTACCATAGGGTGTGACACACGCTCTGCTCTGACTCTACAAACTTCAATGTTGTATGTTGCATGTTTGTCTGTTAGTTTGCAACATTAACATCAAAGTTTTTGCCAGATTTGTTAGACATGCAAATGCAGAGTTCTGGATAACTGTCTGGATTCAGGAATTTCTTTTAAGGAATGGAACCTCACCTCTTGACCGAGGTCTGCATGTCACGAGTGCTTTTCTAGTTTTGTAATGCAATTGTTCACATTCCTCTCACAGGACCAAGGCCGGCTGCTGTACATGGGGCAGAATGAGTGGGCTCATGTGAACTGCTGCCTCTGGTCTGCGGAGGTCTACGAAGACAATGGTGCTCTGCTGCAGGTGCACAGTGCCGTCTCCCGGGGGCGCCACCTGGTAAGAAACCACAGCTCAGGGGTTATGTTGTAAATAAAGTACGTTTTCTTGTTTACCAAGGCCTAAACTTGTGTAGTAACTCATATTGAGGCAGTGCAAGACTGTGTTCACATCTACTGGACTTGAGAAGCAAACGGCAGTCTTCATAAAGCAGTGGTCTCCAACCTGTAGCTCGCCGCCCCCTTCTAAGTAGCTCGGCATTTAGACATTTCAAAGAATCCTTGAATTTTTCAGAGTGTGCTACGCCTACACCTATTATAAATGTTTATGGCAAGGCGATACATGTATTTGTATGGACATATACAAATACACATTCATACAGAAGGCAACTTAACAAAACAAACATACCCAAAATAATCATGGTTTACAGCTATAATGGGTTTCTATAGTATTTACTACATGTATCTTGAACGATGATGTCTTTGATGACTGAGAAGCCATCATCCTGTGGACCCACCACTTGCAGGAGGATCAGCGAGGAACTGGTGCTTTAAGACTTGGGTGGCAGCTCTGCTTTCCATCTTGAACGGCCTGAAGGAGTAGCTCTCTGTATTTTTTTTGTCCTAAAAGATTAGCTCTCTTTCGGAAAAAGACTGTAGACAGCTGTCATAAAGCCACTGATCTATTTCAAAAGACTGAAAAAATACGACTCAGGTGTACCCTTCACATGAGACTTAATCCTTCCCACATAAACCAGTGTTCACTTCACTCGACCAAATGCACTCAGACCCCAATGTACGCACTCCTTTTCTCAGGCTGCACAAAGTGTACTCATGTTGGTTCCCTTCTTTTAGCGCTGTGATCGCTGTGGTCAGTCAGGAGCGACCGTGGGCTGCTGCCTGGTCTCCTGTCAAAGCAACTTCCACTTCATGTGCGCACGGAGCGAAAACTGCGTCTTTCAGCACGACCGCAACGTATACTGCAACAAGCACCGGGATCTCATCAGCGACAAAGTGCGTGTGGCTGGTGTTCATTGTTATGTTCTATACCAATGGAAGTATGAGGTTTATTATAACGAGTGAAATTGTGTTGGACTCCAGGTGGTGGTGGAGTTTGAGGTTCCTCGCAGAGTCTACGTGGACTTCCAGGGTATCAATCTCAGACGGAAGTTTCTGACAGGCCTCGATCCAGAGACTATCAACATGTCGATTGGTAAACCTATTATACATTTATTTCAGAGGTGGCAATATGAAAGAAGCAATCACTAAAACAAAATAAAAAATAAATGCAATAGCAATTTTTTACCTTTGCCTTTGCCGCCCCAACCCTCTAGAACTCACTCCCACTGCTCATTACAAACTTAAACCAGTCTCAAACCCACCTGTTCAAACAAGCTTTTCCATAAACCCCCTTTTTATTATATATTTTATTTCCCATGTGAAGCGTCTTTGAGTGTCCAAAAATGCCTATACAAGTTTGATTTGTATTATTATTTATACGAGTAAGTCTATGTTACTATTTTGACAATCAATGTGCTTAGTAGATGCTAGTAGATGCTAGTAGACGCTAGTAGACGCTAGTAGGCGCTAGTAGACGCTAGTAGACGCTAGTAGACGCTAGTAGACGCTAGTAGACGCTAGTAGACGCTAGTAGACGCTAGTAGGCGCTAGTAGACGCTAGTAGACGCTAGTAGACGCTAGTAGACGCTAGTAGACGCTAGTAGACGCTAGTAGATGCTAGTAGATGCTAGTAGACGCTAGTAGATGCTAGTAGACGCTAGTAGACGCTAGTAGATGCAACTTGAACACATTCTCTCATTTACAGGCTCACTCCAAATCCACAAACTGGGGGTTTTAACAGAACTCTCCTCAAATGGAAGGGCCTTGTACCCTGTTGGATATCAGTAAGTATTAGTCAATATTCTGGTTGTGTTGACATTTATGCCTCATCTTGTCTTCTGTAATTGTGTGATACGTGTGTCCAGATGTTCTCGGCTGTATTGGAGCACAGTGGACCCGCGGCGGCGATGTAAGTACACGTGTAAAGTGACGGAGGTGAGCACGCCGCTGCCCGGGGAAGAGCAGGACGCAAAGTATGACCAAGGAGAAAACCACACCATCGTCCACAGCCCCAAACATCACAGAGGTGAGCACACACACGCACATGCACACACACAAAAGGACATCACACACACACGCACACGGACATCACACGCACATGCACACACACAAAAGGACATCACACACACACGCACACGGACATCACACGCACATGCACACACACAAAAGGACATCACACACACACACACGCACACGGACATAACACACACACACAAAAGGACATCACACACACACGCACGCACACACAAAAGGACATCACACACACGAACATGCACACACACAAAAGGACATCACACACACACACACAAAAGGACATCACACAGACACGCACGCACACACAAAAGGACATCACACACACACACACGCACATGCACACACAAAAGGACATCACACACACACGCACGGACGTAACACACACACACACAAAAGGACATCACACACACACGCACGCACACACAAAAGGACATCACACACAAGCACACACAAAAGGACATAACATAAATGCAAAAAGACATAACGCACACAATGGGACATAACACACACACACAAACTCAAAAGGACATAAAACACACACACAAACGCAAAAGGACATAACACACACACACACACAAAAAGACATAACACACCCACACAGGGACATGACGCACACAAAAAGACATAACACACTCACACATGGCCATAACACACATACACAAAAGGACATAAAACATACACACAATTCTAGATTTTTTTGTATTGTATTTGTAATTGTATTTGATGTTTTGACAGATTTGGAGTCTATGGAGTGTGAGAGAATCCCAGTGAGTCCTGTCAAGTCCAATACGCCATCTCCCAAAACGCACAACACATCTGGATCCAAGAGTCCGATTTATCCACTCGCACGGAGACCAGCCGTAGGGTCGTCCAGGCCGCTGCCATCTCCAGGTGACTGAGAGAAACCTTCTATCTAGGAATTGTCTGTTATTATTTAAACCCACTCTTTAAAGTGCATATAATGGTTTCAGTGTTGCATAGTTGTGTATCCTGGTATATATTCTTTCAGTTCCACGCTTTGTGGTCCAACGTCCAGGTGGCACGAGTCCTGGACTGGAATTCAAGCATCTGTTTTCACATGAGCATGCGTCAAATACACGCAGCTTCAAGTTTTTCATTTCCATCTGTTTTCATAGTCTGTTTTCTGAGGAATTGCCAACAGCAGCAGTTCAGAACAAATATAAAAATTCAAATTGGCAACGTGGGGAACGAGAAAATGAGACTTTATAAATGTTGCATCGATTTAAAGCTATTCTAAAGGCATAACTATTTAAGTGAAAGGTTCTGGTGGGGCATGGGCAAAAGAACGCATTTTCTCTTATTCTTAATCTTAATATCAAAGTTGACAAGGGATGAGAAGCTGTATTTAAAGCAAAAACATGGCCACGAATGCATATTATGTGCTGTAAACAAATCTCAGAAAAATCAAAACGTTGAATATTCTGGCTCTCATTCTCTTAAAATATTCCCGTCTTCCCCCACTTGGACTTCTAGGTAAAGTTTGCCGAGTTTACAGGTTTTAAACAGATGGGTGGCACGGTGGCTGAGTGGATAGCACTCTCGCCTCTCAGCAAGAAGGTCCTGGGTTCGAATCCCACTGCCTTTCTGAGTGGAGTTTGCATGTTCTCCCCATGTCTGCGTAGGTTTCCTCTGGGTACTCCGGTTTCCCCTACCACTAAAAATATATGCAATAGGTCTTGCATGCGCCTCCTGTACTGGCGACCCCGCTCCCATCTCTGTGTGGAGTGAGAGGACAATGCCCAAAAAATACCAATTGTAAACCGCTTTGTGACTCTGGTCTGTGAAAGACGGTATATAAATAAAGATTACTGATGTGTTGTAGGGGCCTCACAAAGGGTTAGCCTTTGTGAGGCTAACTCTTTGTGAACTTAGAAGGCCTAAGGTTAACTTAGGCCTTCTAAGTTTTGTTTCTGTTTGGACTCATTTTCAAAGGACTAGAATTGCGCTTCATGGTGGAGCTCTATGAATGCTTTTCTAGTTTTGTAATGCGACTGTTGACGTTCCATTCTTCTACGAGGCCAACTGCTGTCTATGGATTGCTACTAGTGCGTTTTGAGTTTACTTTGAAAGTTGCTGGCGTATGATTCTGCTTCATCCTTTTATAACTCCTCGTGTGTCTTTTCCCAGGGACAGCACCACCCAAACCCCATCACATCGTGACGCTCCGAGACCTGGAGGACACACGCCGCACTCGCCGTCTCTCGTCCAGGAGCCGCTGTAGCTCCTCCCCCTCAGAACCAGACCCCCCCGCCCCTGCGTCCCTTCGCTCCGGCAGCGTGAGAACTTCCCTCTTCAGCTCCCCTCCACGTTCCGCTGCCGTGGGCCCCCTCTCGCCTCCTCTGTCTCGGCAAAACTCTACCTCACCAGTGTGGGGCTCTCCGACCACCTCCGGGTTCTCCCCTCATCGCGGATCGGTCAGCAACTCTCCAAAAGGAAGGCAAAGCTTTAAAATCACCACGCCAATTTCCGCAGAGGTTCCGCAAGACTTTCTGGCGTCATCGGAGGCGGAAGAAGCGGCGGTCGCGACTACAAATGGGATTTCGCTTGCCCCTGAGAATTTAGAGGAGGAAGTGGCTCAATTAATGGCCCAAGAACTGCCCTATACAGTGTTTGACGCAGACGTAACCGTAGACCAGATGCTAAATGCTAAGCTCGAATTTGACGACAACTTGTTATCAGAAAATATTGCGTTTGGTTGTCATACGAATAAGGGAGAAAGTGAGATTGTCAATGTGGATAACTGTAAGCAGGAAAATGAACCTGAAGAGGATGAATCTAGCCATTACTTAAAGTTTTCTCGAACTGTTGTGGATGTGCCTGCTAGCTCAAACACCCCCAGTCTTACTCCAGCTCAATCCATCATGCAGCTAGACGGCGCTGACGGAGAGTCGGACAGCGATGATAGTGAAATCGTAGAGAAACAGACCCAATCTGTAGCTCTCAAACAACTCGAATCAATCTGCAGTGGACAAAGCACTCAAATTCCTAGTTCCTCTTCTGATTTGGATAAGCCTTTCCTTCTCGATGCGGAAACGGGACATTTTACATCTCCATCTGGGACCGTAATCAACCCAAAAAACAAAACCGAAGATGATTTTGACAGTAGCAGCAGCAGCAGCTCGTCAGACGAATCCGCGGAAGGGTTTAAAGACGATTTGAACGATCCTGATTATGATCCCGATTACGCTCCTGAGCTTTCTTCACCCAAAAAAACCCCACCCCAAGTGAAACCTGTTCTAGTAAAGCGGCATATACCTGCGCCTATGCCTACTCCTACACCCATTCCCAGAAAAATAAACCTTGTTGTGCCACAGCAGCACAAAGTCAGGCTCGTGCTGCCGTCTCAGGCCGTCGGAACTACCCCAGGAGTGGCTAAAGCAGCGACGCACAGCACAGTCCCACGCACCGTCACTTCGCCAATTGTCATCAACGGGCTCAACGCGTTACCCATTCAACCGGGAGCACCGCGCGGCCGCTCCATCGCTATCCGTTTGAACAACACAAAACCAGCAGGTCAACAGCCAGGTGCACCTAATCAAGCGGCTACGGCTAATGCTGCTGCCGTCAATCCCACTCCTCAGGTCTTACTGGTCAATCGGCAAGGACAGATTCTCATAAAAGATCCCAGAAGTAATACATATCAAGCCGTCAGCACGAACTCTCCAGCGTACAACAAGATAAGCCAGATCGCAAAGCTTCTCCACTCTGGGAATCCGTTACAACGCAACCTCTCCCGTGTATTAGTGAGGCCATCTATCCCATCCACTTCGGAAACCTCCAGCCAGGGTTCAGCACTATGCCCACAGACTTCCACAGCACACGTTAGCTCTGCCGCTAGCATTAGCCTGCCCACGCCTGCGCCATCGGTCTCTGCTTCAGGCCCAGCCGCTCTGACTCTTCCTGCCTCGGTCACTGTTCCATCAGCCCTGGAAGGCCAAACATCGGTAACCCAAAAGAGGATAGTTTTTCGAATGGTGAAAACCGTTCCTGCTTCTTTTCCAGCCACGTCTCCCGCTCCCATCAAAGCTCCCGAACCTCCTCTCACTCCCAAAGAAGACGACGACGCCATGGCCCAAACCATCATTGACAAAGCAGTGGCGTCCCATCGCGTAGTGGAAAGGACTAAACCTATTATTATCAGAAAAGGTGCTCGCAAACCCAAAAACCCTCTTGCAGAGCTTCTTGACACAGACCAAAAGAGTTCCCCCACAGACACGCCCCCACACGCCTTCTCACGCAACCAGGGCCGGGTCAAGAGGGTCTCGTCTCAGTCTGAAAAGTCGAGCAGGAAGAAGTCAAAGGTGGATTATTTGGTAGATGCCAGTGATCCGGATGATTCTGACAGGTACACTGCTTTATCTCCTGTCTCCTGTGGTTCCTGTGGCTTTGCTTTGTTTTGACTGAACATTATGACTATGGGATAGAAATTGTGTAAATGTTGAAAACTTCACTTATAAATAATACTACAGTTCGACCGATATGGGATTTCTGTGAGAATGGATTTTTCCCAAAGTGTGATTGGCAATTAGGACATTTTCAGAACTTGTATGATTTAAATAAGGGCTCAATGGATATTTATGGGAATGGGTTAATTATACAGAACCTGCATTTGAAAGCCAGAACCTGTCAGACCTCTGAAGCTGTGCAGGACAGGGTCTGGTTAGTACTTTGATGGGAGACCTCTGAGAACACCAGGTGCCACAGTGGGGCGGCTGTGGCTGTAAAGTGCCAAACTGTCGCTGCCAAGAAGACTGGTGTGTGTGTGAATGGTTGGTGGTGGGAGGGGCTGATGGCACAGACTGGATTCCTCGCTTCTTTTTGTTTTGTTTTGTGGAACATTTATTTACTTTTAGTATTTTGTAGTTTAGATTTGTTTTGTGATTTCTCCTGGTCAAATTATGTTCATTACAACATGCCTCTGGGGTAGATGATTGTTGGATGATTAATATAACAGTAAATTATAATTTCCAACTTCTGCTATCAAACATTTGTTTCTATAATTTAACATTCTAAAACAAAGTGCCAAAGTAAATCATTTCAAGATGATTCTGGACCAAAATGACTACGATTGATGCATTGTATAAATTCTTGAATGTGCTGTTGATCCAATTTGTTGAATAGCTTTAAATTACTGCATAATTGGATGTTTGTTTTGTGACTTTGACAAGTGAGACTGTGTTTGTTGAACCGTCCCTTTATTAGTCCTGCTTCAGCTCCTGTCGTGTCAATCCCTGAAGTCAGATACCTCAAAGGAAAACCTCTTGTGTCATGTTTATCTCCTGAGCTGCTGCTGCTGACTTTTCCTTACATACTTGTTTATCACACAGGACAAAGTGCATTTTAGGGTTTAGGCATCTTATCCCTTGGAGTTTACGTGTATGTTTTGTTTTCAGCAAATCCAGCGGCGTTCGAATGAAAGCTCCATCAATGAAGGATGTTCTGGATTTGGACGAGGAAAATAAAATCGACCCTCTGAAAGTCGTGACTCCACCAGCTCCGAGACTCTGCAGGTGCTATAACGATCATCACTTATCACACCCACGGCCGTACTATCTTTAGAAACGTGACCAGGATCAAAGCAGGGGTCAAATCTGTCCATTTCTCAATCAGGAGATAAATGCTTTGTGACAAAATCTAAATAAAGTACATTACTGGAGATGATCACTACCAAAGGATTGTATCCAACCCACACTCCCACTGCTGTAGTCACTTTGAAAAATGTTACTGTAAGATACTATATTTTTAACCTTTGAACATGTTTTGCACACTTCCTGTCTCTTTGCCCACCCTGAGTGATTCTTTCTATGCCAAACGTGATGTGTGAATTCTCCATTGTGAGATCAATAACATGTATCTTATCTTAAACCCATAATTAAAAAACTCTTTGCACACATCACTTCAACCCAGACTTTACCCAGAATTATATAAACTGCTTTGTACTTGGGCGGGTTCTCCAAATGTTTAGCATATGTGTCACGTTATAATTCATAATGTGACGTCCTGAACTCAATGGGAAACTCACTCGGCTTAGACATGTTGGAAGTTCTTGGTTAACTAGTTGGAACAAAGTGATCGATCCTTCTTCTGCTTCAGGTATCCCAGAGCCGACGTGCTCCCAGCCAACATCGACGGCAAAACACACAAGTGGGTGAGCTCTCGACACGGGGATCTCTCGGAGTGGGGCCCTTATTCAGGTTCGTAACACAAGTGCAAGCACCAATGTTTACAGAAAAGGATTCACATTAATTCATATTATTGTCATCATTTTGCAGGAGTGAGTTCAGAAGACGAGTGGTATGCTCTGAAATTCAGAAAGAAGACGTGCATGAACCAACCACATCTGAGATTTGAAATCACCAGCGACGACGGCTTCAGTGTCAAAGCCAACAGTATAGAAGGTAAGCGTTTTATCCAATTAGTTAATTCTACACACAGAAATGACAAAGGACAGGACTTTACACATGCCCCTTTTCCCACCATGTCACTAACATAGGAAACTATTCTCTTCTTTCTGTTTTATTGGTAGTTTAGTTTATCTGTTTTGAACAATAGAGCTTAAGTGTATAAACTCTTGACACAAGTTATAATTTACAACAAAAATAGTGCAACAGTATTGTTCAAAAAGGAGCGAGAAGAAGTTTAACATTTTATTAATCCCACCCTTGCCATCATAACATAATGTAGGTCTTACTGCTTCCTTCAGTTCAGTACATACACACACAAAACAAACAAAAAACTAAAATAGCCATACAAAAAAAATTATATCTGGAATAATCATTTAAATATACTTTCTATGCAAGTTTTTTATTTATATTTGAACTGTTTTTTACTTACACATGTTTTTTATGTCACAAATGTTATTCCATTGTCTTACTCCACAATAAAAAATACAAAATCTTTTCCCCATTTGTTCAATTTGACAGATATTGAAGTTGTTTTGGTCCCTCAGCATATGTCGTCTTTTCTCAAATATAGTTGTATATTGTTTTGCAGCATGTTTCTACTCGGCTTATACATGATCTGAGCTGTTGAGAATAGTAAATTGTACGTGTGTATCTCTCCTCAGTGGCGTGGCGAGCGGTGATTGACGGCGTGTTGGAGGCGCGTGCGGACTTTCACCTGAAGCAGTTGCCTCTGGGCGGGATGAACGGGCCCCGCGTGATGGGAATCCTCCACGACGCCGTCCTCTTCATCCTGGAGCAGCTGCACGGAGCCGCCGACTGCAAACAGCATCGCTTCAGGTTCCACCGCTGCGAGAACTTGGAGGAAGAACTGCCCCTCAACCCCAGCGGCTGCACTCGCTCCGAAGTCTACACAAGGTACTGGCGCCGGGGATTTGAGGATAACTGAACTACTATCACCGCCTTTGATTTTATCACAGACTCTAGGTCCAGTTTGAAATCTTGTTGGTCTGGTCACATCTCTCTCATATCCTGAAGGAGATATGCTAGTATTCACAACTGGTGTCTGGCTTCTCCTTTGGATTCCAATCAGAATCCACCAGAATCCCTACATTCAATTATAGATGCAGTTAGCGATGTTGTTAGCTTAGCCATAGCAGCAACTCCAAACCACTCCCCCCTCCCCTCCCTCTCCACCAAACCAAACATCCAGCATTTTCTATTCTTTGTCACAACAGGGAGAGTGAAACAAACGTGAAATTGGCATTTTCTGCTCAGCCATTTTAGGTTTTAGAAAATCCGATAACTCCGGTGCACTCGAGAGAAACAGGAAGAGGGTAAACACATACCATTGGTTTAATTTTATCGCTCCGCTCCAGAATATTTTTTGTTATTTTTTGTAGACTATAGGCATCTGGTCAGTTCCATTTCTATTTGAAAACACATGATAAACTTGATACTTTTAGAGCTTAGGGACGTTTTCGCACAATATTTTAAAAAATGCGTCTGGAAAAACAGACAGGGGCAACAGTAGCTCAGTTGGTAGAGCACTGGCCTTTGAGCCTGAAGGTCATGGGTTCAAGCCCACCACGGGACCATCTCCACCGACTCCCGCTGATGACTGCTGTCGTTGTGTCCTTGGGCAAGACACTTAACCCTGCATTGCCTGAAGCCCCCGCTGAAAAATCAAGGCCATATTGTCACTGACAGAGCAGCCGTCCTCCTGTGGACTCACCACCTGCAGAGGATCAGTGAGGGGCTGGTGCTATGAGACTTGGGTGCAGCTCTGACTGCCACCCCCCCCCCCCCCCCCGACCCAGAAATGGATGAAGGGGAAGAAGATGGATGGATGGATGGATGGCGTCTGGAAAAAAATCACTGACTGCATCTTTAAAAGCATCCAATTGAGAAGCTACTTTTAGATCTTAGCTTATACATAGTTCCCACAGACCAATGAATGTCACATGACCTCCTCGGAGACGCCATCTTTGATGGCACGCTGCTGTGTTTGTGCATTCCATTAAACAGAAGAATGAGAATAAATGTAGATATTCAAACGCAAATTGGAAAAAAAGGGCAACTTTTGAGCAAATAATTGTATATTAATACAATGGCACCACAGTTTAACGTGCTACGGACATGTTTTACATATTTGATCAAATTATGCAGCAAAAATTAACAAGCAATGCAAACATTTCTCAAACTTTAGATTTAATACCAGTTGGAGCTCCATTTAATTATTTTAATTATATTAACAATTAATTTAATTAATGCTAATGCCACACGGGCACTCTGGATTGCTGTTATTGTTTATTTCCGCGTTTTTGACCGTATGTTTTGGTGAATGGTGGGCAACTGATTTTTCCAGGCGTAAAGAGCAGTTTATTTTATGACAAGATCTTTTTACAGAATCAATGCTGTTTGTGAACATTGTTTTAGCCCACCATAGAACTATTATTATCTATTTAATACATTTACGTTGCCCTCGAGAGCCTCGGACGCGACACCGATCCTCCTCATAATAAAGTAATCTAACGCTAAATAATGAAACTCTCAAGTTACCAGATATCAGCATACACAAGTTAGTACTGAGTAAATTACGTCTGTCAACACATTATAAGATACGATACGCACCTGACACAAAGTGCTCCGAGCATATTCTTGCGTGTTTTGAGGGAGTTTCTTGCCTGTTTATCTTCGCAAGCCATAACCTCCGTGGTTGTTCTGACAAAAGCTTAGTCTTCTCACATTCATGAAGTCTAATGATGGGTATACTGTAAAATCCAAGTTTAACGGAAGCTCCGGCACGATTTGAACATCCATTGACCCAGCAGGAGATGACCATTTTCAACTTTATCACGACATTAACACGTTTCAGCTTCTTTTTCTATTGTTTTTCCCACAGAATGCCAATACAAATGTCGCCGGGTCGGCAAATCCCCGTATGTAGTGACGTCATGTGGGAACTATGTATAGCCTTGAGCTTCATTCTTTTTAATTACCCTTTATAGAATACATCATTTAAGGGGGCGATGCTGTTTGCAGTCGGCGGCTCAGTGTTTCATATCATTCAAACCTGAAAAGTTTTTTTGTTTTTTGATCCATTTGTAAACTGTCCTCACTGAGAGAACAGAAATGCAGAATGTTTTCCAGTCCTCTGATGGTCTTTCCTCATAAGTACGATGTATGTGTTCCTGGTTAGAAAATAAATGTTTAGTCCACTAAAGGAAAACGCTTTTTCCGTCCTTTTAGAAAAGCCACCTTCGACATGTTTAACTTCCTGGCGTCGCAGCACAGAGCTCTGCCTGAGATCGTCGGTCCCTTTGAGGAGGAGGACGACGACATCCCCCTCAAATCCTCCAGGTGAGTCTCTTTGATATCGCTGTGAAAATATGTTCAGTTATTTTATGGTTAATCGTTGTTTTTGAGCAGACGCTTCACCAGCACCGAGCTGCCGATGGCCATGAGGTTCAGACACCTGGAGAAGATCTCCAAAGAGGCTGTTGGAGTTTACAGGTTTGTACAGAGACTGGGCTTTTGGGACTATACTTTATCAAACACTCTATTATACATTTGCTGAATTGTTTTCTCATGATTGCAGATCTGCCATTCACGGACGAGGCCTTTTCTGTAAACGGAACATTGAGGCTGGAGAGATGGTTATAGAATACGCTGGAGCCGTCATTCGAGCTGTTCTCACCGATAAAAGGGAAAAATATTATGACAGCAAGGTTCGTTTAAACCCACACCACAAGAATGTGTTAAAGATATTACATGCTACTGTCTGCTCTAAGAATAGTCACGTGACCAGTCACGTGACCAGTCACATGACCAGTCACATGACCAGTCACATGACCGGTCACATGACCGGTCACATGACCGGTCACATGACCGGTCACATGACCAGTCGCCCCAACAGCTTCGTCCAGTTCTGGCGTTTTCTGTTTTTATTAATGCTAATGTTTTTGTCTTTGTTTTGTTTTTAATTCCACTTTTAACCATGTCTGTACAGTGTCCTTGGGTGTTTTTAAATTAATTTATTATTATTATGATTATTATTTTTACTCCACCAAAAATAATTCCTTCCTCAAACCCCTGTATTCTCTTCCTCCGCGCAGGGCATCGGCTGCTACATGTTCCGCATCGACGACTTCGACGTTGTGGACGCCACGATGCAGGGGAACGCGGCGCGCTTCATCAACCACTCGTGCGAACCCAACTGCTACTCGCGCGTCATCAACGTGGACGGACGCAAGCACATCGTCATCTTCGCCCTGAGGAAGATCTACCGAGGGGAAGAGCTCACCTACGATTACAAGTTCCCCATCGAGGACGCGGACAGCAAACTGCACTGCAACTGTGGCACCCGCAAGTGCCGCCGCTTCCTCAACTGAGCTCAGTCTCGCCGCAATTATCCAGAAAATGAGTCAGAAACGGCTTGAGTTGGAAGTTTATCTTGGTTTGACGATATTTTTGACTTAAAACAACGGAACAAGCTGCTTAAGTTTTAATTCAGGTGCTGTAGGGCTTTGGCCGGAAATTGCTTATAATTTCTATATTTGAAGTAAAACAAGACATTTAAGCTTGTTTCCTGTTTTTAAGCCTATAAAATATACTTAAATCAAGGTAAAAAATGTATAAATTCAAGCTTTTACACACTTGTTTTTGTATTTTTGCACAGAATTGAGTCATTTCTGCACAAACAAAGGAGGATAAGGTGAAGTTATGTTGCTCTGAATCTGAAGCTTGGTCCACTGACTTCTCTGTGTCGAGTTTGTCAAATCTATTGCCTGCGGTGGGAATTGAAACATCCTGGTCTACTCACAGAATGGGCTGGATGTGACAGCTGACAAACGGCAAAGTCAAAAATAAGTCCTGTTTCTCTTTTTGTTTAAAGTGAAAATGGTCAAATATATGAACTTTGTCGTTGTTATTACACGGAGAAATCTTATTGCTGTGATTTTCAAACTTCACAACAGGAGCTGGCGTTTATCTGTAGAAGTGTAAAAATGCAGTGATAGTAAAACCATTTAAACAGACCTGGAATCACCAAAAAAAACGTTTTAATAATGGTCACACCAGCCAAAAACGCAGTGATCGCTCGCATCTCACTGCACAAAGAGACTTATCGTTGATGTTGTGGACGAATGAATGAGAACCTGTTGGGCACCTTACACCGGTCGGTCGACGGGCCGAGTTTATTTCTCAAAAATCCCTAAATGTCGACCTAGAGCAGCTACGTTTTACGATCACCACGGCAACGGCGTGATCTGGGTCTTATCTTGTTCATAGTTTTAAAAAGGTGCAATTTTCAAGAGAAGTGGATACCGTTTTTAAACCGGTCGACCCCTGATTTTCCCATTAGTTACAAGTTCATAGTTTTTATTTGTGTCTGTCGCTTTTATTCCACTTTCAGAGTTTGACTTTTGCTGTTTGTGTATTTAAAGGTCCATGAGGGACGGAGCCTCAGCGCAGGGTTAAAAGATGACTCGGATGTAAATGCCACACAGTCCCATGTTTTTGTATTTTTGTATATTATGAACAATAAATGTAAAATTAACAGTCTGAAGGAAATAAATGAGTTGAGCTTTTATCTTGCTTGTTATTTGTACAATAAGTTATTTTAATTTTATTGTGGGGAGTTTTGGGCATGCTACCTCATCAGTTTATGTTGATGGATAAATTCAAACAAAACAATGGCTTGGTTTTATGTCGAATGTTCAAGAAAAGCTGTACAGACGGTTGTAGACTTGAATGGGGTCTGTTCTACAATTATTAATGGCTGCGTTTGGCATAAAGCTTCATTTCTACCATGTCTCTGTATATACTTGTAAACAGTTATTTTTACCAGTATTTTTTTCCCCCTTTTCCTAATTAAATTTTCACATTAAAATGTTCAAAGTTATTTGCTTTGATTTCTTTTTTATATATTCAGAATCTCCTCTGGAACTACATGTTATGTGAGATGAGTTACAGTGGTGCCAGCTGCTCTTTCACAGTCACAGGTTCATCATGAATAAGTAATGTCATTAATATTGTATAACTCTGCAGGGGGCACATGGTCGTCTGTCATTACCTTTGTAACAGTTTAGTATTTAGCTCTAGACTCAGGACTTATTTAACTGCATTAAGCTTTACAGACGTGTTGGATAAAAATAACTGAGGGTGACTCCTGCAGAAATGCCACATTTGTAGATTGGACCAATCTACAAATGTGGCAACTGACTTCAACCAGAAGGAAAACATTTTCTCAGATAACGGAATATCAATATCAAACGATAATATTTAGTTTTTCAGCTTACACTTGAATGATATCTTATGTGGCTCAAGTAAATTATAAAATAGAACTATGTTTACGCTTACATATTCTAAACATGTCTCTAAAGAATGGTGCAACAGGTAAAAGAAGCCGCATGATAATGTCCAGAATCTGAAATAGTAACTAAGAACATAATTTACTTATGTGATGTCACCTGAAGGTTTTACATAATTATCTAAGTCGTGGAAACATTTGTGAGGACGAGGTTTACAGTTTGTTCCCATTCCTCAAGGTCTGTTCCACTCTGAACATGTGGCTTGTTCTCATAAAACTGCACACGTTGTACTATCGTGAGAAGAGCAGCAGGATGAGCGGTCTTTATAAAGGAGGGGTTTGTGTGGAGGCCTCACTGAGCACCATGAAGACCCTGATCCTGCTGGCCCTGCTGGGAGCAGCCTGTGAGGACCTGGAAACTCTTCAGCAGATCTAAAAAATATCCTGTTTTAATGTAACTCTGTTTGTCCACAGTTGCTGCAGACGACAAGATTGTTGGAGGATACGAGTGTCCCAAGAACTCGGTCCCCTACCAGGTGTCCCTGAACTCAGGGTACCACTTCTGTGGAGGGTCCCTCATCTCCAGCCAGTGGGTCGTGTCTGCGGCTCACTGCTTCAAGTCGTAAGTGCAGAACAAGACTAACATTACATACTTTATATTCATTTACTGTAAGAGCATTGTGTTCATCACAGCAGGGGCAGGACCACACACGCTTTTGCTTCTTCCTACTCCCTTTTGAACATGTGAATGGAATAAAAATTTGGTTTTGTTTGGACGATTATATTTGTTTCAAAATAAACAAATGAAATTAAATGACAACATCCCATTATCCTTATGTTAGAAATGATTTTCGGACAATAGAGACTTTTCTGATGGTTGAGTTAATGTATAATTACTAAACCTGTTCACGTGGAACAAAAACAGGCAGGAAGGTCCGTATCTTCTCTTTCTGCATAAATAAACAAAAGGGAAACTTTTAGCCAAAGAGCAGGGTGCATGATACAAACACACCTCAGGGTGCTGTGACATCACTGGTCTGGGCGACGGTGCACTGAGGAGTGAACGTACCATTAGTTTTAAAGATGTAGAGTGTGTGCAGTGGATGGAACCATTTTACAACACCTTGAGTTAAGAACAAGATTCCTACTCATTGTTTCATCACAAGTTACAGAAAAGTAGGAATGAGGAGCACACAACATAAGAAAATGATAATCCCTGAGATTGTATCTTTCAGACAGAAGACATGTTTTACTGTCCATGGTAGACGAGTGATATTATACAGTTTGACAGTTTGAAGGAATGGACACCTCCAATCAGCATGTGCCACAGTGTGGGCAGCTTCGGCTTTGAGATAAACCAAAACATGTGGAAAAGTACTGCCTTGTGCATTGTTAGAATGAGTTTAACTTTAACCACAGTTGCTTCAAAGAGTCATGAAATCTCCAAACTGTCTGAAACATCTGTAGTCAGGAGAAGTTTAGCTTTATCTTTGCTCTACTTTTGTCGGCATAGTTTACATGAACTAACACTAGACAGAACTGATTCCAGTTTCTGTAATTCCCAAAACTGACTCCTGTTAATTTCTCCAGTCGCATCAATGTCCGTCTGGGAGAGCACAACATCGCTCTGAACGAGGGCACGGAGCAGTGGATCGACTCGGCCCGAGTCATCAAACACCCACAGTACAACAGCAACAACCTGGACAACGACATCATGTTGATCAAGCTGAGCCGACCCGCCGCCCTCAACAGCTTCGTCAAGACGGTGGCTCTGCCCACGCGCTGCCCCGTGGCCGACGAGAACTGCCTGGTGTCCGGATGGGGAAACATGTCTGCTAACGGAAGTAAGGAAACATGTATGCTAACGGAAGTAAGGAAACATGTATGCTAACAGAAGTAAGGAAACATGTATGCTAACGGAAGTAAGGAAACATGTATGCTAACGGAAGTAAGGAAACATGTATGCTAACAGAAGTAAGGAAACATGTATGCTAACGGAAGGAAAGGAAACATGTATGCTAACGGAAGTAAGGAAACATGTATGCTAACGGAAGTAAGGAAACATGTATGCTAACGGAAGTAAGGAAACATGTATGCTAACGGAAGTAAGGAAACATGTCTGCTAACGGAAGTAAGGAAACATGTATGCTAACGGAAGTAAGGAAACATGTCTGCTAACGGAAGTAAGGAAACATGTCTGCTAACGGAAGTAAGGAAACATGTATGCTAACGGAAGTAAGGAAACATGTATGCTAACGGAAGTAAGGAAACATGTATGCTAACGGAAGTAAGGAAACATGTATGCTAACGGATGTATGTAAGGAAAGGAAACATGTATGCTAACGGAAGTAAGGAAACATGTCTGCTAACGGAAGTAAGGAAACATGTCTGCTAACGGAAGTAAGGAAACATGTATGCTAACGGAAGTAAGGAAACATGTATGCTAACGGAAGTAAGGAAACATGTATGCTAACGAAAGAAACATGTAGCTAAGGAAACATGTATGCTAACGGAAGTAAGGAAACATGTATGCTAACGGAAGTAAGGAAACATGTATGCTAACGGAAGAAGGAAACATGTATGCTAACGGAAGTAAGGAAACATGTATGCTAACGGAAGTAAGGAAACATGTATGCTAACGGAAGTAAGGAAACATGTATGCTAACGGAAGTAAGGAAACATGTATGCTAACGGAAGTAAGGAAACATGTATGCTAACGGAAGTAAGGAAACATGTATGCTAACGGAAGTAAGGAAACATGTATGCTAACGGAAGTAAGGAAACATGTATGCTAACGGAACATGTTCTAAGAAGAAAACATGTATGCTAACGGAAGTAAGGAAACATGTATGCTAACGGAAGTAAGGAAACATGTATGCTAACGGAAGTAAGGAAACATGTATGCTAACGGAAGTAAGGAAACATGTATGCTAACGGAAGTAAGGAAACATGTATGCTAACGGAAGTAAGGAAACATGTATGCTAACGGAAGTAAGGAAACATGTATGCTAACGGAAGTAAGGAAACATGTATGCTAACGGAAGTAAGGAAACATGTATGCTAACGAAGTAAGGAAACATGTATGCTAACGGAAGTAAGGAAACATGTATGCTAACGGAAGTAAGGAAACATGTATGCTAACGAAGTAAGGAAACATGTATGCTAACGGAAGAGAATGTATGCTACGAGGAAACATGTATGCTAACGGAAGTAAGGAAACATGTATGCTAACGGAAGTAAGGAAACATGTATGCTAACGGAAGTAAGGAAACATGTATGCTAACGGAAGGAAACATGTATGCTAACGAAAAACATGTATGCTAACGGAAGTAAGGAAACATGTATGCTAACAGAAGTAAGGAAACATGTATGCTAACGAAGTAAGGAAACATGTATGCTAACGGAAGTAAGGAAACATGTATGCTAACGAAGTAAGGAAACATGTATGCTAACGAAGTAAGGAAACATGTATGCTAACGGAAGTAAGGAAACATGTATGCTAACGAAGTAAGGAAACATGTATGCTAACAGAAGTAAGGAAACATGTATGCTAACAGAAGTAAGGAAACATGTATGCTAACGGAAGTAAGGAAACATGTATGCTAACGGAAGTAAGGAAACATGTATGCTAACGGAAGTAAGGAAACATGTATGCTAACAGAAGTAAGGAAACATGTATGCTAACAGAAGTAAGGAAACATGTATGCTAACAGAAGTAAGGAAACATGTATGCTAACGGAAGTAAGGAAACATGTATGCTAACAGAAGTAAGGAAACATGTATGCTAACAGAAGTAAAAAACATGTATGCTAACGGAAGTAAGGAAACATGTATGCTAACAGAAGTAAGGAAACATGTATGCTAACAGAAGTAAGGAAACATGTATGCTAACAGGAAGTAAGGAAACATGTATGCTAAAAGAAACGTATGCTAACGGAAACATGTATGCTAACAGAAGTAAGGAAACATGTATGCTAACAGAAGTAAGGAAACATGTATGCTAACAGAAGTAAGGAAACATGTATGCTAACAGAAGTAAGGAAACATGTATGCTAACAGAAGTAAGGAAACATGTATGCTAACAGAAGTAAGGAAACATGTATGCTAACAGAAGTAAGGAAACATGTATGCTAACAGAAGTAAGGAAACATGTATGCTAACGAAGTAAGGAAACATGTATGCTAACTAAGGAAGTAAGGAAACATGTATGCTAACGGAAGTAAGGAAACATGTATGCTAACGGAAGTAAGGAAACATGTATGCTAACGGAAGTAAGGAAACATGTATGCTAACAGAAGTAAGGAAACATGTATGCTAACGGAAGTAAGGAAACATGTATGCTAACGGAAGTAAGGAAACATGTATGCTAACGGAAGTAAGGAAACATGTATGCTAACAGAAGTAAGGAAACATGTATGCTAACAGAAGTAAGGAAACATGTATGCTAACAGAAGTAAGGAAACATGTATGCTAACAGAAGTAAGGAAACATGTATGCTAACGGAAGTAAGGAAACATGTATGCTAACAGAAGTAAGGAAACATGTATGCTAACGGAAGTAAGGAAACATGTATGCTAACAGAAGTAAGGAAACATGTATGCTAACAGAAGTAAGGAAACATGTATGCTAACAGAAGTAAGGAAACATGTATGCTAACAGAAGTAAGGAAACATGTATGCTAACGGAAGTAAGGAAACATGTATGCTAACAGAAAGTAAGGAAACATGTATGCTAACAGAAGTAAGGAAACATGTATGCTAACGGAAGTAAGGAAACATGTATGCTAACGAAGTAAGGAAACATGTATGCTAACGGAAGTAAGGAAACATGTATGCTAACGGAAGTAAGGAAACATGTATGCTAACGAAGTAAGGAAACATGTATGCTAACAGAAGTAAGGAAACATGTATGCTAACAGAAGTAAGGAAACATGTATGCTAACAGAAGTAAGGAAACATGTATGCTAACAGAAGTAAGGAAACATGTATGCTAACGGAAGGAAACATGTATGCTAACGGTAAGGAAACATGTATGCTAACAGAAGTAAGGAAACATGTATGCTAACAGAAGTAAGGAAACATGTATGCTAACAGAAGTAAGGAAACATGTATGCTAACGGAAGTAAGGAAACATGTATGCTAACAGAAGTAAGGAAACATGTATGCTAACGGAAGTAAGGAAACATGTATGCTAACGGAAGTAAGGAAACATGTATGCTAACAGAAGAAAGGAAACATGTATGCTAACAGAAGTAAGGAAACATGTATGCTAACGGAAGTAAGGAAACATGTATGCTAACGGAAGGAAACATGTATGCTAACAGAAGTAAGGAAACATGTATGCTAACAGAAGTAAGGAAACATGTATGCTAACGGAAGGAAACATGTATGCTAACGGAAGTAAGGAAACATGTATGCTAACAGAAGTAAGGAAACATGTATGCTAACAGAAGTAAGGAAACATGTATGCTAACAGAAGTAAGGAAACATGTATGCTAACGGAAGTAAGGAAACATGTATGCTAACAGAAGTAAGGAAACATGTATGCTAACGGAAGTAAGGAAACATGTATGCTAACGGAAGTAAGGAAACATGTATGCTAACAGAAGAAAGGAAACATGTATGCTAACAGAAGTAAGGAAACATGTATGCTAACGGAAGTAAGGAAACATGTATGCTAACGGAAGGAAACATGTATGCTAACGGAAGTAAGGAAACATGTATGCTAACGGAAGTAAGGAAACATGTATGCTAACGGAAGTAAGGAAACATGTATGCTAACGGAAGTAAGGAAACATGTATGCTAACAGAAGTAAGGAAACATGTATGCTAACGGAAGTAAGGAAACATGTATGCTAACGGAAGTAAGGAAACATGTATGCTAACGGAAGTAAGGAAACATGTATGCTAACAGAAGTAAGAACATGTATGCTAACGAAGTAAGGAAACATGTATGCTAACGGAAGTAAGGAAACATGTATGCTAACGGAAGTAAGGAAACATGTATGCTAACAGAAGTAAGGAAACATGTATGCTAACAGAAGTAAGGAAACATGTATGCTAACGAAGTAAGGAAACATGTATGCTAACGGAAGGAAACATGTATGCTAACGAAAAACATGTATGCTAACGGAAGTAAGGAAACATGTATGCTAACGGAAGTAAGGAAACATGTATGCTAACGAAGAAGGAAACATGTATGCTAACGGAAGTAAGGAAACATGTATGCTAACGGAAGTAAGGAAACATGTATGCTAACGGAAGTAAGGAAACATGTATGCTAACAGAAGTAAGGAAACATGTATGCTAACGGAAGTAAGGAAACATGTATGCTAACGGAAGTAAGGAAACATGTATGCTAACGAAGTAAGGAAACATGTATGCTAACAGAAGTAAGGAAACATGTATGCTAACAGAAGTAAGGAAACATGTATGCTAACGGAAGTAAGGAAACATGTATGCTAACAGAAGTAAGGAAACATGTATGCTAAAGTAAGGAAAATGTAAACGGAAGTAGGAACATGTATGCTAACAGAAGTAAGGAAACATGTATGCTAACGGAAGTAAGGAAACATGTATGCTAACAGAAGTAAGGAAACATGTATGCTAACGGAAGTAAGGAAACATGTATGCTAACGGAAGTAAGGAAACATGTATGCTAACGGAAGTAAGGAAACATGTATGCTAACAGAAGTAAGGAAACATGTATGCTAACGGAAGTAAGGAAACATGTATGCTAACGGAAGTAAGGAAACATGTATGCTAACAGAAGTAAGGAAACATGTATGCTAACAGAAGTAAGGAAACATGTATGCTAACGGAAGTAAGGAAACATGTATGCTAACGGAAGTAAGGAAACATGTATGCTAACAGAAGTAAGGAAACATGTATGCTAACGGAAGTAAGGAAACATGTATGCTAACGGAAGTAAGGAAACATGTATGCTAACAGAAGAAAGGAAACATGTATGCTAACAGAAGTAAGGAAACATGTATGCTAACAGAAGTAAGGAAACATGTATGCTAACGGAAGTAAGGAAACATGTATGCTAACGGAAGTAAGGAAACATGTATGCTAACAGAAGAAAGGAAACATGTATGCTAACGGAAGTAAGGAAACATGTATGCTAACGGAAGTAAGGAAACATGTATGCTAACAGAAGAAAGGAAACATGTATGCTAACAGAAGAAAGGAAACATGTATGCTAACGGAAGTAAGGAAACATGTATGCTAACGGAAGTAAGGAAACATGTATGCTAACAGAAGAAAGGAAACATGTATGCTAACGGAAGTAAGGAAACATGTATGCTAACAGAAGTAAGGAAACATGTATGCTAACGGAAGTAAGGAAACATGTATGCTAACAGAAGAAAGGAAACATGTATGCTAACGGAAGTAAGGAAACATGTATGCTAACGGAAGGAAACATGTATGCTAACGGAAGTAAGGAAACATGTATGCTAACGGAAGTAAGGAAACATGTATGCTAACAGAAGAAAGGAAACATGTATGCTAACGGAAGTAAGGAAACATGTATGCTAACGGAAGTAAGGAAACATGTATGCTAACAGAAGGAAGGAAACATGTATGCTAACAGAAGAAAGGAAACATGTATGCTAACGGAAGTAAGGAAACATGTATGCTAACGGAAGTAAGGAAACATGTATGCTAACAGAAGAAAGGAAACATGTATGCTAACAGAAGTAAGGAAACATGTATGCTAACAGAAGAAAGGAAACATGTATGCTAACAGAAGAAAGGAAACATGTATGCTAACAGAAGTAAGGAAACATGTATGCTAACGGAAGTAAGGAAACATGTATGCTAACAGAAGTAAGGAAACATGTATGCTAACGGAAGTAAGGAAACATGTATGCTAACGGAAGTAAGGAAACATGTATGCTAACGGAAGTAAGGAAACATGTATGCTAACAGAAGTAAGGAAACATGTATGCTAACGGAAGGAAACATGTATGCTAACGGAAGTAAGGAAACATGTATGCTAACGGAAGTAAGGAAACATGTATGCTAACAGAAGTAAGGAAACATGTATGCTAACGGAAGTAAGGAAACATGTATGCTAACGGAAGGAAACATGTATGCTAACGGAAGTAAGGAAACATGTATGCTAACGGAAGTAAGGAAACATGTATGCTAACAGAAGTAAGGAAACATGTATGCTAACGGAAGTAAGGAAACATGTATGCTAACAGAAGTAAGGAAACATGTATGCTAACGGAAGGAAACATGTATGCTAACAGAAGAAAGGAAACATGTATGCTAACAGAAGTAAGGAAACATGTATGCTAACAGAAGGAAGGAAACATGTATGCTAACGGAAGTAAGGAAACATGTATGCTAACGGAAGTAAGGAAACATGTATGCTAACGGAAGTAAGGAAACATGTATGCTAACAGAAGTAAGGAAACATGTATGCTAACAGAAGTAAGGAAACATGTATGCTAACAGAAGTAAGGAAACATGTATGCTAACGGAAGTAAGGAAACATGTATGCTAACAGAAGAAAGGAAACATGTATGCTAACGGAAGTAAGGAAACATGTATGCTAACGGAAGGAAACATGTATGCTAACGGAAGTAAGGAAACATGTATGCTAACGGAAGTAAGGAAACATGTATGCTAACAGAAGTAAGGAAACATGTATGCTAACAGAAGTAAGGAAACATGTATGCTAACAGAAGTAAGGAAACATGTATGCTAACGGAAGTAAGGAAACATGTATGCTAACAGAAGAAAGGAAACATGTATGCTAACGGAAGTAAGGAAACATGTCTGCTAACAGAAGTAAGGAAACATGTATGCTAACGGAAGTAAGGAAACATGTATGCTAACGGAAGTAAGGAAACATGTATGCTAACGGAAGTAAGGAAACATGTATGCTAACAGAAGTAAGGAAACATGTATGCTAACGGAAGTAAGGAAACATGTATGCTAACAGAAGTAAGGAAACATGTATGCTAACAGAAGTAAGGAAACATGTATGCTAACGGAAGTAAGGAAACATGTATGCTAACGGAAGTAAGGAAACATGTATGCTAACGGAAGTAAGGAAACATGTATGCTAACGGAAGTAAGGAAACATGTATGCTAACGGAAGGAAACATGTATGCTAACAGAAGTAAGGAAACATGTATGCTAACGGAAGTAAGGAAACATGTATGCTAACAGAAGTAAGGAAACATGTATGCTAACGGAAGTAAGGAAACATGTATGCTAACAGAAGTAAGGAAACATGTATGCTAACGGAAGTAAGGAAACATGTATGCTAACAGAAGAAAGGAAACATGTATGCTAACGGAAGTAAGGAAACATGTATGCTAACAGAAGAAAGGAAACATGTATGCTAACAGAAGGAAGGAAACATGTATGCTAACGGAAGTAAGGAAACATGTATGCTAACAGAAGGAAACATGTATGCTAACGGAAGTAAGGAAACATGTATGCTAACAGAAGGAAGGAAACATGTATGCTAACGGAAGTAAGGAAACATGTATGCTAACAGAAGGAAGGAAACATGTATGCTAACGGAAGAAAGGAAACATGTATGCTAACAGAAGTAAGGAAACATGTATGCTAACGGAAGGAAACATGTATGCTAACGGAAGTAAGGAAACATGTATGCTAACGGAAGGAAACATGTATGCTAACAGAAGAAAGGAAACATGTATGCTAACAGAAGTAAGGAAACATGTATGCTAACGGAAGGAAACATGTATGCTAACGGAAGTAAGGAAACATGTATGCTAACGGAAGGAAACATGTATGCTAACGGAAGTAAGGAAACATGTATGCTAACGGAAGTAAGGAAACATGTATGCTAACGGAAGGAAACATGTATGCTAACGGAAGTAAGGAAACATGTATGCTAACGGAAGTAAGGAAACATGTATGCTAACAGAAGTAAGGAAACATGTATGCTAACAGAAGTAAGGAAACATGTATGCTAACGGAAGTAAGGAAACATGTATGCTAACGGAAGTAAGGAAACATTTATGCTAACGGAAGTAAGGAAACATGTATGCTAACGGAAGTAAGGAAACATTTATGCTAACGGAAGTAAGGAAACATGTATGCTAACAGAAGTAAGGAAACATGTATGCTAATGTAAGGAAAGATGTCTAAATCCAACATTACCGTACTGGAGAACAGCGCACTAGGCAGAGATCCATCTCTTGCACTGAGGGATGTAGAGCCGCCTGCCAGGGCCGTCCATCGCCGCTTGCAGCTACATTAATTATGATCATTATTATTCTTAAATGTTTGTGATGCACTTGTTGCAGGTATGATGCCCGACAGGCTGCAGTGTCTGAGACAGCCCATCATCGACGACAGGATCTGTCAGAACGCGTACCCTCACCTCATGAAGCCCAGCATGCTCTGCTCCGGCTTCATGTCCGGAGGAGCCAGCAGCTGCCAGGTACCAGAGGACTGCTCCTGTCTGTACCTTTACTAACTTATTCTTCATCTGGGACAGAACAGAACCTTAGATATTTACCTGTGGTTCTGTCTCACAAAGAAAAGTCCTCACTTGTGTCAGGAAAAACCCTGACACACAGTTCAAGCAAACACTACAAACATATTTCTGAGTAAATCCAAGGTTATTTTCACTTAAGTAATTCCATAAACACCACAATAAGTCTGTCCAGCAGAAATGTGATCATGTATTTCTCTACATATATATTAGTTTTTATTTTCATTTTTCTACAACAACCTCAAACTATTTGAACTATAATAAAAATAAAGTAAATTCTGTAATTCCCGGACTAAAAGCCACAACCTATTTAATCTCTGCAACCTGTTTAGTGATGACATATTATACTATATAATATTCAAGCATAGTTTTTATGTGGACAACATTTACTTTCTTTTCAAATGTAGCTGTTTATATTTCTGGTTTATATACAGGTGCGATTAATAGTCGAGAGCGAGCACAGGGGCTGTAATAGACAATGCTAGCTAGGGCTGAAACAACTAATCGATTAATCGACGACTAATCGATTATTGAAATAGTATTGAGTATATGACTATTTTAGTAATCGATTAATCGTTTTCTGGTTCACACGGACTCAAACAGAGCAAAAATGACATGAAAATGTAGTATTTTTGATTAAAACCGACTTTGTTTTTATAATTTCATGAATATCTGTCTGTCTCATCCAATCAGAGCAGAATTAGCACAAAGAGCCTGTTACAAACATTTACTTTAAGTTTACGTCATCAATACGTCCTCGAGTGTTGCCACTTTCGCTTTTTGTGATGAAAAAATATTTTTTTTCTACACAATTCACAGCCAAGCGATTACTCGATTAATTGTAAAAATAATCGATAGATTAATTGATTACAAAATAATCGTTAGTTGCAGCTCTAATGCTAGTCCTTGCATTAGTCTTTCTGGCCCTGTGTGAACCAGACATTTAGATCCAACATCTCTCAGTAAATTGTGCATCTGTGGCCAACCAATAATCCATCCATCCATTTTTTTAAATTAAATTTGTATTTATATTTTTCATAATTATTCATTTTTTCCATGTTTTTGTTTTTTTAATTTCCTTATTTTAGCTTTATTTTTGTATGTATATTTTATTATTAGATACATTTTTTTCAATGTTTTTCTATTATCGTCTTTTCCATTGCATTATAATTATTGCCTTGCCTATATTTTTGAATCATGACCTTTTTACCCTTTAAACTCTAATGGCAAAAACTCACAAATAACGTATATATAAAAAAAAAAAAAAAAAATCTCATCCGTGTGTGTGTGCTCCACAGGGAGACTCTGGCGGCCCCCTGGTGTGCGGAGGCATGCTGCAGGGAGTCGTGTCCTGGGGCTACGACTGCGCCATGCAGGGCCACCCCAGCGTCTACGCCCGCGTCTGCCGCTTCACCGGCTGGATCCAGTCCACCATGGCCAACAACTAAACTCCACCCAAGACATAAAAACCTCAGCTTCACGTCTCTGTGCACTTTTATTTTGCATAATGTCACGTCACGTTTTGTACAGGTCATGTCAATAAATATATTATTAGAAGAACCTGCAAAGTCTTTCAAACATGCTTCTGGAGTTGGTTTGAAACAGATAAATACAAAACTATGGTCCTGTAGAATCAGAGGAACTCACAGCCTCTAAATTATAGGTATGAAAAATGAAAAGTGCTTCAATAAATGATAATAATAATACACAAAGGGCAGTATGGTGGCTGAGTGGATAGCACTCTCAGCTAGAAAGTCCTGGGTTCGAATCCTGGTCAAACGGAGTCTTTCTGAGTGGAGTTTGCATGTTCTCCCTGTGCTTGCGTAGGTGTCCTCTGCGAACTCCGGTTTCCCCTACCACTAAAAACATGCACACTAGGTAAAATCCTCCAGCTCTGGTCCTGACCAAGGTCTAAAAGTCTGTGGGTCTGAGGGAGTGAGACCATCTGACCTTTGATGCTTTTGACCATGTATACTTAGCCCGGCCTAATCCATCCGTAAACTCTGGTCCATGATCATTTCCTACATGTACGTCTGGTCTTACCATGTGTAAACTCTGGTCCATGATCATTTCCTACATGTACGTCTGGTCTTACCATGTGTAAACTCTGGTCCATGATCCTTTCCTACATGTCCGTCTGGTCTTACCATGTGTAAACTCTGGTCCATGATCATTTCCTACATGTACGTCTGGTCTTACCATGTGTAAACTCTGGTCCATGATCCTTTCCTACATGTACGTCTGGTCTTACCATGTGTAAACTCTGGTCCATGATCCTTTCCTACATGTACGTCTGGTCTTACCATGTGTAAACTCTGGTCCATGATCCTTTCCTACATGTACGTCTGGTCTTACCATGTGTAAACTCTGGTCCATGATCCTTTCCTACATGTCCGTCTGGTCTTACCATGTGTAAACTCTGGTCCATGATCCTTTCCTACATGTACGTGTGGTCTTACCATGTGTAAACTCTGGTCCATGATCCTTTCCTACATGTACGTCTGGTCTTACCATGTGTAAACTCTGGGCTCATTACATACGTCACAGTAAACTCAGATCCAATCGTTTCAATCTGTAAAAGGAGTTAACCCCTCCCTCCTGTTAACGGAGTCAATGGAGCAAATCCAGACCTTAGTATGAAATGAAATGGGTACGACCACTTTCCCATCAGTCAGTTTACTACCTTTGAATCAGATCAGTGACATTATGACCAATCCAAACCAAAAATGACGTCCAATCCCATTGAACAAAATCATAATTTGAAAAACCTCTGTCCCATCCATCCATGCATGCATATCTGGGCGCATATCTGGGCGCATGCTGCATGAGTCACAGTGGAGTAGATAAGTGCTGCTCAGTGCAATCGCTGGTACTGGTGCGGAGAGATGCCAGCGCAGTTGAGTAAATATGAGAAGGCCGTGTCGCACATATATCAGTGTTTGCGTGCATTCCTCAGACGCTGCTTTGTAAACTGCGCTGCTTCTTATTTGCAGAGGCCACCTACAGAAGATAAGCACAAAGGAAAGGTTAGGTCCACATTCACAGAACCGCAGAACCGATCACTGATATTATTCATTATTGTGTATTGTCAGAAGTAACCAGTTTAAAGATGCAGTCAGTGATTTTTTTCCAGACGCATTTTTTAAAATATTGTTGGAAAACGTCCCTAAACCCTAAAAGTATCAAGTTATCATGTGTGTTCAAACAGTAATGGAATTGACCAGATGCCTATGGTCCCCAAAAATTAATATTTTCTTTTTGGGGTGGACCGATAAAAATAAACCAATAGGATGTGTTTACCCCCTTCTCCCTCTCCCTCTTCCAGAGTTATCAGATTTTCTAAAACCTAAAAGGGCTGAACAGAAAATGCCAATTTCACGTTTGCCTGATGTGACAAAGAAAAGAAAAGACTGGATGTTTGGTTTGGTGGAGAGGGAGGGGAGGGGGGAGTGGTTTGGTGGAGAGGGAGGGGGGAGCATGGCCCTATTATAATAACTGGATAGGGTATTACTAGCTTACAGCTGTCCCACCCATGGGCACAGGGGGCGCCCGTGGTACTGCAGACTAAAATCACGTGGGCTACCCAGAAAAAAGTCCCATAGAACTCAATGTAAACTAAAACAGCTCGACCTCAGCTGACAGAAATATTGGATTTTGTGGGGATTTTAGTGTCCCTTGTCATGCTGAACTTTTTTTCTTCTTAAACCCTTCGGTTTTCTTTAAATCCACACTTTACTGCCACAAACTCTGCTCCTTTCCTTCCCGCTCTGGCTCCGCCCTGCTGCTGCTCTGATGAGCAGCTCTGATTGGTCAGATCGCGGCCGACCCCCTCTGTTCGCGTGCATGAAAGCCACACACGCGTGTTTGGCGCATTGCATCATGGGAGCTCGTCCACTGTGCAGAACCGGGAGGACCAGACGATGCCCAAATATAGGCGAGTTCTGCTAATCTGCTGTGAAGTCCCATGCGCTACTGAGCACAAGCCGTTCATTTGAACAGGACGCCATCTTGGATCACCGGGGCTTGGGGGGGAGTGGTTTCGAGTTGGTGCAACGGCTAAGCTAACAAAATCGCTTACTGCACATTTAAATACACAAGAAATGTGTGTGTGTAGCAAAGACTCTTTCTGTTGAGACAAACAACATGTATTTTATAACAACATAAACAGAAATACAGTTCCTAATACTGTAATTATCAAAATGTAAAAAGCTATATTCGCTCGATGATCTCACCTGAGTCGCAATTCGATCCAGGTCTCTGTGGCCTTGAGGCGTTAGTCTACGCCCACTGCAAGAACAATTAGTCAAAACAAATATAACATTAACATTTTCCGTTGGTTTGGCTACAGCGTCAAAAGCCGCCTTCACTCTGAGAATATATATATATATATATATATATATATTGGTTACAGCATAACCAATAATTCGTTTTTTAAATCAGAAGCATCCATTAGGGAGGGTATATATAAATAAATTCAGTAAAATCATGTTTATCCAATCCAAACAAAAACAACAACCACAAAAACGTAGAGGAAAATATAGCAACAAATGAATAATTTCGAATATTTTACTTTCACCTGACCTAAACCCTGGAGTTGAACATTGGATTCAAGTTTTGTGCAAATCAGACTTTGTTTGTGTAAACGGGAGCAAAATGAATATTGTGAAAAACGGCCAATAAACACTCACATTTTGCCGCTCCGCTGCTCAAACAACGTTTCACTGATCAAAAATCCCTGAGGTCATTTTGATGGTACATGTGTTTAGACAATGTGGAGTGATATGGAGGCGAATCGGTGAAACGGCCGAGGAGGAGTCGCTTTCCAACCGACATGTATGAAAATGATTGCGGATCATTTTTCCATTTTGCAGTGAAATTTATGGACTTCCTGTTTGTCAGAGGGCGGAGCCATAATAACATTTCGGTCGTATCTTGACTTGAGGAACATGTGTACCAAATTTCATGGCTCTACAACAAACTTGACCTCTGAAACTCCCATTGGCTGTTGTAGGTGGCGCTGTTCTGGCATTTTTTGAGTCCCATAAAAATAAACACCCAAAAATCTAATTTTTCACCAGGTCTGAGGTTTGGGCAAAAAATTACAACTTTTCATGCATGTTCAGGGGGTGAAATTAAGGCTCAAAGTGCAGAATTTGACATCTCTCGAGCAAAAACAATAGGCCCTTTCCCCGTTCGGGGCTCGGGCCTAAATATGTAAAATCATAGAACACAAAATGAAGCAAGTAAGTAATTCATCTTGTCACAAACCAAGGTCACAAAAAGAACTTAAAGCAAATTAGAGTGACTTGACTGTGTAGGCCTGTCGCAAAAATGACTATCAACTTCCATAACTGAGGGATCGGCATATTCTGGGGATCCATGTTTACGGTTCAAACTATTTCTATACAACAAGAAGAGAATTTTGCTTCAATGAGTAATTTTATGACTTAATTCTGGTGTTTTCTTGAGGAAATTGCCTCAAATCCATCCATCCATTTCCTTCCGCTTCATCCGTCTTACCATAAATTCAATTCAATTCAATTCTTTATTTGGTGTTTGTAAAAGGGAACTCCCAGGAAGCTGCATTCGCTTATAGGCGGGCCCCCAAAAACAATACACGTAAAACACATGTGACAATTTATACCGTCATACAATCCTCACCTGATCTCAGTGGGATAAAGTAGCTAAAATATCATGATTAATCCCAATACATTTCTGAATCTTATCGTTGCCCGCTGTAATTAGTGTCTTATGCCTCTCTTACCCGTTGGGGTCCTTCTCCACCATCTTGAGGCCCTCCAGAGCCTGCAGGACTTTGCGCGCCACGTTTCGGGAGCCGACGCTGAAGTGGGCGGGGCAGACGCCGTTTCTATGACGACCTCCGTAGATCTTGATCATGGCGCCGACCCCCACGCCCCCGCGCAGGTACAGGTGGCGAGCCGTGGACGCTGCAGACACAGGGGTGAGTTAGTTTACAAAGCAGTGAAAAACAGAGATAATCAGTAAGAAATGTTTATTTATAGAGCGCATTTTACAGACCAAGGTCGCCCACAGCACTTTACAATTGTTCAGAATTCAGATAGTTGTTCCATTCTCTCCACACACAGTGATGACGGAAGCAAGTTGCCGGACACACACGCGCATCAACGCCTTAACCAACACTATCCATTCACTCGTTACATTCAGACCAATTATGCATGTATTTAGTGGTAGGGGAAACCGGAGCACCCGGAGGAAACCTACGCAGATACGGGGAGAACATGCAAACTCCACTCAGAAAGAAAGACGCCGTCAAACCTAAAAACTCGGACTGAGGAGTAAAAAAACAGTCCGATTGGCTAAACTGGAATCAACCGCTTATTGTGATACTACTGAGACAAGGCAAGCGTCTGCATTTAAGAGCACAGGGACCAGCCATGCATATAATAGAAATGTATGTATTTGGACACATATACTGTTCTGTCAGGACTCAGGGCAGCTGTGGCTACAAGTGCAGATTCTCACGATTGCGCATGGAGCGAATGAATAATCAATCAATCATGTATTTGTACAGGACAGTTCATGAACAACGCAACTCAAAGTGCTTCAGAAGAGCAATTTAAAAACACAAATCAAAATGCATCAAAAAAAGTTGATGCAAAATACAGTTGTTTGATAGCAAAACAGAGCAGCATAAAATTATGGGGTTTAAAAAGGGACATAAAAGCAATAAATAGTTCAAAATAGAATCAGTTTTGAGCACAGCTAAAAAGATATGTTTTCAGAATGACATGTGAAGTGTGTGTCTTTGAGTGTCTAAAAAATGCTATAAGATAAATTTTATTGAATCACATTTGGTATATATAGATACCACTCAGGGTGTGCATAAAGACAGGACGTGTACAAATATGTTAAAGGTTATAAAATATAGTCTCTTATGTGCAAGATTCTGTATATCATGTACAATAAAAGATTAAAAGTGACTATAGCAGTGGGAGTTTTCCAGTCCGAGAGCAGGTCTGTAAAGTGACTATTATTATTATTCTATTATATTTAAACTGATGAAGAATTTGAGACTGTGTAACTATGAAAAGAAGAGACATCACGATAATATATTGATCATGATGTGAAGTGAAATTGCCAAAACATTGTTATAACATGGTTTTTCCACCAGGCCTGCACCGGACTCCTTTCTTTGTGACGCGGATGGACCATTTACAAAAATAATAACACGTTTTTGCATTTGTACAATAAGGGAAAATACACTATATAATTTGAATGCATGTTATTACTTAAAAGTTAAAGTTAAAACTGCCCACAACAGCAAAAACCATCCATTTTCTTCCCCTTTATCCATTTCTGGGTTGGGGGGTGTCAGTCAGAGCACCAGCCTCTCACTGATCCTGCTGCAGGTGGTGAGTCCACAGGAGCTGAGATCTTTTAGCAGGGGCTTCAGGCAAATTGGGGTTAAGTGTCCTGCCCAAGGACACTACGACACCAGTCATCAGTGGGAGTTGTGAAGTAGGTCTTATGGTGGGTTCGAACCCACGACCTTCAGGCCTAAAGGCCAATGCTCTACCAACTGAGCTACTGTCACACTTACACAACAGCAAAACAAACATCAAAATCCTGCTAAAAATACAAATGTTTAAATCAAAGGGGACCATCCTGTCTTTTATCCACTCAAAAGATAAAATATTTAGTTTTGAATTGGATTTTCTGATAACGTTTGCTTTAGCTACATTGTCTTAATACTTGATTTAGTTCCGTTTTGACGCAGTAATTACTTTGCGTGTTTCTTGATGTGAGCTTAGGTTTTGAACTTATGTGTGAGAGGTTTACATCTGCCCAACATGTTGCAACGCACTCTATCAGACTCAAACTCACCTCAAAGATATGAAGTCAAACATTCCAACGTATCAAAACGGGAGCTGCATATTCAACATTTTACAGATAGAGCAGCAGACTGGTGCAGGTCTACATCACACAACCGTCGGTTATAAAATCATCATCACGTTTATTATCCCATTTCATATTCTGTCCTCACTCTCATGTTGCTCTGTACACAATCAGTCGCACAACAGCCGTCTATGTAAATATTAGCCTCCAACCACTACTGCTAATCTTGCATAGTGTACTAATATCTCATAGGGAGCTCATTTGTTGAGTTTTTTTTAAGGTAAGCCCACTTGTATAAACCGCAACAGCTACATTTGAAAACGTTTTTTTTTCTCATATTGGCTGCACTTGAAGTCTCCATGTTGTAATGTGACACTTGACCAGCTGCAGAACGAAGCTGAACGACGATGATGATGGTCAGAGCACTCTGGTAAATCCAATCTGTTCAAACGAGAACTGCTGAGTCTGTAAACGACGTGCCACTCCCCGGTCCTGGTCATAATTCACTTTACCTGTTGTTTTTTATTATTACTACATCATTACAAATCCATTAATCTGATATTTCTGTCATTCACTCGTCACTTTACCTGCTGATATTATTACTACTGTTTATTCTGCTGCTAAAGTACAATATACACATCTGTAAATACCTCTGACCAACACCATAAACAAGAATATAAGAGACATCCTCAGCTCTGAAGGTCAACAGCTGATAAACCTGTGTTCAAATCCCTTCCGTCACCGCAGGGGGCTCTCTAACATCCATCCATCCTTTTTCTTCCGCTTCATCCGTTGCCGAGTCGCGGGGGCAGCAGTCTAAGCAGAGACGTCCAGACTTCACTGTCCACACACACTTCCTCCAGCTCGTCCGGGGGGACCCCAAGGCGTTCCCAGGCCAGCTGAGAGACATAGTCCCTCCAGCGTGTGCTGGGTCTTCCCCGGGGTCTCCTCCCGGTGGGACGTGCCCGGAACACCTCAACTGGTTCCTCTCGACGTGGAGAAGCAGTGGCTCTAATATGAGCTGCTCCCGTGTGACTGAGCTCCTCACCCTATCTCTAAGGGCGCGCCCAGCCACTCTGCGGAGGAAGCTCATTTCAATCTCGTCCTTTCGATCATTATCCAGAGATTATGACCAGAGGTGAGGGAGAGAACCAAGATTTAGAGTCTCTCGTTTTGGTTGCCAATTTTGTTTTGTGAAATCCTGTTAGTTTAGTCACTGCCTTTGCCTAAATTGTGTGTGTATGTGTATGTGAGATGCAAGCAAGGCACGGGCAACAATAACTTGGATTGGATTTATAATGACAATATAAAATCAGAGAAAAAAACCTTTAAGTAATGTGCGGCCTCTTTTAAATTTTTAACGGACTTTCAACCTTGACCCCAGATGAAAGGAAGAAAAACGATCTTTTTGGTATTTTTTGTGAGTACCAAGTCAGGGTAAAAACACTGATCACTGAAAGCAAACTCTGAATCTGGTCCATGAGCTTCAACAAACGCTAAGACTTTCTCTAACGTAAATGTGCAACGCTAATAAAGTGATAATATAACAAACCAAACTAAATGAGTAACTGTTTGCACACAAATGATTAAACTGCAAACTAACTTAACGGCTGTTTTCATTCTTCACGCCAAATTACCTTTGAGCCACTTCTGCCTTATTAAAATCAACCGTAATTAAATCTCTCTTGACTAATCACTTAACACAGGGTTTCAGAGGCTGCTGAGCCGATGCCACCTGCTCGTGTGTAGAACCAATTGTCGTCACACGGAGCCAGCTCTTTGTGCGGGGCCAGCTTCACGGTGTCCACCCACTCCGGCACTTTCAGCTTCCCCGACCTGAGGAGCCAAAACAACAGCAGAGATGAACACTGGAAAACGCAGGCTATTTTAATACAAATGTAATACTGGATTTTCACACAGGGAAATCAGCAGCCATAACAGCTTGAAATTGTTATTGTCAGATCGTACTAAGTAGATGATAGTAGTTTAAACTGGAACTATTAGGATTATATAGATAAATAGATAGATAAATTAATACTTTATTGATCCCACGTAGGAGAAATTATATGACGCACTATTGAAATGAAAGGCTTTTATGTGAGCCTAATAATGCGAAAAATACCTGTGTGTCTGTACCTGTGAGCCTGTACTTGTGCGTCTGTACCTGTGCGTCTGTACCTATGTGTCTGTACCTGTGCATCTGTACCAGTGTGTCTGTACCTGTGAGCCTGTACTTGTGCGTCTGTACCTGTGCGTCTGTACCTATGTGTCTGTACCTGTGCATCTGTACCAGTGTGTCTGTACCTGTGAGCCTGTACTTGTGCGTCTGTACCTATGTGTCTGTACCTGTGTGTCTGTACCTGTGCATCTGTACCAGTGTGTCCTGTACCTGTGTGTCTGTACCTATGTGTCTGTACCTGTGTGTCTGTACCTGTGCATCTGTACCAGTGTGTCCTGTACCTCTGTGTCTGTACCTATGTGTCTGTACCTGTGTGTCTGTACCTGTGCATCTGCACCAGTGTTCCCTGTACCTGTGTGTCTGCACCTGTGCGTCTGTACCAGTGTGTCCTGTACCTGTGAGTCTACCTGTGCATCTGTACCTGTGAGTCTGTACCTGTGTGTCTTTACCTGTGTGTCTGTACCTGTGCATCTGTACCAGTGTGTCCTGTACCTGTGTGTCTGTACCTGTGCGTCTGTACCTATGTGTCTGTCCTTGTGTGTCTGTCCCTGTGAGTCTGTCCCTGTGCGTCTGTACCTGTGAGTCTGTCCCTGTGCGTCTGTACCTATATGTCTGTACCTGTGTGTCTGTCCCTGTGCGTCTGTACCTGTGCGTATGTACCTGTGTGTCTGTCCCTGTGCGTCTGTACCTATATGTCTGTACCTGTGAGTCTGTCCCTGTGCGTCTGTACCTATGTGTCTGTACCTGTGCGTCTGTACCAGTGTGTCCTGTACCTGTGAGTCTACCTGTGCGTCTTTACCTGTGAGTCTGTCCCTGTGCGTCTGTACCTGTGTGTCTGTCCCTGTGCGTCTGTTGATGTGGGTGAGCTTGTATTCTAAATTTGGTAGTGCTCATTCTTAGATAAACAACAAAATAACAATCTATACATTGAAAAGAATTGTCTCTACATCGTGTGAAATATGTCGACTGATGTGTACATACAAGTATATATATATATATCTTTGCACAGAGTATACAGAATTATTCCTTATGTGTGTACTTTTTTAATACCTTGTTCTTTATTTACTTAAAGATAGAGATTTTATTTTATTTTTTCAAAGTATAGTATGCTTAAAATACTGTATGGTGTGTGTGGGCTCCTGTCACGTGGGTGAAATGAAATGAGACCCAAAATGCAAAACGGCAAAAAATAATGGATTTAATAAAAAGATGAAACAAATCCAAAAACACAGGGAACGAGGACCGAACTAAAATAGACGAGGAATGACAATGACGGAACAGGGAGTGAAGGAACACACAGGGCTAAATACAAGACTAACGAGACACAAGAGGGCGGGGCTGGAGGGCGGGGCTGGAGGGCGGGGCTGGAGGGCGGGGCTGGTCATCAGACAACAGGAAGTACAACCAAAGAAGACACAGGGATAACACATTTCAAAATAAAACAGGAAATAAACTTAAACCATGACAGCTCCTCATTCCTACATTTCCCCAGTGGGACGAAAAGAGGAAGTAATATATATTTTATTTATTTTGTACTTTTGATTTTGATTTCAGTTCTGTGATTTTGTTTCCTGTCCTGTTCTCCTGTCTTGATTGTCTGCCCTGCCCTGTGTCCACTGTGTCTCTCTATACCTGTGTCTCTCTGTGTCTATATGTACCTGTGTGTCTGTGTCTATATGTACCTGTGTCTCTCTGTGTATATATGTACCTGTGTCTCTCTGTGTCTACATGTACCTGTGTCTCTCTGTGTCTATATGTACCTGTGTCCCTCTGTGTCTATAAGTACCTGTGTCCCTCTGTGTCTATATGTACCTGTGTCTCTCTGTGTCTATATGTACCTGTGTCTCTCTGTGTCTTTATGTACCTGTGTCTCTCTGTGTCTATATGTACCTGTGTCTCTGTGTCTATAAGTACCTGTGTCTCTCTGTGTCTATATGTACCTGTGTCTCTCTGTGTCTATATGTACCTGTGTCCCTCTGTGTCTATAAGTACCTGTGTCTCTCTGTGTCTATATGTACCTGTGTCCCTCTGTGTCTATATGTACCTGTGTCTCTCTGTGTCTATATGTACCTGTGTCTCTCTGTGTCTATATGTACCTGTGTCTCTCTGTGTCTTTATGTACCTGTGTCCCTCTGTGTCTATATGTACCTGTGTCTCTGTGTCTATATGTACCTGTGTCTCTCTGTGTCTATATGTACCTGTGTCCCTCTGTGTCTATAAGTACCTGTGTCTCTCTGTGTCTATATGTACCTGTGTCTCTCTGTGTCTATAAGTACCTGTGTCTCTCTGTGTCTATATGTACCTGTGTCTCTCTGTGTCTATATGTACCTGTGTCTCTCTGTGTCTATATGTACCTGTGTCTCTCTGTGTCTATAAGTCCCTGTGCTCCTCTCCCCTTGTTGCTGGTCCATTGCATTCTCTCTATTTTTGTCCATCTGTTTTGTAAGTAAGTAAGTAAGTAAGTAAGTTTGTATTTATATACCGCCTTTTCACTGCAGATCTGAGTCTCAAAGCGGTTTACAATTGTTAATTTTGGGCATTTGTCTCTCACTCCACACAGAGATGGGAGCGGGGTCGCCAGTACAGGAGGCGCATGCCAGAACTATTGGACATATTTTTAGTGGTAGGGGAAACCGGAGTACCCGGAGGAAACCTACGCAGACACGGGGAGAACATGCAAACTCCACTCAGAAAGGCCCTGGTCCGGCCGGGATTCGAACCCAGGACCTTCTTGCTGAGAGGCGAGAGTGCTATCCACTCAGCCACCGTTTGAATTTTTCATCATTAAATCATTATTTTTGATTTAATGGCCTTCCCGCTTTTAGGGTTCTCCATCACTTCACCGCCTGACACCGATCGATATCGATACAGCTCCGGAGCCTGTGGAGACCCATGTATATATGTGTCCCATAAATATATAGATAGTGCTGAGGGGCCTGTGCAGTGGCCCCATGCATGATTCAGTGGGAGCAGAGAGGTATGTGCAGCCTGCAGGGTCTCTGCTCCTTCACTGGTCTGAACACGCTCTGCTCCTTAAGTCCACTGTCAGGAACTAACTCTGCAGATCCACAGACCTGGACCTGCTTCAGTGAATCAGCTTCTACCCATGTTCCAAAACACAGGACAGTGTCAAACTAATGTCAAACTAATGTACGACCGACTCTTAACGCACACAGAGAGATGTATCAGGCATTTATCTGTTGTCCATCCATCCATCCATTTTCTACCCTTTAATCCATTTCTGGGTCAGGGGGGTGGCAGTCAGAGATGCCACCCAAGTCTCATAGCACCAGCCCCTCACTGACCCTCTGCAGGTGGTGAGTCCACAGGAGGACGGCTGCTCTCTGACTGTGAGCATAGCCTTGATCTTTCAGTGGGGGCTTTGGGCAAAGTGGGGTTAAGTGTCTTGCCCAAGGACACAACAACAGCAGTTATCAGTGGGAGTCGGTGGAGAAGGTGCAGAGGTGGGAATTGAACCCACAACCTTCTGGGCTTAAGGCCAATGCTCTACCAACTGAGCTACTGTCGCCCTCCATTTATCCATTACATTTATCTGTTGTAATGTTAGTTATTGTCTCACAGATTGTTATAAAATATCTCATCTCAGGCAGAATCCAAGCCCAGTATTTACATCTGGAGCTAGGTCCTTGGCGCTGCACCAGGGGCGGAGCTACACCTAGGGGCAGGGGTTTAATTGGGGGGGGGGGGGGGGGGGGGGGTCATTATACATGATAATCCTGATCTGCTCCTGATTTTTGTCTCTTTTGAAAGTAGTCATCCTGGGGGCCTGAGCCACCTCGACTATGGCTCGGGCATCAAGTTTTTTAGTTGCTTTGGAGTCACTAAGAGAGAGTTTGGCTCCAGATTCCCGCCCCGGAGTCTGTTTGAGCCAGGACTAAATGACATCTTCCACAGAAATTAAGCGAAAGCAGAAATTCAGACAGGAAGAACTAAGCTCACAGCATTCAATGTCCTCCCACTGTCGCTAACGGCAACAGCATCTGTCAATCACAATCAGTTGCAGCACAACACTGCCCTCACCTGGCAGCGATCAGGCACTGCCCACATAAGCTTCATATAGCAAGGAAGCTCCATCCAAGCAGGAGCTTCATTCACGCTGCAACCCTCCTCCTCCCCATCTCCACCTTGTTCCTGGCCTCCTCCTTCATCCTTCTCCTAAACTACCACCACCAGGGTCTAGGCCCCGGGGGATTCCATCTCATAATCTCAATGCTCTGCCCGTAGCCTGACTCTCGCCAGACCCTTGTAGTTCGCTGAGCTTCACACAAGGGTCTGGGTCTGCTTCATAGCGGTTGGATTTCAGAAGGCGGGGCCTTGTATCCTCCACAAAATCCTTGTATGTGATTGGATAAACCACTTGTCTGTTATCTTGAAAGACATGTTCCTTCAACCACTCACATCAAAGCACACGACTCCCATGGGTTGCCAAATGCCAGCAAGATTTTCCAGCCCAAAACCCACGAGAATGGCTCAAAAAAACCACCCAGAATGATTTTTTGGCTAAAAACGTGATGTAACCAACTTGGGCTATCATGGTTCTGTTTTTGTCTTTCTGTTATTTATTATTGCAACAAATAAACCAGTACTTAAACCACACTTTACACGAACATTTGACTCTTAAAACACACATTCAACAACATGGAACCATCAACATGGAACCATCAACAT